TCCACGGGTGCGATGCTCGCCATACGCGACCAATAACGTCTGCAGATGTATCGTCAATACTGCAAATTGTGGTAAGTTACTAATTTTTGTCATGATTAAAGGAATGCCATTGCCATGTGAAGAGCGTATATGAACTAAAGCATTGATACGAAAATAGACCATCATTCAGCCTGTCACAAGAATTTACATCCTACATTGTCCCAATTTCCTTTACCCTCTTTCTTTTTCTATATGCTATTTTTCGCTTCATATGTCGTCCCCCCTCATTGATTGTAAGTGCAACGATCGATTGGAAAAGCTGACAATGTTTATTTTTAATAGTATAGAAAAAAAACACCCCGTATACATCCTTATACATAAGCACAAAACCCAACGGCACACACGGATCGGATTGGTACAAAACACGTCGACAGATACAACTTTTTAAATACAAAATGAACAAGATATGACCAAAGTCGCCAGCGCAATAGCCCAAAAATTATACAGTCAAAAACATACACAAAGCAAGAACATAAAAAAGATTCAGTCAGGTAAGTGTTAGAAAGATCTTCCTTTAATTCTTTTTTGAAGAACAAGATACTAATCTCTCTTTATTGTATGTGTTCCCACAGATCGTAGGTGCCTGTCACCGCGCTGACGTACATGATTGCAAATTGAAAAATAAGTTTGCAACAACCAAAACAAATACATCATCCGTCAGGTACGGTTGTTAATATAGAGCTTCATACGATATTGTACATTCCAACGCACCATCCATCAAGCATAACGACTAACATACTACTCATTAGATTGGCAGCTTTAGCCCCAGTGACGTAGAAGCTTTATTCAAACATCACATACGAGAAAAAATTATACAAGGTCTATTCTTGCGTTAGCGGCGACGATTGTCTCAAGACATTTTCAGAACAAGCTATCATTTCTTACACGACTACAAGACGACCAAATTGATGGCATACCTGACACCTTACACGATGCAAACTACATACCACGTCCAAAACCGGGTACTGTCTGTGTTTTACGCGTGCCATCAAGCGAATCGATCGTGTGTGCCGTCCATTTTACCATACCTTGATATCATAATATGTTACAAAATAGAGAAACGAAACGAAACTAAAAAAAATGAAGAAAAAAGAAAAAAGAAAAAAGGAAAAAGGAAAAAGGAAAAAAAGAATAGAAAAAAAGACAAAGATTATAAAAAAAAAGCTATAACGCACGCTAATCCATTCTGTTCTGTAGCACTTGTCATCAATGAGGGTATCGACATTACGTCTATTTATTACATTATTACTCTCATAAATACTTTACTACTACTATTTTTACTGTATATTTTTTCTGGGACAATAAAACTCTATCTTCATTTTGAAAGCATTTGTGGGCATAAAGTGATGCTATTTTAGCCGTGATCAAACTGCAGTTACTGTACCGTCATGTGTTTATTACATAATAATTTACGCGACAGTTCTCAAGGATTAAAGTCGGCATCACGGTACAGTATACGATCAGATACTGTACATATTGTACATACTAATATGATATGATAATATCAGCAATGAAGGTAGGAAAGCAAACGTCGAACATCGAAACATGTCATTTTTTTCTAGTTTTTCACGTCTAAGACAATCCCAAAACTATAAATGACTACTGTAATAGCGACAAACTTTGTGCTTAATCATATGGAGCAGGACTCATCTAATAAACATCAGTGCCGCAAAATAAAGGATATCAAATGAATACTGTACAGGAGACTGTGGTAGTATTAATCATATGCAGATTTCAAAAACGATAGATAACAGCGCTGCATCGGAACGGATACCAGTTACACATGCATTTGTCGATCATTTCCTATTGTGGAGATTGGCATACATCGTTATTATGGCCTCCTCGTGACGACGGTGCTGACGATGATGCGCCCAAAGCAATGATAATGAAGGTTGAAAGAATTCATGACACTACATAATGTGAATATTACATGGTAGAGTAGGAAGCTGATCTTAGTTCCAAGATATGAACACTGACTGTCATTCTAATTGGCGTCCGGCTCCTGAGCGAAAATTACCCACCACTATAAGGAGATAAATGTTCCACAGCATGTTAACAAAGAAAAAGGGTAGAGAGGACAAAGTTTGTGAATGGAGAAGGGTGGGACGAGCGTAGAGGGACAAGAACGATACTCACTTGGGTATGAAAACTCCAGGCTGTTTATGGTAGCAGGAACTGACACAGCAGCAACCACTCAGCAATATGGCCTATACTCATACTATGATGCCATCAAGGTACGCAGCAGAATTTGTTGCCACGCATCGCCGATTGCCAAAGTTTGTCGACCGTGACAGCCTTCCGCACTTAAGTATCCACACAAAAAAATGTGTGTGATATCGACCCACGGATTTCGGCTTCCTCCACGAGGCTGAAAAGAACGGTGTGCATCATAGAGTTTGTACTTTTGCTAGTATAGAACAATGCAAGTAGTAAATGTATTTAGCATCCCGACAGCAAATATATAGTAATTTGCAAAGTCGGATCTCATATACCAATAGTGAGCTATCAGTGCAAGCAACATGCGAGGGATTCATATGAATGCGGATGTTTATGAGAGCCCTGAGAAATTCGATGCAAGTCGTTTCCTTGGATCTTCAAAAAAAACTGATGATGACGTTAATGAACGGGCCTTTTCAAGAGCGAGAACAGTTTAACTTTGGCTGGGACCGGTAAGAGAGGGAGTAAAAGTAACAGTAAACTTCATGCATGTAAGAACATGAGCAATGTAATTTTTTTTTATACACACTTGATTTTCAGCTTTATGAAAAAACAGACGTGTGCATGCCCAGAGCATATTTGATGAGTGGTTTCATCTAACAAAAATTACAGCCTGGTGTTTCAAACACGATTTTAATGCCGTGCTGTACATACTGAATGCTTTCAAAACTTGTATTATGTAGGCGGTAGCGAAATTTCTACCATAATGGCGCGGCTATTGGCAAAGTGTGCTATATATGAGCTAAGGATCAATATAGAAAACTGCAACAACAAAGCTGCGTTTCCAGCCCTAAACAAGTTTGAAGAAGCTAAAGCGTTGAGGGTACCGAATGACAGAACTATTCGAGTTGTTGGGCGTACATAGTACAAATGCATAGTGCTGTCGAAAATTCCAGTTTATGCCATACTGTATATGTCACATCCTATGATATATATATAATTGATATAATAAATGCACGGCGCGATTTTCATTTCCATATCATAGATGTAGAGCGTCATGTAGAAAATATGCAATTTCAGCCCTACCCTCGAAGTTTGATATGCATGTTGCGCTTTTCGAACAATTTGTTTAATAATCCTTTTAACTGCCAAAACACATCATACCGATAGCTTGGAGTAACAGGCGTAACCAAAACTTTAAGCATGAGTATAAGCTTCTGTCCAACTTTTACGGTATTGCTCTTAGGCATTCCAGAAAAAAGTTTCTTCAGGTTGCTTTAATTCAGCAACAAACTTGTCTAAACATCTGTTACCGATCTCAATCGAGCACCCGAAAGCCTGCTTTGCATATAGGTCTACAAACAAGATTTTCTTTTTGCAGACAATCCATGATGAATTCTACATTGACTCTGTAGCATTTATAACCGATTTCTCTGATAAAATTGTGTCTAATCCTTTCTCTATTAACTAAAAAGCACTCACCGCTGTCCAGTTACCACTCCATGACCATTTATGATAAACAATGAAAAAACAACTCTTGGGCAATCAAAAAAGATATTTATGCATGATATCCTCACATACGGATCATTCCCCTCCCTATTAGAACAATGCTCGCGACAGCTCATTCAAGACGATCGTTTCCGTTTGTAGCAGCTTGGCATCGCGCATTTATGCTTGCCTTTCAGGAAAGTTGTGGGTTGGTCTGAGAAGATTTTGACGCTCGGCTCGTGGTAAGGTCGCCATTGGACCATAGTCCATTGCAAAGCTAACAGCTTTTGCTTACTAACCATATGGAGCATCGCCTCCATAAACGCTCATACTTTACTAAAAACAGTACGGTATGGTAGAACAGTTTACTGGAGGTTAAACAGGATGAAATTAAGGAACTACCTTAAATGACGCGTTGTTGCTGTCAACTTAGTAGCTACCTTGAAAGTACAGCGTATGTGGTTTTATACTGTGGGACTTGAACTGCCTTTTAGGTTGAGCAAACTGAGGCTACAGTATATACATACTACTATGCTTAAAATGTAGGAACATGTCGGACATGCTGACATCTATCATAGCCACGTACAACAACGATACATTCGAAGATTTATACAGTAGCCAGTTGCAATAAAGATACTATATAATAAGCGCAGACGGACACAAATGATGCAGAGCCCTTCGTAATCAACATTCTTTATATATTACACTTTCCAGTTGTTGTGGACATTGCTCTCAACCTGGAGCCAAGCGTTTGCCACATTTTTTTTGCAGCATGCAAGTTCTGCATACTCTCCTGCATTGTGACGTGGTGTGCGTAGGTAGTATGATGTGCGCTTGTAGAGTATATCCACACATCGGAACAGCCACGAGGAATAAGCAGCAATGGTGAATGATGACAACGACAGGAAAGAGCTATGGTGGCGGCTGAGCCATCAAATATGGTCGATGCTGCGAAATTTTTGTGGGAGTCTGTGACACCAATTTTAAATAACTCTCCTCAAAGGTGGCAACAGGGCGCTTCGCGGACAATCGACCAAATGCGGCACACAACCAAAGCACAACGCAGGCAACTGTCAAATGTCACCCACCGCAGCATTCGCACCAGTCATCGTCCTTTTGCCCCTCCTCGCCTACGATTGGGGTCGTACAAGATTTTTCTAAAAATACGACACGTTTTTTTGCATGACGACATGCTTTTAGAGGTTGATCTCTTCAGCTGTGTCCGGTGGCCGGGTGCTAAACCTGCATATGGAAAACTCCGCACTTGTGAGACCACAGGAGGATCAAGAAGAAGCCTCACTTTTTTACGCCTTTCGCAGCCTCGCTTTCTTTCTTCTTCTTACAACTGTCTGCTACTTTTTCACACACAAGACACACAAAGACTTAAACACACCACATTTATGGAAGAACAGCTGAAAAAGACTATTGGCGAACTTGTCGTCATCGCAATTAAGGCCGTAAGTAGGAATGACACGTTGTCAAAGAAAGGGACGGAAAATAGGAACCGAAAAGAAAAACTCGCTCATCGTCTTCCATCTTCATCTCTCTTTCGATAGCGCGACTTGCCCAATCGCGAGGTAAAATAACGAACCTTTCTCTTCTCTCTTGCTTATTATGTCACTCTTTTGTAGCTAAATGTGAAGCAAAAAACCAACTAGGTTGTAGGCAAACAGGATCCGTTTGTCACGTTTCGACTAGGCGAAACGGCCAAGAGAACAAAGACGGACTATCGTGGTGGTCAACATCCCATCTGGGACGATCAGGTAAAGACGAAAGATTTGCGCGTGCGAGTGTAGATCACGAGACAAAGGAGGGCTAAAGCGTAAGGAAATGGGTTTATCCAGGTGAATCTGCCAGTTCCCGAAGGCAAAACAACGCTGTACATGCAGGTGTTTGACGAGGACGGCAGCCGAGAAGATCTGATTTCGGAGGGAGACATTGATCTGAAAAACGTGCTGCAGGAAGGCGAAGAAGACAGTGAGTTACTTTGGGTGAGGGAGGGAGGGGATCTTTGTGCTACTGTCACTGGCACACAACGAAGGACGAGCTAGAAAGGGCTAATGTAAACACAACACATTTGTTTTTCCACAGAGTGGTATCCGCTGAAGTATCGGGGTAAAAAGGCGGGTGAGATCTATGTTGAGCTGACCTTTTACTCGGCTGTAGGTTCTAGTTCTTTCTTTTTATATATTCCCAACTAAACTAAGCGATATTGTAAACTACGTGCTAACAACTTCATCTGCTCCTACTCGCTTCTCTCCATTAGCGGCCTCCGCCTAAGCGCCAACCGACGCGGCTCTACAACAAGCGCCCAGCTGGCGCCGCTTACAACAAATCACGACCCGTCTATGCACCACCACAACAACAGCAGCAGCAGCAGCAGTACTTGAACAGGCCACCTCCAGTTCCGACGGAATCCGCATCGACCCCTGCACGCATGACCGCCGGCCCTCCCATCTATCGACCCCCACCCCCGCGCCCTATGTATAACGCTCCCCACGATGCCACACCGCACATGCCACAAACATTGACACCTTCCTCGTCTACTGGCACGGCATCTTCTGCAGGTGGTGGTGGTAGTGCTTACACGACGCGTCCTCCCGGCAGTGGCCATCACCACTCATCGTCCCTCGGCGGAAATGGAGGATATCCTCCCGTCTCTGCCGGTTATCCGCCGTCTCAGCCCATGGGCTATGGTGGCGCGCCACTTCTTTCCTCTTCCTACAGACCAGCACCGTCGCCTGCTTTCAATGCACCACCAAGCGGTAAGCAATACCCACACTTTTCTTTTCGTACGTACGTGTCATGATAATATATGTGTACTAAAGCCAAGTGATGCTATACTAGGTCCTGCTCCTATGGGCTTTCGTCCACCCGCTCCATATCCTCCCCATAGCCAACCGGGCGCATACCCACCTCCTCAGCCCACGCCTTCCATGAGTTTCCCAACGCCGCAGCCTTACACTGCTGAGTATACACCCCATCACGACCAACACTCGGGCCAACCATTCGCCGCAGCTCATCAAGCGCCGTACCCTCCTGCTGGGCCACCGGGCGGCTACCCTCCTCCAGCAGCAGGTGGAGGCTATCCACCTCAACAAGGTTATCCACCTTACCCAGCCCATTAGACATATCAAGATCGACAACGGCAACACCAATCCCCACTATTCATATCCAGTAATCTTATCCTCCCCGCATTGCACTCTTATTAACCCATGCAGTATAGAATAGCTGTTGTTGTCATTGTTATCACTGTTCCCCTCAATCCTGCTACCATGGTCGGCCATGCACTTTCTTGAAATACCTCACGTACAATATGAGCGATGCGATCACCTCGTATCTCGCTCCTCATTTCATCGGGTGTAGAGTGTATAAAGTTGCATCTCCACCTCTTCCTGTAACATAATAAATTATTTTGTAAAAACATCTGCTGGTTTTGATCTCCATATTATCTATTGTGTTAGCCTACTTCGACACACCAGACTCCAATTTGGTTTCTGTATCAGTTCTTCACTACCAATCCTTTACTCCTCTTCTGATCGTTGCTTGTTGTTCGGCATTTGTTACTATGTTACCAAACACACCTTTTCTCCTCCCAGCAAAACTTGAATGGGTAATTATTACTGTATTCGTTGTTTTTACAAATATTTAAGCAATGAAGGGGAACATGGCCTTTCTGTTGCGTGGGTAATCCTTGAATTCTTTCTTGTAGTTCTTGTGTTTCTTAACAGCCCAGACATACATCTGACCAGTGGCCACAATGTTGAAGAGCCACGCTATGATTTCCACGCGTTTTGGTGAGTGACAATCCTATTCATCGTCATCATCCCTCTCCTTTTTCACATCCAAAATAAGCCTTACCACTCCAGCTAGTTGAAAGGAAGCAGAGAACGGTCCATCCAATGGTTTCGAAAAAGTAGTTGGGGCATGAAACCAAATCAAAACCGTAGCCAAAAGGAATGGCACGACGACGCGTGCCAGCAGGGCGCAAGTTGCGCAAAGTGATGTGTGTTGCCAAGTTGGATAATTCGGCCCACTATTTACACGCATGAGGATCACAGCCCGACGAACACATATGACACGCATCCATTGCAAAAAAGATATCCCAACTTACCATCCACACGGCAACGGAGCCATAGAGCCAGACATCGCTGCGAGCGCTAGCAGCCTTACCAGCAGCAAACCAAGGACCATACACCCAATAGGCCAAATTGATACCCGACAGCAACCAATAATGACCCGAGTTCTTGAAAACGTTGAAGAAAGGCATAGTTCCATGCGAAAAGCGGTGCACAAACAGAGTCTCGAGCTCACGCTTCAAAAAGTGTGCCATGCACATGTAATACACTACTTGCTGCATGGGTGAATGCTCAAAAGTGGCACGGTAAAAGGTCTTGGACAAATAGTAGAAAATGGGATGAATGAGCAATGGACCACCGTATTCAATCAAGAACACAGTTCGCCAGCCAATTTGAGGACCTGATGTTTAACCAGTTCCCCGGATTAACACATAATACGCGTGTTTTTTTACTTCTTTTTCTTTGCCAATCTCTCAGATAGATAACGTACCGAGATCTTTAAATTGAATAGTGGCGCCGTCGGCAATGCCAGCTTCGGCCAAGGTCTTGTCAACATCAAGAGCCTTCTTATCGAGGTTGGTCAATCGTTGTCTGTCGGGATAGTATTTGGGGAACTTCTTCTCAATGGCTATCGCAACATCGTGCACCTTAACAGTCTCGGGCGTTCCGTCGAAATCGAGCGTGAGTGGAAACTTGGTCGACTTTGGGTTTCGCGAAGCAACAGTAAGCTTCATTTTTTTTTCGGGTTTGCCGGGGATAAAATGTGTCAAAGAGAAAGAAAGAGCAAAAGCATGTTGAGCTAGTCCAACATAAATTTGCAACTCAAAATTTGGCGGGTATCGATTTACACGTGAAGCTGTGGAAGTGAGCTGTTCATGAATACTTTCCATAGTATCACTTAGCCATGGTCCTGTTGACGATTATAATTAGCTGTTTACCAATAGTTTTATGATTAAAAATAATATATGTATGGACTCTTTGATGTGGAGCAGAGGTTGGTTGAGCATATCATACAGTGGCAGCATAATTCGCAATGCTCGAGTCTGCATTTTTAAAAAACAGTGAATATGTTTTATCTGAATTCAGTAATTTAACAGCATGTTAGAGAAATCAAAACCATATCAAAGCAAGGATCAAAGGAAAGGGACTGTCGCCACCCGATCATCGCTTTGGATGCAAGAGCCTTGTAGCAAAAATGAAAGATAGAATGTCGTGCCTGTGGGCAGGCTAATTGGATCCTGGTAAGTCCAACAAAAAGAAGGATACGTATTTTGTATTTTAATCAAACAATTTTATCAATAATATATATTTATATATACAGTATATGACTATGCAAAAAAGATGCGAAAAGGAAGAACAGATGTGCAAGAATGCTAGTACTCGTATCAATAGGGGAGAAGGAGAATGTATACGAGAGATGAAAGGTTGCTTGTAGTAGAGTGATAGGTAGCGATATATAATTGGAATTTACAGACAGCTGTTTTCTACCATTCCAGCGATTTGTCGCCACAACCACCAGCAGTGCCGCAAGCTGGAGCATCTTGCATTGACACGATCGTTGCTTTGGCCATGCCACGCTGGATAATGGTTCGGCCCGATCCGAGTGTTTCGTCAAGACTATCCATAGGTGGTATGCTTAAATAGACCTGATTGCCTTCCAGCTTGACTTTGAACGTTTCAAGACGGTACTTATCCTCTTCACCTGGCACCAAGCAGTCACCGCTTTCCAGATCAAAGTTCTTCTTGTGCATTGGGCAGGATACATAAGGTGTGTTCGACTGACCGTTACCGAGCAAACCAGAAGCAAGAACCAATGCACGCTTGTGTGGGCACATATTTTGGGTCGCATACCACTTGTCTCGCGTATGGAACACAGCAATCTGGACACTCCCGACACGAACGACCTTGCCTTCGTCAATAGGAAACAGGTCTGTAGAGCCGACGTTCAACCATGTGTTTTGTTCAGGTGTGGAAGGAGTCAGCTTTGCCATGGGTGGCAATTCCTTAGGCCAGTCGGCTGGACGTAACTGACCACGCTCGTCGACCATTTCAATCACTGTGTCGCGCTCCTCAGAGTTGACAAATGCATCAAAGTGCTTGCGGCGTTTGGGATCACGGACAACAGTCGTCCATTCACACTGATACGCGCCAATCAGCTTATGCATCTGCTGTTCAAGTTGGTCGGCAATGCCCAAATGGTCTTCAAGAACGACTTTGCGTAGGTAGTTGATGCCGCCTTCCATCTTCTCGATCCAGCGGGCAGTACGGGTCAGCTTGTCGGCTGTCATGATATAGTACATTAAGAAGCGGTCAAGGTACTTGATTGCAAGTTCTTCAGAGACGTCGGCAACGAGAAGCTCTGCATGCTTGGGTTTGGAGCCGCCGTTACCGCACACATAGACATTGTAGCCCTTGTCTGTGGCAATACAGCCGAAATCTTTGCCCTGTGCTTCGGCGCATTCACGGATACAGCCAGACACACCACCCTTGAGCTTGTGTGGTGAACGGATACCCTTGTACCGGTTCTCCAGCTGATTTGAAAAGGGGAAGAAGTTAGCTTTGAATCCAAAAATGCGACTCATATAATGATCATGTCGCTATAGATATCATCGTAAACGGTACCTGAATGGCAAATCCGACGGAGTCTTGTTGACCATATCGGCACCATGCCGTTCCTACGCAACTCTTGACAGCACGCAAAGATTTGCCGTAGGCATGACCACTATAATTCAACCATCAATGATTAGCATATGGCGGTCGACGTTGTCTTTCTCCAATATGTTTATAGTGTTGTAAAAAGTATGTTTACCTCTCGAAACCAGCATCAACAAGATCTTCCCAGATTTGCGGCAGATCTTCTTTTCGTGCGCCCACTGACAGTTTCAAGGTGCTGATGTTAGACTCCTATTGTATTATACCGATTCCACTTTATCACGTTGTAACATGTAAAAGTATGTGAAGATAACTTACTGATATCGATACGCTGAGCACCAGTGATTTTGGTGTACAAGTTGTAATCTTGTGCAACCTTTGCAATAACACCGAGCTTTTCAGGTGTCACTTCACCAGCTGGAATACGAGGCACAATACTGTACAGACCGCCACGCTGGATATTGGCAAGATAACGATCATTGGTATCCTGGAGCGGACGCAGGCCTGGGTTCAAAATATGCTCATTCCAGAGACCGGCAAGGATACTAGCAATGGCGGGCTTACAGACTTCACAGCCATCTGTGCCAGCTGTTCCAGCTGCACCAGCATGCTTAACAAAATCATCGAATGTCTTGAGTTCCTTGACCTGCCCAATAGTGAACAGCTCAGCACGGCTGTACTTGAAATGGCTACACAAGGAGTTACTGATGGTCTGACCCAATGCCTTGAGCTCGCCTTCAAAAATTTCTTGGACTTGAGGCAAACAGCCGCCACATCCGGTGCCGGCTTTGGAAAAACACTTGACTTGATTGACATTTTCGCATTTTTTGTCACGAATGATCTTACGGATCCCGCCCTTGGTGACGTTGTTGCAGGAGCAAATTTGGGTGTCGTCGGGTAAAGCATCGGCAGATTGGACGCTGTCGCCACCCTGGACGCCTAAAATGAGCTCGGAGGGGGGTGATTGCAATCGTTTGGCAGAGCGGACCAAGGCAAGCAATTTCGCATAGTCGTTGGTGTCACCAACCATCATGCCACCGACTAATTTTTTGCCGTCTTTGGTGAAAATATACTTTTTGTAGACACCGCTGAATGGATCGCGGTAGACCAGAGGCTGGGTCTTGGACTCATCAGGGAAACAGTCGCCAAAGCTGGCAACGTGAACACCGAGAAGCTTGAGTTTGGTAGACATGTCGGCACCACGGAAGGCTGCCTTGCGTGACTGGTTGAGCCTGGTGGTAAGATTGCGAGCAACCACTTCTGCCATACTATCAATTTATGATGATTATCAGTTAAGCACATCCTTTATATGTAACATAGCTGGGTAGAAATAAGTACTTACTCGTAACCTGGAGCGACGAGACCGTACACCATATCATTGTGCGAGGCACATTCACCAATAGCAAAGACATCCGGCACAGATGTTTCAAGTCGATCGTTGACTACAAAACCACCACGTGGAGCACGTTCTAAAGCAGTATTCTCGCACAGCTGGTCGCGGGGTCGAATACCAATGGCATAAATGACCATCTCGGCGGTCCGAGTACCACCACTGGCAAGCACCATGTTCTCGACGTTATCACCACCTTGGATTTCCATAGGACAATCGCCAACGTAAGATTTGAGACCGAGCTTTTCGATTTCGGCTTCCAAGACGCCCGAGGCTTCACAATCGAGTTGACGGGACATGAGACGATCGGATCGTTCGTAGATGCTGACTTCAAGGCCCAAATCCTTGGCAGCTTTGGCAGCTTCCAGACCAAGCAAACCGCCACCAACAACGGCTGCGTGCTTGACATGCTCGAGTTTGGACCAGGCCATAATGTCTTCCAGATCTTGAAGTGTACGATAAACAAAGACACCGCCGTATTTGCCGAGTGTGACGCCTGGAGGTAAAGCAGCTGAAGAGCCTGTGGCAATCACGCAAACATCATAGTCGACCCAGCCTGTAAGGCGTGTGCGTACGCGTTTGTTCTCGGTGTCGATTTCTTCTACTGGATCGCCGAGCTCGACCTGGACTTGGTTCTCAGTATACCAAGAGCGTGGTTGCATCAGTTGCTGCTCGACATCGCAATGTCCAAAGTATTGAGTGAGGCCGACACGATTATAAGCAACTAGTTTTTGTTTGATAAGACCAAAAAAGGTACATCAGCATTTACATAATTCTAAGCAAAAGAAGGGAGGAGAGATCTAAAGTACATGTTATACACAAACGCACCTTCAGGTTCTTCAGAAAACACACGGATTTGATACATGTTGGCGTCATTGTCATACTCGCGAACTTTCTCAATAAATGATACGGAAACCATGCCGAGTCCGACGACAATAATTTGTTTTGGTGGTATTGTCGGCGGTGCTTCATCGCTGGCAGCCTCCGAGCTAGGAGGTGACGAGAATGTGTTAGAAGGCAGCTCCGTATTGGGAGGCATTACAGAAAGAGAGAGTTGGGAGAGAGGCTAGTGTTGGGAGAGAGGCAAAGTGAATGGAGAAAGAAAAGAAAAAGAAGAAGGAAGAAAAAACACAAAGAAGATCTTCATTATAAGCTTCAAAGAAAGGCAAACTTTATAAGGCGGCCAAGGCAAAAGAAAAGGCACGGTTGTCGCATGTATATCACGTGTTTTTAATGAAGAGATGATGAAGGCTGATGGTAATTGAAGATGGCCGATTTGATCCATATGAGACAGTATACACACACAGAAAGTCTAATGAGGCTTATCATTATAGGCAGAGGACTCAACATGGGGAGCTGTTTACCGCGTATTTTAAAAAAAAAAGAGGGAGAAAGATTATGTGTGATGTGGGCAATTCGTTATCTCTCTCTTCAATATCTGGTTCTGTTTGCTATTCAATTTAGGAAACTTGGGGGTGGAGCAGACAAGTACATTTTTATACTAGCGATAATGCACCGCTTTTTTGGAAATGGTTATCTCGTTGCAGTTTACATATTACGGGATGAGCAAGAGCGATAAGAAGAGACACACCGCTGCTGTTGAAATTTTGTTTGTTGCCTTATTAGTACAACTCTTATCGGTCTTCTATTTTGTTTGAGTTAAAGAGAGAGCGTTGATTGAGAAATACTATTGATCGTACGACCTGAAAACTAACAACCGGTAGGAAATGAGCTATCGAAATGCAAAAAAAAAGATAGAAAGATAATACGGTAAAAAGCGGGCATTTGTGCAGCTCGAGGGTTTCGATAAAAAAAAACTTTTTTTTACTCAAGTAAAGGGTGGGGGGAGGGAACAAATGAGGGGGGGCGAGAGATAATGATAGGTGATGGTACGGGATTTGTGTGTGCACATAATAATAAGCGATCACATTAACTAATGAAGTTAACAAACAAACACTAAGCTTGACAAGAATAGCTGAGTGGGGCTCTTGAAAATGCGCAATAAGAGACAAAGTACATAGTCTAATTTGTCTCTTTCATGGTGCGCTGGTGAGGTGATAGGAGAGAAAGGTTACCAATTGCTCGTTCTTTATTAGCTCGATCTAACAAACAAATAAAAAAAAATCTTGTTGTCGTCTTGTGTGTCCTTGATGGGTTTCCCTGTACTAGTTACTATGTCGTATGTACTGTTATTATTAGACTCGGAAACAAGATACAGCTTGCTATCAACGCGAAAAAAAATGGAGTTACCCGAGTCGAAAAATATTCTCCGTTATCATGAATGAACTGATGAAAAAGAACGTTTGATACATTGTCTTCTGTCGCTTGATAACGCTTTGTTTGTTGACATATATAGTAATGGTTTGGTCTTTCCGTCGATTGCAGTGATGATCAGCCAGTGGCATCTGCTTCAGCATGGATCATGCAATGTCGTCTTATCATACTTTGGGGAAAGATATTGTATATGTCCACATCATGTCTAGCATTTTATCTGTCATTCATCATATGATAACATGTGTTTTCGAGCAAAAAAAGGCAGTAAAGTTATATAATAATGGATGTGTCTTATTTTTTGCTGTAGGATATATGCTGAAGATGTATAGAGGAGCTAAAATATGGTCTTTTAGGCGAAGTATTGCGGTGTGAAGAAAGAGAGGGAAAAATGCACGTAGATGAAATGATAATGAAAAGTTGGTAGAGGATAGACAAAAATACAAAGGAGGTTTTTGAAAGGGGTCAAGAGGATGAGGATTAAGATGGTATCGTATTTTTTAACTTCACAGCATATAGAGTACAGATATATAATAAAGGAAGTAAGTGCTTTTTCTGTTCTGTTTCTGTGTAGATGAAGGTACTGTATGGGAGTCAGATGTGTTTCTTTAAAATACAAATATATTGTTAGATGCAAATTTGTCACCCATTTTTTGGGAAATTAAAGGTTTGCAGCACTCATTTATCATAGCATCTGATCCACAGAGTAGAGCAATCTTGTCAGTGGCATCAGCGGCACCTTCGTGAGGGAATAAGTGGTCCTCGAGTTCTTGAGCTGTTAATCGGCCACAGCCATGCTTCCAATCGCTAGGTGGGTTAGACAGTATATAGCGTATATGCAGAACATTGGGGCCCAAGAGCTTTTGCAACTCCTCGAGTTCTTCTGAAAGCACAAGATCTTCCAAGTGTCGGACGCAATAAATAAGGGAGACATGAGGAGGCTCATGATCATGACGCAAAGCCTCAATGATCTGCCACATAGGGGTAATACCGGTGCCGCCAGCAATCATGCCTATATGTCGTGCTCGTTTCGCTGGCGCGTGCATGATGCTGTAGTTTGCGTCTCCTAGATACTCGTACTCGCCAAGTGGTCCCTTGATGTCAATGGTTTCGCCGACGCGCACCTTGTCAAGGAGCTGTGTGAATGCACCACCTGGCTGCTGATGATCAGGGAAATATATCTTGACCAGAAACTCGACAAAGCCTGGACCACATCGGCTAGGAGTATATGCACGCATGACGGATTTTGTAGGTGCATCACGACTGATTTGCTCCTGAGGCAGCTTCAGATAGGCATGCTGGCCCACGGGCAAGCCAAAATTTTGATTGGCTTCGAACACGAATCGAAAAATACGGATGGTGGTAGAAAGAGATGTTTTGCTGTCCAAGACCATCTTTTTCCATTTCTTGGGTTCCAAAAATGACGCAGAGTCTTCTAGTGCGGTCGATTGCGTCGTTGTACTCTTTTGCGACTCTGGAACGCTGACGTGGCTGGCAGCAGAAGAAGATTGATGTGATGAGGAGGCGACCGACGATTTTTCGTCACTGCTGGCGAGTTGGCCGACGAGATAATCGCGGAGCATATCGTGTGCTTTACTTGAATGAATGGCGTCGAATTCTTCTGTACAATCCGTACCGCCGGTGATCAATATGCTAGACGCACCGCCAGGGTGATCTTTGAGGAACGGCGTACAGTCGTAGACTAGATCATGAACCACAATCCAGCAATCAGTTTCAGAGTCGTGAGGCTCGACCTCGGCCATTGTGAATGTCTGTAAGGACGACTTGTCTGGAGGTGGCGCAGTGCTTGTGGTCGTAGTAGCTGCGACTTCTTGTTTCAGCTCGCGTTCCATCCAGCCTCCAGGTTCGGCACCTGCGAGCGTTGGATGTTCGCACCAGATAGATAGCGAGGGCTCTCGAGTAAGCGCCAGTTTAACACGGAACCAGCAATTGTTCATCATGCCCATCAAGTTCCACGTGAGGTTCTCGGGCTGTGTGTTTTGGGATTCGTCCCAGGCACGGACGACCATTTCGTCGGCACGGACAAGGTCAGCGACTTCCATGTCAACATGCCAAAGGGTCCAGGTCCAGTTGCGCGACGACTTGTAGTATCCGGGTCCGGCCATCTGACCATAGGGTGCAGTGACGGCCTCTGCAGAAGGTTGATCAAGGTTGGCTAGAAGCCATGTCTTGCCACTGTCGAGTGAGACTTCAACACGTGTGATTCTGCGATTGCCGCCAGTGTATGCGTAACCGCGAGCAGTGTAGGTATCTTGGAGATTTTGTAGCCGAATATAGTCACCGTGGTTTGGTGTAGTAATGACGCTGTTGATATTGAGATCGTATAATGTGTACTCGGGACGCTTCCACCAACCTTCGGCGGTTGCTTGCTCTGGTGATTGGACTTGAGTAGGCATGACTTTGTTGTCGCTGTCGTGGAACGGGTTCTGAGACTCGTTTGCGCTGGCTTCAATTGACGCTAGCCATTTGACGCTACGGCCGCCAATACATCCAGGAATGAGTACGCGTAATGGGAACCCGTGATCGGGTGGTAGAACTTCGTCATTCATTTTGTACGCAAGCATCACGTCGTAGTGGTCGGACATTGCGCGACTAGCAGCGAGTGATGTACCGTATGCACCCTGCAATTTGTATCGGAGTGAATATTGGGGATGTATGCCAAACAGAAGAATGAATAGGATGCTTACCTTGGAGGTATTATCACTGCCTTCAAAGCAGATATACAGAGCCTCATCTTTGAGACCACCGCCGAATTGATTAATAACATCACGAAGGTATACGCCAGTCCAGCATGCAGTGCTGACACCTGAATGTTTTTCAAGAATAGGTAGAATACATGTTACATTTACAAGTCTAATGCGAATGCGCGTGTATTGCAGCTGTGTATGTGTAGGCTATTTAGTGTAATAAGTGGATCATCCATTAGAGCTTACCCGCTGCTCCCCTGGAAATACAATCAAATAGATAAGGCATGCTGTTAGTGCCATATGCAAAACATGCAACGTTTTTTCATTGTTGCTATATATGTACTATGTAGCAAAGAAGAAGATACGGTACCATCCGAAGCCAATAGATTGTTTGACCATGTTTTGTTCTTTACGTCGATTGCCTGCGCAGACCATTGTCATTGGCAAAATGGTCGGTGGCATAGATACAATATCTTGCATTGTGATAGTGCATGGCTTATTGACCAAGCCTTTAATCTCAAGACGATGATCGTCCCAAGTTAACTGTGGCACAGGTCCATGATTACGAACAAAATGCAATTGATTTGGAGTCACATAGCCAGCTTGTTCAAGTTTCTTTAAGGGCGACTCTACATGTACAAGTTCAGTATAGTTGATTAGAAAATAAGCTTTTGTCGTTTATATCGTAGCACTTATAAAGTTGAAGAAGAGAGGAATTGTCTGCTAGAGTTGCTGTTGTAGTGGAGCCAGCGGCGATAGAACGTACCTGCGTTGAATGGATGTTTGCCAGTAAGTCGAACCATAGATGGGTCTCGCAGTACAAATGCGTCCGGAGTATTTGCATCGCGAGGATCGACAGTAGTGAGCGGTTGGATGATGCCTTCAGTTTGTTCTTCTTCTTTGATCAAATGCATTATTCTGGTATATTGCGTGAAAAGAGGAGTAGACAGTAGAAATAAAGAGAAAACGGAAAAAAAGAAGAGAAGAGAAGTCTGTGTCCTTTAAGAAGACAAAAAGAAAAAGATACAAAATGATAAGTGCATGTTAAGCACAGTAAATCGTCGTGGCTGTTGTATCCCTTCTTCTTCAATTCCTTTTTTTTTTGGGGGGGGGGTTGTAAGAAAAAGGGGAGATAGTGACCAAGTAGAGAATTTTAAAACGAAACAGCGGGAGAGACAGGAATCTGAAGCTTCCGCTTACAAAAACGTGATAATCGCTCTCGCAGAAAGAGGGTGGCTCAACTAAGCCTAGTAGTACTCTTCAACCCACACACGCTATGGGAGAGAGAGAGGCAACGCACCCACAAAAACACACGCTCTTTTGATTCGGACCCCACACTCCACTGTATAATTTGTTTTACTTTACAGATTATGCTTTTTAAAAACAGACCTGCTTTTCCATATCCGAGTGCATCAAAGGAGGAAAGAATGGAGATAAGGATCGTGTTTAATACGCCGTCAGAGGGACGTCGAGATGGTTTCCTAATTAAGTAAACCACCGTTTGTGTATCCGCTGGCGGGCGTGAAGTGGGGGGGGGAAGGCATTTGAGGGAGATAACGCTGGGGCCAGATCACGGACCAAAAAAAAAGTCAGATGCTGGCTGAAGATTGGGCAGTTAACTTAACAAACAACTGTTATCAATTCCAAACTGCGCTTAATCGACGAGGAAATAACAAACAACCACCACCACAACACAAGAGCATCCGGAAAGAGAGAGGCACTGTGAGACATATGATTGTCAATCCTCGGAACCAGCTGGTGTCGTCGTCGTTGTCTTCCACGTCTTCTGGTGGCTTCCTTAGAAGAGACCACTCGCACTTGATAACATGTCTGTTATCTCTCCCTTCCTCCCTCCGTCTCCCTTTCTGAGATAGTAGTTCAGCTGGTCGAACAGATATCCACACCATAGTTCACACTCAACAGAAAACCAAACAGGCAAAGAGCTGCTGTGTTCTGTTCCACCTGGATCCAACAGACCAATCCCTAAAAAAACCTTATCCTGATCGCTCCGTTAGTTATTTATCGTATACCTCAGATGAGAGGGTTCAGCAATATGGCAATTAGCAGCTTTGCTCGATTGTCGGATAAAGTCCTTGCTTTTTTCCTGCGCGACTGAATCCTTATCAAACAATAATCCTTATTTACAAGATTAGCCCTTGCTGCTTAGCTTTCACGCCATTCTTTAGACATATATAAACTCTACCAAAGGAACCGTCCTTTTTGTTTTTTATCTTCCTTACTTTGGCTTATCAGTTTTAACAAACAACCTTCTTCTTCATCTCATATACTTTGGGGCTTGTACTTGTCGCCAACCTTTTCCCTTCTACATACTACATCACAAAGTTCATCGTCTCTCTGTTTGGACTTGATCTATATATCTTTTTCTATTATTGTATATATTGAACTTCCATATAATCCACTCTAAACATACTACACCCATATATTTCCAATACCATTGCAAAATGATTCAAGTATTCGCTAAGCGTCTTCTGCTTGATCAACATGGCAAAGCTACCAACTTTCGGCTCCATACTTTGCAGTTCCCGCATATGAGAGCTTTGCATCTTGTAAGTTTTGGCACCGTATATTGTAATGCTACATATATCATGCATCAACAAATTGGCATTCACAAACTAATCCAATATAAATTTTATAGGCCTGGTTGAGCTTTATGGTAGCGTTCATGTCATGGTACGCTATTCCTCCTATTGTCTATCACATTGCTGAAGATTTGGGTATCTCTTCTGTGGAAATCTATGATTCCAACATGGCAGCCGTCTCTATCACCATCGTCGCTCGTCTCGTAGTCGGTCCGCTCTGTGAGCGCTATGGTCCTCGTCGAGTGATGGCTTTAATCTTGGTTTGCGGTTCCATTCCTTGCGGTATGACAGGTCTGATCACTAATGGTGCCGGTCTCATTGGCCTTCGGTAAGCAAGCATTATATTACAAGCTCTTACTTTTGATCTTTATAACATACGTATATATAGAGAGTGAGAGAGACTGACACCCTGAGCGGATACTAACAAATGCTCCATTGTATCATAGATGTGTCATTGGTATTCTCGGCGCCACATTTGTTCCTTGCCAGTTCTGGACAACCCAAATGTTTGCTCCTTCTGTTCTTGGCACAGCCAATGCCATGTCGGCTGGTTGGGGCAACATGGGTGCCGGTATCACCTATCTCTTAATGCCTGCCATATATGACGGTATTCTCTCGCATACCACTAATGCGATCGCCTGGCGCACTACCTTTATCATTCCTTGCTGCATTTGTCTCCTCGTGGCCGGTCTCGACTTTTTCTGTGCCACTGACACTCCTCACGGCGATTGGTTGAAATTGCGTGGTTCAGAACAAGACTCCAGCAACGCGTCATCCAGTGAAGTCTCTAGCACGGACGAAAATCCCGACCCAAAGGCAGAAAAAGGTCAGCAGCACGTCGTCGCCGCCAACCCTGTTGTGTCTGAAGGCACCGTCAGCCTTGAAAAGGGTGCCTTTACAGGCGTTGAAGAAAAGGGCGCTTTTACAGGCGTTGAAGATAGTGAATCGCTCCAAGACGTCAAGAGGAACGAATCGATCAAGGATGCCTTCTTTGGTTTCCTGTGCGTGCTCTGCAAGCCAGCCGTATTGATTATGATTGTCCATTACGCATGCTCCTTTGGAACTGAACTTGCTGTTGATAACGTCATTGGTCAAGTCTTCCGCGAACAGTTTGCTCTGGATAATTCAACTGCTTCTTACATTGGTTCGATTTTTGGTCTGCTCAACATCGTCTCGCGTTTGTCAGGTGGCCTCTTTTCCGATTATTTGGCCAAGCGATATTATTTATCCGGTCGCATTCTTGCACACTGCATCTGCATGGTTCTAGAAGGCATCTTTTTGATCGCCTTTAGCTTCAGTCTCGTCAACTTGACCACAGCTATTGTCCTCATGATCTTCTTCTCGTTCTTCGTCCAGGCCGTCTGTGGCTCTACTTTTGGTATTGTTCCCTTTGTCGATCCACTCAACAATGGCAAAGTCATGGGTATCGTTGGTGCCGGTGGCAACCTGGGTGGCCTTATTTTCAACTTGATGTTCCGCGAATTCTCCAGTAACTTTGAAAGTGCCTTTTTGTGTCTTGGTTGCATTGCTCTTGGAACTGGTCTTATTGGTAATGCCATTCTGCGCGTCCAAGGCAAGATGATTTGGCACTGCTTCAATGGCAAACATGCTGCTTAAAGGGGTCTATCGAGATCTCTTCTCTCCTTCTTTCCCTCCTAAAATACTATGGCGCAGCACTACTGTTCCACTCTTGCTCTCCATCATACGAACACATCTCCACCCCTTTATGGGCTTATTTGCATACATGCATTTTTCCTTTGGTATCTTGATCCCTTACTTCGTCAAAATCCTCCTTTCCTTTTGAAGTTTATTTATTCGCTTGTTACACGCAAACATTTCTTTTTTGGCTTTGCCCTTTTTTTTTATTATACCTCTTGCCTTTCTTTTATTTTCCTCTGTGTAATTATTTATTACTGTATTCTTTGGCTTTCCTCATATTTACTAAACGGAAATCTTATTATTTTGTACAATGTTACGTATATATACATATCTCAATAAAGTATTGATCAGCAACAATATACATAAATATAGGTGCGCTTTCTTATTTATGATATCAGTCCAAATCTGGAATGTGGAGCATCTTTCGCAGAACGTGACCATCTCCACATATCATCGGATTCAGCATGACCATCGCAATAGCATTACTGTAATGCCACTGGAGATGAAAATCAGTGCCATGCAGAAACGGTTACGCTTTAGTTCACTCTTTCCTCTTGATGTTAGTTTTTTTCTGGAAAATTCCCTGTGTTAAATTAAGAAACGGATTCAAAGCCGATACTTATAATCTTGATCATTCTTATCAAAGAAAAAATTATGCATAGAGATAAGAAAACGCCTTTCTCTTTTGAAATACACCCATGCCCATCATGGTGTTACTAATACTATTATCACATATCATATGATTTCAATAGTACGTGCGAGCACTTGCAAGAAGATAGAAAAATGAAGTATTCTCCTTGAAGTGTGTGCAAATAGCACATACGATACCATACTACCGGAATGAGTACTCACCAGAAGGTAATTCAACAGAAAATGATACTATGATCAGCACAACTTTTTCAAAGCACCTGCTTATAAGTATAGTCGAGTTCCTCATTAGGCAATTATATACCACAGCCATTATAGTTGCCTAGAAACTAGAACATTCGCCGACTGTGCTACAGAAGGAGCGGCACCACTCTTGTATGTTGATAGTAACAGACGGTGCTAGCGCTAGGTACATTAAACGTTGTTGCTCACTAAGCTATATCATAAAATATCAGAGATGAATATGCGTTATTATTTTAACAATTGAATACATCACTGGCGCAATACTACTGCTGCGCCCATTTATACAATTTTCAAGGATTAAGCATTGAGGGCCCTTGTTCTGATTTATAATTGGTATGAAGATCAGACTTAAGGAGAAAAACTTAACTATAGATAAGTTGGCGTAGGGTACTACTACTGCTGCCGTTGTGTGCATGTAGTACGTATTCGTACATATCCCTTTACAAAAATTATACCAAGATGAAATAAAAATTCTATATGAAATGACGACGGGAGTAACGCGGGAACAGAAATACATATCATATGGCTGGAATAAATGAAAGCTGTAAAAACAGATATGCTAATAGTGCTTCAGTCTAGCAGTATATACAGTACTGCTATTGTTGGAATAAAACTACTGCTACTGTACGACTAAGCCAGTTAGTCCATAATTACATCGAATAAAGTTGGGATAAAGAGTTACTATCATAAACTGGAAATAAAAATATATCTCCAAAATGCTTATGGTAAAATCAGAATATAAGCTGAACTACCACACATATAGGTCGGGTGGAGCTGTTAGAAAAGCTAACTACACTCCCAATCCATCACTGGGTATCATCAGAGACAAGATTCTACTCTGACATATGCATAGCTGTAAGTACGTCCGCGGGAATCGGTCTTCCTGCCTCCGGGGCGCCCCTGCGATCGCAAAAACATAGATACAAGGGAGAACCGGGATTATATATGGTAGAAAAAAAGAACTGGTAGTATCAAGAAGGACAAATCATGGTCACCGTCATCTTTGTCCGTCCTTTGTAATTCCTTAAAGAACGTAACGATGACCACACGTAGAGCAGGCGAATATGATCACCGGTATAATCTTGAGATTGGTGTTTGTCGATCACTTATCATGGAACAAGAGCCCGTGTTGATCTTTTTTGTGTTTTTAGGGCTATTGGTGCTGTTTGGCTCATCGTGCTGCGTTGATGCAGACCCTGCGGTGCAGTCGATGGTCGGTCCCCTTGAAAGGAAACATCTTGCTGAAGTTCCCCGTCACTACCTACAATTCTCAGGAGAAGGAGGGCTAACAATGTGATTTTCATACTTCATCATGCTTTTATATATGCTCTCAGAGGATGATATAGGCTTTTTTTTATTGTATCGCACTACTTTAAAGTTGATATCATCACACTACCCTACATATTCGAGTTAAAACCTCCGTTTTTTGTTTTATATATCCTATAAAAAGAAACTGTCATTCGCTGGAAAGAAAAAACGCCTTCCCAGAATTTTTTCGAAACCCAAAATTTATTTATTAGAGTTACTACATCTGTAATACACCATCTGAAAAATCTACTTTTTTTACATATCGTCACTCCCAAACACCGTTACATACAACAATACTGATCTATATTAAAAATGCCATTATTTGCCAGACGACTTTTGCTTGACCAGCATGGCAAGGCTACCAACTTTCGGCTTCATACTTTGCAGTTCCCGCATATGAGAGCTTTGCATTTTGTGAGTTTTGACACCGTATATATCATGCATCAACAAACTGACATTCATATCTGACACAACAATTCTAATAATTTATAGGCCTGGTTGAGCTTCATGGTCGCATTCATAGCCTGGTATGCAATCCCTCCGATTGTTTACGACATGTCTGTAGATTTGGGTCTTACCTCCATGGATATCTTTAACTCAAACATGGCTGTCGTTTCAATCACGATCGTCGCTCGTCTTGTTGTCGGTCCGCTTTGTGAACGTTATGGTCCTCGTAGAGTAATGGCTGGTATTTTGGTATGTGGTGCCATCCCTTGTGGTTTGACAGGTCTGATCACCAATGGTGCCGGTTTGATTGCTCTTCGGTAAGCAAAGCGTTCATCATTTTTGCCGATTCGAGGCATGTATAATAAACATACTAATCGTCTTCACGACCATCAATAAAACAAACAGTGCAGTCATCGGTATTCTCGGTGCCACATTTGTTCCTTGTCAATTTTGGACCACCCAAATGTTTGCTCCATCTGTTGTTGGAACTGCCAATGCCATATCAGCGGGTTGGGGTAACATGGGTGGCGGTATCACGTATCTTCTGATGCCTACTATCTACGAATGCATCCACTCTTTCGCTAGTAACGCCGTTGCTTGGCGCGTCACCTTTATTGTTCCTACAATCATTTGCCTCATTGTTGCCGCCCTTGATTATTTCTGCTCAACGGACACACCTAATGGCGATTGGTTAGAACTGCGTCGAGCCGATCAACAACGTGACTCTAAATGGGCATCAGGCATTGATGCCAGGAGTAGCACGGACGAAGAAGAAATCGACCTTGGAAAAGGGCACCATAATCACAATACTATATATCCTGCGGATGTGGCTACAATCACTACGACGGCTGCTGCTAGTAACGAAAGGACCATGCTTGCAGAAGAAGACGGCGAATCCATTGAAGATGTGAAGAGGGATGAAACCGTCAAAGAGGCGTGTATTGGTTTCTTTCGCACACTCTGCAAGCCACCCGTGCTGATCATGATTGCCCATTATGCTTGTTCCTTTGGTACCGAGCTTGCCGTCGATAATGTTATCGGTCAAGTCTTCCGTGAAGAACACAATATGGATAATTCAACAGCATCCTACATTGGCTCTATCTTCGGCTTGCTCAATATCGTTTCGCGTCTATCCGGCGGCATCTTTTCCGACTTCATGTCTGAGCAGTTTCATGTCTCTGGCCGCATCCTTGCCCACTGCATTTGTATGATATTGGAAGGCATCTTTCTGATCGGGTTTGGCCGTGGTCTGGACAACCTACCTACTGCTATCATGACCTTGGTCTTTTTCTCCTTTTTCGTGCAGGTTGTCTGCGGCACTTCCTTTGGTATTGTCCCATTCATTGACCCTCCAAACAGTGGCAAAGTCATAGGCATAGTAGGAGCTGGTGGTAACTTTGGTGGCCTTATCTTCAGCTTGATGTTCCGTGAATATGGTCATGATTGGAAAGGCGCATTTGTATGTCTCGGTTCTGTTGCCCTTGGTACTGGTCTCCTCGGCAATGCTCTTCTTAGTGTTCAAGGCAAAATGCTCTGGCACTGTTTCAATGGAAAACACAAAGCATAATAGGCTGGCACTACTCACTCCCTCATCTATGTTCGCAACCCCCTTACTACTCTCTCACGCCATATTACTACTTATACATAATGCACGGTTGTCATTTCTCATGCTGCCGGCTTATCGAATGCATGCATTCGGCACGATTTTCTACCCATCCCCCTTATTGCCTGTTCTCTTTTTTTTTGCATTTTTTGGGTACCTCCTTTTTTTTTCAACATTGTATTTAGCCGTTATAATACTTTATTCATTAGTTTATGCAGTCCCTATACCTAACGTAAAAGCACTTTGTGCTTCCTATCTTTCTATTTTTCAGCCCATCTTCACAAAGTTATACTACTTAGCTCTCTCGATGGTGCTTACCACTCTCCTTTTTTTTAACTTCCCCGAAGACGAGGCTTAGTTTACTACTATACTATGTATATACAACAACACACAACTTAATTTATAATATTCTAAACTACAATGATGCATTCGCATGTGTACTACCAGATTCAGCCATGTGTAATGTTGCTTCTCTCGAACTCGATCCGATTTCAGGGGAACAGGGTCAAAGATACGTTAATCTCGATCGCGCTACTCGTTCTTGAACCAGGAGAAGAAATACCTAGTTCGATCCGTAAGTCCTTGTAATTTACATTTTTTAACTGATGGTTCTATATCAACAGATTTAAGCGATTCGACAGCTATATCTACGAACTCTTCTGGTCGCGTAATATCTTGTGGACAGTCCTTCTAACACGGCAAGCACGTAATACTCGCACTGAGCTAGCGGTTTTGTCTACTTTTGCGTTGTTGATAGTATCTCGAAGAAACAGTTTGATGAAACATAACAAGGAGAAAGGTTTGAGTGTGAGATAGAAAATTTGCGACTTCATGTTTCTCATGCTTCGGAGTCGTTGCTACTTTACGGCTTTCCTTCATTTTTTCACACGACCATGGCAGCATTTCGCATCGAATGTGCGACAAACCACAATTTTGATACCAAGCAATTCAAGCAACTTGTAGTACTGTTCCAAGAGTTGTCTTCAGCTGCAACCGAAGAGACTGTACGCGGTGCGTTAGACTCGCCACAAAATAGAGTGCTCGTCGCCATTCTTAATGATGATGCCGCTCCTACTCCGTCATCCATTGCTGGTGCCCTCACTGTGGCCATGACGCCGTGTGCTTCGGGAATCCGCGTTCATATTGAAGACGTTGTCGTTAGTACACGTTGGCGTCGCCAAGGAATAGCAACCCTATTACTTAAAGAAGCAATCCAACGCGCCACCCATGAATTCCATGCAAGAACAATTGATTTGACAAGCAGACCGGTTCGAGACGCTGCAAATAATCTGTACCGAAAATTGGGTTTTGTACAAAGGGAAACTAATGTTTACAGATATGAATTGGAACATAAGGTATGGAGAAATAACGATGTATATACACGTAAGAAAAGATTGAGAGAGAGAGAAAGAGAAGAGAGCGTGAGTGTCGATTAAAGGAATTAATCACACCATAATGGTGTTTGAAACATGTAGCAATAATAGCAACATCATTGTAATGTGAAAATGACGATGTTATGGGTTCGAGGTGTTAATCATGGGCTTCGGACGTTCCAATTCAAAATCTATGACTCAGAATAAGAGAGCGATGCAGCCAACGCTTCAACTAGAAAATATGGATGAGGATTGAATGACATTAATAACAAATTGATGCGTTTGTAATATATAATAATACTTACACCATGGAAATCCACCTTTCCTCCCCACAATTTTTAAGGTCGTCGCAATAAACTCGTTGGAACGATCAAAAGTCTTTTGCATCTCATCAACCATCGATCCGAAATTTTGCGAATCATTATCATCGTTATTAGCAAAGAGGTGGGCCAATTCAGGTACTACGTTCACAATTTTCAGGACAGCCTTGTGAACAGATTGGGTCTGTTTATTTTTTACCAGAAAAAGATCAGTATTTTTTTGTCTGTACACGTACAAAGAGGGCTTCTAAGAAAAATGTATGTACTTGCCTTATCTCCTAATAGACATCGATCTACAATTTTAGATACATAGTCGTTGTGAAGTTGAGCGATTTCATCTGCATCAACAGCGTCATCCACAGCCTTTCGGAACCGTATTGTTTCCGTATGCAGTATCTAAATTTAAACAGTTGTAAGCAAACAGTATTTGTATTCTTATCCGGAAAAATAATATCCTACCGTAGTCATCACATAGCTCCAAAAAGCGTTGACAAACCATATCAGCTTCATTCGCATTGGGTATAATCGCATGTTCCGTCTGTCGTGTTGGAAGATCATTTTGCGATCCAGCAAATACTTTGCCCGTTTTAATTGCAGTAAAAAAGTGACGATGGTGCTATATTGTGTCAGTGTTGATTCTTTGATGAAGTTGTTAATCGGCCATGGTATCTGTTATATATTTGAGGATAACCAAAGTCAGATATCACTTGCTTGTGCTATCAACAATGCCCATGCAATAAAAACAAAATGGTGAATAAGGGGAGTACTTACATGATACTCAAATCGAATCTGGCTCAAAAAATCCAGCTGCTGTTCGAATTTCAGATAACTAGTAGAACTTCCGGGTAAATTCCATTCGACAGTAAGTTTGGCATCCATGAAAAGCTTGTCTATGGCGTCTTGCGTTAAAGGGTTGTTGATGTCCATCTGTTTTTTATGTGAGAAGCATATATCGTTAGTATTGCTTATAGCATAGAGGATCCCATTACACAGTCATTGACACTGGCATGATAGCTGTAACATATACTTGCTTCTGAAAACAATGATTCGCAGAAAACATGCATTAAGTTGGTATCTAACATCAAATATATTGATGCTATAGCTACAAGACACTCATTCAGCAAACCGTGACTTCGTAGAGCACCGTTGAGGTGACCAGTCGCTTGTTGGTAAGGGTATGTTAAGTATTTATCGAGGCATCGTGTTAAAGATTGATCGAATAAAAACGGAACTTCATCAATTCCATCTTTGTTGTTGTTGTTGTCGTCGTCGTGACCATCGTCTCCAGAACTATGCTGATGGTGAGTTTCACGCTCAGGAACGTGTTGTTGTTCAGAAGCAAACAGTAAAGGAAGTCCTGCCCGCAAAAACGGATTTTTCATCCGCGACAGATTGCTCTCTGGTTTTTTGACAGTGCTTGAAGATATGGCAGTAGTTTTGTTGTTACTGATGTTGTTGACTGCAACGACAGGTTTTGGCTCTGCAATGACGCTTCGTAAACATTCTTGAAAACTCTCGTTGTTGTTTGTCTACCGTACAAGTCATCCCGTAAGCCGATATTGTTCTTGATTGCTGTTGATGATATTTTCTTTTTGCTTTCCAAACATTTTTGCCTGGTTACTAACCTTGACGCCAAATTTCGATAAAATTATCACTGCTTTTCCAACAAACATGGTCCGTCTCAGGAAAGCTTGATCAAATAATGGACAAACATATAGACGGCGGTTATATGATTCTCCGTCACGGTTGTTGCTGTGTGCGTGATAGCCATTAGACCAGAAGTCAGCAGTTTGGTCGTTGATGATTGACTCATTTCTATTCCTAATGTAAGAGGGAAAAACGATATTGCTTGCCGTTACATTAAAGAAACCAACCTAAAAGCTTCCCCAAAAGCCAAAAATTGAAGACACATACCGACTGATGAAAAATTCCTGACAGCTATCGCCTTGAAGTGATGCACGGGATATCCAATCATCCAGCATACGACCGAAAGGTTTGATCGTTTCGCGAAATATAAAAAGCAACGTGTCGTATACATGGTTGTTGCCGGTTAATTGAGCATTAACAATGCCACTGTATAAACCATTCACAAGTTGTGTTGTAATACGTCGTGGGGTTATTGTGGAAGAGGCACGATCCAAATCTACATGACAAAGGCGTTAGCCATTTTTACTCAGTAGTTACGATTATTAATATAACTCAGAGCGAGATAAACGTAGAAGCAAAAAATATCGAGACTCTGTATAATTACCATTTATAGGACTATCGATAACCAATTCATAAATATCTCTGATTGCTTGTATTGGAGTAGCCAGAGTTTCTTTCAATTGTAGTAAAGATATTACTGGCTGGTCTTCCTCTAGAATGAACGAGCGACGAGTTAAGTTTCCAGTAATGGTTATTTTAGTTATTAAGAAAAGAATGTATGACTTTGGTTATCATTATGTAATATGCTTCATCTTATTACCATTTTCACCTTTACAATAGTTCACCTCAATATCAGAGATTGACAGTTCAAAATCCTGCAAGAGTTTGGTAACACAAATTGCAAAAGCTGTGCAAGTTTGACCAAATTTAATGCCGCTCGTTTCGTGTATGATTCTATTAATATAAAACGAGAACGGGATTTCAGTGTGAATAAACTAAGCAAACCAATAATATGTGAGAGTGAGAAACGTATGCCTCTATTTACTTGTTACACCATTCGCGTAGATTATATATCATATTGCCATAATTGCATAGCTCGCTTAATATTCCAACAAAAGCATTATGACTGAGATGTTTTAGCTTTAACGATTGAGGATTGACCTACACATATATAAAGGTAGTTACAAGACTGCGTGGACAGGAAGAGAAACTTTATGGCAAATCTTATTAATTTTTTACCTCGTATTGCTTGTTGTTGATGGATTGGGAAAGTGTAATCTGATTACTTTGTTTGAACAATACGCTCGAATATCCCTGCAGCATAAAGAGAACCTCGCGTATCGCATCAGCTTCCGAAATGTATTGATGATCTTCTATTGTTCCACACAGCAAACAAGGTGTTAGTAACATGCCCATCTAGCATATTTCGTCACAATATCTCAGACTAACCGGTACCTTCTTCCCAGTACTGTCGCTTATGTAGAGCTTGAAGATCAAAAGGCTGGATATCTTCAAGCTCTATTCTATCTTGAATTGCTGATTTAACAGAGCTCTGCAGCTCTGCAGATGCTGATGCTGATGCTTCTCTTGTGTTCCGATACCGGGTATAATGCTCTTGATCCAATACGAAATCTTCAGTATCCACACTCATCATTTCATCTTCATCGTCGTCGTTAGACCATTGCTTCCAATGATCGCCGTCAAGTGGTTCTTCAGCCATGATACTGCTCCATAAATCTTTTCCAAGCCCTTCATAATTCCTCCGCTTATGAGGTAGATAATCAGGTCTTGTTCCCGTCGACAGCGCTAGCATTAATGCAAGCATGTCATATTTGACTATGCGCTGCCCCTGACACATGCGTACAAATTAACAAAATTAAAGTGTTAGACAAATTAATCACTCGGTATGTACACTCGTGTATGTAGTTTTATATATTACAGGAGCCAGTCTAGCGTCATCGATGAAACGATTGGGATTAAGTAAATCTGCCTTCAAATCGCGTAGATCGTCTGCTAGATCGCCTTGTCCTTTGATAATACTGATCTTTTCACAGAGACTATTTTTTGTTGCTGTTAGGGTATAAGCTACGAAACAGGCTTATAAAGGTTATTTAAAAGAGAGAAATACCTCTCCCAACGTCGATCCATTTCAAACTCGTCAGTGCTGGTGCCTCGAAAACGTGTCACTACTGAGTGAAGCGATCGAATCAAACTCTCGTCAGACTAACAATGAACAAGCCGGTTGATAAGTTTCCTCTTAATTAAAGAAAATTGCTTCAACATTATAGCAGCGATATTGTTGCATACGTTTGAACCGAGCAGTTGTTTTGTCAGATCGCGTAATAGATCATCGTACGGCGCCATGACTCGGAATTAAGAGGAAGGAGGCGCACGAAAAAGAAGAATCAAGGCGCGGTTCTGTTCTTTTGTTCTTCCTCATTAGGAAGTTGTATGACGGGATCAGCGGAAATGGTGATTGTGATGCATTTTTCCTAGTAAAAAACTAAGCCGAGATAATTCATCTACTACTTTGCAGAAGATTATGTTGTATAAGCGTTACGTGTACAAGAAAAAGAATAATTCATTCTATTCGTCCCTTATTATCGTGTATATAACACGAGAAGAAACAATGTCTTATTTTTCGTCACTTAGTAGTAAGCAATGATGTTGCACAGCATGGATATTGACAGACAAAAGGAAAAGCTCATCCATTTCATCATCTTTTTAAATCAGCTTTCCTAATATGTTCGCATCACTTCTTATTTGGAGAGGTGAATGCGTGAAATATACATACTAAATGGAGTACTGAATGGTGGCGCGTTTCCTAAGCTTGCCAGACAATTCTATTTCGTTCTATCTCTCGTTCCAGTTGGAATTCAATCTGAGACTAATCTTGGTCTTATCCCTCACCTCAACCTTTTTCAGCAAGCTTTCTTTTTTCAAACTGTCGTAATCTCTTTTCTCCTTTATATAAACGCACGTACACACATGAATTTTAGTTTTGAAGGCAATTTTAAGCAAAAGCGCAACATTAATCTCGGAGGAAAACGAGTTCAGGACGATAAAAAGACGCTCATTGCAAAGGCTCAAGCGGACCGGCGTGCTAGAGAGCAAGAGCGGTTAAGGCTGCGCAGTGCTATAAAGATACAGGTAACGTAAGAGTGAAGGGAGCTTAGTAATCAATTGAGCAAAGTCGTTTTGACAATCGCCCCTCCCTTTCTCAATACTTTGCTAGTCATTCTTTCGTGGACGACGAGAAGCGGCCATTGTACGTCAACAGCGTCTGGGCGATTTGCATAATCTTTTACAGCAGCTCAGCAGTAACAGTAACGACAGTGCATCGATCGCCCATTGCATACAAACTTTTCTACTCAGATACAACAAGTCAACGTGCGATGCAGCAACAGCAAGTCACTTTTGCCGTATACTCTTACCAGTAACACCATCAACAACGAAAGACGCGTCTACTACTGCTACTCCCATTACGTCTCTTTTTTCAAATACCCAACAACCGAAAGAAGCTGATATCTGGTCTTGGCGCGTTATTCTTTTTATCAACAGAATTTTGCTGCCAATTTTGTACACAACGACATCATCGAGGTATGTATAGATACACAAAGGGATAAAAAACCTATCGTTCTTTCTCTCATAATCGTATATACAGCGACATCCCATCGATCCTTCAATTTCTAGCCGTCGCTGTAAACCCCGATACTTATGCGACAGCTAATCGAGACGCATATTTGCGGATAATGACGAATGTTCTCATCCACGGCGATCTACTAAGGGCCATACAACTGGTCATCATCGCCGAGGACAGTGAGGAGTACCCGGAACAACATCAACAAGGAACATTAGTCAGCAACGTTTTAGATATTGTGACCAACGTTATTCGATGCCAACCTCCTTACAATTTCGCACCATCCATCATCCTTCAATGGCGACCAGCACCAATAAAACCGGTGATGATGTCTGGACTATTCGGTGGCGGAACAAGTTCCTCAACAAAAGCGGAAACGGAAGAGAACGACCAGAATATTCGCTTAAATAGGGATCTCGTTGTGGATCTCATCGCTCAAAACATTTTATCGATCCCATTCTTTGTGGACAAACTATCGCCGACAGTTGCGTCCCGGTATATGCATGCTTTACCATTTGAAATGGTACTGAAATCTATCATCCGGCTTAACGATCGCAATGCATGGGCTGAGGAGGACAGGGCAGCAGGATTGCTGATTAATATCACACAATTAGCAAAAATCGATTCAGATGTGTACCTTGAAAGAGCCCTAGTAAGTGCTACGTGGTACTGTCTTGTAGTTTTAACTATTGATGTGGCTGCATGGTCTCATGCTAAAGCTATCTTTTACGAAATCAAGGAACTCTATGCTCAATCCATTCAAGCGCTCTTATCCAATATCCCGCCTTCCTATTTTGCTGAGCCAAAACCTGAAGAACTCATTGAAGAAGGTAAAGATTACTATGAAAAGATTTAACGTAGTGGTGATGCTAATTATGCTGGGCTAGTACTAACACATATATACACTTTGTGATATGTTATCACAGATTCTGATTTCTCTGACGATTCTGACGTTGAGCGTGGATTTACTGAAAGTCGGGATACGGTCATGACGGAAGCGCGGGTGCAGGCAGATCCACGAATCAAGGAACGGCTTGAATTATTGTACGATACACAACATATAGACATTCTGGTGCGCCATTTCATTAACATGGCAGCAGTAGCATCATCATCATCGCCGTCTGCTTCTGCTGCTACATCGCCTATTGATGTGCAAGAAGTATCCGGTGAAATGGCGTGTCTTTTCAATACCCTGATGACTCAGTGGCCATCTAAAAAAGACTCTATATTGAATACACTGTTGTATCATCGATGGTGGTCCGACACGAATCAAACTGTAGCGGTGCATTTAGCACAATTCTTTTGGCGAGCATGGTCAAACCATCCTTATGCTGCTATTTTTGATGACGATGATCGGATAATGGATCGTTTGCCGGAAGCACTTCGCTCTATGACCGGTAAGTATATATTTTGTATGCATATTGGTGAAGGATCCTGTGTGCATAGGGATCATCGACGTTGAAGTATTTCTTTTCTCGACAATAATATATAATTAGATACCACGGGGACTGAGATTTGGGCCATACTGTATCTACTTTGCGAAATGTATACCAAGCTGTTGCTGACCATTGGTGATGATGAATTTTTCGACAAGACCTCTCCAGGCAATCAGCTTACGCTCCAACAAATTATACGGTTTAGCAGACATCTTAAGGTATATATCGTCAATGATGAGACAGTACAAAGCAAGGATCACTTAATATTAGATGTTGATTGTTCATCAATCGATTATGTATGTAGAATCTGTCATTTACTCTCTTTTGGAGGGCAGGAAGCTTGGAGATGGAAAACATGCTTGGCAACACAGGAATCCGGATATCTCAATTAAGAAGTACAGTGACGCATGTGCTGCAACAAATACACAGGAGAGAGTAAGTGCTTCTCAGTTATTAGCAGTATTATTTTAATCGTTTTTCTCGATCAACCACAGTTTATGCTGATTTATTATCTATTTTATTGGTTACTGGTTTCTGTCATCATAGTTCCAGACGATCATTCTGCCCTATTGATCACTGGCTTATAAAAAAACTTGATTCCGAAGGCTTTTCATCTGATGCAGTCGCTGAAGAATTCTCACTTGAAAACGATCCAGAGCAACAATCACGGCAGCCTTCAAAGACACGACTTGCATTAATAAGTCCACGACTAGGCGTGCTCAATAATATACCATTTGTGATTCCGTTCGAGCAACGTGTCGCGATTTTCCGCATGTTTGTACAAAACGATAGACAACGCAATAGCCTTGATTTCTACATACGACCTGCTGCGGAGGTCACCATACGACGTGATCATGTGTTTGAAGACGGCTTTACGCATTTGTATGCTTTAGGTATGTTTAAAAGAAATAGCGAAACGGCAATGCATGCGAATACGCCATGCCTGTATAACAATCTTCTTTTTTTTGTGATACCATCATCAGTTGGTGCTATGTTGACAATCTAAGGGAAAGAAGTTAGAGTTTAAGTTAAATGTATGTGTGATTAGGAACTGACCTCAAGAAAAGGATATCCATCAGCTTTGTCGACGAATTTGGACTTCAAGAAGCTGGTATCGATGGTGGCGGTGTATTCAAAGAATTTCTTACAAGGTAGGTGATGGTCAAGAATCGGAGACTCTGTTTCTTTTGAGAGGTGCGTCGCGTTTATGTCCCGCCGGCAAAATCTAAATACTCCCCTTCTATTTCATATATGATTATGTGATTAATGATAGTCTGAGTCGTGAAGCCTTTGATACCAACTATGGTCTTTTCCGCGCAACGCCTGATCAGTTATTGTATCCAAATCCCAGTGGATATGCAATAGAATGTAAGTAATGTTGCATATTGATATGCTGTGTGACAACCTTATTATTTTCCTCACTTATATACTCACGCCCGTCTTTTTTTTTTTTGCGTTCTATATTTGTTATAGCGAGTCAGCTTGCGTATTTTGAGTTTTTGGGTTTGATCATTGGGAAGGCTGTGTACGAGGGTATTCTGTTGGATGTTGCATTTGCCGAGTTTTTTTTAAAGAAATGCTTGGGTGGCATGAATTATTGTAAGTTTTTGGAGAAAGGACGTGATTTATGTCATTGATTTACCGTGAAACACTGACATGAATAACACTCTCTTTTGTACAGTGGATGATTTACCATCACTCGATCCCGAACTCTATAATGGTCTTATCGCCGTGAAAAACTTCCAAGGAAACGTGGAGGATTTGTCCCTCGATTTCTCAATAACAGATAGTGGTCAGTGTATAATATTTTATTAAGTTATATTATCTTGCCATCCCGGTGCAGCAAGAAAAAGAGTGATCGCTGAAAAAAGCAAAATGGTTACTTTAATTTTTTTTAGAATATGGCGAAGCACGTACAGTGGATCTAATTCCAAACGGCAGCAATATACCAGTAACCAATGCCAATCGTATTCCCTATGTGTACCGTGTCGCAAACTATCGCCTCAATATTCAGATAGCCAAGCAATCGAGAGCTTTTTTCAGGGGACTCTCAACCATTGTGGATGTCAAATGGCTGCGTATGTTCAACCAGGTAACGAAATAGCATGTCTTGTTCTATTTGGGATAAATCTTCTTGATAAAGAACACTGTAACTAAGCAGATATACTAACATACGTTGCCCAAATGATATTTAGACCGAGTTACAGGTCCTTTTGGGTGGCGCATCCGTGCCAATTGATCTCGAAGATCTTCGAGCACATACAGTGTATTCTGGATACACAGAGCAAGATGACACTGTCAAGAATTTGTGGAAAGCGTTGTACAGTTTTAACAATGAAGAAAGGATGAAGTTTGTCAAGTTTGTCACGTCGTGTTCCCGACCGCCATTATTAGGTTTCAAGGAGTTACGGCCTCAAATTTGTGTTCGGCTTGCTGGTGCTGATGATGGTCGATTACCTACAAGCTCTACATGCATCAACCTGTTAAAACTACCACAATTTAGCAGTTACAGTATCTTACGAGAGTAAGTCTTATAAATGATAAGCGGAAATTGGTTATTGCCGTATATGCTAATTTAATGATAACAATTGCGTCAATGTTTTGGTATCGTAGGAAACTGTCATATGCAATCAATGCTGAAGCAGGATTTGACTTATCGTAAATACAAATAAACAAAAATAGCCTTGTAAGATGATAAGCTTTGTTTTGTGTTGACGGGAGCATACAGTAGCCGCTATACGTGGTCACCGAAAAGCATTCACTCATAAGAGCAAATGATGGTGCTGCTTCTTCTTCCTGTTACTACATTTTGCATAGGAAAAGCAAGTATTCATTGTAAGGGAAGATGTATTTGATGTTTTTTGGGGGGTTAAGTTGTAAGTTTTACAAAGTAATTTTGTTTGTAATTTGTCTGTGTACAAAAGGATCGATTAAGAAAAAGGAAAGGGGTGGGTCTCGATTCGAATGGATGTATGTAATACTAGAAAAAGCCGGGAAACACGCAAGCAAACCCAGAGAGAGAGAGAGAGAGAGAGAGAGAGAGATAACGAAGATAGGCCAAACGCGTGGCTGATCATACGACTTCGAAACGTTGGACCAGATTGGGGTACTTGTCGAGACTGTGATTGACCCAACGCGTTACAGATGCAGTCCAAACACGGTCACCCACCTCAGCTGTTGTACTTGCCATTTCCGACAGTCGATGACCTTCCAGGTACGCCTTGGCTTCGTTTCGTCGATGGTGGATATAGTCGAGTACCGCCGGGTCGAGATTAATATGTTCTGGAATCTTCTCCAAGCGGCGATACACGGTGTAAGCATTTGGACGTTTGCCCGGGTCAGACTGCAAACAGTCGGCAATAAGATCTTCCCACTCCTTCATGATGCCAGGAATAGGTTCGATGCGGTACACATGCGGATCTATAAGAGCGTTGTCTGGAAAAGTGATGCGTGACACGAGTTGCCATAGGATGATGCCCAGTGCGTAGATGTCTGCTGCGGACGACATGTTGTGGTTAGCCAGTTCGGGCGCAATATATGGCCATCGTCCGCCTCCTCGATGGCGATAGTGCTCGCTGTGGCTGTTGCGCTGCATGAAGGTTATGTCTGATAGGTCGCCCAGGGTGTCTGCAAGATTGAGCAGGATGTTGCGAGGATGGATGTTGCCGTGAACAAATTCCCAATGAAGATCCTTGATACGCTTGGTCACACTGAGAGCCAATGCACGTGGTTTGTCATAATTGGTGGGGATGTCGTGCTCCAGACTCTCTTCGAGGCTTCCGTGCGAGGCCTTTTTCATGACCAGCACAAGATGGCTACAGCCAGTGCTCGGGTCAAAGTGGAGTGTCAGCCCATGGATCGGAATCGTGGAAAAGATATAGCTCGGTTCCACAGTAAACTGTATACATTGCATGTGCATAAAATATAAAAAAGAACAAGGTTGTTGGTGTGTGTAAGTTCAAGCAAGAATTTGACTTCTTTTTTAGGCTGTGTCTGGAACCGATGACCACGAATCCTCACCTGACGCGTAAGATCCATCACTGTCAAGCCCTTTAAAAATACGCGATCCCAGCGCTCCGGCACATGAGTCAGGCGGTAAGGTGGTACAAACCGTGCGACAAAGGACGAGGCCAGACCTTCATTTGCACCACCGTGTCTCTGGGGCTCCTTGTCTGCAAACCACGATGGCGGAAAGAATGGCATAGTGTTCAGGCTGCTTGCTCCGACAAGTGCCAGCGGTCGGTTGGTCTGGTTGAGCTGGACAAGCTGTCCGTAGATGCGTTCGAGAAGCTGTCGGTGGTTCGGATGAATGTTATACCGCTGGGAAATGTGATCGAGCCATGGCTCAATCGTCGCGGGCTGGAACGGTCGTCGACCTGCCGCCTCAACGTCGCCTTCATCCTCACCGTCGTCGTTTTCTTCATCGTTGTCACCGTCATGCTCGGTAATGTGCGCCCAATTCCACATGTGATCGATGGAGAAGATTACCTGCCACTTCTGATACCACTGGTCCGCTACATCCCATACCTAACATAACCCAAGAGCATAAGACATAATGTGAAGAAAAAGTTAATCACGGAAGCCCACAATGCATGCATATTACTTGCATATCGCCCAAACCTTGGGTGCATTTCATACTGTGCGTCCGTGTCCTCTTGAAACTGGCTAAAGGCGGTCTCAAAGTCGCTTAGTTGTCGCACAGCGGCACGAGTATCCTTGGATAGTCGCGCTCGAAATCCGTCGAGGGCGAAGCGTTCTGGGCACGACGAAATCAAGGGCACGGCATAGTTTGTGTAGAATTTCTGATCCGATGGTATTAGATAACGCAGCAACATCGAACAGGAGAATAAAAAACGAAGGTTCAGAGAAATAGAAACAAGTAAAATGAGGAAAGTGAAAGAAAGAAAAATGGTGACCGCGTGTATGGATTGGACCTCCACATTATTAAGGATTTTGGCTTTTTGGGTTTCGGTAGTTGAAAGTAGGTATCAGCGCAACCGGCGTGACATTCGCGGGAGAGGAGGGGTTCTCGCATTTGAAAGAATGAGCCGGAGAAACTACGCCATCTATATCCGTCAGCGGTGGTCACTTGAGGCAACTTATATATCCAGTGTGAGCGCTAGGTCTTTTTTTTTATTCGCGTATCGCAGAGATCCGATAGCTTGCTTTGTGACCATGGTGATGGAGGAGGATACATGACTTCTGCAACCGATTTCGCTTATCAGACTACACACTGTATGTACCAATCGGACTGCTGGTCCGTGCATGAGGGAATAGACCTCCCGGTGATAGAAGCACTAAACCAGACTGTTCGACTTTCCTTCATTCTGCTTCCTCATGAGATACGAGTTGGACGTTTCTCTTAGTAACAAGTATGTTTTTAATATAGATGTGAGACAAACGGTAATCGTAATATAGAGATAAATGTTGCTGCTATTGTCGGTCCCTGCACCTATCATCATCAGGATCACCATCGACGACAAAAAACGGTCTAGACGCTTGGTGCTTTGCATAGATGCTGCATATCATATCTGATCGCCTTTCAAGGTGTTTGTTAATTGGCATGATTTTCCCAAGAGACAATACCACGGTCAAGTAGTTGGACCATCACATCAATGGGAGGTATTAAGGATTTATTTTTTCCGTCGAACAAGTTATTGCTGTATGGGGCGATCGATGTGAGTTCTCCTTTTTTTGTGCCAATCATAACCGGGAGAATAGAGTAAAACAGCTGTAAAGAGCCGACATTGACCTAGATACAGTAACAAGCGCCGTGTACAGGTTTATTACTATCATGCTTTTCGTTGACAAATTTAGTGATTAGACTGCTGCATGAATGCTCATTAGTTCCAGCACTGCTGAAATAGTGCAACATCAAAGAACATAGCTTAATAGGTAAATTACGCGTAATAAGAAGCTTCTACCCTGACAGATAGATGTGGTGGCCTGAATGGATCTTTCTTCGAGGTACCTATTTCAAATGTCTTCTTCGTTCTAGACTGACCCGCGTTTCCCAAAACAAGCTTTTCATAGCCTGACATATTGCCGTAAATACAACTTGAAAGGGCTTGACGGGTTTGACAGAGCCCGATTGAGTTTGTTTTTTTTTATTGCTACCACATAATAGGTGGCGCATATCCCCATGCTTCGAGTTGGTATATACCTAAAGTATAACAGCTCTTTGTCCGTCATTCGATATCCTTGTTCTTTCATGCTTCATAGTGATGCTGGTGAAAACTCTCTTTAATTTTCATTACTATATTATGAGTGTTTTTTTTTCAATGTGAATGTACTGTATATGTTTATGTGTGTGGGTGGTGGGTGCTTTTTTTTATCACTCATCATCACTACTGTCAGAATCACTATCTTCATCAGCTTTAGCCTGTGGATCCTTTTGGCCACCTTGCAACGCCCCCGAAATGCCTTGTTCGCGCATCATTTTCATTTGGCCAGCAATCGAATCTTCTTCAGGTTCGGATATGCTGTCATCAACATCATCTTCTGGTGGAAGATCTGCCTTGTCCCGAATAGTCAACTTAATATCTTGTTGAATGTCGGTGCCAACATAAGTATCCGATTTGACAAACAGCGAGAAAGTGTACGTTCCTGGCTTGGGTGGGCCTGGGAAGGATATTTGGACGGTCTGTTCCTCGGTAACATCAGTCACCTTCTTTGGAGGTACAAGGATACGGTTGACCTTGGGATCACCCAAGAATACCCACCAATATGGTTTCTTCTCCTATAAATTTCGTATACCAGTGGGTTTGTTATAAGTAATCCCATAACACGTGTAGATCCATTTTTATACTCCTCGAGCACGTTTCCTCGCCCATCATCTGTTCATTAGAAGATTACTTACTCCAGGGTAATAAGGCGTGTGTGCACACGGAAGAGTTCCGTTTGGCTTGTCCTCTTCCTTGGCCTTGCCAGTAACGTCATCTAACAGTTCTTCATCATCGCTGTCGTCGCTTGCTGCGGCTGCTGCTGGTTTCTTGGAATCTTCTACAGCTGCTTCATTGGTGTTCTGCAGTTTAAGAACGAACGTAACAATGGCACCGGGAGTAATAATCTTGTCACCGACAACTGTACAAATTTGAAAGATATATTTCATTAGCAAATTACATATAGTCTCAAAGATAGAGGATGGTTATCCAAACTCACCCTTAAAGACGGCCTTGTTAACCTTGAGCTGTGGAATACGAGTAGCCACTTCAGTCACGTCAAGATATTGCTGATCATCAAGAGGCTTCAACAGCTCCTTGCGCTCGGATTCAGACAATGCCAAAGTTTGTTGCACGGAGTGGATATGCTTCTTTTTGTTGCGGTAGTAACGGCGCAGGATTTGTGTGTTAATATGAGGAAGCTGTTTCACAGATTGTTCACCAGGATATGTAGCTTGAAGTAAATGCTGTTGCAGATCCATAACATTAGAGGCGACGCCTAACCATTGCTTAACAATAGCAATTTGCAACAAGCCTTGGAGAAGGTGGACAGACTTTTCGACAATAAAACGTTGGTCTGTTCATAGAATGCGCGTAATATATTGGCATTTTAGCATTTTTGCATGCAAAAACGCGCGATTGTAGAACCTGTTTTCTTTTACCTTGCAAAAGAGCCTTGGCCTCAGCACCCGAGCCCTTGCTATTGAGATCTTGACGCAGAAAGTAAGCGTACAAGAGGCTGCTAGCCTTGCGACGGTATGCAGGAACACTCTCGTTTCCATTATCGTACTTTTCACCGAATCGATTCTCCAACTCCTCAGCAATGGCGCTGTTGACGGCTTTGATCACCTTTTCATCACCGGGCCGAGGGGCTGCGTTTTCTAAGAATTCATGTGCGCCTGAGAGAATGCGGATTAAAGCTGCCAAATACAAGTATTAGTTTCGCTCCTCATGCATAAACCATTCAACCTGTATCCTCAAAGCACCAAACGCGCTATGGAGACACTCTCTCAGCCCGTCCTTTCTTTCCCTTACCCTTGAAGTCGGCATTCTCTTTCAGTTCTTTAACAAAGACTCTCATGGAACCGTTCAAAATACGATCCTTGGTGTGACGTCGAGAATTATACCACCATCGAGCCTTAAATTAGAGTAAATGAGTTAGGTTGTTCGGGCAAAGTAATTGAAAACAGCAACGTACAATGTAATAAGGCAAACCAAGACCGAAGATACAAGCATAGATGGCCAAGACAAACTTGCTGTTACCACCTTCAACCAATTTCTTTGGCAAGGCAACGCCAACCGAGTAGGATTGCTTCCCGTCTGGATGACCATACTTTTCGTAGTTTTCGCGCACATCGTCATCCGTCAAACTATAATTGATATAACACATATTGTTGCGCATATACGTACACCACATTAGTATTTACTACTCTCCTTCCTAGCAGACCGTTCGCTGCATAGCAATACAAATTTGAGGTGGTCTTTACACTTGATAAGCCTTGCTGATTTGAATAAAGCGCTCTTCGGATTCTCTTTCTGTGCCTGGCTGTGCCTTGTCGGGATGGTATACCAATGACAGCTTTTTGTATACTTTCTTGATTTCTGGAACCGTGGCGCCCTTTAATAGCAACAATTATCAGTGGGATTGTGCTTTGTTGGGGGAGGAGTGGTTGGGTAGTATAACCAGCGGTTCACTTGAGTTCCCTCCATTGACCTCTTTAAATCTTAAAAAAAAAGACTTACTTCGCTGATGCCTAAAATCTCATAAGGATCCCAGTGTTGCTTTGGTGCTTCTGCAAATGAAACCTGGTATGCCAACAATGCAACAGCGACCCAGCCTGCAATCAAGAACAAGAACCTATATAATTTGCCGCACACAGTTAGTACTTTGTAAATGTACTTTTAAACCATCGTCATCACCAACCAGTACGCTTCTCCCTTCAGTACTTTGACAACTTTGTGTCTCCCTCACCCTTAATAAGGGTTATAAGTAGCTTACTTTGGCTTGAAAAGCTGGCTAACGACGCGATTTGACTGTGCTTTACGAAGTTTCTTTCGTTCTATTTGACATGTGTCACACTGGCAGAAATTCTCTTCCTTGTCCTCTTCTGTATTGATTAGAAAACAAATAATGACGTTAAAAGTTGATTCGTTCACGCGTATAACAAGTGTTTCTTTCACAAGAAGCTAGAAAATGGAGAGGATGTTTGCGTCTGTGAGTGGAGACGGTGGGTGGTAGACACGTACTTGCTGATTTCCATCCCGAATAGATTGACTGTAAGGTGACTGGAACCAGACATATAGACAGGACAGAGATTACAAAGTATAAAAAGTTATAACCCTCCTCATCGTAGGCGTATTCGGCCATTGTGTAATAGGGAGCTTTGTAGCTTTTCTTCGCTTGAGACGGAGGGGTGGTTGGGTAGTAGTCGAAGCAAACAAAGAGAAAGGGTTAATCAAGAGCTCGCTTTTTAGAACACCTCCCCTTTTCTGCTCCCTCCCAAGCGGAATTTTCATGTCATAATTTGATTGGCTTTGATGGATTCGAACATTAGAAAAGAGTAGCGTGTGCTTCGGCAGCTGAAAGTGCTCAATTGTGGACATTTGAAAGCAGCAGCATTGGTTGCATTACTGATACAAACAGCCTTTCCAAAAATGGCTTATACTATGAATGGAGAGAGGAACTAGTCCATGATAGATCAGCATGGCGTGATATACTCAATTGATAAATAAAATTGTTGCTCTCTGCTGCACTGCTTCAGGTCCTAGAGCAAAATGATGTCACAGAAACAGCAGACTAAATGTAGTAGTCATAGCTACCAAGTAGCCGCTACTTACTGACTGTACCTGCATCGTTTAAAGCGATCTTTGTAAGTGAGACACTACCGGACTACACAACATCCACATGAGTTGATTAGATATTATTCGGCTCACTAGAACCAAGCCAGATCACATGGGTTTATTTAAAAAGAAATGGAAATTACTCCATCATTAGTTATACTTACACCTCAAGGGCAGCAATACCAAAGTTTGCCTGTGAGGGAGCACCAGTGACAAATCTACAAGTGATACCTGCTAGCTGGTTATATCTTTTGCGCATACATGCTTACAGGGTTTATGCGTGATGTGTATTATGATATCTTTTATAGGCATACCTTTTGCTGACATGAACCATTTTTGTATGTATCCAAAGATTCTTATTCGCAATGTTATCTTGGGTTAAATCTACTATGTATGATATGACTCTGACTTCATCCTCATAGTCGAACGGACCATGAACGTCCGGGAGTAGATACTGTTCGTATCCGAGATGGAAAAATGGATGGTGGCGCTTTGAGGCCGGATTTGTGCATACTAATGATCCTCTAGTATCAACGGATGTTTACTAAAAACATGTTTTTATGAAACAAAAGGCGGCGACTATATGGATTCAGTAAAGATGGAGGCAGAGGGCTTTCATGGCTTTGCATTAATGTCTAATGTGTCTTTGCTTAATGATAAGGAGATAAATTGTTTGACAGCAATGGTTATCGTTGTTGCTGCGGCACGATTTCAGACGTCATCATCGCCATCAATACTACCATTGAGTTAGGATGAGACAATGATATCACGAGCTTTGTACTATGCTTACGCAACACAACTTATTGACGCATTTGGTCGCAACGCGTAACCCCCCCTCAGGGTTTGTTATTCTTAAGAGAACCGGTGCGGCTATTTTTAAAGCTGCGCCCAAGCTGATTAGAACTTAACTTGCGTGTCTGTGTGTTTGCGTGCGCGTACATTATTATTTCTTTCTCTTCCTTACTCCTTCTCTTTTCTTTTACCCCTGAAATCAGATTTTAACAAGCATGGAGGTAGACAAAGGGTCTATTCCAGATTCGGTCCTCAATGACGATCAGCACACGATGGGTTATTATCAGGCACTACCTTATGCACACCTATTAGACGGCGAAGCAGAAACATGGCTCAACGAGATTTGCACCAACTTGGCCATTTGTATCCAAGCTCGGGACTTTGCGCCCGGTGCAGCATCTTGGGTGAAAAGACTATACAGGTTAGAACTATAATTAATTTAGTTATTGTTGTTGGTAATGTGGTAATGGGGAGTGGTGGCGGCATTGGTTAATATCCTTGTTCTCGCAAAGCGAAACGAAGGTTATCTCTACATAAAACCTATTTTTCGTATCATGTACTTATTGTATTTATATTATCTCGATTGCTATATATATATATATCACTCTCTCTATCTACATTTTTTCCTTTGTTACGTGAACGCTGTGTGCTGCTTGCGATTTGGTTGTTTTGCGTGTATGTGTGTGTGAATGTGTATTGTATTTAGTTATATCAATATGAAACATGCTATACCTCGTGAAACTCGGGCAAAACTTGCAGAATTGCTGTACTCGATGACGTTAATGCCTGGCATGGACACTGCATTGATGGATACGTGGGCATCAACCTGTTGCCGACTGATTAGGTATAATCCTATTTTGGCTTCTTTTTACTTTCCATTTTGAACTACCATCCATTGTGGAACCTCGCACTTAGATTCTAGTCTGTTTATTGATAATGTCAACCTATATATAGGAAAGCAAAGCATTTGGGTCCAGAAGATCTTGTCTTACCTTGGCGCCCTCTTTACGATGCTATTGAGTGGTATCTGTTTCCCGAGGATCGACAAAAAATATTACTTGCTGACACGTAATGATAATGATACGATAGAAAAGGAGGATGATTTTCAATGTGCTTAGCATCAAAAAGGGAGGAGTATTAACATACAAGTGCATGATATTCTTTTTACAATTCATTCAGAAAGCACGTCAGTTCACTTATTCGACTTCTCGAGTGCGCGCAACGATTCTTCCCAGCATCAGCAACACAAGAGATCCTGGAAGAGCTTTTACCACAGTTTACAACTTCAAACATAGGTAACGCACTCAGAGTTATAGGGTATTTGGTGCTTATGCTCCCGACCCACGTTCCGAGAAACTCGCAAACACACGCCATACTCGATGATACAGCTATGCATCCCAAGGAATACGTGCCAACCTTCTTCTCGATCTGGTCCATGATCACCAACTCCCCTACATGCGACGCACAGTTTGTCGATTTGATAGCACGCGTGGCAGAGCAAAATATTATGGATTCCTATACGAACGAAATCGGCATGTTCAACAAGCAACAAGTGAAGTACATATTTACTGTTGGAATGCGAATGATGAGCTTGCCTGTAGGAAGTCGTGAGAATGGCAATAGTCGTCCTAGCGGTAGCACCGGTTATGGTAGCGCTGGACAAAAGGTGGATCTGAGAGCAGGAAATGCGTTAGTGCTGCGCAGAAAACCAGTGAGTAAAGTCGTTATTTTAAAGTTGTTCTGGGATTTTTGCACTGAGAAACATTGGTTTGGGGGATGATCCAGGGTGGAAGGATACCGAACTGACAAGTTGAGGGATTTGCTATACCGCATATATAATAGGAACGATTCAGGTCATTGGCAACGTTTATGGTGTACACTATGATGCCTGAAGGATCAAATGGCGAAAGCTACGTAATGACGTTATTGTCCGAGATGATCCAGGCCACCGAGCTATATTATCATCCATCGAACCATGGAACCTGGACGTACTGTTTGACCACTTTTATTCAGCATTTGGCTGTTGAGTTTTTGAAACGCTGGAGAACTGGTTCGTGTGAAATTTATTTAAGTTTGGCGGATAAAGAGAGTTTCAATAGTCATTTAACCTTTTTCGATGTGCCACCGTATTGTACATAGAGGCGGAAGAGGATTGTCCTACACCCCAGGAACGTAGACTGACACCTGAACTTCGGAAGCAATTTGTGCTGACACTTCGACCATTGACTTATCTCAGCATGTTTGGCAAGGATCATTTTGTCATTGGTGCTACTGAAGCAACGCTCAAGGCATTGGCGTGTAAGCGTCAATCTTCTACATAAAGTTTAATGTCGGGTAACGGAGGAAGCAATGTTACTGAATTATTATCCAACTATCTAGGGCTTGAACCAGGTCTGATCTTCCCTGGTTTGCTGGAGCGTATCTATCCATCCTTGGAAACCTTGACTGAGGTAAGTCAATAGGTCAATACTTTTTCTTAATTCGAATTCGCTGGCTTGCTATTGATTTAAAGTAATTGTATTCAGACACATCGAACGACAAGTGCGCTTGGTATTCTGGCAGATGTTGCATTACCTCTCTTCTCTCGAGACCATTATCCAGCCGGTGGAAAACATCTTATGCCTTTGCTGCATCTTGCAACACCTGGTGTCGATATGAATGATCCGCTCAAAGCCATCACGTCGCTTATGTTTATTACAAGTGCTTTATCGACTGTCCCGATCCGCGATCTCACAATGAGCGGTTCTGGAACTTATTTGGGTGGCTATACCGATTCCCGATATGATGGCATGGACATGGATAATGTGAACGAAGAAAACGAGCTTCCTCGTGAGGAAGAGGATAGTTTATGCAAAGCTACCACTGGCGAATTGGAAGAATGGGTTGCCAAATTTCTTCGACGTGTGTTTACGATCGTAAGTTGGTTCAGGTTAATACAAATCTCATGAATAAGCCCGTTCTTTTGCTATGTAATATTAAATACGATCGTTTGTTTTAAAGTTTGAGAACCTTCCACAAATCCACCAGCAAAAGAAGCAAAACGGAAGCACCGAAACAGGGTTGACATCCATGCTCGAGGTAAACAACCAATATGTCTATATTTCAAAGTGATGTGAGAGTGTGCTATTATAATCAGGAAACTACAATCTCACTTACTGCCATTTACTTTTTCGGTGGGTTGAAAAAACACACAGTATTCGTGCGATACTCTATTTGAACAGCTATCAGATGATCTGTACGACATGGCATTGCGGATGGTGATTGATTTCATCAGCCAACAAGTGTTACCCAACGCAATTCATGCAGCTGGCTTGTTATGCGGCTCGATAGCATGTGCGAACCCAGCAAAGGCCGCCAAACGCCTAATCCCGCTTTGCATCAACAATATCTCCAGTGAACTTGAACATGGCGCCGCATCGACCATGATTAATACTGAAACGTCAACGCCCATTCAATCCGATTCGACACTCCATTGGTATCAGTGTATCTTGTTTCACGTTGTCATCAAACTGGGCCCCGACCTTGTGCACTACAAGGCCGATATCATGAACATCTTGCATGAAATGATCACTAAATGTAAAAGCCGACGTGGATTCATTTGGGCTGCGGCACTGTTGAAGAATTGCTTGGGTACCTTGTTGAAAACCTATGCTCGTGACAGGCGAAGCTTGAACCCTGAGGATTGGCATAACGAAGGTAAAGAAATTCACATTATATCCTAGCAATGTATAAATCATGTTCTTGATAAACCTATGTTTTGATATTAGAAATCATGGGTAATTCTCATATGCTCTGGGGCAAACCCGCTGATCCTAAAAACCTCAAGATCGACTGGCATGTACCGTCGGAACAAGAAAAGGCTTTTGCTATTGAGCTATTAGAGACATTTTTGGAACCTGCTATGGATCATGTTCGACAAAAAATAGAGACTGCTGACCAGAGTCAGTCAGGGAACGCCTATGAAGAAGCCAACGATTTCTGCCGGCACTTGGCTGTCATCTACTACGCTCTGCGTGGCAGTACATGCATGTGCCTGGACGAGGAAAACAAGGCCAAATCAACGACAGAATCCGATGGTGCTGAGTAAGTGACCTCATACACTTCTTTCAAAGCCAATCATATTTACCTTTTTTCATCTTTTTGATACAGTGACGAAGAAGGGTCAGACTCTGTTCCTCCAATACGTCGCATTTACGCTGGATATGCCTTTAACGACCCTTCAGATCCAAACTATATCAAAGCACAAAAGATTCGCAAAGACATTGGTGAATTGATCCGAGATTCTTTAGAGTTCTTCCTTGTCAAACGCGAAGATGATTTAGAAAGCCTGAAGCTTGTCATTGATATTGCACGCGCTTACATGGATGATGCCGGTGTTGGCAAAAAGTTTGCTAGTGCAGAAAAGGGCCAATATCTCTACGCCAAGGCTGTGATTAAGGTTCCCAAGGCACCTAAGCAATATCCTCGTGGCCTCTTAGGTAAATGATCAAGGAAAACTGAGTCAGCAGAAGAAGTGAATATTGATAATCCCATCTTGTTTTATCGCTGTACCTAGTCCGTAGAGCTGAAATACACCATTTCCAGCGACTAAGATACAATGCCCAAGCTAGAACGCGTGGCGCTATCCACGAAGCAATATTTCAAAAACTTTTGGGCTTGTCTCTCAGCTCATATGCAGAAATTAGAAAGTAAGTCCAGGGAAAAAGGAAGACAGAAGAGATGACTCATTAGAAAGTTTATCACGCTTTTGTTAACTATCTTTCTCCCTTCAATATATATAAGACTGAGTCAACATACGCTCAGCGCCACAGCAAAGAACTTTATCGGCTCCAAGTCATTGATCATCCCAACTATTCTCGAGATCCTGAAATCGAAATCTGAAAATGGTAAGAAGAACAGCGTTATCATTGGCTTTTACATTCTAAGGTCATTATAAATATCTCACTCGTAATATTACGCTGTGTTTTCCCGAGAATAGGTGATGACAAGGAACAGCATGCCAACCGAGTCAAGGGCTCATTGTATCTTTTGCGACATCGATCTATTCTCATGCCGTGCCTCCGCGACTGGCGTTATATTCCAACCTTTATTTTATCCTTGGTTGGAACAGAGCATGAAGATAAGGTTTGTATAACAGATTTGCGCTGGCGGATTGACGAGGTTTAAGATAGAGATCAGCGATTAATACTACGCGGTTTTCTTTTATAAAGCCATCAATTCAAGATATGATCCGAAAGGTGTTTGTGGACTATGTCTCGCAATACAATACACGTACTTTCCGTGTGATTGCGCCTGAAGATTTCGACATCAAGGCCCAAGCAGTGTACCCTGCTTCTCCTATCGTCGTCGGCAGTCGCGACAGCAAGGATAATGAAGTACAAACGCGCATCAATCACTTGCAAGAAAAAGTTCAGAAGCGACAAAAAACCCACTTGGAAGCCTATCAGCAATTGATGCAATCTTTGCTAGAGTTTGTGAACGATCCCAAGGTCCATTGGCGCTACTTGACGATGGCCGCTAACTTTATTGAGCTGTGTATTCGAGCTGACATGCCACAAGATGCTGGTGTCGCTGCATTTGCAACTCAATGCATGCTTTCTGAACTTCCTACCATGCGTCGTATCGGCGTCGGCCTTACAACGAACATGATGCACCACGTGGAGCACCGAAGTTTTGCCCAAGGCGATCAAGATACAATCATTACCCGCACAGTCAAGCATCCTCTGAAGCAAGAGTATCTCGTTGCCAACAACAACCCGAATCTCTCAGAAGAAGAGTATCTGCGTGTTTATGATCAACCTTTAACTGATGCGAACCTCCAACAATGGTAACGAAACTAATCCCAGCAAAGGCACTACTTTGATACTTACAATGATATTCATGTTTCTACACACGTCCAACAAATGGTGATTTATTTACATAGGCCACTGCTCGACTCTGAACGGATGGGATGGTATACTTGGCCCAAAAAATACGAAGCCTATGTCCTTCCATCTGGTACTGCTACGGCCATTCCTGAAATCCATCAAAGTGATTCGGACGCGTACAAAGAATTCCACAAGTCATTCACATCTAAAGAATTTTGGGACAAGTTGCAAAAGTATATGGCTCAAGAAGTGACGCGAGTGCAAGAAGATATGTTCAACCAGGCCAATGTTTTCTTGTACATGAGCGTTTTTCGACTCTATGAAGATGAGCCCATTGATGTCATGAAGGATAATCTTGTATCACTGTGCCAGGCCTCTGATCAAAAGGCTCATCAGCGTGCAGCTGCTGAGATGGCTGCTGGTATCATTCGTGGATCCGTCAATTGGTCTGTAGCCAAGACGGATGCCATGTGGTCTTGGATGATACCGTTACTTGAGACCACCTTTTCGAACATCACACCGGATACGCTGATATATTGGGAATCATTTGTTAGATCCGTCAGTGTAAGTACTATCTTGTCCTTTTGATATATATGAGGCGGTGCGAGTGATAAGTAAGAGTCTCTAAATATATACATATATTGAATGTGGGGGCTGTCGATATCTACAGAGCAACCGAGATCCAAGAAGAGTTCGACCATTGATCAACTTGATCCTAGAGGCCCGCGTGGATCCAACCTCTGACGCAGCCTTTGCCGAAGCAAGAAAACTGATCTTGGCAAATGTATTGATTTCTGCACTTCACTGGCGAGCGAACCCCCTGGTAGATCGTCTTTTGGCCGAGTACATGAGCCATATTGACCATCCGTACAAACAAGTACGTGAAGTGTTGGGTGGAAACATTAGCGGTATTCTACAGCGTCAGTGGATCCCGTCACTACCTGATGTTCGGACGGTGCTCAGCAGCAATGCAGAGGCCGAACGTGGCGGTATTGGTAATATCCCCACGCAAATGAATGACAAGGTGGCGCCGCATGTTGAGCAACTGCTCAGCAAGTTGGATCAATGGCAAACTGAAGCAAAGGGTGCGACCGAAGTTGAAGATACCAAGACGTACACAAATGCTAGCAAAACTAGTAAGTGGTCTTCATCTTCTTTTTAACTCCTGATTATTATAGTGACTCGTTAAAAGAAAATGCTAAACCGAAAACCGTCTGTGTGTTTTTTTAAGCGCTTTGTTGGTTACTGCAATCGTTGGGACGATTCCGCGTAGCAGGCACTTTGCCTTATATTATTGCATTGTGGTCACGCTTGTTTGCTATGCAAGAATTCCACGATGATCAAGACCTGCAACATATGGCGACGCGAGTATTAGGCATGGTGGCGCAATATTCGTACCCTCCCTCAATTGTGGTGCAAATGGTCCATGAATTCGTCGGTATTTTGACGCGATCAGAAAGCTGGCGTATCCGAACGCGCGCCCTGCCTCTCTTACAGATTTTCTTTTTCAAGAACTTGTTCTTGATGGAAAGCGATCATGTGCTGCAAGTTATGAACTCTGTCAGTGACATGATGCTCGATTCACAAATTGAGGTAAGAGCGAAAACGCAACTTGTTCTATAGATATCATGTCGAAAAAGAAAAATCAGAGAGTCTCACTCTTCCAAATCTGTAGGTTCGTCAAATGGCTGCAGTGACGCTTGGTGGTCTGGTACGATGCTCCCAACGTGAAGCCATCACCAAAGTTCAAGAACAGTACTCCACTTTGCTCGAAATTAGATTACCTAAACGCCGTCGAGACCGTGACACGGGCAAGATCATCGAGATGCCTGGCTTTGCGGATGCTTTGTTGAAGAAACATGCAGGTGTGCTTGGATTGTCTTGTCTTGTCAGCGCCTTCCCATACGAAGTGCCCAAATGGATGCCTGACGTACTATGTCAGCTTGCTAACTGCATGTCAGATCCTGCTGAGATACAGGTAAATGTTTCTCTATTTACACAATGAGATGTTTTTTTGTAGTGTGTATGACAACTACAATGGTGTAGCATCTAATTTCCCTTTTATTTTTGCAGTCTACTATTCGCAAAACATTTTCAGATTTCCGACGAACCCACTCTGATACATGGCATGAAGATATGAGTAAATTCACAGAAGACCAACTGTCCATTCTTAGCGACATGTTAATATCTCCATCCTACTATGCGTAGAAATAATATACTACATCTTTTTATAAAAAGAGAGAATAAACCACACTATTTTTAATATATCAGCGGCCCCTTACATGCATTCTCCATCAGAGTGGCTGAGCTTCGATTTCGCACCAAACAAAATAAGAGATTACAGTGGTTGCGTAGCGCCGCCGTTTTCCTCTTTTTCTTTGGAGCATCATACCCATCCTCTTTTTTTCTACAGTCAAAAAAAAAATACACACAGTAATAATGTCAACTAGAGTTTATATTGGTCGTCTTGCACGCGATGCAAGAGAACGCGACTTGGAACGCCTTTTCAAAAGCTATGGTGACATTCGTGAAATCAACATCAAGACCGGTTACGGTTTCGTTGAATTCAGGGATTCCAGAGATGCCGAAGATGTGGTGTATGATTTCCATGGCAAAGAGTTTTTGGGTGAAAGGTAAAAACAATTCAAGACGGCTTTGCCGTGCTCTATACAGACTGGTGTGCTTGCTTGGTTTGGATTGGATTGGATTACTAACACAAAGAAAACATGTTGGTTTTGATAGAATTATTGTGGAACTTGCCCGTGGCACTCGCCGTGGTAGAGACGGTGGTGGTGGCCGTGGTCATAATGACCGGTAAGAAGAAATGAAAAAAAAAAAAGAACAGTTTTTATCAGTGGATATGACTCCTAGCAGAAATACTGATATTGCTATATATGCTTTCTATTACGTGTACACGCCTGTGTGCCGTCAATTATCGTGGGGGTAAATCAACTACTAGCAAGCGCTCGTCTTACCGCCTTATTGTCGAGAACATTCCCTCCGGAACCAGCTGGCAGGTACGAAACTTTTCCGCGTCCTCTCGTCTCCTCCAATTTATGAGCCCTGCCTGTGTGTGTATCCCCCTTTCGTGAGAATCCTTTTGGCCGGTCCTTTATTCTTGTGGCTATTCCTCCTATCTCTCTCTTTCTTTCTATGGTGGTGTACTGCTGCGTAAATTGGGAAAACCATCTGTGCGGCCATCACAGAAACAACTTCTTTTGAAAAAAAAAGAGGCACTCTGGAAGCAAAAAAAAAAAAGAAAAAAGAAAAAGGAGGGTGGTGTTGGTGGTATAAAGAAGAAAACCAAGCAAGCCCTGATGATGAGACTATAACCCATGGACTCTGGGAGGACCGGCTATTCTATCTCTTTTCTCTCCATACTTTGGCAAAACCATATGGCTCTACTACCACTACTACTACTACTACTGCTACTACCTTACGGGCTTTCTCTCTACGTATGACCTGGCATCAGACTCCTCTCCGATATTGATTTCCAAACTTTTTCTCTCTCTCTCTCTGTCTGTTGGTGGCTCTCTTTTGTGGCTGTCTCTACCTAAATAGGATCTCAAGGATATGATGCGCAAGGCCGGTGAGGTGACTTTTGCCGATGTGATTCGAAGCCGTCCTGGTGAAGGGTAAGTTTCCAGCCAACTTGAGCGTGTGCTATATGTAAATATGTGGAAAGGCTAAATGTCATCTTTTAAATTACAGTGTTGTTGAGTTTGCTCACAGTTCGGATATGAAGTATGCTCTCAAATCGCTGAACGATAGTGAACTGAATGGTGCACGAGTCAGTCTTTACGAGGTAAGAAATCTCATATACGCAAAAGAGCATTATAGAGCAGAAGATGGCAAAAGCTTACAAAACCAACCAATGTAGGATACTGGCCGTCGTTCGTCTCGCCGACGTAGCCGTTCTGACTCACGCAGCCGTTCCCCGCGTCGCCGATCCTCGCGTCGCTCCCGTTCGCGCTCCTTGACCCCATCCCGCTCGCGTTCGCGCTCGCGCTCGCCGCGTAGATCCTCTGGAGGAGGCCGTCGCAGCAGCCGTCGCCGTTCTGATGATGAAGATGCAGACGTGCGATCACCTGAGCCCGAGCGCTCCAGAGAACGTACCCCTGAAAAGAGAGCCGAGCGCAGCCGTTCGTATTCGCGCAGCCCTTCTCGCTCTCCCGCTCGCAGCCAAGCCAGGTAAACAAACATAACAGGAATTTGGAAACAACAGTAGCATTCTATACATATCTGATTGTATATTGACAAATAATAACAAATCTGTGTTCGTTTAGTGCTGATGGCCGCGACTAAAGAAGAGAGCAGATTTGGTGGGATGCAGGTTTTCTTGTCCTTTCTTTTTTTCCGTCCTCGTCTAGTATTCGTACTTTTTTAAGGGGGTATGTTATTATCACGTACCTGCAAATCCTGTTCTTCTTTGTGAAACAACGTAAACACAGGCAAGAGGAGAAAAATAAACATAACAGATGGATCAGAATAAGAAAAACAATATACATGAGTGTGTATATGCAATATATGTATGTATTTGCTCTTGGTACTGTGTAAATGTTTGTGGGGGTGAGCGGGTGCTATTTACTAGGGGATGGTGTATATGTGAGTTGTTGGTGCTGCTGTTTTTGGGAGGAAGGATCCAGTATGTACAGAAAAGTGAGTATTTGCGGGAAGTGTGCACTATATATCGGATATCGGGGTTATTGGGAGACCAACTCTCCTACATGGAAGGAAACAATATACTCTTGTCGGTAAATGGGGGGGGGAGGGGGGTTTATTTTGGTAATTGTTTTTGCTTCTGCTGTTGTTGTTGTTGCCTGGATCCGGCAGTCAAAGTTTTGCTTGTATCAGCAGCAGCAGCAGCAGCAACTACCCGTCGTCGGGACGATGCTGCAGTTGCAGTGCTGGCAACAGAAGAAGCTACCGAACCAGATTTTGGACGTCGTTTGAGGGATTGACGGACAACAAGATCTGCCCTTGCACTGTCCCTTTGTTGTTGCTGCTGCATGGCAGGTTTCCTGTCACTTTTCTTTGACTGCTGCACGACAGGTTGCGTCTTGATGTTTTTCCGGTTACTGGCACGACTGCTGATTGCCCCGTTCGTAGAACAGCTTGTACTGCTGCTAATACTCGTAGTAGTGGTAGTAGTAGTAGTAGTAGCTTTAGTGCTACTGCCGCCGCCACCATGACTGCGCGCTGCTGATTTCTTTTCAAACGTGTCCATGTATTTCATGGCCGCAGAGACTGAGTTTTCCAACTGTGCACGAGCCAAACTTTCTTTGCTGACCGAATGTTCCAATGCAGAGACCCGTTCAAGGATGTGACGCATGTCGTTGTGTTTTTCAAACCGAGCCTGGATTTCTTCAAGGCGTGCCCAGGACGACCGATGTTCCTGCTCCGATCGCTCGCGCTGCTGTCGTTCTTGTTTCAGGAGCGTCTCGAGCTGCACCAGACGCTCCTGGGCCAGACGCTGCTGCTTTTCCAGAGCCTGGTGAAACATGCCGACGAGTTTGACCATGCCGGAAATGTTGGATTGGTGATGGCGACAGTTGTAGCCCCGCCATGTGGCCTGGATGTGTGTTGCAGCTGCATGAAGATCATTATCATCGTTGAGTTCGTCGTGATGGCTGTTACTGTTGTTGTGTTGTGATAATAACAAGTCGCTGTCGTTGTCGTCGTTTTGTTGGTGATGATGATGGTCTCTGAGGCGCGAGCCAGCGCGTCGCAGCAAGGTTCGTGGAACATAATGTCGTCGGGCCGAATCTTCTTCAGGTGGAGGGGCAAGGGGTGATGATGTCGAGGAGGGTGACTGTGCGTATCCCGATGCATGGGCCCATCGTTTTCCTTTTTAACGCGCATATTAGCCATAACAAATTAACACCCTTATAAACTTAAAACTCCATATAACGACATGATTACCTGCTTTGCTGCGGAACTGGATGGGGGTTGCTTCGTAGAGGAAGAACGGCGAATGCGGCCTTTTGGGAATGGTTGTTGAAGCGGAGATCATTTTGCTACTGGCAGTAGAGGAGGTGGTGGTGGTAGTAGTAGTAGTAGTAGTAGGACGAGTAGTAATAAGTGGCGTGGTGGTTGTAGTAGTAGTAGTAACACTCGTATTCTTCTTGATCTTTTTGCGAGCGGCGGCGCGGGGAGAGGAGGAAGAAAGAGCTGCGGAGGAGGTGGCAACGACAGCAGGGACAACAGCTGCGGAGGATGAGGAGGTAAATGAGGAGGCGTTGTTGTTGTTTGAGGATGGTGACGACGACGACGTAATAACTGGCTTTTTCTTTGGCGTCTTACTGTTTTCTATATCCCTGATCCATTCAATGACCTGGCGCTCTTTCTGTTGCTGCTGGTGATGTGAATGTTCAGGCTTGCGGCTGGAGAACCATTCGGCCATGGCGTTCTGGTCGGGTTTGGGTGGAGAGAGCGGAACAGAAGGTTGGATGGTGGGTGGCGGCAATAGAGGATTGGGTAAAGCGTCGTAAGGTGGTGGTGGCGGTGATGACGAGGATGAGATGGGTGGTTGCTGGTTTTCGTCGTTGTCGTCAAGAGGTAAGGTCGTCATCGTCATGGACGACATGCGTCGTCGCTCAGCATTCGCACTGGCCAGCTTCTTTAGCAAACGAGAGCGTGGAGGGAACTCATATTGCTCTTGCTCAGGTGTCAGGTTTTGTGGCACAAGGATTTCTTGTGTTCCGTCAGGATATCGCTTGATGATTGCCTAAGTTTGTCAAAGATGCATAGACGAGGAAGAAAGACAACAAAGTTTATATCACAAATCCTTTCATGATGGTTCGCAGATTGTCTATAAGGTAGCGAACGAGTGGGATGGAAGAAGAAGAAGTAGATGATGAATTTGACGATGAAGAAGAAGTATGGATGGATGGAGGTAGTGGTGGTAGCGGTGTTGTTGAGGAGGATACCTTTTTGCGATCGCCCCATACGAATTGAGACCTTCGATCGCGTCGTCGACGGACTTGTTTCTCCATGGCCTTGGCAGCCCTCGCAGCAATCCGTCGTTGTTGTTCTTCATCGACGAGGCCCGTGCGCTTCTGCTGCTGCTGCTGTTCCTTTTGTTGATGTTGTTGTTGTCGATTTGGTGGTTGCTGCTGTTGTTGGCTATGGTCTCTCCTTTTACCGCGGGCCACTTCATGCATCTTGTGCATATTATGATTGTGATTATTTCTGCTGCTGCTGCTGCTGCTGCTGGTTTTGTTATTCACGTTGTGCGGGTTACACTTGAGAACTGGCGGATTGTTGTCTCAGGGCCGGCCAGCAATAAAAAATAAATAGGGCAAACAGTAAAGAACCCCGACACGCACTTGCACACAGACGCTACACACACACGCACACACAAACGCACACACGCACTCGCAGACGCACAACTAAAAAAATAAGGGGGGGGAGAGTGGAGTGTGGTGTAGGTAGAAAAGAAGAAGAAGAAGAAGAGTGGAGCGACGACTTGCTGTGGTTGGTGTTCGTTGAGGGCGAGTGTAGACAGAGGGAATACAAGAGAGGATGATGATGATGATCCAGCCAAGCGGGTATAAGAGAAGAAGAAGAAGAAGAGGAGGAGCGAACAGGCTCTTGGAAAACGGGACTTTTGCTTCTTTCTTGGGCTCTGGTTTGGGTCGTATGTACAGTACAGGTGTGAGGATGGATGGGACGGGTGTGGGCGTGTGGCGACAGCAACAAACGGGGGGCACCAGGTGGAAAAGGTAGAAAAGACGTGGTTGCGAAAGAGAAAAGGGGGCAGCCAAAGCAGCCAAAATGCTAAAAAATGAGAAGAGGAAGGTGAGGATGAGACGGGTGGTGGTGGTGGTGTCGGTGGGTGGTAATGACGAAAACACAAAAAAAAAAGGGGGGGGGGGAAAGAGCGCAAAAGAGAGAAAAAAAGAGAGTGGAAATAAATAAAATATAAATTTTAAAAAAGAAAACGACGAGGGCAGCGTAGCAGTTCGGTGGAACTTATTTTTGGGCTGTTGACAAGCGTCGTCGTCGTCGTCGTCGTGTGTATTTGGGGACATATGCGCTTCCCAGGTTACACTCGGATAGAACCATCCCAACCCCATCCACATCACCATCCACCCAATTCCATCATTCAGCATTCAGCTTAGCATAAAAGGAGCGAGTGGTTTTGACGATATAGAGATGGGTAATTACGGTAGTGCAGTATATGTAATTGGACAGTGGTAATAGTTGGTGGTAGTAGTAGTAGTACTATATCATACGCAAAATGCTTCTTTCTTCTTCTTCACTTTAAGCTTCATTGACGTCTTCAAACTGACGCTTCTACTGACGCTTCTACTGACGCTTCTACTGATGCATTTTCTGAGGAGTGAGCGGCGGGGGCAGGTTAACGCTGTTGTTGTTGTTGTTGTTGTTCTTGTTGTGGCTGCTGCACCGATAAAGCAAAAGCCCTCTGTTAGTACGGGTACAATGTAAACAACTCTCGTTCGTTTTAGGTAAACCTTCTTTTTCTTTTCATGCTTTTTGTATTCATACCCTGCATCCGACGATGAGTGTCCTTCAGGCACTTGGTTCGTGTCAGAAAACGGATCGAACGGGTCCTCGGATCTTGTTGTTGTACTGACAGGTGCTGGGCTTGCTGCTGCCACTGGTTGTTGTTGTTGTTGTTGTTGTTGTTGTTGTTCCACCTGCCTATCAAAGAAGTTGTTGGTTTGATGATGGCCACTCCCACTACTGCTGGCTGTTGCTGTTGCTGCTGCTGCCGTACTCGTAGTAGCAGTCGTTGCTCCTGCGTTTTCATCCTCCTGGATACATGGTAAAGTTCGGGTCATTTTCATTTCTCTCCGCACCTTACTTTAGCAACGCGCACACTAACAGGGACCCCATTCACACACACACACACACACACACTTCTCGCTAACTCTAATTCTTTCATTTTTCTCAATGTTTAAAGTGCTTCAAGTAAGACGCACCTGGTGCTGCTGCTGCTGCTGCTGCTGCCGCCGAGTGCTACGGTTGTGCAATGTCTCGGAATTCGTAGTTGCCTCGTTCACGGCACGTCGCTCCAGCATATCATCGTAGGCCTTGAAACTACTGACAAGTTCGCTGTTTGCCTCCAATAGCGAGGCTTGCAGTTAAGGTTCAGTGTTACACATTGTGATATATTATTTGCGGCACCCTCTCGTCATAGTATATATACACTCCCCGACTCTGTATCACAACCCGCTTCCACCACCCCCACCCCCCTCTTGTGCTCTGGCTGCTCACATATGACATCCGAGTCACTGCACGTTTGCAGATGGCCTGATATGATTCTTTGGAACATTTTGCATTTGCCGTAGAATTCCTACAGCACAGTCGTAGCAACGATAACTCTAATATTAGCCACACACGCTCTGTCTCTCCTTTTTAAAAAAAAAAAGTGATGTAATGCATGCATGTAGCGATTCATTACCTGTATAAGCTCATTCTTGCTGATATCTTCCTGAGTCGGGTCCGTGAACGATAGTGTTTGTGAAAACAGTTGCGCATTATTCTTGGCCAGTAGCACATCGTTCATCGCATCCACGGGTTGATGTAACAATTCGGGCGGCTGTTGTAGTTGCTAAAGAGTCGAAATTTGTATATTTGTTATTCATCATTTATTTATGTTGTGTTATGAAGTTTCTTGCGGGCTTATTCTTTCCGGAAAAGGCTTGTCGTATAATAATAATACAGACACACCCAGCCCGTTTTATATGTCTCACATAGTATACGACGCGTAATACACACAGACATCAAGAGAGATACAGCATCAACTTACCCTTGGTTGTGCATTCCCCACGGGCCTATAGAGCCGAGATCCTGTGCCACGGCCTAATCGCGCTCCTCCTCCTCCAGGTTGGCCGTTCATCATCTTATCGTATACACGCTGCACGCCTACTAACGACCCGTCTGAGCCAAACCGGCTGACCCAGCTTTGCAAGCAGTGCACGAGCTTGCCATGAACCCGATCATCGGACGACTAAAGAAAAAGATTATGCGGTTTTTTTTTTTCGTTTTTTAGTGGCCCTGATCGACATCACGTAATAGAATACAGAATAACTCCACTCCACTCCTCTCCTCCGACAACTCCTCGAATCCTCCTAAATCCCTCCATTTACATCCTGCAACGTCCCTCCTCTCCTTCGAAACATAATTGTCCAACATCTGTGTTGCTGTTCTCTGTTACCTTGGAAACTGCTAAAGTGTCCAAATCTTCAGCAAACGACTTGGCAGCAAGTTGTGCTAAATAATGATAGATCATGTGTGTGTGTGTTTTAGGTGCTTGTCATTGTTGCTCTGCTAGACCCCCACACTTACGTGCGAATTTTTGATGGCAGTTTTCTGATAGTGCATCCAACATCTGGATAAATATGCATGTAAGTATCCAAGTAAGCAACAAAAGAAACAAGAACAAACACGCTCAATAATAATCATCTCTTACCTCGAGTGCAAGCACTTGTGTCTGTGGTTCGTTGGCAAGCATCTTTTTCTGTAAGAGTTTCCGTGCTTCTTTGGCCCCGAGCTCGGTATTGTTTACGACATCGCAAACCTGGAACACCAATGACCAATCAAGCTCTTGCGATGAAGGACTTGTAGCTTTTTCTATTGTTTACAATTGTTGTGCATATAAGTTATTCTCTCTTTCTTTTGCTTCTCCTCCTCCTCCTCCTCCTCCTCGAAAGTCGAGAACAAAAAAACACTTGCCGACATTGGTTGTAATTGTCGTAGGCGTGAGTTTCTTTGAGAAAATACTTTTCATTCTTTTTGTTCAAAGAGTGTAATTTCGCGAATGAAAGGAGTTGAAGGTTGGAAAAGGGAAAAAGAAAAGGTTTTTGATAGAGAGGAAGAACGTCTGTATCTCTCTCTCTTTCCCCCGCAATACAGAGCCTCTCAATATGCATTGCTTGCAAACGAGCCAATCATATCTCTTGGAATAGGCCCTGACGAGAGAGAAAGTGAGAGCCATTAAAGGATATGCCGAAACACAAACTGAGAAAAGGTGGAACCTATTTTGCTTGGCAAAAAAAAAACACAGTAAAATCCTCACTAAAAACCCACCTGACTCAATTGGAAAAGCTCATAATAGACTGATTTATATCTTGGAGTTATGATATCAAATCGAACTTAGTCAACGAATAGGTTGTTTTGAGCAGTCTCTGTGAAATGTAAAAGTAACCATGGTGATGCCATAACAACAAAATATAGAGGGCTGTTGTCAAGGTTTTTACCCGCCTTTTTGCTTTTTCTTTTTAATGCTCTGGAAAGGGGGTTACTATAGGTAAATTATTTTTTGCGGTGTCCACTTGCATCTGTGTTTAATGCATACACAGGACATAGAAGAGAGAGAAAGAGAGAGAGAGCATGCATATCAGATTATCAACGTCATGGGCAGGACACACATACACCCGGTAAGAGGCGAAACCTTGTCGATCCCACTTGTTTTTAGCAGCTGAACCCTATGAGTGGGTTAGATCCCCGCGGCGTGCAAATGTCGGTCCGAACTAACGGATAAAAGAACTATATATACCACTCCTAACTAATGTTGAAAATATATTACAATTTTTCATCCATTTATTCTTTATATTATAATTAGTAGTAGTAGCAGGGAAATGGGGAGGTGTAAGGGAGACCATTACTCGTTTATGCATTGTATGTATGCATCCATCGGGTAATGGGATCCAGTAAATAAAAAGGCGGGATAATGATAGTGATAAGACGGCACGAAAAAAGAACCAGCTTTTTGCGCGGGAGAGTGCAGTGAAATGTATACAGCGCGCACAAATCATGTATACGCAGGGGTACATTATTACTACGTACTACTCCACTCTACTATATAATAGGCTTATATACACAAATAGAAACAAAACAGAGTTTATAATAATGTCGTGGTAGGATGAGTGTGCTCAGATAATCGACGATGCACGGTTGTTGTTGTTGTTGTTGTTTTGGGCGGTGGAGGAAGAGGTGAAGTGGGTGGCGGTAAACAAGGCGGAATGACAGAAAGTTCCATCGAACCATTTATATGACGAAACGTGTCAGGATTAGTGTTGTACTTTCCTTGTTGTTGTTGTGACGCAGCAGCAGCAGCAGCAGAAGAAGAAGAGATGGATGGCGGCCTGCTGTTGGTAGATGCAGCGTCTTCCTCAAAATGGAAAAGTTCCAATGCAGACCACTCGCTATCAGGATGACCCGTTGTTTCATTAGATGTTCGTGGAGATGACGGTTGCTGTTGTTGTTGCTGTTCCAATGATGATGATGATGATGAGTTAGTCGTCACGCGTCTTCTTAACCGTGTTCGAGCGTTGATAGCAAACGCATTGGCAAGCATCGATGTCCGAGAGTTATGATTGCTTTCACCGAGTGACGAAGGAGATGGAGTGACAGTAGAAGACGGTGATGCTGTCGTTGGTGAGACAGATTCGGGTGGAAAGTCAAAACAGCCGATGGTGGCGGCGCTGTTGTTGTATGAATAGTGGTGAGGAAGGGAGGTTGAAATCGGGCGACACGTGGATGAATTGATGGATGACGATGAACTCTTGTTCTTATTGCTACTATTCATACCGTTATCTTCTTGTAAGTCCAATCGCTCCAGCCATTTGTCCAACACACTATCGTTGGTGTTATTATTGTTGATTGCTGTTGTTAGCGTGTCTTCAGAATCATCGTAGTAGCTATGACTGCAACTGTGTTGGTTATGTTGTTTGTGAATTTTGATTCGAATCGCTTGCACCCATATCTCTCTATCAGCCTCGCTGTCGGCATGCAAGATATGGCTGAAATGGTGTCGACATCCAGAATCTATTCGAAAAGACCACTGTGATTGCTTGGTGCTGCATGGCGTCACGTCGCGGTAATGTTTGAGATCAACGATTCCCGTAGGTCTGATATCGCCCTAGTGATTGATCACAAGAAACACTCATTTAGCTTTTATCTTTTTTTTTGCCACTCACGTCAACTCACTCAACAATAAAAAAAGGTACCTGGTGTTTATAATAGCGTAGCTCTTTGTCACCGAGAACAAAGTGTCGCTTTCGCCAAGACCGATGAATGTTCACCCAGCTTAGCTTGTGGAGCCATCCTGATTGTAATTCGGCAAATGACATAAATGCCCTTGTGTTGCGACGAGTATGTGATAGACGTGGTGAAGGAGGGAGAAAGGTGAGATCGGAGATACAGGAGAGCGGTGTTGCCCAGGCGAACCTTTATGTTGTTTAAAGTTTATTAATTTTTTTTTTTTTTTTCATTTTGGCACTAGCGCAGCAAGCATCTGCAGGCGGACAATCGTATCACTTTGTTTCATTGGATCCGTCAAATGCCGCAGTATCATGTCGACGTTGGTTTCTTCTAAAAGTAGCTCAAGATGTTCCAGCTGGTGCGGGACTGTATGTTTCAGAGTAGTATAATCGCACTCTTTACATGCCTTCGCTATACTCACCAGTACCTGAGAATTAAGAAAAGTATCGCAATTGTGAGTCTCTTGAAGCAACAGCGATACCCTTGTCTTTTTCATCATCTATCTATCAATCACCTGCATGTCCATATACGATCGATTAAGTCCCTCATTCTCGATTATCCGAATAATGCTGTCCGCCCGAACAAAATCATCTAATATTAATTTGTAGACACCCATTAGTTGTTGTTTCACTAACGGCCCGCTTTTTCTTTTTAAGGGAAATACTTGCCAATCTCAAGTGCCAATAATAATGCCATAAACAAGTTCCATGAGGCCACATATTTGTTATCAGCTGACATGCCATGCGAGATGACTCGTGCTTGTGATGCCTGATGAATCTTGGCACACTTCTCGTACATCTATTATCCCACGTAGTTGTTGTTGTTAAAGTCAGAGGAGCGTCCCCCATGTCATGAAATATCCCCACGCACCAACTCCAATCCTCTTTTACTTTTCTGTAGCTTTACCTCGGATACCTTCTCCATATAGTAATGTGGTTGAAATCTACATATCGCGAAATGTCCTTTGTCAACTACACTTGTCCAACCATATCCAACAAACATTATTTACCCAGTCTCGTGTTTTGAGACGATCGCTGTCAAACATAGCAAAACAATAGCAACACTGTTGCTAGGCGCTTCGAGTTGGTCGTTCTTATGGTTGGTAACTGTTACTATATCGTCTGCAATAACAGCACATTCTCCTTGTTGGTTATTGCTTTCCGTATCATCATTCTGAAACATAGCAGCTGCTTCGGTAAGAATAGCGACAAATGATTGATTCTTGTCTAATTTAGGTGCTGGTGGTCCTCCTTCCCGCTTTTCCTCCCGCTCAATATATCGGATCCCTAGATTTCTGCAGTGGACCATTACCCGATCCAAGGGTATGTCTCCACATTGCTTTTTTTTTGCAGGTGTTACCGGTTATTAATTTTACTTTTTTATTATAGTGCATTAATTTGAACAGGGGACGGGTAAAGAAGAGCTCATCTTTCTCTTACCTGTGCTAAAATCACCAATTGTTCGCTATCAATTTTCCATTTGCCTTGTAATGCTTTCAAGGATAAAGTCCGTGCGAATGCAATGGATGCATCTGTCTTGTAAAGATACAGCAGTCGTGCGAGTGCTAAGCGTGAAGCGTACAATGTCGAAGCTACTTGTGAAGGTGTCAATCCACATGTTTTGTCGGAAGAGAGCTGGAGCGTTTCAAGGGTATAGATGAGCTGTTCAAGTGCTTGGAAGGTATTTTGTGGCCGTTTCAATGTATAAAAAGCTTGATTATGCCGAGTTAGTTATTCTTTCCTACAACTGTTGGTAAAAGAAGAGACACTTACTTTTGCTTAAGCTCCACAAAACACCTATTGCTGGTGCTGGATTTGACGATTTTGCTGCCGTCAATGCCTGTTTTAATTTGTTTAAAGCATCTATCGAGTATCGATTCAAACACGCGATCAATAAGCTTACATGCATAAGATTATGTGATACAAGGAACATACCTTTGACAGCGGGGTCTTGTGGCTGTTGCTGTTGGCGTCCGGAAGCAGCATTATTACCTGCTACAACAAGCAAATAAGTATAAAGTACTTCTTTATATTCCTAGCTTTTTTAAAGCACAATTACCTGCTTTCTTATTCGGTTTACTTTTCTTTTCGTTTGCAATGTGTTTTGCACTTTTCAAATGACCTTGAAAAGTTGCCTCGTTACTGAATTTCCTTTTGCACGCTGTACAATATAAGTTGTTGGGTTCAGTGTTTTTGTCAACTGCATTTGCGGTGGTTGCTGCAATTGGTTTTGGACTATCCGATTGTTGTTGCTGTTGGGTTGATCGTGGTGCAAGATTTACTGATCGCCAGCGATCAGAAGGGCTAAATACTATACAGGAACGTTGAATCAGCAAGTCATGTGTCTTAAGAGTATATTTAAACAAGATTTACATACTATCGAGTGTTTCAAGATTTATTCGTGGATCGTCTTTGGGAATGTATTCATAACTTAAAGACATGGCGTGGTTTTTTGTAGATCGCAAGGTAAAAAAAAGTTCGCTGCCTTGTATAGAATATAGGCTCTAGGGTGACTGGTAAGGACTGCGTACAGGGTTTATGCCAGATGAGGCTCCTGATCGGAAGGCAGGTTGCAGGTGGAATTGTACGACGGCGAAAGAAACGGACACAGGACTGTTGTTGCTTGATATTGCCTCTGACAATCCAATGGCCTCAACGTTAAGCACCCTCACTGAATCTCGGTTGAAATATATTGTTGTTTTTGCTGCAACAATTGGGATTCGAAGAACTAGGAGTTCCACTTGTAGGTTTGAGGGTTCCATCATCAGCACGATATCTGCAATTTTGTGGGTTGATAACAAAAGGGAACTGTTTTTCAGCTGTGCTGTTCGCTGGTGAGATAAGGTACGTTTTTCTCTGGTTCATCCAAGTATTTCTTCCACATTGAGTTTGCGCCTCGTTGATACTTTTTCAAAGCAAGTGTTTCCAGCACGCCAGCCTCTATAGAACTGAACCGTTCTTGCATCTTGCAGTTTAAAACAGTCTTTTGATGGTAGAAGACATGTTCTTTTCTTCTTTATTCGATGTCAATTCGTTGGATTCACGTCGCTTAAGATATATTGTACATAGCGAAGATAGCCCTGTTAGTTATCTTTGTGGTGTGCGTGCGTGCATGTGGTATTGTGCCATGTTGACACCGGTGCAAGTACATAGTAGCTTTCCATCGTCGATGGGGAGCTCTCGTGATCCAACGAATCGTTTGGCTCTACGATTGTTGGAGCCGGCACAGGCTTGCGATCAAACCGTTTGTGCAAAGTCCAGATATTTCGAACAGGGGAGCGATTGTGATTATTGTTGCTGTCGCTGAGACGACGATACTGGAATCGACACCCGTGATGCCCAACTCCTGTTTCTTTTTTTCAAGCTTGAAACGCCCATGTTCCGTGATTGATTCTAGAATAATCGTAATGTACGAGAGTATTGATTACGTCTTGCCTAGCATACTACTACGTGTAACACGGTCGATATACCTCCCGTTCGCCAGTTGTCGTTTCCTTGATAACGACCTCCTCGCCGATAGAACACTTCTCCATCAACTACTGCTGGAATTTTCCGTCAGTGGTTTGCTTTTGTAGCCGAACAAGTTCTAAGTCGACTTTTTTTAAAAGAAGACAGAGTTAAAGGCGAAAGAGAATGGAGAATCAGTCACTGTAGACGTTTTGGAACTAACCGTTGTATTGGTATGATAGTTGCTCAGTAAAACGTTACAAAAATGCGAGTTTATTAAAACTTGCGACATAATATAGCATTATCATGAAAGCTTGTTTAAGAGATAGATAATCGAAAAATAAAGAATACTGAACGAAGAAGGACTACATTACATGTAGTACATATCATGTATCATCTGACATGCGTTAGGAATCTGCAGTACATTTGTTCGGATTGGAGATATGATATTCTTCGCATACAATATGTGTAACTGAACAATAGGATGGAAATACTTTTTTGAATGTTTTTCTTGTTATCATACGGCACAGTGGTATGTAATAACCAATAATTAATAATTGCAGAAACAGAAAAAACTGCAGTTGTTATTTGTCAAGCATAATTATGTTACATACTACTGTGGGTCAGCGCAACAAGCAGCATCTTTTATTTAGTGCTGTGAAAGAAAATAGGAAGAAAAAGCAACAATTGGGACAGAATGAGCAGTAGGTTGGTGTTTTCAAGCTCGAATAACTAGTGAAAGAACGGAAGTAAACTAGATCAGTCTCGTCGTTTTAACTTGAAATTATTTACTATGTATGTGTACTGTGTGATGATGTCCATTAAAACTAACAGCCTGAATATTGTTAGGCGGTACATAATCAAACTACAGCAGGTAGTTGAAACCAGAAGAGGGACATCGACAGATAAACGCATCGTTTCTACAAAGCCATAATCCATTGATTAGCTTTTAGAACTGTTAACCTTGCATCCAATATTAAAAAAAATATACTGAGTCTTACGAACAATTTACTTGAACATTTTGTTTCTATGATGGCTGTAAAATAAATCTTGGCTACGGCCACGATGGCCTCTTTGACTGTTTTGAATAGGTGTCCGCGGTGTTGTCACTAAAACTTCAGGATGTTAAAACACCGATATAAAGAACGTATCCGTAGCACTTTTCTGTATCAAATGCTATGGTAATAGCAGTCACCCACTTTCGCTGCAGAAGAGCCAGACCATGCCCCGTGCCAATGCCACAAAGAAAAATACCAAAGAGAAGTTCTTTGTGTCTATCTTACTGGTACTATGATCTAGTACTTTATTTATTATAGCAAATGCATATGATTGTCGACTTCTCATTCGTTAACTATTTTCTCTTTACCTTTTAAGGTATCAAAAAAGTTGATTACGTTTTGTCGATGCAACGAGCCCCAGGCAATTGAACTTATGAGACACCATATGTTTCCCGCATCGCCAATGTTCCCGCAGACGGCATACCACATTAAGCTCCTCGAATTTTATAAGGAGTTGTTTATGACAGGCCACCTTGCAAACCAAGCATTCGCAAAAGCATGCGCTAAATTGCACATGTACGAGGTACACGTGCTTCTGTTCTTCTTTTTAAAAAAAGGGACCATGACAATTAGACAATAATCTCATGCTCCAGCTATTCGTAATCTTTGCTTTGGTAGAATGTCGAACGACTTCGAATCACTTTTGCCAATGCTTTTTTTTGCGTATTTTGAGGTGCTCACGAAAGCAGAGGAGTTATCCGTTGCAGAGCACCAGCACACCATCCAGGCTTACAAATGATGACGCTTGCCCGGCATGTCCCAAGGTCGGCTATACCATCTGTCATTTTATATATTACATAATTATGATAGTAGCGTATTAAAATAAGGTGTTTATAGGACACAAACTTGCAGAAAAGCTCGAGGACGCAATTAACGAACTTTCCCTTCTGATCAATAAAGGAGAAATCGAACCGCTCGTCCCCGCATTTGTTCAAACATACGATGTTCTGATTAATTTGCGGAATACGTTTTGGCAAGAAGAAGGCTCGGATGTTCCTCTCCGGGTACTTCGAGAGTACCATAACAAGAAACGTGCAGAGGAAGAACTGTCTATGCTTGAAGTAAGGCATCCTAGTAGATCGATCACCATGTAGGTATCCGTTTTAATATTACTTTTTGTTTTACAACTAGGCCGAGGCAAGACGACTTGTTGCATACATTACTGCAAAGGTCTCCACGTTTAAAAGAGTGATGGATGATTCCAATGGTCTTTTGGGCTGCAAAGTGATTTTGAAAAGGCAGCTCCACTTCTATGAAGCGATCGAAAAAGCAGCTCGCAAACAGCATCTTTTGCGTGATCTTTTTGATGCCAATGATGCCAGCTCGTCCAATACAACACCTGATACTCAGGATGAAAATGTATTGGATGAGGACTATGATGAAGAGCTCCATTTCATCCCACCATCATACGAAGAGATCGAGCTCGCTGTCAATGACAATGGCGAAGAACACGAAGAAGAAGAAGAGTTTACTCTTTTTTAGGATGAAATTAGTCGACAGCACTGTTCTCCTTTTACTACATCATATCTCTTAAATCAACACCTACATCAAGTTATCACTATTACCTCCACTTACACTTTTTATACGTTTTTATACAATACTACAAAACTTCTTTTTATATTTGCTAGAATTAACATTGATGCTTTTTATATTGAGCTATGGCGAAAAATGACGTCTGTTTTTTTATTTGTAAATTATAGAAATATATATGGCTAAATTTCAGGCCCCAGAAGAGATTCATAACGGAAAAGGTGGCGTGTACATGCTGTGAGCTTATTTTCCATTAATCCAGATATCGAGTACTGCATTGGCTAATGACTTTGTACGAGTGAAGTCATGATACGATCTCAGCTTATATCACGGCAGCTATTTCGAAAATAAGAGAATTACTTATATTGCTTTGCTTTTATAAATTTTGTGTGGTGAATACTAACGTATATAAAGCAGGTGCGTATCATACACTAGTCAGAAGATGGCAATATCATAAATAGTACATACCAATAACAATCTGTCACAGCAAGCATCCTACCATACAGGTTTGTTACTTTCTTCGCGTGTATCATACAAGTTTTTTTCCCTATTGATTTCGCTGTGAAAACCGCATCGAACATATTCTAAAACGCGCCCCTCTCGTCCCCAACTGTTCTTAATGGATTTTTTGACCCGTTGCGATACATTACAAAGAAATCATACAGCTTTTCTTATTGTAATGAAAAGGTGGACCCCTCAGATAGCAATCTTGATTAGTGACACATGTGTGTGTAAATCTGAGTGGGGCATACTACATAAACATAGAAAGAATGACCGCTGAAACTGAGTAAACATATTCCCCACCAGAGTACTCTGCACTTAACCTCCCACAATAACTTATGTCTTTCTTATACCATTCAATGTAACGCCACACGCCGAACAATAGCCAGATAGAAAAGGACATGACACTACGGACTGACAGACTCGTCCATCCTTAAGCGTTGACCCTATTGTATGGCTACTGATGATCCGCCACCAGCGCACCCGTCTCCTTCGTTGGCGACTAGGCTGGATGCCAAACGGCAGCGCCGATGCTACGTGCCGCAACTGCCCAGAACACCGACACCTTTCCCGCATGCATGTCATCCTCTGTCTCCAGACACATACCAGGCTCAATGCTCCTTCTGTTGTGCTTAATCCAATATCGTTTGTTCTCAACTCGTTCCCCAAGACACGACCAACCAACACGTCCAAAAAGCAGTTTTGGAAGAACATGTGGCAGCAACTGACGACTCTGTCAGCGGATATCGACGTCCTTAGCCACGACGACGGTACAAGTTGCTCTGATCCCACAGTTCCTCCAACCCTCAGTAGCAACTTCATCACCTGGTTTGAGCACAGCTTAAGAAATGCAGATCCACCACAAACCCCCCTATCGACCTCCTCTTCTTCTCTTTCTTCTTCACCATAAGCTTCTTTCTTTTCTTTCTTCCCCTCTCTCTGTTTTCTTTGACTGCAAAAAAAACAAGATTGGTTCCGCCCCTCTATCGTTATCTTGGAACGGATCCTCCCCTCTCTTTTCACACCATACTTCTATTTATTCAACTCTCTATTTTTTTTCCACCAGCACCTCCACACTCCTGTTAGAACTAATACATCTTCTAGTTCATTTTCCCGCTCTGACTCGTGGGGGGGTTTTTTTTCACCAGTCGTTGAGATCGGGCTTTAGCATATATGCGATTTGCGACGCGCTTATATGGCCATTTATTATTTCTGTCCTTCAAACTCCAGTATATAACGTTTGAAAAGAGTAATGTACTCTTGTTTTGCATAAAAACTAGTACAAGAAGCGTACTGTTGTCCATAGGCAACCGCGATTGATATATTTTTCCAATTAGATATGGGTACACATGAAGCTTCTCTTTCATTGATACTATATTGATGATTTATGTAATGGACGGCATAATGCTGTTGCTGATCACCGGATCGAGCGCTACGGCTTTGATTACAGGGTAATAAGTTTTGTACACTATAGCCGGTAACTCGTAGAATGACAACACACACTCTCTCAGAAAGGCCTAAAGCATAGATAAGTCCTTTGTGGCACCGTGTTTACACAACAGACATACTATAAACCATCTGATATAGAAGGCACGATCTCACGACCTACAACAAATGTTCCACAGTTCACCGTCAGCTAATCCATCAAGCATCTCTTTTTCACCTGCTAGCTCGGTCATGAAGGAGTTTCATGAAAGTTTACACTTTGAATTGGAGCAGTATATTATTGCATTCAATTGTATACAAATCAGCTGTCAAATGTAAAATTATACCGATTGCAACGTGTGCGATTTTCTGTTTGTGGGTTGGTGTTGGTCGAGCCGAATACGCTTGATATAATTGATGTAAGAACATGTTGCTCGAAAAAAGCCGTCTCCAGCAAGCAATGGGGAAAAGATAAGGACACCTTCCTTCCAATCAATAGATACAAGTTACCAAAGGAACTGTCGATGAGCGCCCGTAATTTTTGTAAGAAACATATCAAAAACAGACAAGCTTTTTTGAGTATCATCATTTATAGTATTATATGATTACCACTGTCTTTTGTAAGCGGATCAGCATATCAAATCATTATCAAAGTATGAAATGTTATATAAATAAAGGCCATTTGATGAATGGCCAAGCATGATTTGCTTATCTTGATGCAGTGCCATTCCATTGTTCTGCTTGATCAAAAACACCGTACATATCTTATTGGCAGCAGAAAAGCATATATAATTAACAACAACTTATTTGGAAGCGATTCTCTGTATCAAATGCCAGGCAGCACCAAGTCTTACCGTTGCAACTATTTAATAATAACTGACACTACTTACTTTGCTCCCTGGTATCTCGTCATAACTTGCTGCAATGGTATCATACCCATTACACAATAATTTAGAGGAGACAATCTTTGGTTGCCAAATGAGGAATCGACCAATGACATCACGCTCACAAAAAAGGTCGTTGAATTCGAATTGCGTGTGCAGTTGGAACGAACCTCCGACCTCTTTGACGCGTCCCCTCTTCTCCTTCCCAACCTTCGCAAAGAACAAAAAAAAAGGCATACAACTAATCAATCATGGCAGCAACTAAAGAAGCTAAACCAGAAAAGAATCAGCCAGAAGATATGGAGATTGAGGAAGATGAAGAAACCAAGAAGCTTCGGTTAGAAAAAGAAACAACAGCATCAGTTATTGCAGGTGAGTATTTCATTGTGCACAAGAAATGGAGAAAAAAGCGAAACGCATAGAGTGGTCAATCAGATAAAGTTTTGCGTGCCGAGTGCTACAAGTAGTTTTAATTGGAACCATGTGTGGTAGTAAAACCTGTGCTAATGAAACCACTTTATAGAATTAAAGCGTAACTTCTCGTTGTTGGACCGTGCCGTTGAAACGATCGAATCTCGCTTCACCACTCGTGTTTTGCGAACACTCCCTTCCATAAGACGTCGATTGACTTCTTCCATTCTCACTCAAGTAATCTCGGAAAACTACAGCTCTGGTGCGAACTCTACGCTCTCTTTTTTTTTAGCCAAAAATAATTGTGTTGAGGCTGAATGAGATCGCTAACTTACTTGGTTTAAAGCAGATGTCGAACAGCGTTCTGAGCTCTTACGGTACCTTGGCGAGGTATGTGCCGTATCTGTTCTCACTTTGTGTATTGTACCTGGTCTGGAGTGAACTTACACTGCGTCTGTATATTCTTTTTCTGTTTAAAAAAATAGGATAATACTTCGATGGACGTGGACAGTGGAAAGGAGAAAAGCACCGAATTGCCAGAAATCGATGTGTATCTTCAATTGTTGACCATGATCTATCTTATGGATCAAAACGAGCTGGAAAAGGTAAACGACAGATTTTATTTCATAGATTGTAATGAAAAGGTTCCAAGCTCTTAAAATGAAGTCTCATATTATAGGGAATGACACTTGCTGATAAAATGATCGAGAAACTGCTACAACTCAACCGACGCACACTCGATCAACTCGCCGCACGCGTATACTTTTACCATGCTCGTTTCTATGAATTGTCGAATCGTCTTGCCGAAATCAGACCGTAGGTATCTCTTTGAAGTATTGGAAAAGCAGAAAAGAGAAGAATGTGGGCTAAAACATTCATCATTAGATTGCAACTGAATTCACTGCGGACAGCCACATTGCGACGTGATGACGAAACACAGGTACGAGATAGAAAAAGTGAAAACTATCAAGTTGAGCTATGTAATTAAATCTGCTTTTGTTTCTAGGCAACATTGCTGAACCTGCTATTACGAAACTACTTTGTCCACAACTTGTATGACCAAGCAGATAAATTGGTGTCCAAGAGTGCATTCCCCGAAAACGCTGGTAATAACCAGGCTGCTCGTTATGCCTACTATCTTGGCCGTATCAAGGCTCTTCAGCTCGCTTACACTTCGGCACACACCTATCTGACCCAAGCGATCCGAAAAGCACCCCAGAACACTATCACTGCCGGTTTCCAACAAACCGTAAGCTGATACTTGCTACTCATTTTACTGTCCTATGATCTATGTTTTAGCGTCGCTAATCCCCAAGGTATGTGATATGCTTTTGTAGGTCTACAAATTTTTCATTGTTGTTCAACTTTTGCTCGGTGAGATCCCCGAACGATCGTTGTTCCGTCAACCCATGTTGAAAAAGGCGCTTGTGCCCTATCTCCACATCACCCAAGCTGTCCGTATTGGTGATCTGAGCAAATTCCAGGAAGGCTTGGCCAAGTTTGACGCAGTGTTCAAGAAGGACAAAACGTATACCCTTATTCTGCGTCTCCGCCACAATGTTATCAAGACGGGTATTCGCATGATCAGCCTTTCGTACTCTAAGATTTCGCTGAGAGACATATGCATCAGACTTCACTTGGATAGCGAGGAAGATGCCGAGTTCATTGTTTCCAAGGCTATCAAGGATGGTGTCATTGATGCTACGCTGGACCACAACGGTGGATTCATGAAGAGCAAGGTAATACTTGTATATGGGCACTTGTGTGTGAACGTCCACTAAGCATACGCAATTTTTTTCCATTCTCTAATAACAGGAAATCGTCGATATCTATTCCACGAACGAGCCTCAGCATGCATTCAACCAACGTATCACCTTCTGCATGAATCTTCACAACGAAGCTGTCAAGGCGATGCGTTTCCCCTTGGATGCCCATAGAAAGGAATTGGCTAACGCCGAGGCCGCTCGTGAGAGAGAGCGAGAATTGGCACAAGAGATTGCGGAAGGAGACTTGGACGATGATGGAGGAGATCACCTCGGTGATTTCTAGTTTCGAATGAACGGTACAAAAAGCTTAAAATCCCCTTAGTCCATCTACCATCCAAACCACCTACCAAATATATTTTCTTTTCGTTAAGAAATGCAACAGCCGAAAAACATATCGTAATAAACCCCATAACAGCAACTTTGGAAAAAGCGAAAAAAAAACACATGTAATAGTTTTATCTATAAAGAAATGGTCTTTTTTTCTCTTTATCTTGAAAATAATAACAGACGATAGTAGTAGTAATATATATACACACTTAGTTCTTGGATGGCTGCTTCAACTTTCTGACGGTCAAACATCCTATATTTAAATATTTACAAATTTCGTTAATGACGCCCATCACAAAGCTGCCATATTGGATACCGGCAGCAATAAGGAACGATTTTAATGCTGCTGATTGACTAATCGCCAAGGGGCTAGATCACCGGAAACAAGTAGTAAAAAGGAAAGGCGTTTAAAGTTAGTATATGATGTCAACCCATAGCAACTGCTCGTTCTTTTCCTTCCCCTCCCTCTCGCCATCCTATAAGTGCTCATCCGCACTCACTGATTGATTGATCGATCGATCGATCGATCGATAGTTCATCCTCACTCCTTCCAATGTTCTTTTTTAATTCATTCTTACCTTTCCAAAGATACATCCAAATAGGCAAGAACGCAACCAGCTGTCAATAAGACGTTGACGGTCGAGTTCCAATATGGGAAATCCAGCTTGGCGACATGGGATGTAATCATCAGACCGACTTGATGACCGAACAGCAGGCCCACAAGAGGGATGAACAGCGCCAAGTGTTCATTGACAATTGAAGGCCACAGACGCAGCCAGGTGTAGGTAGCAGCAACCATGTAAATGAACGGGAAAAGACCGAACAGCGCTTTTCGGATCGAGCGGTCCGGGTGTGAAAATTCGGTTGGGGTAATTTTGACAGCGATAACATTAACAAGACTAAGGATATCACCTCCATTGTGAGCATTACGATCAATTTCTTCCTTTAAATTTCCACAGCAGCAGCAGCAGCAGCAGTAGCTAGCAAGAGCCACTTACTTTGCTAGCAATCATGGAAAAGTAACAATATATAAACTCTCTTACCCAGCGACGATGTTCAGCACCATAACGACTGCCCCAATGACAATCAGCACGTGATTCAATTGCAGTCCACCAACGATCCGCGTCAACGGATGATCCTCCCAGCTCAACACAGGACCCAATAATTCACTCACGCGCAGTGTCCAGAATGCAGGACCTGATGATACATTCGGTGAGTATAACGTCACAAGGGTTCCAAGTCATCAAGAGCACAAGGGAAATAAAAAAAAAGATATGTTACTCACCAAAACAACCGGAAATCAAATGCACGCCGACAAGCATCAGCACGCCTTCCGTAGGTCCGTTAAAGTACCCCAAAAACAAGACACCCGTGTGATACTCCTCCCATGTTGATAAATAAAAGTTTCCAAGACTTGCCATCAGCGATACTACAGTCCACCAGCTTTGGCCAAGGGAAGTCGCGGATGCCCATGTAAGGACGCCCAATGTGGTGTTGAGTGCATCACAGCCTTTTGTTGTTGTTGGTTAACGTAAGCTTTTTTGTTTATGTATGTGATGATGTTGCATGCATGCTACATACCGTGATCAAAGAGTTCACCTAACGGTCCGGACATGCCAGTTCGTCGAGCTTGCTTGCCATCGATGGCGTCCAAAGACTGATAAAGAAAGAGACCGATACCGAATCTAAGTTGATGTGTCAGTCACTGTTGCTTTTACTGATACTAATCCGAGCGCATCCCCCAAGCATAAACACGTACGTGGTGTAGACCCAGTTAGGACAAGGTCCCAAGTCAGGGGAGTAATAGTATAAAGTCGCTACGTTTACAATAATACACATCAAGCCAAGAAGTGTGATAAGGTTCGGTCTGTGAATAATATAAAAGAGGTTTTTTTTTAAGATTCAAGTATGAAAGGGGGAACGGGCATCAGTAATAAGCAGCAGTAAATAGCAAGATCTAGTTCAAAGCATTATACATACGCGACCCATAGTGGAAAGATCTTGACAAGGTTGTTCCAGTAAACGGAGAGAATGTATCGGGAGACCAGCGATTTGTCGACGCTTCCGTACTTGTACTTGTGCAGATTCGGTAATGCTTCTGTAGGGATATAGGTCATTGAGAAGCAGCGTTGGGCAAAAGAAGAAAAAGTGGAAAAGGGGGGTTGCCTACCAAACGGAAAGAGAAAAAATTCAATTTTTTATGTTACTTTAGTGTTCTTCAAGGTTCGCCAGAAAAGAGTTGGAAGCACCAATATCTGAGTTCTTATCCTTCTCCCCTTGTTTCCTATTTTTGCACAGAATGATCGCACGCATCTCAATGCACTATAAATACCCTGTAGTCAGTGCGTTTTTTCGACGTTCTTTCATTTCTACACACCAAAAAAGAATGCTGTCGACTGCTGCTGCCAAGGAACGCGTGTGCCTGGTAGGCTCTGGCAACTGGTAGCCTAGATACAACCCTTTTCTCTCTTGACCATACCGTTAGATACCCTTAGCGCTAACAGTAACTAACTGATACCAGGGGATCCGTCGTCGGCAAGATCATCGGCCAAAACGTTTTGAAACACTCGAACCAGTTCGAGCCTGAAGTCCGTCTATGGGTATTTGAAGAGATTTTCAAAGGCGAAAAGCTGACTACCCTCATCAACCGAGAACACGAAAACCCAAAGTAATAAGGGCGGGGATCCTCTTGCTTTCCTTTCTCCTTTGTTCCGGCTTATGAAAGATGCTAACAAACGAGAACTTTTACTTTTCTATATTCTCAAAAGATATCTACCAGGTCATAAACTTGGTGCCAATATCAAGGCCACATCTGACCTTTACGAAGCCTGTCAAGACGCGACCGTACTCGTGTTCGTTTTACCACACCAGTTTGTTCGTGGCGTCTGTGACAAAATGATGGGTCGCATCTCACCCAATGCCAAAGCCATTTCGCTCATCAAAGGGCTGGAGATTAACGCTGATGGCGTCACTTTGTTTTCAGAAGAAATCTCACGACGTTTAGGAATAAATGTGGCGTCACTAAGTGGAGCGAATATAGCCAACGAGGTTGCGGAAGAAAAGTTTTGCGAAACCACGATTGGGTGCCGTACCTCGGGAAGGGATGGCGAGCTTTTTCTCAACTTATTCAACACGCCGTATTTCCGTGTCAATGTCATTAATGATACAGCAGGCGTTGAGCTGTGTGGTGCGTTGAAAAATGTTGTTGCCGTTGGCGCCGGCCTTTCGGATGGTTTAGGGTAAGAGATTCTCTTTTTGTTGGGGGAAGGGACTCTCTGTTGGGGGGGGTTGACTCTAACAACATCTAATCGCCTTCGATAAATGTAGTTATGGCAGCAACACAAAGGCAGCTATTGTTCGACGAGGATTGTTGGAGATGCGTAAATTTGGCCAGACATTCCTTGGCGATGTTGTGCAGACTGACACGTTCTTTGGCAAGTACCAGTTTGTAATAATCAAATGCAAGTCTGTGTATCCTTATTCAGTGATCTAATAATGACTACGCAAACCTTATCTGCATAAATTAGAATCATGCGGTGTTGCGGACCTTTTGACAACCTGTATGGGCGGTCGTAACCGTAAAGTAGCAGAAGCGTTTGCAAGGACGGGCAAACCTATCGACGTTTTGGAACAAGAATTGCTGAATGGCCAAAAGCTTCAAGGTACACTCACTGCAAAGGAAGTTAACGAGTTTTTGTCGGCACGCAACATGGTCAATGATTTCCCGCTTTTTACCACCGTGTACCGTATAATCTATGAAGGTCTCGAAACTGAGGCCATCGTGCGCGATATCTGAAAGAGATAGAAATATATGTTGTTTTCGAAAAAGAAGGACTGTGCGCGGAAGATATACTTTTACCCAGCATTCCAATACTACCACAACTGTGTTGTTTCTTTCTAAAGATTGATGACATGCATCAACCCAATAAAAAAGAGTCCGTGCATACTAGTGGAAAACGATGATGTCTTGAAATCACGTGTCGATCAATGGTGAAATTACGTCTACAGCTCGAATAGGCGTCTTCGCTACGTTAATTCGATGCATTGCGTCGTTCACTTTGTCAATATTCCTATCATTAACTTGAGACATGAAGGCGCTGTAGGCACGATCCTTTTTACTTGGCAGTAAGCTTTCCTGCAGTAATGCAGATATTCGCCTCATATGTATAAACCGGCCGCACCATTTCGCCAACGTAATACATAAGCTTGCATAGTGTAACCTATAGAGTGACGCTAGTGTCGTACATCTGTAGATCAGTAGTTCTTTTCTTGACTCTTTGTTCCGTGGATAATAAAGAACGTCTCTTGCATCACTTCCTTTCTTTGACTATACGGCGCATCAGCTAGCGTCGTCAAATGTTCGAATTATCACACCAAGTATAATCAAAAAGAAACGCTCGTGATTAATACACCATGGCCAATACAAGTCGACACGAACAACCTTATTTAAAAGCAAGAAGAAGCATATACTTTATTGTTACATAAGCGATCACTGAAAAATAAAAAGAGTTTGACATAGAATAAGGGTAGTTGAACTGGCGCATACATATTACATAAGCTTGTGTTCGGCACAATATACGGCAGTGACGGTCACAGCAAGGGTTCAAGGATCCATAGTATGAGAATTATATATAGATGTTTCTCTCTGTTACGTATAAATAATAAACAAACGAAGGTGAATTGGGTAGCAGCCCTAGTGCACGAATCAAAAAATGAACATATCTTAGCAAAAGTGCATCTTCTCTCTTATAAAATCACAGTTCAGAACATATACATACCCGTCGACAATAGGTTTAGGTGGTTGCTTATTGAGATATGTCTATAGGTATACATTGCTGGTTTTCAGGCATGGTGTTCCCTCACACTTTCTTAGATTCCACGTTGTTGTTGCTCCGCCATGGCAGTAATGGTTGTTCGGACGTAGGCGAAACAAGAGTGGAACTGGTCCTGGATTCGTTGAAGAGCCATAAGAGTTAGGATGAAACGGCTTTCGTACAGTATCTCGAGTTGGTCCTCATAGAGATACTTCAAGGCGATCATGCGCTTTGCCGATTCAATATTGGACGACAGTTGAAGATATATGGGCAGAACTTCGTCGAGTCGCTGATATACTGGCTGCATACGCTCCATTAGAGCAGTGATTTCATCTCGTTCTTGGAGACTCAATCTCTGTTCTTCGAGCTCAAGTGGTATGGCTAGACTTGGTATTGTTATTTTTTTTGTTTGTTACAAAATTATTAACTTGCATAATCAAAAGCACAGACCAGCAACAATAGAACAAAAAGTACCTCTATCCGCTCGAACCATTTGTTCCAGTTGATTCATGATCTCTTCGACGTTGTTGCTCATTTGAAATCGTTCTTGCAATGGTAATGCTGTATGTATAGGTTCGGATGCCGTAAAGTAATAAAAATAGGAAAGACTCAATTTGGAAAATAGTTTTTTGTAATCTTTTTATATGATGAATGCTTTAAATTTAGTCACCCTCATTCGTAATTCATGCATAACATTTCCTTTATAAGGAAGAAGACACATGCTCCTGGTGCCCCTCAAATTAGAGGTCCAATCAGTTCCCTACTTGAAAAATCTGTTAAAATTTGAAGTCAACTCGGTTTTGGAGTGAATGCTTTTGCCATTAAAAGAGATTGAACTCCATGATGAAGGAGTTCTTGAGCGCTCCTAGATATATGACGCGCTCCTACTGCACGCCGATTATCTTACTTTTCCAATCGAAGCATATGGTTTAATTAAATACAAGCGATTTTTGGGTACTATGATGTAGCCGAGTGGGGGAAATTACATTGTGCGCGGGGTTTGCAGATGATATGCCGCGCCGTCATTGTTCAGTTGGAAAGCAAATGTAACCTACTTCGGAAGACTTACAGACCTTCCTTAATAGCGATACGGTCACTTCCTTGCGGTACGGATGTTTGGGAACACAGCTGTGGTCTGGCACCATATCTGAAAAACCTCTATGGGAGAAAGACAGCCTGTGTGTTAATAATAAGTAATAGATATACGAATGCAGTATTTATAAGAACTTAATGCAGCGGGAACCAAACTCATCGTCCCGTTTCTTGTCGATTGCCTTGGCGACTGCGCTATCTGGTCGCCTATCCATTCCGTAGGTTTTTTATATTCCTGGTGGAGGGGATTGGTTGCTGTCGATGGCCTCCATTGGGAGTCGCTTCGTTTCCCATTGTCTTCGAGATGGTAGGTTTCACTGCACGGGTCATGGTGGACACCGGTAACGATTGGAGCCGTGTGACGAACTTAAGTTGCAATACGCGGGGCATGTTCGGCCAATACCACAGGCAGTGACCCGTAATAGATTTGATACACAGAAAATGACCTTTATTTCATATATTTGAGTAACGATTTAAGGTGGTTGATATGGTTGATATGTATTCATGAGTGTTACAGTTTGGTCAATCTCACAGGTGTGTGAATAAAATGAATACAAGAGAAAGAGGGTAACGAATGTAGATAACAAGTGAAAGTGGTAAAAATAAGGGGATGAGTTTGCCACATGAGTGACTGAGTTCAATTCAACGTTGAAGGTACGAATACTATTTTGCTACTACGCATCAGTGTACTATGGTCGGGAACTTGGTCGATTTGCTGCCATTCCAATACGACAGATCTGATTTTTATGCAGCTTTTTTTTAGCTGGCTGGCGGAAAGAGCTGTGATAACAAGTCCATATTCGAAGATTAGTCAAACAAAAGAGCGATGTGTGCGTAGTGCTGGCCATTATCCAATCTCATACCAATGCACTCCGAGCTGTCCTAACAAGGCTATGCTACCGGTTGCCTTGGATACGTTGGTTGATGAGCATATCATTAGCAATACCATGGTATGTAAATGGGAACCCCAGGTATTGGAAGCTGTCTACTTTGCAGATCGGTGTATTGTATATCGTATACACATGTAGTGACTCTCGGCTGCTATGTGGGCTATTTGCTAGCGACGTTGCTGCTAATGGTGGAGCTTCAACTGTGTCGCACATCTGTCCAGGTGCCATCGATAGCCATAATCTAGTGAGTGCTGTTCTGCCAATGCCGAAATATTGTATTATATCGTGTGGAGAGCTTAGTAGCGCAACATCGTCGGCATAACGTAATACGAATACCACAGTATGAGCAGTATCTGAATGGCGTTACGCTGGAGGATTCATTTTTGTCTCCACAATAGAATAGAGTTTGTACAACTGCTTCGGTATTCGTTGATGGGGGGGTGTAGTGCGTAGTAGTGGCGGTTGCTTCCCCAGACTATACCTACGGGTACGTATGTAGTCGGCTTCGTGTATTGATAAATGCGGCATACAGCAATGGACTAAGGATGGAACCTTGTAGTATGTCGCATGCGGGATGTATATATCGTGATTGGTGACTTTGCAGTATTACCGAGGTACATACTTCGTCGAACAAGTGGCGGGTATAATGGAAGAGAACGCTCGACAGGTGTACCTGCAACGATGATCATATCATATCTTCTGAGCTTGAATCGTATTCCTGCTTGATATCAAGGAATGTCTATACCGGCGGCTCGCCGTATTGGCCGGTGTATTGTCGGACTAGCATAATTAATGGAAAGGCTTGGTTGAGGGCACCTCGCTTGTGCCGAACAATTTTATTGTAGTAGTCAGCAGCATGTAAATTGGCAACTACATTGCATATCGGATCTTTCAGAATATATGGTATCATAGATTTCAAGTTATTTAACATAGTAAGTGGTAGTATTATGATGAGCAGTATAGAAAGGTTTATTACTATGTCTGAATTTCATTTAGAAAAGGATATAATCATAACATGTTTTGCTTCAAGAAAATGCATTTCTGCTTTGATGCCCAGAATTTTGGTAAGGATTTTGCCGCTACTTAGGTGTTTGATAAAGTAACATCGACAAAAAAATACTATGCAGAGATTTTGTCTAATAATCTTTTTGGTTAAAACTGTAGAAAGTGTGTCATGACAAAACCTGATATAGTTTTTCTGCGATTTGTGAATGAATTTAAAGATTTGTTAAAATAAAGTATTCTTTGGTAGAAAAGATCTAACTGCATTTTGGACTACTGCAAAATACAGTACAATAATTATCGAGTCAATCTCCACAAACATATGTCGGACGTTTGAGATTGTATTCTGATGTTTTTTGAAGCCTTCCAAAGCATTTGAAAGCGTCCCAGGGCATTTGAAGATTTCAAAATGCAATTATGATTCTTTGACGTAGTGTTTAAGTGTACGTGACATTCGGTTAACGAAAAGAGCGTAACTTATAATTAACAGCGCTTCTTTTTTTTTTAAAAAAAAAGAGGTGGGGGAGCCCTGTTTGACAACGTCCTTCAACGCAAAGACGCCATATGCGAGCTGACGAATTGCTGTTGCCGCTTTTTGCAGCGGTGCCAATAAAGGTTTTCGAGCTGCATCATATACAATAATACTTGTCATGCTGAAATCCAATTGCCATCGCGTTAAGCACTTAAGTATACTCTCAGCCACATATCTACCAATCCAAAAAGCACACGATCAGATTTCGATTGTTTGGATCAGTGTGGTTTACGATATTTCTCTCGTATAACTGCTTGTTCCACGTCGCACATGTCAAAACCAGTTTCGTGAAGAGGTTGTGGTCCGCAAGTATTGAATTACCATTGGGCCTAAATACTCATATGAAAGTATCTGCACTAGTCGTTCGTATCAAATATATCTTGTGCATGTCGTTTCTGGGATAGTTGAGTTTGCGATAAAGGAAAGATTTGAAAAGCCTTCCATGTTTGAATAAGGTCAATTTTTACTAGAATTATAACACGTACCTGAAAATATTTTAGATCATATTACACCAGCATTATACCAGATATATATCAATATAGCTGTTACATACATTAATGATATATATCAGTACAGTAAATGACATATTCACTGGTACTACAAAAGGTTGCTGGAAGGGATTGGATCTTCCTATGCTACCCTAATAATTATAGCTATTATCTGTAGGAACTCGATAAGTACAACGCACCACATCAGTACCAAAAGAAACTTATCACTCTTCAGTCACAACACAACTTCAACAAGCTTTGGAAACTGTGCGAACTCTACTCCCAGGAACACAGCACAATTGCTGAAGAGGAGGAAATTGCTGGTGACAAAGAGTTCCTCGAGTTGCTCAACGATTGCGATTACGACCATCGTGTGCTAAAGGAGAAAATTGCACAAAGGGAGCGTGAGAGCGCCGAAGCTGCAGTGCTTCACCATGACAGCGCTTCAGTTGAGTAAGCGACTCAGCTGTCAACACTGTGGCTGCTGATCAGCAAGTGGAGGTTGATCTAGCTGCCACTAGCACCTGAGATGCCGGAGATGAAGACACGGCTGCCGCGATGAGCCAAGCCGACCAGGAGATGTAGAATGACCTGGAAGCGTTGGAGAAGGAGTTGCTCGAGCGCATGAAAACGCGTCAAATCGAAATTGCCAATAAGTATGGCAAGCGCGTCGAGGAGCTCCTTCCCGTAAAATTACCGTACCTTCGCAAGCATGCGGGAAAACGCAACACTTGGCATCACTTTCTATCGCTTCATTGCGATGAAGAAGGTTGTATTATCTTCCTATGTAGTAAATTTTTGCATACATCAAGGATGCAGTCTTTGTATTAATCGATAGTTTTTGATATCTCTAGATAGAAGAACGTTAAAGGATGACAGCGCACAGGCGGGTTATATTATAACCCAAAAATCTGACGAATATCAGATATAATGAATGATCCTGAACTCAGGGCAGAACTGGTTAAAGCGACAAACGAGTACAATGACAGCATCGGTGCCACTGAGCGAAAGATGGCCCACTCGGCAAAGTTGAAGCTCAAATTGCTTATCGGCTGTATGGATGTAACATTTGTCAGCATAAAAAGAATGCAGCGTGGAAACCTTGTGTCTGTTCTCAACTGACAAAATCACAAGCAAAGGGACTCCATCAGATACATCTGGGTCAGGTAATTCTCATTTTCCGCTTTAGGTTTATAAATTGATATATATATATAGCATGCATTGTAGAAGCTGAAATCGACTTTCTACAAAAAGTTCAAGCCGGTAAAGTCGAATATGGTTAGGATAGATTTGGGGAACTCTTCAAACAGCAATACTACACGTTGAAAGTACAGTATGTACTATATTTATATGTGTATATAATCAAACAACTGTATGTATATCTGTTCATCTGCCTTAGCTGCTGAAGTCTCCGCCTCCACTGATACGCAAGTAGAGAATGCATCTACACTTTCTTCTCCTGTTGCGTCGCCACCAAATGTTGTTGACAATCGTTCCTCCTCGCGTGGAGTCAAGCGAGCAAGACTTTACGCCTCGCATTCAAGTATGTCTAAACATGGCACTGAGAAAATGATTATCGTTAAATTAACGGCTGCATACAATAAGTGCCTAAAAAGGGTGAAGTCTTTGTTGTTGAGCTGCTAAACAAGTTATGAATGTTCCATTAGATGAAACTCTACTGCAACACATTCCTGACTCCCAGCAAGTGAAAAGCTTTCCGTGGAAGAGGTTTCGCGATGGCAATGGTGAAATCAAGGAGAAGACATGCACCATCAGACTGGCTTATTGGCCTGCTGACGTTCCTTTTGGCACACCTAGCCATTGGCAAGAAAACGCTAGAGAATATAGGCGTAAAATAATGGCTGTATTGAACGAGATAACTTCCATCGTTACAGAACATTACAGCAGCAACAAGAACAGCCACAGCATGCGCAACAAATACAACAACAACAGCAACAAATACAGCACCCGCAACAACAACTGGAGCAGCTACCACGACAACAACAACACGAGAGCTTTAGTCGAGCATCGACATCTTTTGATCTCTCTTTTTTAATTATGTTTCATATTTTTATCCATCTACTGACGAAAATCAATACTTGATTCTAACCTCTCTTATCCTTCTATGAATCTTTAATAGCGCTGCATAGATGTAGACGCTAAGCTACACATATTTTGGTTAGTGTTATTGATTTGATATGTCGTTAGTTTACTCTGGCAGTCTTTCAAATTTTTTCTTCGTTCAGTTCATTTAAATCACTCCTGTAATATGATTCAAATTATGATGATGTATTATATGAATCGCTGTGTATGGATTTAAAACACACGTGTATTGAGTAACGCATAACAACTTGTCATCATAATGTAATCCTTTGGAAGAAGCATAAGGAAAATCGCTATATAACAACTGTGTTGATCATCAACTTCTAATTTATTTGATATTGTTCTGCAATAAGAGAAGACGCAGAATAGAGCTACCTTTTACCTAATGACGATCACTTAACGAGCATTCAGTGTGTCTCCTCCAGCACCTCAGCATAAAAGTATCTACGATTCCCTTGAACTTTTATTATTCTGTAGAGCAGTGTTCAAGGAGTCGATTGATACCACATGAAGGGCTGTACGATTTGTTTACGTGACCTGTCCTTTTTGCTTAAAATCGTATACTAGTAATACTCATAGATAGATTGAATAAGGAATGTATCATCACTGCTTAAGAGTATAACAAGTTATCCCGTCAAGTTATTGATGTTTCTTATCTACAATAGCTTTCAACGGCGCCAAACTTGCCAAGTTTTTAGAAGCGCATTGTTTTGTGCTGCTAATGATGAGTCAAAATAATAATGTTGTGCTTAACTTTTATCTATTACATTTCAAGTAAAAGCCATTTCAGTTTACCCCCTTCCCTTCTTTTGTCTTTCTATGATCGCTGGCGGTACTACTATATCAAACTACACCAATATCCGTATCCGGCAAGCCAGTATTCTAAAAGACATCCAGAAATGTGTTGACGTCCATATAATTTTTTTGTGAGCGTCCAAGCCTCGAGTACATAAATACATTACATGGAGCTATACTACTGAGATTCTTCATGCAATCTAACGAAGCCACTTTAAAATTTTTGATTTGCTTGACGCTACTTTTGATATCAACACTAGCGAAAGTATCAAATGTAGGGGATGATGATAAGGGAAACCCGATCGGATATATACGTTAACAGTAGTTTGATCCAAAGATGATAGTAGTGTGGACACACTCAGTCGATTACCAAGTAAGTCTATCACAAGCTCGGTGCAACGGCGTTTGGTCGCAAGTTAGTGCAGGCACTCGAAGCAGCTGCAAAGACGGAGGGGCATCACGCTCTGAAAAAAAAACGTCGATATTATGACTCACTAGGCTATGTATTACAAGATCCCACTTATTAAACGCGCGTTCAAAGTCCTCATCAGCAACTATGGAAGAGGGGACTTCTAACAGATGCAATCCCTGATATTGTTGTACATATTGCGTTAATTTCAGGTTCGAAATTGTGTCTACCTTTTTTACAATACAAAACTTATGACTGCAATTTCCATTGATCGGCGAGAAGCATCACAAGAATATATATATATATATATATATATATTCATGTAAACCGGTGACGTATGCCAAAATATAATAAAAAAGAAGGGCCTGCTTCTACACGATAAAAATATTGCTACAAAATTAAAAGACCAGTGCAATGAAAAACTTTGTCTACGTATAAAATTAAATTTGGCTCGTGTTATTGCGATGGACACGTTATGGATGATGCTGTTGCTGCATTGTTGGCGAGGTATAATAATTGTTGTTGTTTTCTCCTTTAGTAGTGGCGACAGGGTTATCGTCACTGGACATGGCAGCATGGTCCTCCAAAGTCCAAGCATCTTCTTGAATAGGTGGTAAGCTTCACTTATAAAAATCATCACGATCCCCACGTTTCATAAAAGAGATTGTCAAACCGTTATGAATTGCGCTGATGAAATTGGCAGCGGCCGTTTCTTGATCGTCAGCTAAGAAAAGAAGGTCATACCGAGTATCAATAGTATTGCTGGGTACGCTTCACATATAAAAATCATCATGATCCCCAGGTTTGATACTCTTTTTATATCGCCGGTTCTTTGTTCCATTAAAGCGCACAGACCCGTCGCCGACAATTGTTGGATCAGAGCGGAGCACGGCAAGCGGAGCCGCATAGTGAAACAAACATATACGCACCATAAGAAAAAGACACTAGCATGACAGTCGTCAGACTACAACGATAATTATCATCAAGGCACTTCTTCACATTGCTGCAGTTCACTGGCTCCTTAGGGCAGTAGTGACAACCAAAATTCTAAGCTCCGTCATTTTGTTTATCGGGCTCATAAAAAAAAAAGAATCGACTGCGCGTTTTGCCCTTTATTCTTTTCTTTAGTCTTCATATTCATCTTTGTACATTTGCAGTGTTTCTTTCATTATCACTTTTTACCTTTCTTTTTTTTTTATTTAGGACGAGGGGCCCTGTGGGTGTACTTAGTTGAAGGGAGCTAGTTGTGCACAACTGGCTCTTATTCATCTTTGTGCATTTGCAATGTGGGTGTATAAAGATGCAGGGAGCTAGTCGTGCACGACTGGCTCTTATTCATCTTTGTGCATTTGCAGTGTTTCTTTCATTATCATTTTTTACCTTTCTTTTTTTTTATCCAGGACGAATGTCCCTGTGGGTGTACATAGTTGAAGGGAGCTAGTCGTGCACGACTGGCTCTTATTCATCTTTGTACATTTGCAGTGTTTCTTTCGTTATCACTTTTTACCTTTCTTTTTTTTATTTAGGACGAGGGGCCCTGTGGGTGTACTTAGTTGAAGGGAGCTAGTCGTGCACGACTGGCTCTTATTCATCTTTGTGCATTTGCAGTGTTTCTTTCATTATCACTTTTTACCTTTCTTTTTTTTTTTTCCAGGACGAATGTCCCTGTGGGTGTACATAGTTGAAGGGAGCTAGTCGTGCACGACTGGCTCTTATTCATCTTTTGTACATTTGCAGTGTTTCTTTCATTATCACTTTTTACCTTTCTTTTTTTTTTCATCCCGCTCGAGTGTCCCTGTGGGTGTGCATAGTTGAAGGGAGCTAGTCGTGCACGACTGGCTCTTGCTCATCTTTTGTACAGTTGCAAAGTTCTTTGTTTCATCTTGGTTTTTTATCTTCCTCAAAAACTGAAAGCGAGAGTGTGTGCAAAGAGGTACGTATATGTTCGCCGCTGACAGACCTTTGTGCTATCATATTTCTTTTATTTGTAGGAACTGTGGAGGAGTAGGTTCTGTCGGGAACTGAGGCTTGCGGACAAGAAAGGGAGGAGTAGGTTCCGACGGGAACTGAGGCTTGCGGAAAACAAGGGAGGGCAACCTCCCTTGTGGAGGTACGTATATGTTCGCCGCTGACAGACCTTTGTGCTATCACATTTCTTTTATTTGTAGGAACTGTGGAGGAGTAGGTTCTGTCGGGAACTGAGGCTTGTGGACAAGAAAGGGAGAGGTGTAGGTTCTGCCGGGAACTGAGGCTTGCGGGGAACAAGGGAGGGCAACCTCCCTTGAGGAACGAAGGATTCATAAAAGTCGGTCGACTTGTCAGGCAACATCAAATAAACTTGGTTTCTTATTGTACTTTCTTAAATAATGTAATTGTAACTATTGGGCAGATCGAGTGACGATTGTAATAAACGCGATCTTTTTTTTTACATCTTCCTACTGCCATTGCGCTTGGTACTTGTTGGTGCTTTCTCTGGAGCAGTTATGTAGTTGCAAATGAGCCTTTTTGTGCTTGAGTCGTCGAGAAAACCGTAGGCTGTGCATTCGCATGTGTGCTCTCAAAAACAATACAGCTGGTTTACCTTCACGACTATACCAACAATGATTGCAAATTGCTGGTGGCAAAACAAAAAACCTTATCGCAAAGCAAACAGACCATCCCCATATTCACATATACACGAACCAGATCGCCAACCCAAACTAAATGATGTTTGCCTTGATTTCTTTGCAGTATAAAAGGCCCAGTACATAAGCTCATTAGGGAAGTTACATAATCCAACTTGTTGGGTCTTGCCACCAATCTCTCATGCTACTGTCTCTCAACATTACTGCTACTGATACTCGAACTTTTTTCTGGTCAAATATTATGCTTCTACCCAAGGGTATAGAGGACGACGAAACGAACACAATGATACCAATTACTGTACATTTCCAAACTCAACCGTCATCGTCTCCAAAAAGACACTTTTGTCGATGGTTTTTTATATTATTCTTTGGGGGAGGGGGCTGCACCTGTGTCTCCAAGTTGTCATTTTTGGCTATTAGACTGGAAATTAAATGAAAAAGGGCGGCCAATAGGAAAAAAAATCCTTTGTTATACTGGCTTAGATAGGCTCTTCATTTAAGCACTTTTCAAAAACGTTAACAGGATGCTGTACAAATGCGCGCAGATGACTGGGAGGAATAGAGTTGCAGGCTTCAGTAATTCTAGTAATTAGATCTTCTTTGTCCTCAAACTTGCTACGTTCGACTTGGTTCTGAGATATTGCCCAAAACTGCACCATTGGGTTGAGCTCTGGAGAATAAGGAGGAAGATAAACAGATCTTTAGCCTCTCTTAGTGATGAGCTCATCTATTTTCTTAGCAGTGTGTATAGGTGCATTATCGATCACTATGTAAAAGCCTTTCATCTCGGGAAAGCAGTCCATCTCATCCATAGTTTTGTCCAGAAATGCAAGGTAAAATGACCAGTAGCAGTATCCCTTGAGGCAGGTTTCTTTTAGATGGAGGGGCTTTTCTCTTACGGCTTCTAAAGTCGATCTTGATGCGCTTCGACAATTCCTCCAGAGGGGTTCGAAGCTCCCAAGACACTAGATGGAGTGGTTACAATAACGGGCTTCCCTTTCTCTGCCCAATCGCCTGGAGATCGCATGTTGATATTTATCTAGAAAAACGCAATTCTCAAGATAATCCATATCTGTTGCGGTCCACTGTTTGGCCCAAGCCCAACCGATTGGCGATCTTTTTGCTGTCATTTCTAGCGGCTGGCTGACGTGATAGTTTGCAAGAAATTATAGACAGTACTCTTTTTAATGCTCAAGCCGTCGAAGCTTGTAGTGAGAGAGTCGACTGCGTTAATCAGTCGTACTTGCGAGTTTTCATCATAGAAGTTAATTAAGTAAGTTTCATGCTCCTGTCCTATCTGGGCTTTGGCCTAATAACCTTGTTCGTCTGTTTCTCGAAAATATTCCAGTCTTTGTCTTCTTTGAGTCTTTTAGCCCACTTTTAAAGCAGTACGCTCAGCAATACCGCTTGCTAAGCGGCCAGACTTCGCAGCATTAAAGAGCTTCACTTTGTTCATATACACAAACAGAAACTTATGCTCGTTAGAGTACTTGTTGTATCTCTTGGCTTGCATCTTAACAGTTCTTGCAACATCCCCCATCATCGCATCCAACTCCACGTCAGGCTCCTGCTCACTTCCTTGTACTTCGCAATACTGTCTAATACGAGCTAAGGTGGTTAACTGAAACTGAATTACATTGTCTTCCCACTTCATAGCATTATCTTCCTGCTCATTAAAACACTTTTCCTTGTCCATCTTCGTAATAAAAGCGAACACTCATTTTCTCTATGGTCTTTGTTGAATTAAAAGCGAATTTTAAAGAAGAGAAAACCGCCGCCTTTTGGGAAGCCGCCCAATGGCTTTTTTATTAGCCGCCCTTTTTTTGAAATAGCCGCCTTTTGGCGTTGGAGCGACTGTGCCCTTTCCTTTTTTCTTTTTACCAAGTTTTACCCAACATGTCCCAAGCATCAGGATCCATTGCCAGCAGAATCACTCAAAAGCTCGGATCACCCGAATTTCGCAACTATTTGATGAGGTTAGTTGCTCAGAGAGCTACAAATTTACAAGCCCTGTGAAGAAGTCCCAGTTGTTATGTATTTAACTTCTTTTTGCTTCTTCTTTTCTAGCACCGTATGTAACTATAATTTTATCATAGGGTCGCGCTATATTTTCATACGACGAAGTATAAACTGACGTGTCGTTACCTTTTGAATAGCACTTCTGGGGCCCTGTTGCTAACTGGGGTATTCCTCTTGCTGCCATTGCTGATTGGAAGAAGGATCCTGCATACATTTCGGGCAACATGACAGTTGGTAAGAAAGACTTATTCTTATAAAATTTAAAGGGGAAAACTCTCTATTGACATTGTTGGAATATACAGCTTTGTGTGTCTACTCTGGTCTTTTCATGCGCTTTGCCTTGGCAGTACAGCCCACGAACTACTTGTTGTTTGCTTGCCACGCTACAAACGAAGTTGCTCAGCTTGTCCAAGGCTACAGATACCTTCAATATAACAAGTAAGTATTTTTGTTAACGGGAAATTTCGGGATCACAACATTGTGTGCGAGTGTGTATGAGAACAACAGGAAGCCAAAAAATACTCACACAATATCTTTTAGGTTTGGTGACAACAAGGCAGCAGAACAAAAGCAAGAAGAAAAGCCTTCGACTGCTTAGATTCACCTGGTTTAGATTTTGTATAAAGTATATAAGAAAAGTATTAAAGAAAGGCAGTGAATATACATATATCTTTGTAGAAAAGGCATCATACAACAATTTAGTTCATTCTTTCTCTATCAACTATCACTTTGGCTATATATCCATGGTCGCTTTCGCATTAGCATTGACGCCAATAGCTTCAATGGCTCGTATGAACGCCTTGCTGTCGATAGAACGTTGGATATTGAGGTTGTAGAATGGATTGCATATTTGTGATAAGTAGGCCGAATGGATTTTTTTGAAAATCTGTGAAAAGGACATAAGAGTGCATTTTTCCCATAGTGAGCGTCGTTGTTGCCTGGTTGTATAGAGTCACAGCCAACGTAGAAAAAAGAATACGCTAGACGGGAGGGACAATTTCTCTTACTGCTTTCATTTCTGCATCGCGAATAATTCCTTCAGTTACCGATACCACGACAACAAACTTGACGCGCGTGTTTGTCATATAACCGTATCTAATCCATAAATCGAAATCAGCATGAAACATAGTATTATCTGGTCGGCTCTCTCTCTCTCAAATCCTCTTGAACAAGCATTAAGCTAGAAAATTCAGGAAACAACTGCTTACACGGCTAGGTCTTCCATGGCATATAGAAGGCCTAAATATAGGTCGAGGTTCTTCGGTCCACTAGCAACTGTATTTTTAAAGGACGTGTTAGAATAAAGCTTGAGGTGCTGATATAAAAACAACGATAACAAGTACAACTAGAGCGATTGAGTAATCTTTATTCTCTCTCGGAGAAGTACCGTACCGCGTTCTTCAATCACATCGATGGATGTGTGGGCAATGTAATGGTATTTTAAATCGGGATGTGTGTTGCTGAAGTTTTTAAGGTATAACGGATTGTTCTGTTTTCGTTCCAGTATTGGTAGAGAAATACGCTATATTAGCTGAATGTTTTACTAATTAAGACTGTACATGCGTAAAGTACCTGTTTGCCTATCAGTGCAATGCAGTTTATTTCGTTGCTCATCGTCGATTATATTATACAAGTGAATTGCAGCTAAAAAGAACTCCCGACTTAAAGCAGGCTCAAGTTACACGATAAGCTTTACAGCCTGCTGATTTCCACTCTCCCATCATTATTTTTATAGCTTATCACCCGTTTAAAACAAACAAATGGTAAGGCACGTAAGTGCTGCTTTTTTAATGTTTAGAAGAAAATAGAAGGCATTGGATAACATTATTATTACATGATCAAGTTTCGCAAAAAGGGTGAATAAACATGGTCTTATCTTCTTTTTTTTGTCTTTAGCTTTTTTTTTTAATATATACGAAGAGTGGGTATATGGTGGACGGTATACACAGTCGACGTCCTGGACAACACTTTTAGAGCTTCAAAAGTACCCAATTTGGAATGTGGCATGTAGTTGTATCGCGTAGGGGGTCCTCTCGTAGTGGTGTATATAATGATAGCTTGTTCTGAAAGGGAACCCCTTGTTGCCTTGAATATAAGAGTTTTCCTTCCATAATTTGTGTATTTTTTCTGTATGTGATGTTAAATATGTAGAGTGGCTTTAACGTCACTGGTGCAAGTGCCTACGATCTATCGAAAAGTATGATATCACTGTATGTAAGTATCATGCTTATTAGTTGAAGTGCTGAAATACAAGAATTGTATAAAGCACTATATCAATATACCTGACGAATGCTGCATTTTTTTCTGTTACAACTTGTTTTTCGATTTTGCGATCATGCACGTCAGCGTGGTATATACCCTAGTAGGCATCTAAAGATCTGTGAGCACTTACAAATAAGAGAGAGTAGCGAACACGCTGGATGCTTGCCAGCAGTAAAAAGTAAAAGCTTAATATTGTTATATCACACCCTTCTATCTTATACTGTATACATCTAATATGTTTGAAGAACATAATTATTTCTACCATAATAAAAATATCAAATAAGCTTCACTGATTTGCGAACATGTTGGCGGCAACTGTCTTGCCGAATTTTTCATTATATAGGGACCATCATAAATGACATAGTCTTCCGTAAAAATAGAAGGCAGATCGACAGTATTAAAGACGCAAGAAAAGTAGGTGTCCGCAAAAGATAATGCGTGCTGTATGCAGATAATTTCTTACTTATGGTGTATCTGGGCCTACCAGGAACAGTCAGCAGACTCATGGCTTCTCCCCCTGAAAAGGATGCAACCTTAGCACAGAAGTCCGTGGGCCTCAACCTGGGGAACCCAGGATGACATGGGCGTATATTGCCCAAAACAAGCGTGTCTCTCTTACGCATCAGTCGACACCTCAAAACACACCATTGACGATCATGGTTGGTCAGTTCTGAAATCACATGACGCAATTGGCGCTTTACCGACTGTATTATAAATATATACATATACATATACATATACATATATATTTCAATGCTCCCAGAGTCCCTGCACGCGGTTTTACAAGTGGCATCCGCTCAATATCCAGAAGATACAAACGCCTTCACTCATAGCGAAGGGTCTCGCAGAGCCTCACTAGAAATGAGTTTTGATCTCGACATGTTCTTGCAGCGAACACAGCAATCGAGGAAGACAAAACCCGCATTCGTGCTATCTGAGCTTTACCAGTTGACGCCGTTACGAAACGTCTTCGCCTCACGCATCTCCTTCCAGTAGGCCTTCGTTTGTTGTGTGAGGGTCTAAAAGAAAGCCTTGTGCCTTACAGACGTGTGATATACTGTGACCGCGAACCCAACGAAAGCCTTTTCATGGGTAACGGCTAAGTCGTCATTGACTGTACCAGATACTCGAGGACAATTTTTTTGCAACTCTCCCGCTCAACATCGTTTGGATAGGAGAATACATATATAAGTTCTATGCCACACGGCATAAGTTGCCTCAACTCTGTACCTGTCGTCACCAGCCTGAACATCATTGCAGTGACTGCATCGAATACAAAACAAATGTGATATGCTACAACTGCCGCCACGTCGTAGGACACATAGCTCGCGAATGCCCACATCGCATGACCGTCGATAATAACTAGGATTTTCACAAAAGAAGTTGAACATCAACAGAAAAGCAGCAGGCACCGGCTGCTAAAACAAAGGCATCAATTTTCGAGCAAAAGCAAATGTACAACATCTGCAGTGAAGGAACTGTCAACCACATCCAGCACCAACCTCAGACACAATAACTCTGGCAACAACATCTACACATGCGCCGACACCAACGACACCAACGCCAAAAAGGAGGACGACGAGAGACGGATCAATGGCGACTATAGTAACAACAATGGCAATGCATAACACGACGATGATTAGGATAATAAAGAGGACAATACATCGCATGAAGATGAAAAGGATCGCCAGGACAACAAAGCGGCAGTGATCGAACCCAAGCTCCCGCTGAGCTGCACAAAGTATCTTTGATCTCACATATTATCAGCTCTGTCTTCTCCAACATTATCTCTACCTTTGAAAAGAATACTACGTTGGACGACGGCCCCGCTAAAGGCGAAGACCTCGGTCTTGATCTTTACGAGCTTTCTCTGTCAGAGGCAACTCGGACGTCTGTACTATGTCGGAAGCCAACAAACAGCGAATCATTCCATAACCACCCCTCTCCGCTCGCTTTCTTTGTTTTAAGATATGTACACGTGAATGTATCTAGTAAATTCGTTCAGAAAATGTTTTGAACAATGATTTTGATATCTGGTCGGCATCAAAAGGTAGGATTAAGTTTTTCTATACATTGATATGTTCGGTATGGCGGGTGTACTTTATTGTCGAGTCTTAATATCCAAGACATGAAACAAAATATGATTTTTGCATGAGAGTATAGGGTGATTGTGCGTGGATTGGGAAATGAAGAGATATAAATTACAAGTTTTGGAGTGTACACAAGAATAAATGACGGGCAAGAAAAGGGTGTGCGAAATAGGGAGAATGAGAGGGCAAGGAAAGGCCAACATACAGGAAAAGAATAAATTAGTACACATCAGTTAGTAGGCTACTAGACAATGTATACCAGTGTACAGTGTGAAAGAGATTCAAGATTTAACTCACCAAGGATTGAGTAATGGAACAAAGGATGACGAGACGGTGGGCAGCATACATGATGTTCTATTTCTAGTTAGTAAACATATCTTCTATACTACTTCATGACACATGATGATGAAGAAGAGGCCACAAAGCATAGTAAAAAGACGGGCTTACCACCTATAATGTAATATAAACAGAGTGAACACACATGTCAGTATCATACTTAAAAGATCCTTTCCCCCTTCTTTCAAGAGACACTCTTCCCTATAACCCTCGAAAACAAAAAGAAAATCATATTTTTACTTACAGTTGGCGGGCAGCCCACGAGGTACTACGCCACATTGGGGCGACAGCCACAGCTAGACTACATAGAGCACCACACGATAATTATTAGGAAAGGATAATAACTCTGTATAAACGGAGGTGAAAGTCTTACCAAATCCATGTCCGCTGTGGCGAAACAAATACTCTAGCGCATATGGCTAGGCTTGTGGTTGGGGCCAGGCGCCTCTGTAGGATATAGTAGCGGGAAGAACCGTTAATAACAACATCACGATAGATAGCGGCGGGTAATGGAGAGAGAAAGCATCATGTGTGTAGCATAGAAAAAAATACTTACGTCGTGTACAGAGAGTGAGGGAGAGCAAGAGAGCTATTAAAAAAAAGAAGAGGCTCGATCGTGAGTAATCGATACCACCATCATCATTATCTTTGACACATACTGTGTACACTTTTGCTTCTCTCCTTTTTTTAAAGCAGTAACACTTACACTGTTGTTAGAAATAAGAATAGCCTACCAACTGATGTGTACTAATTTATTCTTTTCCTGTATGTTGGCCTGTCCTTGCCCTCTCATTCTCCTTATTTCGCACCCCTTTTCTTGACCGTCATATATTCTTGTGTACACTCCAAAACTTGTAATTTATATCTCTTCATTTCCCAATTCACGCACAATCACCCTATACTCTCATGCAAAAAGCATATTCTGTTTCATGTCTTGGATATTAAGACTCAACAATAAAGTACAGTTTGCTATCCAAGAAAGCAAAACCATGATATCCATGTTGATTCGCGACTACAAAATTCACGCAGGTCCTAGTGGTGTAGAATACCCGACTGTTGGTACTGCATACCATTAAGAGAAAGTAAATAGCATGTCTTGCGGTTATAGCTGGCGCGGTCATTGTTACTGTAATCAAGCAATAGCCTTTTTTCTACTCTGTGCTCCTTTCTGAATTAAGTTTCTGCATGGACCACTTTTCAGTTCCCGTCTTTTTCTTTTTTAGGCGGCACGCTTGGGTTCTTTTTTTATTTGTCTTGGATCCTTTTTACAAAAACGATTCACATGCCCGAAGAATCAAAAAAAGATCTACTGTAAGATGACTCCTCTCTTCCAGCTTTTATATTAATACTGTGCCCCTTCTCTTTACACCAAACAACAAAAATGGAATGGAAAAAAGCTAATCGTTGAAAAACAACGTCAGATTAGTAGTAGTGAAGAAGAAAAAGAAAAGCTACTACGATCGATCAAAGCCAATGACCATGTTGCTCCACAAGACTTTATTCTGATTAGCGAATTTTCCGAGCTCGAAGGACCACTTCCACTAGCTGTAGTTTCCGAGCATTTTTATTTCGATTTAAAAGACCAAGAACGCAACACGAGACGACGAGAAGAAGCGCTTCATGAACTGGGACTACAAGATTTCGACTTTAATGCGTTTGTGCTGAGAATTGTTTCGGTCGATCAGACATCCGATGAGTTTGAGTAAAGCGAGATCTTTTGTTTTGATCAATGTTATCTCTGTGATGATGATAATCTTTCACTTAGTAATGGGTTGTGTATTTCTTATTAGGCATCCTGATCTTGAAGCAACAGCTGGCATGTTTTCTATACCGGATGACACTCAAGTATATACCACCGATGCCGAGAATCAATTCTTTGCTTTCGTGAGTATAGCCTTTACTATGTTCTATGTTTGCTGCACACCCTAAGATTTGCCTGCCCTTTGTTTAATCATTTCCTTTTATGACCACAAATTCAAAGACCCATCATTTGGCATTGTTCGACATCAATGCACGTGGCTATGTTCATCCAGTGGCACTATCTTATATCACGTGCGATCCTGAAAAGATCGTTTGGCGATTTGAAGATTTCAGTGAACGGTTTAATGAGGTAAACGATCCATCTACATACTTGATACTATTGCCGATGATTTGGAGAACACAGAAGAATAGCTTTGGTTGGTTAGAGGGACGGGATGAAATGGAAAGTTTTGTGGTATTAATAGACCATTAAATCTTAGGTGTCACGACTGATGAAAAAAGGCAACTTTTCAAATTTTGCCTTGGATTTGAAATGTCGCCTGATGGATTTGGAGTACACGCAAAAGCGAATATCGCATGATGAGGAAAAGGCGCAGTGTAATATATCGGTAGAAGCTATGCAGCAGGCCATCACAGTCACGCGACTGATGATCGACACTGTCGAATCGTACCTTGTTCAATTACCGCATGAATCGATCCCGGAATTGTTATCGGAATACAGCAGCACGACTGGCGGCAGTGGATCCAGGAAAGCATCGGATGGTTTTATATTACCAGCCACGCCCAACTCTTTGCCTGAAACGCCGACAAGCGAGAATATTGCGAAACAGCATGAAGGATCGGTGTTTCCGCTACTGGCATTAATGCCGCAAGGTCATGAGGATCAAGTGAAATGTCTATTTGAGGAACAGCGAGGAGATTATGAGGTAATGACGGATGTATAATTCAGCCTCCCTTGATACGTGTGAACGGTTAAAGGAGACAGAGAGTGGTCGGGATGAAAAGTTTTAAAACAAAGCATTACTCGGGTATTAGCCCAAGTTTGTAGATACATTACATCCAGTAGCGCATTTTGAACGCAAACTAAGATCACTTGCTCAGCTCTGCCAAGAACCCAAGCAACAACAACAACAACAGCAACAGCTACCATATCAAAAACGTACTAGTTTGCCAGCAACAGTGATCCCACTTGTATCCGCTATCGAGCCCCCTAGAAATAATAGCAGTAGTAGTGTGGAAGACGAAGAGCAATTGAAGCCGACATTTGCAAGCACGATTACCCAGGACATGTATGCTGAGGCGATCAAATATATGACTGAGATGACGCATGATTTTGGATACAGCAGCGAGATATTGGATCTGATTGAGGATGAGGAAATGTATCTGCAGCCACCTTCTGGAGTTTTACTAGTGGGTCGGACATTTGTCATGAATATGAAGAACCCGCAGCTGAGACAACAGCAAGCACAGCAACAGCAAGCACAGCGGGAGCCAATCATGACAAACGAGGAAGAGCGCAATGAAAGCGAACAAGAAGAGGAAGAAGAATCCAGCCTGCCCGAGAAATGTGCGCATAGCATCCTTTGGCATCATCATGACTACGACAGTGAGGACGCTACTAGTCAAAGCCCCGGCGTGCAGCATCTCGAAACACTCAACCAACTTGGTGACACGCTTCCTCATTTGATTTTTGCTCTTTTGACAGGCCGGCCTGTTGTTGTCATGAGTGACGTGTGCAGTAAACAGTATGTAATTTTATTTGTTGTTCTGTTTATTTGTTGTTGTTTGTGAAGTATACAATAGTGTTGCGTTGATACAAGTGTATGTGCGTGTGCATATCTTACTACGCCCTTTCTTCCTTTCCCCCCCCCCACCTTCCCTCGGCGAGGCACCTATTTATCATACATAAAAACTAATACAAAACAACAACAAACAGACGTGTCCAGAACACGGTTCGGGCACTTTCTGCATTTGTACCCAGCCAGCCCAAAAAACCAACATCCTCAACATCAACAACAACACAGCAGCAGCAGCAGCAGCAGCAGCAGCCAGACATGCTGCTATGCCACTGGTTTGAAAAGGACAAATTAACGGATACTGAACTGGATTCCATCAAGCTCGTGGGAGCAGCCAAAGCCAGCATTGATGCAAGCATCTACAAATTGGATATCAGCTGCCTGGACATATCCGACGAGCGGCATCCAAACCTTGTCACTAGTCCACTTTATCTTGACGGCTACTGGATCAACCAAATCGTGGATCGTCTCCAGTACTTCACTGTAAGTAAAGTTTCAGTTCTTTATGACTTACATACACCCCGCACCCACCCCAACATTTAGAGAGCTAAATGGGGTGAATCGACTTTTAATATCAGTCGGACAAATCCTGGTTTGCTTATCTGCAAACAGTCTTTATGGCCATGGCGTTAAAGGCTTATATATACCATCACATGTATTCCATGGAAACACAACGGCTCAGTAGCACAACAGTAACTTCACTTACAGCAGCTGCAGCCGCAGGTCTGGATGAATTAAACAACAACAATTTCAAGACAACAACATCCAAAAGCGATTATTGGGACTCGTCGTCGTCAGAAGGTAGCGGGCTTACCAAAAAGTGGAGCGTACGGCGGATCATGAGCTATTTACGGCGGATAGAGGAGCGCGAGGATGGTGCTAACAACAGTGAGGCATTGACAACAGTGGTGGAGGACAAGAGTGCTCTTGATCCCATTGCTGCTGCTGCTGCTGCTCCTCCTCCTACATCTATCCTGCCACCATCGTCGTCGTCGTCCGACGTATACCATAACAACAAAAGCAACAGCAAGTGGGACGATGACGAAGCAGAGTCAGATGAAAGTAGTACGGACGGCATGACGTTAAATGAACGTCGGGGTCGAAGATTCCTTGAGCAGAAGCTCGGTATTCATGGCGACGATCAAAACATTGTTATAGTAAGTCCACACCTTCCTCCCGGCATTTTGTTTAGTTATCAGAAGATCAATTTGCGCACTAGCAATATGTGAATTTGACTAAACGTGTTGCATTAGTACTTTTCCAGTTCCATTTTGTAGAAAAACATCATCGAGCATCCCACGCTTCCATTATTCTTCTCCATTACCCTCATTTGCTTTCTTTCCACACCTCGAGATATTTACCCCCACCCCCAAGCATTGCGTGTAACCCAATCCAAATCCCAATTAGCTGTCAATCATGCTGATCCGTTTTGCGTATACCATAATAAGAAGTAAATGAGAATTTTTGAAACATGGATGGATTCGGCTCGGTGAATAATGTCAAAAAAAGAGACAATCAATAGCAATTGATCCGAGAGAGTGTTTGTTTACACCTTTTTCGCATTTTGTCAACAAACACACATCAAGCCATGGCTCACAAACACAGTTTGTTGTTGCTGCTGCTTTCGCTAATTGCCTTGACAGCAGCAATCATTCCCACAGCACGAGGCGACAGCAACAACGGAAATGACAATGATAGCGACAAACAAGGCAACGTATCGTTTGACGACGATGACAGCACGCCATTGATGAAAAGCGACTTGACCGGATGGGATTACCCAATGCCAAAAGCACAAGATCCACCACACACTGTGTCGAACGCCACATTTCCATTTGTCGTGGTTGACCCGGCCGCGCTGCGTGAAAATAAGCAGCACATGCACGACTTTGATCGGGGGTTACAGCACGCGCTGTGGTTTTTGAAAAAGAAAGCCGACCGGTACGCCAGCAACGACACGGTATTTTCTGTGGTGCACAAATCCATTGCCGTGCCCGGCGCGGGCGACAAGCACGATTACATGTCCTTGGCCCGCTATTATTGGCCGAACGAGTCACAACCGCACGGGATGCCGTACATTCGACACGACGGCAAGGTCAATCCCGAAATCCACAAAGTGCCCGACTATACGCAGTTCCGCAACCTGGTCAAGCATGTCCAGTTTCTGGCTCTGGGATACCATTACTTTGACAACGAAACGTATGCTGAACGTGCGACGCAACGCATCCATGATTGGTTTATCAATCCAGAGACTCGCATGAACCCGCATTTGCAATATGCTTCGCTGGTGCGCGGATATAACACGGGCCGAGCCAAGGGGATCATTGATTTCCATGTCCTGCCGGACTTGCTGGACAGCGTGGCGATCCTTCAGTACAGTCAAGCATGGCAAGAATACAAAGGGACGACGAACGCACATATACGGTACTGGTTTGCACAATACATCGAATGGCTCACCGAGAGTCCCAATGGCATCTATGAAATGGAGTCGCACAACAACCACGGAACATATTACGATATCCAAAGAGCCGCAATATACCGTTTCTTGGACAAGGCCGATTTGGCACGCCAAGTAGTGGTGAATGCCTCGGCGGCGCGTGTTGCACAACAGATCCTGACATCGGGCGAACAATATTTGGAAACGGCTCGTCCGACGTCTTGGTTATATTCCATTTTTAATCTCAAAGCCTTGTTTCGACTCGCCCATATCAGTGACCAATTGGGCGTGGATCTGTATGGGTACACGACCGTGGACAACAAGAGCATCAAAGCCGCATTGGACTTTGTGCTCCCTTATGCGCTCAACGAAAGCTCTTGGTCGTTTGCCAACACGGGCAATTTCGAATCAACGGCGGATCTTGTGGAGGTCTTGGAGATGGCGTATATTGCTTACAACAATGAAACGTATCTTGCTACTGCGAATGAGTTGGCGAATGAGCATAACCGGCCGTACAATATCACGCGGCTGACGATGCCTTGGTCAGACCTGGGGGATCATTCGACGCGTGCTCAAGAAGGCTTTGTCAAAAACAACGGTGCTGGAGCAAGAGCATATTATGCAGATGAGCATTATGTGTTGATATTAGGGGTGGTGTCCCTTGTGGTAGCCACCCTTACTGTGTGCATCTTTTAATAACGGTTAAAATAAGTAAAATGTAAATAAAGAAGGGTTTTGCATATACATCAGAGAAAAGGGAGGAAATTATAATAAAAAAAGATATTTTTACACGACATGCAATGTATGTAGCTATATGAAAAAAAAAATATAATGAATCTTTTGATTGTTATAACCAGCCGTTGGCTGCAGCAACTATCTTGGCGTCCCGTTCATACGCGTTCCAGATCTGTAGTAAGCGCTTGATGGCGGATTCCATCACTTGTGAATCACCTGTTAAAGAAGCACGTTGTTCGTTAGTCTTGTTGTGAAAGTAGCGTGATGGGGTTGGTTCTATGTAAATAATGCGTGTTGTTGTTTACCTTGTTTTAAGACAAAGTTGATCTTGACGCGGTCCTCTTGATGATGTTGATGATGTGCTGCTGTTGTTGTTGTTGCTGCTGTGGCTGGATCGATATGACACAGAAAGTGGATGGCTTCCTCCTGCTCCTGCATGCTGTTCTGTTGTTGTTGCTTTTCCTGTTGTTGTTGCTGCTGTTGCTGCTCTTGAGGCTGCTGCTTCTGTTGGTCTATAAAGGGCAGTATCAAATATGTACGAGTAAGTAAGGGCAATGTTAGAAACAACAAAGGAGGAAAAGGGGAAGAAGGGGGGGGGGAGGAGGAGGAGGGTTACTTACCACCAAAGAACAGGGAACCACTCCAGACAATCTGGCCAGTAGGGTAGATCCGGCCACTTAATTTGCCATCGAAATGCTCCTCCAGTATTTGATGCAACTTTCCTGCTGCCTCGCATTCATGCTTGGCCGGTCGTTCAAATGCAAACACTCTGCTTTGCTTGTGTCGTGAGCTACTAATGATACGGTCCGTCCACCAATCCCATGCTGAGTCAAGCCAGTTGAGTAGGGATGTTTGTTGCCTTTTACATGTACTTGCTGATGATGATGTTGATGATGCTGATGTGGATGCTGTAGATGATGTAGATGCAGAAGAAGAGGAAGAAGAAGAAGTAGTAGAGGATGACGATGAGGTTGAGGATGACGATGAAGAAGAAGAAGAAGATGGACGAGTGGTCATGGTTTGTTTGAGTCGTTGTAGTTGATCTTGTGCACTGGATGCCCCGACAAGCGTTGTCTGTACATGAGCAAACCGAACCAACACTGGGTCTGCGGGTTTGGTCAGCATGTCTTCGTCTGGAGACCGTTGCTGGCTACTACGATTTGGACATGCGTGTCGTCTATCCAAACTCAATGTATGTCGATGTTGTCGTTTGAGCTGCTGCTTTTCTTGTTGTTGCTGCTGTTGCTCATTGCTATGTAATTATGTGGAAGGGGGGGGAGGAAGGTGGTGTTATTAAATGTTTGTTTGTTTTGCTTGCTTGTTTGTTTTTCTCCTTGGAATTCCTTTCAACTTACAAGAGTCGCTTCTTGAACACTTCAACTGGATGATGGATCTCATAATACCATGACAGATCCAAATCAAAGGCAGGTATGCTCTTGGGAGTCGGTGGCAGGTCAGCAATAGTTCTGCTCATGGTGTCGACGGTCGAGTCACGCATGGAGCTATTGCAGTCTTCACCTGGACGGCAGCAGTATGGATGGCGGTTGCAGTGCGGGGTTAGGGGAGGTGTCATTGGAGCAATCGAGGATCCATTGTCCTCGCTTAACGGAGTAGACGAATGCAGTATGTTGCTGTTGCCTAGTTACACATCAGTGACGTTTAAGGATGAATTTAGGAGTTAGTTCGATTACACACACACACTCACTCTCTCTCTCTCTCTCTGCATAAGCGTATTAGGTCCTGAATAAATAGTTTAAAGAAGGGCACTCTACCATTCTCCTGACGCCACGCGCGCTGTTGTAATAGTCGACATGTGAGTTTAGGGACATTCGTTCTAATATCATGGCGGTTAGTAACAAGTAAGAAAAGGAGTTGGTATTGGATGTTATGCAGCCTATCAAGTGAGGTTTTAGCCATTTACCCGTCTTTTCTAAGAGCAGCCAAAAGATCATCCTGACTACAGTCGCGCCACAAGACCTTGAGGGTTTCCCAAATGCGGCCGTCCAAATCGGTTGCGTCCGCGATGACGGGTCGCCGCAAGTCCTGGTCATGCAGGGGATCATGCGGCTTGGGATGAAGTGGCAAGGAATCTGGGAAGCGTAGGTCGGAACCCAGGAATGACTTGTTTGTCAACCAAGGATGAGCCAGAACCGCATCAAGCTGAAAGGGCAAAAATAAACCGTATTGTATATATATATTAGAGTTTCATTCTGCATATCAGATTTGGGATATGCCGATAAACGCTGAGTGGGGTGCCCCCACCTCCCCGACTGGCAAAGATAAACTCCTATTTGCACCGACTCAAACACACACACACACACACACTCCTTTTTAAACTTACGCTGATACGTTTGCAAGGATCCACGACAAGCATGCTTTTGATGAGATCTCTAGCCTCGCGCGATACATTGGATGGTAGTGGAATATAGCGACCGGCCTTGATCTTGGACAACAGGCGACTGACACTGTCGTCGTCAAAGGGGAGATGGCCAGTCAACATGGCGTACAGAATAACGCCGCATGACCATACATCTGAGGCCGGGCCATAATAGTGCTTGCCCTAAAAAAGCAAATGTGTCAATGGGGGACCGAGAGACAGAGACAGAGAAAGAGATATACGAGCTTGTACTGTGGATAATAATAGAACACAAAAAAAACAGATACTGTGTATATATAAAATGGTAGTGTGCAGCTACAACAGCAGCAGCAGCAGCAGCAGCACTAGCAGCACCACCACCAGTAGCAGCAGCAGCAGCAGCAGCAGCAGCTAATGCAGCCTTTGCAGCTAATGCAGAAGCACAAAGTATCGAGTAAAAGAGCTGCCCACAAACAATTATGTGGTCGAGAATATAAGAGATTATATTACAAACACTTACCCTCACTATTTCCGGGCTTGCATAGTGGGGGGAGCTGCAATACACACACGATGGAAAACAAAAAGAGGTGTTTGTTAGATATGCTAGTGTGTGTATGTGCGTGTTGTGCAGATCGTAAATAGAACAAGAACGAGCCAAGTGGGAGCTCCAACAAGGATGTAAACTAGACATACCCGCAGCTGGTCTGGAGGAGTGCATCCGGCGACTGGATGGCGGCCATGCCAAAGTCTGCAATCTTGACATGCTTCTGTTCCTTGTCCAGCAAGATGTTCTCGGGCTTCAAGTCTCGATGGCTTTTGTGTCATAAAAGATATGTGTCAATGAATACAAACTAGCGAACGGAAGAATGAAAAGTGTGTTGTATGTGACATACCAGATATGATGTGCATGACACCAGGCCAATGCGGTTGTCAATTGCCGAAACAAATGCCTGGCCTCGTCTTCAGGCAGCTTGCCCCGTCGGGAAAGGACCTGGAACAGCTCACCACCCTCCATGTACTCCATGACAAAGTAGACGTTCTGGGAGTCTTGCAAGACCTGGCGGAGATCGACAAGGTGAGGATGGTGCAGCAATTGCAAGACAGCCAGTTCGCGCTGTACACAGCGGGCCATGGTGGACGACGTGGCCAGCTGGCTTCGTGAGATGACCTTGATGGCCACCTGTTCGCCTGTATGCCGATGGATCCCCATCTTGACTCGACCTGCAGCAAAGAGAGAGAGCATGATTGTTTTTTAGTTATTATTTTGGTTCTTTTTTCCATTTATGTCACATTAAGGAGCCCTTGGTCTTTCTTTTTCCGATGTGCTAGCTTGTTGCTACATTACGATCGTGGGGGGGGAGGTGGTGGGTGTGGGGGTTAGGGTTGTCAGGAGAGGGAGAGCGAGCGAGAGAGGGGAGTCACAAGACATGGACATATAGAAAAAAAAAAGTATGCCTGTCAAACGTATCTCTCATAGTTACAAAATAGGAACACGTTGCTGCATAATAAAAAAAAAATAACAAAAAAAGTAAATAGAAAGTAGATGAATAGGAGGGCAAGAGATGCGCGCTATGTGGTGTGCTGTGCGGGGGAGGGGTGTGTGTGTGTGTGTGTGTGTGTATATGGAAGATGCAAAAGGCTAAACATACGCATACATGCTGTATGTACACGGCAGAAAAAGGGAATAACAATTGAATGGATGTCGTTCCGTATTATTACGCTCATCGGACATCACGATGACTGGTATACGGCATGCGTATGAACAAGGCGATATGTACAATAAGGAAAGAAGAAGAGAAGGGAGATAGGATTGGTAGTACTAGTAGTAGCAAAGGTGCGTGTTGGAAGGTCAATGGAATGATTGAATCGAGGAAGGAGAACGCGGTCCCTTTATCGAGCCGAAATAGGCAACTGAAGATGGTCTCTTTTTGCAATATATAGAATATCTCGTTCTATGTTCATACACTTTTCCTGGTTTCGCCCAACATGTAGAAAAAGAAAAGGGGGGGGGGAAGGCTCCTTAAAGAAAGAAGAAGGAAAATCAATAATTGAACGTACCCGACGCACCACGTCCAATGGTTCTGCCCAAGTAATAGTCGCCAATCTCTCGTCGTTTCCGTGATATTGGCAATGCTGCTGGTCGATGTTTAGTAGTATTGCCTTCAGCATGGTGGTGGCTGTGACGATTGTGATTGTGGTGTTTCTGGTGTTGTGCTGGTTGAGGTGTTGCGGGGGTGGTGGTGGTATGGCGTGTGATGTACGTCATGAATGGCATGCTTGGACAGAATATGATTAGTGGTAGTAGTGCTGCTGCTGTTGTTGCTGCTGCTGTTGTTGCTGAATTACAACGTAAGGATAGTCGCTTGTTGATTGAATAAGTAGTATATTAGGTTATGCTGGAATATATTATGCTGAGCTTTCTTTCTAGCGGTTGTTGTTGTTGTTGTTGTTGTTAATCGGATGTGCCGGCACAAATGATTAAAACGATATTAGTTGTACAGGGTTAAGAAAGAAGAAGAAGAAGAAGAAAGAAAGAAAGAAAAGAAAGTCGTTGTTGTTTGAACAAAAAAAAAAACGTTTTGCTTGCAGAGAAAGTGCTGCGTGAATATTTTAAATGACGAAAAAAGAAATAAAAAGAAGAGAAAAAGGAAAGTGAAAAGGTTTGAAAGGGTGTATTTTAAATAGAATGGCTGGAAGGGGGTTGGTTGTGTGCTTGCCTACAGGTCACGAACGTAGGGGAGAGAAACTGTAGGAAAGAAGCAGAGCGTTATCTGTAATACGCAGCACTCGTCGTCATCATCTTCATCAGCAGCTGGCAGCTCGCAGCATCAGGCACCACCTATAATGTGAATATTACATATGCAAGGTGACCCAACTATAAGTTATTTTTCGCTCGACGCCCTGCTGCGTGATGCACCCTGAAAAAAAAAAAAGAGAGAGAGAGAGAGAGAGAGAGCCGCAATTCTTTTTTTACTTTCCAGTCTATGCATCTGCACTTGCTTATAAGTAAATGATACAAGCCCCATTGCTGACAGTCCAGTAAGTAAGTAGAGTCACGAAAGAAGGCTGATTCATTTATTACTATGTATAAAAGAGACATCCCACAGCAAGCAGCAAGCAGCAAGCAGCAACAGCAGCAGCAGCAGCTAGCTAGCTAGCTCATGTGGGGTATACAACATGGTGGTGGTTTCTTGTTCTTTCTGGGGCTATGTTGTGATGTGCTAGAAGGAAACAAAGTGATGTGCGGAGTCCCCCGGTTGGAAGAAGAAAAAAAAATAAGGGGGGGGAGGTGCCTTGAGAGGAGGAAATATGCGAATGAATATTATATAATAAGATGCGTGTCGTGTAGTAGATTATATGCTGCGCGCGTCTAGTAGTAGTCCTTGGTTCGTTCGTCGGAAGCCAGTCTCGAGAGTGAGAGAAAGAGAGAGAGAGAGAAAGTTGGATACCAGCTTAGGTTGGGTTAAAAGGATGATGATGATGATACATGTGCAGTCGAGCACTTGCAGCTGGAGGCATATGCAGAGTACACATTTGGTTATACTGATTTCAGCAGCGATGCCAGTCCAACCAGCAATATGCCGACGAAAAAGAACACAGACACATAGCGCTGCTGTGGGTCCGCCTTGATTGCCTGGGGAAGCATGCTCTATAAATAATAATAATAAGAAGAATAGCAACAACGATCCCATTTCAAACCAAGAAACGACAACGGTTTTTTTGTTTTTGTGTGTTGTGGAATCATGGCAAAGGGGGGGGGATAGAGAGAAGGGGGCACACAGGGTCAGCTAAGCTATTCTGCTCCGAAAATAACGATGCACAGCAACACACCACACAGAAGAGGTAGTAGTGTCAAATATGCAACTCTTTTTGAAAGGAGACCGCCGTTTCTCTCTCTCTCTCTCTCTCTTTCTCTTTAAGCTCTTACCTGCACAGCAATAAGCGACATCATTCCGCTCACAACGCCAAACGTAATGCCAAACAACGCATCCTGCTGTTCCTGGGTTACCGTGTCCAGCGCAACCACCCCAAGCGCCGCTCCAAGAGGTTGCGACATCCCGCCCAGCAACGCGGCATAAAAAAAGGCGCGGACTCTGGATTGGGTGGCAAAGTACAGAGGCATTGCAATCATGAACCCTTCAATGAAATTGTGGATCGTCATTGCAAAGCACACGCTCACTCCTATCGTCTCGGATGCTTGTCCGGATATGAACATAATCAAGCCCTCTAATAGGTACTACAAGGTGAGTTTGACCCACACTCTCTTCTTGTTCAGCAAACAGGGTCAAGTGAGAATTACCTGGAAATTTGTGGATGCAGATGGCAACAGCGGTCTGGATACCAATACGGAAATAGTCATCATTTTCTGGGTAGGGTACGCCATCCGTACCGGTGGTCACAGCAGCAGCAGCAGCAGCAGCAGCAGTAGTAGTAGTAGTAGTAGTAGTAGTAGGAGTGGTAGCAAAAGTCGGGTGGTGACGATGATCTCTTGATCGATACTGCTGCTCAACGTGTTGATCGTCCCAGGGTATTAGTCTTGTGCGCTCATTGGGGGATGCTATAGCGGCAGCGGATTTTGAAAACATCTGCTTTGTCTCGTCCTCTTCCTCTGGATAAGGTGGAGTGGAAGCAACGGTGGTGCTGCTACTTGTAGTGCTGGATTCCGAATAGCGATGGCTAGGGTGGTATTGATCATGGCTGTGGTGAATATCATCCGTTGAATGTGAATGGATGGCGTCAGGCGCCATGGAGTGGACAATACGAGTGATCACGAGGGTTGCTAGAATACCCACAAAGTAACAGATATAAACGCCGTAGTCCGACTGCAGCCGTACGCGAGACGCAGGTAATAATGTGTACAGAGCAGAAAATAACATGACTCCCGAGCCTAACGCCATCGAAGAAGCGACCACTGCTGGTCTTTCAAGCACTGGCGCGCATTGTGAAGACGGGTACACTAGGTCCACGAAAACGACCGAGGCTAATTCAAAATGTGTAGCCGAAACAGGAACAACATGTTTTAAATCCAGTCAACACACCGTTTCATTTAACAATAAAACAGTAACTTGACTTGTGCTTCAATTGCTATTACTAATAACTTGAACTTGAAAATTTACCTCCAAGGATGCAAGCAATGGACGAAATCAGGACCATAATCCAGGTATCAAATGTGCTGTAATCTGTGGTACTAATTGCATACATTATAGCGTGTGTGTGTGTGTGTGTGCTGTGTGTATATGCTGTGTGTATATGCAGTGGAATTAAAAGAAAAAAAAGACGGGTATTCGACAATAACAACAGAGGTGTCAGTGTGGAGAAGAGGGGAGAAGAGGAAGAAAAGGAGGCGGGATTTGCAGATGTGTCTGAGTGTGAGCGTGGGGACAACCTCGAAGGTCCTCATTTTTTATTTCCATAGTCACGGCCGGGGCGGAACAGCGGATTTCCATAAGAACCGCCATAGTTGTGTGTTGCACGAAAAAAAAAGCATCAGTTGAGTCTTTCATCTAAATTCGTGGGTCCTATGCTGGCCGGCAGTCTTTTTCTTTAATGTTGGCTCGTGCTGATGGGGTACTGATGAATGATAATATAAAAAGTTTTGACCATGTAAATAAAAGAAAAGGAGGGGATGAGGGGCCCACTCATCGTCATCATCAATAGCGTCGTTCCATGAACCGGTCAACCCGGAAGCTTTGCCGAGAAATCAATAAGAAATTTCTTCTTTTGTGCGCAGTCTGTAGAAATTTTTGTTAACCGTGATCATGCAGTCAAAAGGGCAAAAAGGGGGCCGACCGAAATCTTTTGCTTTTCGCGAACAGCACATCTCTTTATGCAAAAAAGAAAGTCAACGAGAGGCCGGTGCAAATGCATACAACAGTTATAGACAACAGACCCAGGAAGAAGAATATAATGGGATGTTCTATATATCATCCTAGTAGTTTATATGTTATATATCACCATATTAGTAAAATACAAAGTGTGCTGCTTCTCATCAGATTAGGACTGCCATGAATAGATGAATTTATAAGTGTTGCTGAAAGATACGCCTTATTTGGCGTGCTAACCAATAATGCATTGCGTAGTTTTAGTAGACGGTATATCCATATTCAAAACCCGTTCATTCCGACCTTCCTGCCTTCTCCTCCTTCAACTATTATCCACTACTACTGTACTACAACGCAATCTATAGGTTTAAAAAGTCAAACACTAGAGTTATTCAATAGTTCCGCCCGCTTGTCCGTTATACGCAGCTTCATCATGCGTGCATTCGATCAGCCTTATGTTGTTGACTACTCTCAACGTTGCTCGGAGATTTAGATGACTTTTTTTTTTTTTTTCAAAGAGTTGAGGGGGCGAGCGTATTAACTGTACAAAAGCAGATCGACGGTGATGCTCATCTGCCGAACTGGTGTCGGTTGAGAGTAACAATAACAAGATGAGTTACGGTAAAGATTGAGGAAGAGAGTATTTGAAGAAAATGGGCTTCATTGTAGGGTCGCTAAAACCATCGTTGCTTTTATACTTGTACCAATAAGAAACAATGTTCTAACGAAAAGGCTTTTCGCACCTACCATGTATACTGGTAGTCTTGGTTGATGATGTCTTTTTGTACAAACCATTGGCCGTGTCTCTCATATTACAGTACTTACACACATAATATACGAGACATTGTTTTCCTTTTCCACTTTGATTCTCTGTTCATTGTTTTAGTTACAATGAAAAATGGCTTCTCGTTGTTGCTAGTATTGTAACAGAAGAACCTCTTTCCTACGCATGATGAAACGACGAAAACAGTGGGCCTGCACAAAGGGAGTGAGTAGGATGGTTGCATGTATTAATAATAGCTATACTTGGATTGTACTCACGCACTGCCAATAGCTGATACCCAATGTGTTTCAGCAATTTACGTGTAAGTTGCTGGACACCTTAAAGCGCCAGTAACTACAATGATGTACGTTACCCCGTCTTTCTTTATTAATACCATTACACAGCAGATAAGATACAAAAATTATCGCCTTTTTTAGGACGATTTTATCAGCCTCTTCAATCGGTGCGATAACGACAATGATGTTGTGACAACGATGATAAGCCTATGTTTCAAGGAATCATCTTCGCACAATCATGAATTAAAACCCCGCTTGTCCCGTTTGGCGCGTTGGCATCATCTGTACGGGTGCGCGCAAAGAAATTGCCACGCCCACATTATTGTCCGTCAACAAACTATTATTCCGTGCCTTCGACACGCTGGCCATTGATCTCAATGAGCTGGACCTGTCGGTCGCTACGTGCCTGGAATTGCCTCTCAACGCAATATGGAAACCGGTAGAGGGTGTCGACCCCCCCAAAACAACCCGGTTTTAAGAATCTGTTGGTCAAAGATCTCTTCGTTTTCGACTACCATGTACGGCTACGTCGTCCAGCGGAAGAGTCTAGGTATCGATATCTGCTGTCTCGTATGCGGCAGCACCTGGGCCACAATCGCCTCACTCTCCAGCCTTTCTTCCCGCCGGTGGGACTCGCGAAGAACGCACAGTACATGAGCAACTTGAACTCGGTGTCGTCGACGCGTATGCTTTGCTCCAGCCTTTTAGGGAAGCTATGGCTCGAACTCAATGGCTATCGGGCTTTGCACTCCACCCTACCAACCACCAAAACTCTCCACCCGAATTGTCCCGAATTTTATGCCATCAGCAACCTGTCGTATATCTGTAACACGCGCGTAGAATCAGCACATCATTTTCTCTTTCATTGTTCCCCCCCAAGGAAGAAGTATGGCGCAGGGCCTGCCCCGGCATCGTCACTCACTCTGACACGACGTCGGAAATAAAACTTCGCCCTACTCTCTGGGCCATACCAAAAAAAAATCCATCTTTAGGGGTCTCCAAAAACAATTAGCTTGGTGGCAAGCTCCAACTAGCAAGATGCGACAATTGCACATTTGTTTGAAAATAGGAAGCATGCGACCAAGAAACGAATCGATCGCAAACGCGAGGCTGTTCGATGCAATTACGTTCATCTGCACTCAAATTTTTTTGACAGTGTACTCGGAACAAGCGAGCCGCCTCGCATAGTATGCGCCTACCATTGTCGCCAACGCAAAGGAAGGATAGGAGAAGCTTTTAGGCCACCAAGCATCAACTTACAAAATTGCTGACGAATACAACAAAGGTGGTGCAGGCAAAGTGCGCGGAGCCTGACACAGCGAACATCGCTTTTGGAGCAAAATACGAGCATGCCATGTCATTTTGTCGACCCCTAGTCAAGAAAGACGCACTGAAATGCATGTCTTGTATGAACATCAAGACCAACCAAAACTGCGATTTGATTGATATACAAAGAACAATGACGAAATTCTAATATTTGTACGATACTTGCTCATCGATACGTCGAAACTCGAGGAGACATCCAAGTGGAGCGCTATATTAGCTACTATCACAGAGAAGCTGCCACGGGTGCGACAATCCCGGAAGCCCGAGCATTGCCTGTGTTTATCAAAGATTACAAAAAGACTCGTCGTCAGGTTCTTAAAATTGAGACTGTCTCTGCTATTCCTGTCCTATCCATTGGCCGCTGGTGACATATCATGAAATCAAAGGCAAAATCATTGTATAAGCTCAAGACGTTGACATTGAATCTTTGCCCGGTTTTGAGGGTGAAATGACCCATTACAATAGTGCAACGTACCAGTACGAGTGTCAAGTAGGCGTCGGCCAAGCAGCATTTCACGAGCACAGTGACCTTGTCGGTATTGTCGCTGCAAACAGTAAACTCTCAAGACATTCATCCCAAGAAGCTGAACCAAAGATCCGATTTGAACAGAAAGTTGGCTCGCTTTCCGCCAAGTCATCAACATAATAACCAAAGACAAACGGTTTGCATACGAATAGAGAGGATGGAGTGTATGGGTACCATGGCTAGCGCCATTTATAGTATCGCATCATTTGCAAAGCATTGTTTACGTTAACCCGAACCTATATGATGTGGGCGAGCAAGATATTGAAACCTAGCGCCTGTAATTTGCGATCAATTACTTGTGGTGTGCGAGCACCAGGCGCACATGTATGCTAATGTTTACTCCATGCACATACAGTGTACAGATCGTTTTACTACAGGAGCAATAGAGAGCCTTCCATCCTTTAGCTTGGTAGTAACCCTTCTGTATGACCTCTTGTGGTGCTATCTTGTTTTGCAGTGTGTTTGTGTGTGTATGATAATGGGAGCATTATCATCATCACGGCTTATGCACTGCAAAATAGGCAATTAAGCCAACACACATACTACTTACCTCTCCAAGCGATAACCAATCAGATTGCGGGGACCCTATTCTTTTGATTTTGTCAATCCAGTTACATCCGAGAGAGTTTGGGCCTGACAATATATACGACCCGCTCAAATCTTTTTGCTCTCTCTCTCTTTCTTTCCCTTTGGCCAGTGAAATCAACTCCTCCTTTTTTTTTAACAAAAAAAAAAACTTTTCAACGAAACCCCTTTCATCTTTTTCTGAATCATTAACATCATGGCACTTTTCATTGGCCGTATCCCAAAGAGCATGAGTACTGTAAGTTGATCAGCGTTGAATGATCTGTCTTTCGCTGTTTGTGGGGGGGGGGGGAGAGAGATTCGTGGAGTTTGCAATAAAGGAAAAAAAAATCTTTTTTTTTTGTGTTGTTGTTCTATTATTAACGATAAGATTTTAGCGTGAGTTGGAGAGTATCTTTACGAAATATGGCAAGATCACTCGATTGGATGTCAAGACAGGTTGCGTATCTCTGATTTATCAGTTTGTAAAATAAAAAAGATTCATTGTCATCATTTATACTAAAGCATGTACACGCTCTTGCGTTTGTTTTTTCATAGACTTTGGCTTTGTCGAATTCGAAGATAAGCGTGATGCGGAGGAGGCCATGAACGAGATCCATGGAAAGGTTTGTTTTACCCCGTAATTGTTGTTTGTTGCCATCAAAAGTGTGCTACCTGTGCATGTGTGTGTGTGTGTGGATGGTGGTCACTGACTTACCAATACCATTTGCCACTCCACTCCATACCCCCTTGATTATCCATGTGTGTATAATGTGTGCCAATATTTACACCTTTTTCCTCCCGTCATATAGGAACTCGTGGTGGAGTGGGCCAAGAACAATGGAAAGCGCCCCAACGAGAACGAATGTTTCAACTGTGGCAAAGATGGTGTGTTTCCTAACGGCAGTAAAGCAGTAAATGACATGCACACGGAAGCACTTTTGCTGACATGATGAACCGCTCTCTCGATAGGACATTGGGCCAAGGATTGCCGTGAAAAGCCTCGTGGTGACAGACGCGGACCTCGACGGGACTTTGGGCGTGACAGAAGGTACCCACCCCCACCATCCTTCTCCAAAATTCCTTTCTATCTGCCTTGGGCAAGAAGCTGTTGTTGCCGTGCAATGGGATGATTGGGTCGTTCTCCCCCCCTGCCCTTTCTGCTTTGGCTTTTTTCTTTCACTACCCGTGCCGGTATACTGCCCAATATTTATATTGGTTTGGTGGTCGAGCTTTTTGTTTGTGTGGTGCTGCGTGCGTGATGTCGGCGCCTGCTTGCTTGCTTGCTGTGCTGCTCTTCTTCTTTTTTTTATTTCTCCCGCCCGCTGCCCCTCACTTGCAAAAGCAGAAAACAACAAAAAGAGAGAGAGAGAGACTACCTGCTACTACTGCTACTGTACATCCAGCGAGATAGCGCCCCCCTTATTCAAGAGAAAGAATCCCATGTGTGCTTCTCTCTGTTGAGTGGATGGGGTGCTTTTAGCCGTGATCTGTGCCTGAGGAGAAAGAAGAAGGATTATTACCGTCTTTTACTATTGCAAGCCGCGAGAGAAACAAGCTCTGACACTCTGTTACCATCTCTATCTATCTCTCTATTTTTTATCTCTTCTATCTATATCCGCGGTTTCCCTTCTGGCTGGCCTATCTTTCGGATGTTCTCTCTGCTGTGTTTGATGTCAAGTATGTATAACCCCCTCTCTCCTTTACTCTTAAAGAATCAGCTTACAGTTCCACTAACTGACTCAAACAATTAGATCTACAGAGGAGGAGGAAGAGACAGAGATTTTGATCGCCGTGATCGCCGCCGTGATGATAGAGACAGATCTCCTCGTCGCGACAGAGACAGAGATTATGGCAGTGAAAGAAGATCGCGTCGTGACGATCGCGAACGCAGCCCTGGTCCTGAACGTCGTCAGTAGTTGTTGTCGGTAGTTAGTGATTAGCAGTAGTAGTCGAAGTTTTATTTTGGAAGTTGTCGGTGAACTATACATGTGTTATAAAATAAATGTTGTGGCCTGTTGTCAATACTAGTTTAACTTTTTTACAAAACTCAAAAAAAGCCAATGTAGAAGCTTTCTGGAAAAGTGATGCAAATGCTATGCTTTTTATATTTATTCTTTTTGGTGTTCAGTATTATCGTGGCCGCCGTGGACCGATTCTTCCCTTGAGACTGTCAGGCACTTGGATCGAACTATCGTCATCGGCCGTGGTACCATCGTCATTGAATCTCCTGTCAGATCGTCGTGGCTGAGGTGAAAGGGATCGTCGTTCTTCTTGACGTTGTCGTCCTCCTCGTCGGCCTTGCGGACGCGATTCATTTCGTCTACCCAGTCGATTAAATACGCCGCCTTTGGGAAGGTCGGGCAATCTTGACGACGCGGCCGGACCACTGTCGCCACCATGGAGCAGATAATAACGGCTTCGATCACGAGCACCACGCTCCTTAACATCCCAATCCGTTGCTATGCGAATATGAAGATTGTCAAACACGTGTCCAGAACTTTCTTGTGTGTATGCCCGTGCTTTGCGTAAAATTCGATGTGTCACTGGATCCTCAATATCACTGACAAGCAACTCCTCAATAGCTTTCTCTACAGCTTCTTTGTTCGCAAAAACCAAATTGCCTGAAATACACGAATATGTGTGATTAGACAAAAAAGAATAGTTACTTTAAGTGGGTGTGGTTAATGAAAAGCAGCCTTACAAGATGTGTCGTTGATCCACTCAATTTTCTCCAGAGACAAATTGCTGCAGTAAGCACGAATGTCTTTGGTGCTCATCTCGTCTAAACCGTGCAAAAATAAAGCTTCAGGTCGTGGAATCGATTCCTTGCTTTGGTTTTCTTCTTCCTCTCCATTAAATTTCTGTTCGCTTCTGAAATCTTCGGCAGGTACGGCCATTGTCGTAGTCGTATTGAAAACGTCATCGCCGGTACCAAGTGCTGATTCCAGATCTGCAATGGCCTCAATATCGTCAAAAGCCGAGGAGGAGGATGCTTGGGCAATGAGATTGCGTTCTTGTTCCTCGAGCATGTCTATGAGCAGGTCGTCAACCGTCGTTTGTATACCGTGCTTAAATCATTTTTCACTCTTTTTTATTTTTTTACTCTTTTTGTACAGACGAGAAGAATGTACCAATGTCCATATCTAATATTTGTTCTGCCATGGTTGTGTATATTTATAAGTGTATCGGAATGTTCTGCGAAAGGGAAGCGGATCGTCGGAGCCACCCCAAACGCGTAAATATGTCAAATGCTCAGCAGCAGGAAAAGTTTAGTAGCAGCAGCGCTATTGACTCTTCTTTCTGCCTACAATACATGGCAGCAATTATGAAAAATATACTTTAGGGTTATATTCTCTAGCCATGCTAGTAGCAAGGTCCTGTCGAAACGTTGTGACTCAACAACAACGAATTACACTTGAGAAGGGAAAAGATAGGCGCGTAAAAAATCAGAGTCCCATTAAATCGATGATCGTACCAGAGGTTCCCCTCTTGCTCTTTTTTGCGGTTTACAAGCTCCATTATATACATACGCTCTACCCAAGAGAAATGGCTCTGATTTTCTGCGCTAACGCTCACATAAACTTCTGTCAGGCTTAGCATTGCATTGGGTGACATATACCATAATAAAAGATCCGAAGATTGGAGCTTGACCGGTTTCAAGTCCAGCTCTCCCAAACACGCGAAAAGATACGCGCGACACCAAAACGCGGTTTCTTTTTTTCAGCTCACACAAAAATAATGGAAGTAGATTCAACGTCCCCAGCAACATCTAAAGCAAAACCAACTGAAGAAACAACTGGCTACGTGCTCCCTTGGTAATAAAACACCAATGTTGTTTTTACAGCTCGCGATCCGAACTGTTTGATTAGTGAGTCAATAATATTAAAACAGGTTTCTCAATATGTAGGGTCGAAAAGTATCGTCCTATTCTTTTAAAAGACATTGTTGGCAATGAAGACACAGTAGCTCGACTCAAAGTTGTTGCTCGCGATGGCAACATGCCCAACGTTATTTTAGCCGTAAGTACAAATCGCCCCTCAACTTGATCAACTGAATCGATTGAGCTGAATCCGGTTGTTTTATGTATAGGGTCTTCCAGGTATCGGTAAGACTACGAGTATCTTGTGTCTGGCACACGAATTATTAGGCAGTGCATATAAGGAGGGTGTATTGGAATTGAATGCATCGGATGACAGGTGTGTTACAGTAATGGTATCGGCGAGGAGAGTTGCATATAAGGATATACGACTAAACGAGATGAAAATATAGAGGCATTGATGTTGTCCGAAATCGAATCAAAACATTTGCACAGACAAAAGTAACGCTACCTCCAGGTCGACACAAGCTCATCATTCTCGATGAAGCAGACAGCATGACCTCTGGTGCACAGCAGGCGCTTCGACGTACAATGGAAATATATTCAAATACGACGCGATTCGCATTGGCATGCAACCAATCCAACAAAATCATTGAGCCCATCCAGTCACGTTGTGCCGTGATGCGGTACACAAAGCTGACAGATACCCAAGTGCTTCAACGTCTGATGGAAATTTGCAAAATGGAAAATGTAAGTTTCGGGATGTTTTATCATCTCAGTGATGTTGTGAATTTTGCTTCTCATCCCATGATATCATCATTGTCATGATTCGAATACGAAATAGGTGGATGCTACAGAAGATGGATTGCAAGCCTTGATTTTTACGGCAGACGGCGACATGCGACAAGCTATCAACAACTTACAATCTACATACTACGGCTTCAAGCAAGTCAATGCCGATAACGTGTTCAAAGTATGCGACCAACCTCACCCGGTCGTTGTTCGACACATTCTTGAATCGTGTAGCAAGGGCGACATTATGGAGGCAGACAAGTGCATACGTGAACTCTATGATTTGGGTTATGCCGCATTGGATATCATCACAACCGTTTTTCGCGTAATCAAGTCATTCAATGAGCTGGATGAGGAGTTGCGTTTGGATTATTTGAAAGAGATTGGTATGACCCACATGCGGATCTTGGATGGACATCAGAGTTTGGTTCAACTGTCAGGTCTCGTAGCTCGGCTGTGCAGATTAGGCAAAGAAAAGAATAATGGTGGTCGATAAAAAACAAATAAAAAATTAGACTTTACTTTGTTTACCACATACTAGCTGCCTTCTCTCTTCTTTCTGTGCTTCGGTTGTCTTTCTACATATTCTACGTCTTTTTTTCTTCTCCTTTCTAATAAGCGTATAATACAATGGTTTATATAAAATCTTTCTTTAACTTCAAAGAAAAGTACATGTCGTCATTGGATCTTTTGGAACTTGACGTCTGGCGAGTAATCAAGTACATAGAACGATAGAATTCGCGCTAATGTCCTTCTATGTCACACAATGCAATATATTGACAGCTGTAATGTCATCGTATGTTGTTCGCGGGGGGGGGGGGGGAGAGAAGAGTTAGAGACCAGATGTATGATTACAAAGCGATATTGACGAACGTATGTATGTATCATGTATACATACACGTGCATATGTACAAGAAAGCTCTCTCCTTATGATACTACTTCTACCACCCTATGTTTGAATCCTTCATGTAGGAAGTCATTGTTATGGCATCATACGTTTCTGAGCAAGGGGGAATGCACATTTCTCTGTACTAGTACACTTTAATTCTTACCATAATTATGCTTTAGATCTCTAAATAGAAACAGTTTCTTATATAGTTTACGCCCACATCCAAAAAAAGAGGAGGAAAAGGAGAAGTAGAGGGAAACTTTTGTACATATGAAGGCTTTGTGGATATAACGTTCGTCCGCATAACGTTTACTTCTTGTGCCACACACTATCGGTAGCAAAAACAAACGCAATAATTTTTTTTGTTAAAGGAGGGCACTGCACAACAAAATATTCTTATTTACGCCGTGTGCATGTACCGAACCTAACATGTTCATTGCTGCATACATAGACATGCTCAGCTGAATTTTTCTATATGCAAACGGACTGGCGATACGCTTACTACTATGTTGCTCCATAGTAGCAGTAGCGACAAATAACAGCAATTATATTTAACTCTTGACAATTAATTATCATTTCCAGTATTACTTATCCCAGCAGTTCTCTGTATCTTGAACAGGATGTCGAAGGGCTATGCATTTATATAATTATCGTTTACGTGGCTATTGACAACAATATGGGTGCAATAAGCTAAATATGAGTCACAACGCTCCTCCATGTTTATATTATCGTTGATGGCCTTCTATGTACATCTCCCTTCTTTTCTTTTTTGCACCAACAACCTGAGTTAATCCCGACAGCTGTATGAAATACATGGCCAAAGCAATAAAAACCTATGAAACGGACAAAGCTTATGAACGATTACGCATGTGTGAACTGACGAGCGCCCTCAATTGATAATTTGGATACCCTTCTAAAGAAGCGCAACGATAACAAAACGCAGCAAATTATAAGTTATGTATACAGAATTAAGGCTCCTTCTGAACCCTTTCGTATTAAAAGTACAGTAAGGAAATGGCGAAATCGTTCGCGCTCGGCAAACGACGAAGCTGATGCTTGCTGGTCATCTGTCAGCTGCTTAGTAAAAGTCAATTCAAATACTGCGAGCTTTTTTGGTACGTAAATCCAGAGTTATACAATAGAATTATTTAATCATGGTATAAATTACAAAAAAGAAAGCCTTCTATGATAGTGACGCACTGGCATCTTTGAAACGTCGCTGCTGATGGACCCTTAGAATATTACAGTATGTCCGTCAAAACAAGAGGAAGGATGATGATATAAAAGAATCGATAAAATGCATGTCTTTCCCGTGCTACTGTAGTTACTGTCACTTGTATGCTTAGACGTATGAATATCTTTAAAGATAGTAATGCACTTCTTTCTACATACGGTAATGCTGCTGTTATATCACCAGAGTACAGTATGTAGCAAATATAGCTTTTACTGCGATTTTTCATTCATAACCTATACACCACTGCCCTGTCCTTGCAGAACAAGCAAGTAGTGTTTCTGATTTAGTAAAAGGTTGCTTATGTACACGCCAGTTACTCTATTATATTTTGCTGAATCCGTATAAATTGTCTCTCTCTCGTATACAGAGGTTTCCCGTTTAAATTCAACCTCAAAGGGGGTCTATAAAGTGTCGAAACTACTGAGGGTTGACACGAAACGAGGGTGATTCGAGCAGTGTTCTATGCTTAAAGGGGGTATAGAAAAAGGTTGAATAAACTGAGGGTTTATCTTATTGAGAGTGAAATTAAACGGGGAACCATTGTAATTTGTACATACATGATCTATTGCTATACAATTTTGTTTCTAGCAAGAGCTTTTGGTCTTTTAAAAATCAATTACTAATTTACCTATGCGCGGAGTCAATAGATGTTTCTCATGCGAACGATTCGCGTTTTTTTTCTATGGGTGCAACTAACAGTAATCGGAATCTCCTTGACCATATGGGAATTGTCTTGTAGATCGGGGACGTCGCAGTATTCGTTGCCAACGCGCCGCGATGGATGCCTCGCCTGGGCTTGGTAGAGACGAGGAAGTCGCTGTGACAGCGCGCCCCTCAGTGTCTACAGCACTTATCATCCCTGAACAATTTCGCCTTATAACTTTCCGGAATAGCGTGGTAGGTTTTTTGGTAACAGACTATACAAAAAAATATCAATAGAAAGCTTTGAATGTAGATATCTGGTCAATATCCATAGACGCGGCGCTGTTTATTGATGTCGTTAGTATCATATGTATGGTGAATACATTCCTGTGTCTATTCTGATACCGACAGTCGCGCATTATATACAAGGAAAGAAATTATTCGGTGTGTGGGCAAACGCAGAACGGGGAGAGATGTGCTGGTAATCCACGATATCGGGCAGTAGCTCTGTGCTATATATTGAGATCCAGCGCCATCACATCATTACTTTCAATGCTAGGCAAAAACTGCCCTTCCCACTTTGTTTCAAACCTACTTCCTGGTTCGTCTGACTTCAGGACAGATAATGCTTGTTCAATATATGAAGCATCAACAGAATACGTTCAAGGGAAGGTTTACTACATGAAGAAGTATAATAGTGTGTTGACAACTGACTGGTATGATAACTCCACATAAGGAGCTATTTTGGAGAGTATACGGATATAAAAATGCACTACTATCCTACATGTGGCTTACATTTGGATATGAGGGATGAGGGCAGAGATGGTAAGATTATAATATGCTGATGAAGATAATGTCGACTATGACCTCCTGTTGTCTAAGAGGCGCTATAGAGCTTATACATACAAATACCTTTATGTAGTGTCATTTTTAAAGTACAAAACGTATATGCCGTATTATGCATGAAATTTAATGATAATGCAGCTTTCGATGGCAACACTGCATGGTATTACATTCCGGGATAATTTTTCCCCCCTCAGCACATGAGAGCATCTCCGATCTTGGGATCTGAAAGAGACGGCACAGGCCACACACGCAACAAAATGGACCAATCTCAAGCAGTAATGCATGCCGCGACGAGTCAACAAGAGCCTGTTGGTGTTGGTATCTTCCTTGAAAAGCTAGTTAACAGCAAGATTATCGGCATGTTTACCATTAAAAAAAGAAGAAAAGATGGGCCGATAAAGTAAAAATCAGGCCTTGTCTTCGTTCACCCCTTGTTTTCTTTGCTATTTTTTAAAGATGATGAATGATTTGCCACCAGCGCGCACTGGTAGAGAAACCCAACTTTACTCAGCAGATGGTGTACGACAGGTACTATTATCAACTGTTTTTTATGGAATTGTTAATTTCGGAAGAATGGAGAGAGGCTAGTTATTGGTAGATGTCTGTAAAAAGAATGATCTGACAACAGTTAATGATTGGAGGTTGTAAGGTTGCCGTCGCGATTCCGATTGATCCCAGCACGAACAAAGTGCTAGTCATCACAAGCAGCAAACATGCCAATGTTTGGGTTCTCGTAAGTAGTTCTTTGTATTTTTCGACAAAACGGTTTAATGCAATTGTCAAGTGGGAAAGGGTAGAGGCACCAAGGCCCGTCTTTAATCACTCTTATATGTTTAGCCTAAAGGTGGCTGGGAAAATGACGAAACGCAGGAGGAGTGTGCCAAGAGGGAAACATATGAAGAAGGTGAGACAAAAGATGCATTATGCAGAAACCAATATATCCTTGTCATCTAAACAAATGACATACACTATACTAGCCGGTGTGTTGGGAGATGTAACCGCGTTCATCGGCAACTACCAGGATTATGATTTCAAAGGAAAACCAAAGACATACTTTTGGGTGTATGAGCTCCATGTCCGTGAGGTCATGCAAACCTGGCCGGAAGGCCATCGCCGAGATCGACGCTGGGTAAGCCCCCTTTCATCCTTTCATATTTTTGGTTGATGATTGTGCAAGCACTAATCTATCAATAGTGCACTTTCAATGAAGCTATTGAAGCCTTATCATTTAAACCCTTTATGCAAGACGCTTTGCGAAAATCCTCTATTGCTCCTCCATCTTCATAGTTGCTTCTGTGTTTTTACTCATATGTTTTTGTCAATAATGCAATGATTTGTTTGTAACAGACTTATTCTGTGCGCGGTCGTAAGCGTATTGTGCGTCATAGCCAAACGAATGCTGGTGGTGAACTTTTAATGGACTCTTCCGGCAGCAACCGCCACAAACAATATTTATACCATCTAATATGTCTAATATTCGACTCGGGTGCTATGGTAATTGTTGTCCCTCGGTTTTTTCTTCACTCTTCGAAGTAGCTTTTCCTTGTCTCAGATGAAGGGGAGTATGTAGCAAAAGCATGTAAACGTGTGAGAAAAGAACAATCAAAACAGAAGGAAAAAGGCAAAACTCAATCCTTACTGTTTGAGACTCAATCCACTCCATTCCGACAAAAGTACATATGAAGAAAAGATACCATTGCTCATCATAAAGAATAGGAGCTGCTGACTTGTTTGTACGCTTAGTATAAAGTTAACTCCTTGAGAGCAATGTGCGTATATATGTAGTATGTAACACATGGTTAGAATAAAAACGACAGCAATCAACTATCGTACGTAACATGTAAAGCCTAAACATGGCTGGGAAGAAGCACATCTTTATGGAATACGAAAAGGAGGTAAAGCTTAACCACTACTACGTAGCTCATCAAGTAAAGAAACTAATCGTTAGATCCATCAGTTACTACTATACATGATGATGGTTTAGAAAAAAGTTGTCTCCGTAGTAGTAGCATGTGCTCGCATCTGATTACGGTATCATGGTCGATTAGGAGAAGAGCACGGTTGTATATGTACGGGATTCAAAATGGCCAAAATTAAAAGTCTTTTTTTTTAATAAGGCATTTTCAAGACGGGTTCAAGGGCATTTCCCAGATTCTTGTCCTGCCCTGAATTTGATAAAACTAAATTACAGCACATTTCTTCTTTTTGACCAGTTGCTTGCCCAAAACTATCCTTTATATTACCTATAGAACAGACATATGCCATCTCATCCATAAGCAACGTAAACAATTTCGCATTGTTTTGTAATATAAGACTATATTTAAAGCATTGTGTAGATGAAGAAGAAGAGAAATAAAAGATATGTTCTTGTAATCAACAAATCGCAACAACAGCAAAAGAGAAAACGACGTCAGCTAACTTTAGCTCACCGCCTTTTAGAATGGCAGAGTGACAGGCTGGCAAAATCGCATTAATGCAAATGGCATGCTATTTGGAGAACCAACCAGAATGATATCTTCAAAGTGTTTCTACATCTATATCTTTTGATGTTGATGGTGTGGCTTCTGGGTCACCATCAAACTAAGATAAAACAAACGCATTTCACGCCATCATCAGCAATGGATCTAATATAGTACAGTTAGTGTTTCTCTGCCGACGTTACAGTAAACTAAGTTGAGAAGGGAGCTTTTAGAGTCGTTTTAATATACATTTAATGCTCTTGGATATGCACGTAATTCTTATTCAGTTTACTCCAAAATCAGCGAAGGCTTTGTCCATAATATAGTTTTAGACATGTTTTATTTATCCGTTGATACATACATAGTTAAAAAGATTGTGATGATGCAAAAGAACTATTTTTTAGTGCAAGATGGGACATCGGGCGATCCAATGTGGCTTCTAATGCTTCTTTGAAAGTGACCTATTGTATACAAAGATAAGTTTCGCTATCCAAAGATTACAATGGCCAAACATGGATATAAACAAAAAAGCACACACATACTCTCCTAGAAGATCACAACACAGACGTGCTGATAAAAATAATAATGAGAAAAGGAACTTACCCAAACACGCTCACGTTGCTCTTGCTGCTCCTGCAGCTCAGTTGATGCCTTAGTTGCTGTTCTTTCAATCACGAATTTGGCGTCACGTATTTCATACATCCAATGATGGGCGATGGTTTTCCCGCGCTTGTTGCCCTCACAATAAGTGCCTAGACGTATAGGTGACTTATCAACACGAATGAGACCTGCTTCTTCACTGAGAATACGGATAACTGCGTCGTCTGAAGTCTCTTTATTCTCATCGTCACGCTCGCCACGAGGTAATACGAGCGCGCCTTCTCGCTTGCGACTTTTCAACATAAGAATTTTGCCTGTCTTGCGGTCGTTCACAATGATGCCAACAGCCTTTAATAATAAACATGGCTATTAGCGCTCTTGTATATGTACTTGAGATGTTTAATCAAGACGCAGTGAGTAGTCCATACCTGACGAATGCCTTTCTTCTTTTTTGGCTTGGGAGCAATAGCCTGTTGTTGTTGCTGTTCTTGTTTTTCTAATTCCTGTTGTTGCTGCAGCTGAAGCTGTTGTTCACGTTGTTGCTGCTGTCGTCGGGCAGGGCTAGAGATGGGAAAACCGAGTCGAGGTAGGCTTGCAGTGAGCATGTTGTCAGTGGCGTGGTTTAGATAGCTAGATCGAATTGAAATGTATGAATTCCTGAAGGGAATAAGTGGCAAAAGAAAGAAAAAAAAGAAAATGTACATCTCCTTTTATAGCTTTTCTGACGTGGGGACAAGGTGGCAGATGCGATTATGGTTACCCTGCTCCTCCTAGCTGTATATATCCATGTGGAACTATCTACATCATCTGCCCTTGTATAGCGGAAAAAAGCATACTGCGCTATCTTCCTCTTTGTAGAAAAGGCATCCTCAACCAATCAGTAGACGCACCAGCATCCTCCTGACATCGCGTGTTTGTTCCTGTTTTGGTACTGCTCCATCCCATCTACTATCCCCCCTTGAAGATATCGCTCTGCATACACATAATGCAGTTGATTTCCACGAAGAAAAAGAAAAAGGAATATCCCCCACACTGACCCACCCAGTCACTCGTTCACATAGCATCAACACCATTATCATTAGTACTATCCACTCTCCCCACTAACTGTTGTGTATTACCCCTCTCCCGCCCTCTCTCCCTGGAGACGAATGTACCTGACGTTGTTATTACGATGTTTTTGTATATATGTATTTGTATGTGTGTGTGTATGTGTGTATGCTAACAGAATCAAGGAACTATTTCTTTTACAGAAGCTGATATAGATACTGGAGTTGTTTTTGGAGGTATTCACATTCGTCTGGACTTTGCCATGTGGGATTCTACGATAGGAGATACGTGACGATAGATTACCAAAAAGGCGACAATGATTAGCAAAACAAATCCCAAAACTTTGGCTCTCAATTTTGCATATACATACCGTGCTTTCTATTGACATTTTGTAGATATCAAGTAGTTTATCGGTCGGGACACCTGCTGCTCGTAATGATTCAGCCACATAGCCTGTTGGTGCATTATGCTCAAAGCAATAGTGCTCCAAAATCTCAACGATCGTTTCTAATTCATTATTTCCTTTTATGAGCTGCAAGTAGAAATCTTTTATCCACCCAAACTCATCCCCTCTCTTTCTATCACTAGCCCTTCCTCCGCTGCCACTTCCCCCACTTTATGCAACCTGGCCCCTTCTCGGTGGATACTTACCAACTGGAAATGCAGCCGGAGAAGGGTAAAGCCGCTCTCCTAAATATACTATTCGGTTCCGTAGCGTAGCGAATGGGGAGTTTTGCACCTCAAAAGCCTCCTTTTCATCTGACAGCAATTAACCACGATCATCAGTAAATCTCTCAAACTGTAAGTCTATATCTCTTTCTCTGGTCTGTCAGACTTACTCTGTGCCAAGATGGTTTGCCAGATCTCCCTGAGGTAAAACATGTCGTAATGCTCAGTGAGTTTCATGATGAATAATATCTCGTCCAAAATGCCAAAGCGTCGCGCGTATTTGTTAAACAGTTCGCTGATATCCAACAGCTGTACTTCTAAGCTCCTTGCCCCTTCTTCGCCTTCAGGACCACGCGCTTGCAGGATTTGTTGAAGGCGCACTTGTATTCGTGCCACAGTGATTCGATATTCCAAGCTTTGCAAAAGTTGTGTTGATTCTTGTTCTTGTTGACGCTTTGGATCGCGACAGCGTGCATTTACAACGGCAAGCGCAAGATGTTCCAGGCGTTTGGACAGACTGAGTCCGTTGGGTCGGGTAGCCAACGCTTCGAGATAGAGTGCTGCATCGTAGTATTGCTCTCTACGTCGATAGTATTGCCAAAGAAACTCCATCCCGTCTACTTCGTTTACGTAATCTTTGAAAAATGGTATCAGATATGGCGTTTCCACCGCCAAGAGTTCGCTTTTCATGTTCTTTTCGAGAAACCAGTTGTACAGGGCATAGTGAAATAGCTTGTCTTGATGTGATAACGCCGTGGAAAAGACTTGTGCCACATACACTTTGGGATCGCCGCCACTTCTGCTTGCTGCTGCACTTTCGCCTAATGCCTTCACTGCCGCCAATGCATCGAATACAAGTCTGTAACAGCGCATCCGAGCCTCGTAGAACTGTAAGCGCGCGTCATTTGGTGGATTTTTAGCCTCCATGTACGCCAGTCCTTGTTGCTGTGGGTCAACCTTTTTCGCTCGCTCCAAAGGCAGTTCAACAGAGCCAACGTGGAACCTTAGCCGATCATAGTCACGACATATCTCCGCAAGTTCTTCTTCTGTCAAGTAATCTGAAGCTTCTTTAAACAGGCTTAGTGACTCTGTCAATGCTGCATTCCGTTCATATTCAGCTTCAGCTTTCTTTGCACGCTGTAGATTCTCTACGCCCTATATGCACCCATTAATTAATTTAAGCAATATCAATAATATGGTTCTTTCGTTACTTTTTTTCTCTTGGTCTATTGATAACTTACTCGGTAGAAAGCGACGTCGCTAGGTCCAAAGAAAGAGCTGCACTTTTTTCGCAATACATCACTGACGATATCGTATCCCACATGGCTATGCGCTGCACCGTACTTGTTGATAGTTCCAATAACGAGTTCACGGGTCAACACGCGTCCTCGAGGGGTCGACAACATACTTTCCAGCGTTAAGGTTTGCATCTCGTTTCTCGTTGTTTCTGATAGGCTAAACGAAACGCGTCATTTTAGTAAACAGAAAGGACAAAGTATAAGAAAGATCCAACTGTAAAGCCGTCATCCTCACCATTGCAGTATCTCCTGAATACTAGCGTCGATCGAAAAGTCTAGGAACGATATCGCTTCAATGCAGTGCTTTAAGAGTAGGTATAGTCCATGGAGAGATTGTTGCTCGTTCTTTTCGAGGTTGAATAATAGAGAACAGACACAAAGACAGAATTTAGTTCATGGTCAGTGTCCATAAGAGTGGCTATCTCCGAGGTATATAAAGAGGATAGGATGGTTATATCAACAACAACTTACCACCAGCACTTGCAGCATCCCTTGGTCGGCTGACTGGAATCGCGAGTCTGCGAAGCTTGCTGAAACATGAAATTCGGGGTTCCTAGTGTACGGTGACAGTTTATGTTTAGTATAAAACCCCTTTGACCTGGAGACTGTGCCTGTTCAATCCCCTCTTTTTTCTCCTTCTCCCATTATCACCGAACAAGGATAAAAATTCAGATAATGTACTTACGCATCCATAAATTTCAATAACCTTTCCAGATCACTCTGACATTTCAGTAGTAAAGCCTGATATTTGCTTCGTTCCTCGTTCTTCTTGCGATCAGTACTAATTCATAGAATATCCCCCAGAAATTGAGTGACTATGAGCACCACAAACCGAATCACGCGGAAAGCCACAATCAAAACTGTACATATACATAGGCACGCGATCTTTTCGTGAAAAACGTACCCGTTTTCAAACACTTTCAACTTCCATACTGGGGCAACTAAGCGAGCAAAGTACAGCGCGAGACCGTCGTGTTTGCCACTATATGTTGTTCCAGTCGTTCCGATAGCCTTCCCCAGATAATTTTCACCCAATGTCGTCATAGCAGCAGCCGTGGGACTACCTCCAAACTCGAAAAACAACATTGACGCAGCCCTGATCACTGGTACTAGTAACAAAGAGTAAAACAAGTTAGTTTCAGGAAAGAATAAAAAGCGTGTAGATCAATGATACCGGGTTATCGAAAGAGTTCGCGTTACCTAATTCAACTTTTCCAAGTGTGCCACAAACAATGGCGAGACACATGGCACAAGACTGCACGCGACCGTATCGCTCAAAAAATGCTGCATATTCTCGTTGATGGGTTTCGATGTCGCCCTGTGTATTGACAATGAGTTGATGTAGTACGTCAACGGGTCGCTGTTTTTTGATAAACGTAACACCTTTATCCGTCAGAACAAGGAATCGTCGTGGTGGATCGATTAAAAGCTCTGCCATTTCGTTAATCGTACGCTTTCCGCGTTTCTGTGGGTTTGCCTCTGCAATAGCGTATACGTTGCCGTCACTTTCGATGATCGCACTACTCTCCACAAGGGGCGGTCGCTGCTGAGTGATCTTTTTGGAAAAAAGACAGTAAGTTGGAAGTTAGTTTACACCGAAACGATTATTTCTTCAATATATGAATGTCATAAACGTACAGTGTAGGTGGGCATTGACGTTGGCATTGATGCTGCTGTATTACTTCCATTAAAATGAGTTGACTCTCCAAGATCCATTGCTGTCATCAAAAGAACCGTTCTGTAGTCCCGACCAAAGGTTCTCGCCGCCAGCAGCGTTCCGCAGTCATAGTAAGCCGCATGAATGGTTCCAACCGAATTTTGACTTTGTTGAAGTGCTGGAGTAGGGCCAGATGGTTCGGCCGTTGGTGGTAGTCGTACATGGATCAATTCGAGTGCGTTGGGTGGTGCGTCTGTTGAGCGTGCAAATGATGTCATTCGTAATGCGTCTTTATGGTGTGTAAAGTACAGTCGGAATCCGGTCGTCGTTACGGCAAGTAAATGTACTTTTTTGGATTCGGCCTTAGATATAACATGGATTGACTGTATCTCGAATTCTGTCGTAGTGAATTCAACCGAGCTTTGACGACACGCTAAGCGGGCCGAATTGCAGATATCCGTGTTGTGTGCAACTGTTGTAAATTCGTTTCCATTTGCACCGAGATAAATTACCTATAGAATGATCCATTGATTACATGTGTTTTTAGGATATCAAGATCACACAAAAACATTCGATTCAGGGCCCAACCATGAACGTGTTTTTTTTACTAACCTCAATGCTGGATTGTGAGCTGAGCAAATAAAGAACTTTGCGTTCGTTGTCTAGAGCAATTAAACTGATTTCCACTAGACCCACATAAGACATTCGTAAGTCCTTCAATCCCTTTATGTTTTTACGATAAGAGCCGTCCCCTTTCTTTTTCCCTCAATTTACCTGGCTGTTTTGATCTAAAGAATGATGGTAACAATGCTGAATATGGTTTTGTGGTGTGATCGATCAAATCACTCCTGTTTCCAAACCAACTGTCCTTGCGCTAATCACCCAAATGAAAATACACATACGAATAATTAACGATTCTTGTTATCCACCGAGGGTTTGATCCATTTGAGCTTTTTATCCTTACCGAATAATCCAATTCGAAAAGTTTACCGTCGCCAACGAGAAACACGCGACCCTCATCCGTTCCAACAACTTGAGTAATTGTCATATTGTTTGCTGGCGCAGCAATATCCGTTGCAATCAATGTAATCCGATCGTCACTGCCATCGTTCATTGGACCAGGTGTGACGGATACAGCAAGTACGCTTACAGCGATTCGCGTCGTCAAGATCAAGAGGTATTTGATATAATCTCCAAATATATCTAATCCATTGTAACAGAAGTCGGCCTCGTTTATTAATATCTTTTTCTTTGCCTATCCGGAATCCAGTAAAGGATCTACTACTCACCTGGTCTGGGATTGACAAGACCCACACTACAAATAATTTGGTCTTGATCATCATACCCTGTGAGATCGGTACTAAATATTTATTGCACTGTTTTAGTAAAAGAAGTATTTTTGTTTCCTCAATATAGAAGCGCGTAAATTATGTAGCTATACGCGAAAAAATACTTCTTTTGGAAACCTTACCCATCAGTATAATTCCACATGTAGAGTCGATGGTCGATCGTCACCCAAGCTCGTTTAATTTCTGGCAACACTCCCATAAAACATCGACATTGTATTTCTATACATAATAATACACACCGATTAGCGTAAAGAACAGATCTAGCGCGATTTCCGTAAATCAGTTTCTTTGCATCTCTTTCTTTAGATCTTACGGTCAATCAGTTCAGAAAGATCTGGAGGTATGACGCTCGTGTTTTCTTTAATAAAATCGTGTTCGTGTGGACTGAGGCGTTTAGCATAGCTTTCTGATGTTGGTCCTACACAATAGATATATAAATCAAGCATGCTATAGATCGTTTGCCATACTAGACGATCACCACTTTTTCTCTTTGAATTCGCGTTTTGTATTTTTTTAGACCGTACCTCGTAATAATTCTGCAAGGTCCGGGTATTTGCTATCGCGTTCAATCAACTGGTCTATGGCTTTGCTACTGGTCATCAATGATGCATGTTTTGCGGAAGCATTGGGCGGCGTGGCGGTGGTACTGTCGTTGTGATTTGGAGTTGTGGTTGTTGTTGGAGAGATCATTATCAAACGAAAGAAGACGGGAAAGGTACGCACACACACCACAACTAACTACGAGCTTAACACGGATGAAACGGGACAAGAAATTCCAGTTGCGCGAAACCAATTTCCATTTTGATTGTCACCACCTACAGTCACACAGCTGGTGCAAATTGTTAAGTTATTATTTTGAAAACACGCAAGGTAACTATTTTTTATTAAAAAAAGCAAGATGTTGCTCTGAAAGTATCACGGGTGCGCGCTTTGACCAAGGCGAATTGCGATTTCAAAGGGGCGATATTATCCGAGTTATCAAGAGCGTACAAAGGTTGATTTTTTGTATGATATGCTATAGATTTGGGCTCATGCTCTATACGTTTTGGAGCCACGCATAAACAGACGTTAATGTGAGTGGGTTAAAAGAGAAAAAGGGGAAAATGTACAAAGAGAAAAGATAACTGGATTATTTCATGAAATTGTTATGTAAGCCGACACAGTCGTTGTCATCAGCAAGAGTGGTCATGCTGTCGTCGTTGCGCTCGCCTTCAATGTAGTTCATATATGCTTCGTCAACGTCGCCAGTGACATAGCAGCTGTCGAATACGGACGTGTCGAACTTTTCGATAGCAGGGTTGTAATGTCGGACAGATCCAACGAGATCATCCAAGTTTTGATAGATGACCTTGTCTGCACCAATTTCATGAGCGATCTCGTCGTCGTTACGGCCGTGAGCAACGAGTTCTTGGCGACTAGGCATATCAATGCCGTAGACGTTGGGGTATCGAATTGCGGGAGAGCAAGAGGCAAAGTATACCTTCTTGGCACCGGCATCGCGAGCCATCTGGATAATCTCCTTGGAAGTAGTACCTCTGACGATAGAATCTGTAATGCACCAGTACCGGTGTGAGTATGGACGGATGATAATGGCGCAATTTACTATACAACTTCATTTCAACTTACCATCAACAAGCAATACATTCTTGCCGTGGAACTCCAAAGCCATGGCGTTCAACTTTCGGCGCACATTCTTGCGGCTAAGGATTGAATGATAGTATGAAACATTAATATCAAATGTTCTCTTTATCCATCGAATACTTAATGATATAAAAACAACAACATTACGTACCGAGTCTGCTGGCCAGGCATGATAAACGTTCTTCCGACATATCTGTTTCTGTTGAAACCTTCACGGTACAATATATTCAATGTATGCGAGCATTGGAGAGCGGCGACACGGCTGGTATCGGGAACCTATACATAAAACCAAGTCAATACACAACATCTCTTAATTCAAAAAAAAAACCAACCAAATAGACATGACTTACGGGAATCACAACATCAATATCCATGGCATCACCAAAGCTCTTAACAACCTGTCTAGCAAGAGCCTCACCCATAGCCAAACGGGCCTTGTAGACGGAGATGCCATCAATGATACTGTCCTGACGAGCAAAGTAGACGTACTCGAAGATACAAGGAGAAATAGTCTTGCAGGATACCAATTGACGACGGATCAAATTATCGCGGGTAATAATGATGGCCTCACCTATTTTATTATGAATAATCATCACAGCCATTAGTCATAATCCTCCAGGCGTGATTGATTAACGGTCTAGCTATTACTCACCAGGCTTGACATCTTCGCAGTCGGTGAATCCAAGAGCTTCCAAGGCAGCGCTTTCCGAAGCAAACATGTAATCGTAACCCTCGGGCGTAGAGCGGCGGCCAAAGACAAGAGGACGAATGCCGTGAGGATCACGGAAACCGATGATACCGAAACCAGCAACCATGGCAACGCATGCATAGGCACCACGGCACTGCTCATACAGATCCTTGATGGCAGTGAAGATATCTTCCTCGTTAACTCTATTACAGCATTACATATTTTAGTACCCGCAGTGCTCTTGCATGCATCGAAACCAATCTCTACTGGTCATCCAATCCTTCGTCCAATCAAATAAACAATTTGTTTTCTTCCTTTTACCTGAACTTGCCGGTCTTTTGCAGATTATTCGCCAAGATGTTCAGAAGGAGTTCGGAATCGGAATCGGTGTTGATATGACGATGGGCAATCTTGTCCAAGAAGACTCGAAGTTCACGCGCATTGGTCAAGTTTCCGTTCTAGTACAATGAGGGCGATGATTCGATCCATATTAGGCCAAAAGAAAACCCTGAATGGAAACTATAGTGTAGAAGAGGAAAAAGAATATAATAAACTTACATGAGCAAAGGTTATACCATAAGGTGCGTTGACATAGAAAGGTTGTGCTTCAGACATGGACGACGATCCAGCCGTGGGGTAACGCACTACAAGAGATTTTTTTAGATGAGTCACCGAAACCCCGTTGCATCTCTAATTTCCCTTAAGTATATTAATAAAGCTTAATATGACATATCCTTACCATGGCCAACACCAAGACTACCAATAAGGCGAACGAGTTGCTTGTCGTCGAAAACGTCGCGCACCATGCCATTGCCCTTACACTGGAACAGACGACCCTTTTGACCGCAAGTGACTATGCCAGCAGCATCCTATCATCATATATGCAGGTTAAACGCCAAAAACTTACTCAAAGAACGCCTTTGCTTTCTCTATTCTTACCTGGCCACGATGCTGCAAAAGTCCCAAGCACTCATAGAGATCGGGGCAGGCCATGCCCTTGGGATCAGCTAAGATGACAGCTGAAATGCCACACATGTTTGGTTTAGGCGGGTTTGGAGGAGGAGGAGAAAAAAAAGATTTGAGAGTAAAAAGGAACGGAACGAAGAGCTGGTTAATAAGCTTTCCAAACTCTCCCGCTACTACACACAACGTCAGACAGATCCGCTCATTTCTCGAAATCTACTGGCGGCAAAAGAATTCCCAGTCCATACACTAAGCCTCTGCCCAACCCCGCTTCCCTGGGTCCGAGCGACTTTCCTTTGCATATATGCCAATGGGATCGATCCTGTAGTGGCGATTGCTCTGTGTCACCTGAGATTAATTGAATGTTTCCATGACACATTTGCTCGACTATAACTTAACGATATGTGAACTCAGTATTGACAGCAGTCAGATTACTATGCATGCCAGGAATGGTGTCGATGTAAGCTTCTTCCTTGATAATACTAGTTGGGCATGACTGACACCTGACTAATTAACATGCAGGCTTTTTGTTGGTGGGCTGCAGCAGGCATTTAAGATCGGCGGTAACGGCGGCGCCGCGTCGTAAAGTGTGTGTCTTGTCTGAATCGCAGTTTTGCTTGTATGGCATTATAGGCGTTGTGAGCGTATAGCATAATCCAATCAAACCTTCATTGTCATAATAAACTTACACGGGAATTATTCTTTTAGCACTGTCATTGTATGTTAAAAGTCTATATACAACGACAGAAGAACCGAGAATATGCGCCACGCGAGCGGAAGCAGCAGCAATTCCAAGTAGTAACTACTCTCAGAATCACTCCTTTTATCACAAATCATTTTGATGCAAGCGTTTATGCTGCTCTAATTCTTTGTTTTTTGTATCAGATCAGCAGTAGAATAATAGCTAAAGCTGAGTTACCAGTCGTTGCTAAAAACAAAACCACTTTGTTGGCTGCGCGCACACGCGCGTGCCGTGTGCGACACATGACAGGTCCACCGACGTTTCATCTGAAAAGGACAAACAAGCCAGTGCTACAGTAAGAGTCTTTCTTTCTCCCCTCTTTCTCTCTTTCCTAAATTAGTTATACAAAACACACCATACCGAACAACAGCATAAATCGTAGTACGAAAACTCGACAAGCATCATTATATATCTACTACAGCAGCCCACAACAAAAAAACACGAATGAGCACAAACCACGATAGAGCAAGATATGCACAAGCAACAACGACCATCTGGGATGGGTCATACAACACCCCATTTCTTGAAGACCAAACACCCGTGATGTTTGAAGAGAATGTTAGATTCTTTTGCTACACTTGCGATACTCAAGTCGGAGCATATCTCACAGAAACCTATGAGCCCGTCTGCGATCGATGCTTTGGCCAATTTATCGAAGTAGTATGTACATATGTCCAACCGTCTTATGGCTAGTCCTTGATAGTGATATACGCATGTAAATATTGATTGATTTAATCAAATTTCTGATACTAGCAAGAGAACAGTGATGATAGCAATAACGCTACAACAGCACCCGCAACAGCAACAGCAACATCAAATACTAATACATCGTCATCAGTACTATCATCGACAACGACAGATACTTCCTCTGCTGCACAAAATAGCAACACGACAAGCAATATTTATTTGACAGTGCCACCACACCAGGACGATCGACGAGAACGTGAGCAGCACGATCAGCAACGAAATAGTAGCGACAACGATCTCCAAGAAACACAACCAGGTGTATATTTTCGACTATATGGTAACGTGATTTGAGGCTGTTTGCTTTGAGTGATAATGTATGATAAAAAAAACTCCTTCTTGTTGGGCTCATGTTCTGATGCTGCTGGCAAAAAAACCCTATTATGTAATACATAGCACCTCCTGCCACAAACAGCACTATTACCACCAGTCATGCTCTGTGGCACACGACATCAACGACTACGCTTCCATCTACATCATCATCACCTTTGCCGCCACGATCACCATCTGCGCCATCGTCTCGTCAACATCATTTGTTTTCACGACAACAACAGCAATCTGGGAGGCGCAGTGGCGGTAATAGTGAGAGAAAATGGTGGCATCGGTTTTCCAAAAGAAGCGCAGCAGCTCAGCCTAGCAGCTCGACCGACACAACTACAAATGGACGTAGCACAAATGGGTAATTTACCATATACGATTTGTCTTTTAAATTTCACTTGAAGAAAAGAACAAAGCTTGGTGGGTTACCTTGACAATATGGAGCTCACGACATGGAATTATTTCTTATGTCTATTAGCCGGCTAGGTCAGTTTGCTTCTTTGGTACGATTAATGAAAAGCAGGAATGCAACAAGTGTAACAACTTTGTCATCTTATCATACAGCGTAAGTACATGGTGCCTTTTTTCTGTATATGATACCAACGACAACAATAGCATTTATCCTCCTGATGATGGTGATCGTCGTGGTCTGCTGATAAATTGGGCCTGATAATGGTGATTGCTTATCTATGTTTCTTTCCATCATCTTTAAAGGAATAGTGAAGTTCTCGGCCAAGGTGGTGGCAATGCATCATCATCATCATCTGCCATTGAAACGCCCCGACCAAGTGCATGGCAAGGTACCCCTAACCACCGTCATTGTTGCTATTGCGGCGGTAGTGATGACAGTAGCAGTAGCAATAAATATGTCGTCATAGGGAATCATCATCGACATCAGCATCATCACTCAGACCACACTGCTTTTTATTTCTCTGCTCCATACTATTTACTAGATGACGAGGACGAAGCCTGTGCAATATGCTCAGATGAACTGTATTCAGCTACCATGCCGGCAGTGAAACTAGACTGCCAACACATCTTCCACCGAGCATGTATTGCTCACTGGCTTGAAAGAGATACTACATGTCCTTACTGGTATGTCAAAGAAAAACCTTAATGCATATCTTCAAGGGGGGTTGGGCGAAGTTTGTGTGCTGTGGTGCGTAATGATGCTCACACGTTGATTTTTCTGTAGCCGAAATCTTGCATACATGTCAACAGCAGAGCTGGTCACCCGCCCCCGGTGCTAAATTAAAGAGAGCAGAACCCAGTTTATACAATAATGTGATACTATTACCACTACCATCGACATCATCATCACCTCCAATAAAACACAAGGAGTTGTGGTGGTGTGCTGTGTGTCTGTTGTGTCAGTCCGCGTTGCGTCTGGGTGAGTGTCAGTCCGCATAGATACACCATATGATGATAGTATACACATATGTACACAATAACCACAGTGTGCACCAATCTATCCCTAATGGCTCACCAGTTGATGACTTGCAATCACGGATCTTTACTTTTTTTATTTGGATTACAATACTCAAATAAAAATCATGCCGTATCACATGCCCCCCTATTTTGCTTGCGGTGTGACTAATCGGTTGGCACAACACACACCGTGAAGGCGCTTTTTTGACGCGTTTTGTTTCCAGTCTGTTTGATACAGTCCTTTTCTTTCGCTTTCTTCTCCTCCCTCATTCTCTCTCTATCCTCTTCCACCTACTACTACTGCTATTATACCACTCATTCCAACTACTGTACATATCTACTTAATATATAAGAAAAACAACAACTCATACGCAATGTTCCAAATCACACCGCAACTTTATGACAAGATCAAGCACTTTGCAAAGTTTCCACAAACTGGTGTTTCGCTTCGACAAATGGTCATGTTTGGTAATTTCGTTTTGTCGTTTTTTTTTCTCTCTTCTGGCGGACCTTTAGTTTTTAGCGTTATCATGCGTAGTGCGTAGTCAAGCGTAACTAAATACAAAACCTCCGCTCTCCGAACCCTTTCTACATATGTATAGGCCAGCGACCCACCAAAGGCACTATGTTTAAAGCAAGTCAGTTTCTTCATGGTATGTTAAATGGGGCATAGGGACAAAGGACGATGGGGCGACAAAAGAACAGAGTGACTGTACGCCACGTGCGTATTTCAGACAAGACAAAAACCGCCCTAGATAAAACAAACCCCTTTATTAACATACATGATGACGACAACGACGATTGTCATGATTAATCATGCCAGAGGAACTGCCAATACGACTAGCACATCGTGTCAAAGAGCTCGACGAGCTACCGGGACATCTCAGCGAAATGCCATCGATTGTCAGAGTTAAAAACTGGTATGCACAATCCTTCAAGGTATGGAAGTAGAAAAGAAGAGGGTGTGATGGTGATGATGGTCAATAGTAATCATGGTCTCGTTTAGACGCGATTAAGGGGGAGAAATCGGGTTGACCTTTAAAAGTAAATAACCTTATATACTACTGGGGAACTAGGAACTACTCGATTTACCACCTCCACAACTATCCAGCATCATGAAAGAACGGATCAAACATGCATCGCAAAAGAATAACCTAAAATCATATCCAGCTAGCGTTCCGAATCCTGCATTACGATCAGCCCCGCCACCAGCACATACCAACCTTCATCCAGTCATACCCATTGGTCATCGGTATACACTTTTTTTCTCTATACATAAGCATATGTACAAACCTTGCTATAAGATATCCACTCAGCCATCTAATTAAGTGTAGTTACTTCACCAATGTCGAAGAAATTGAATGCTCTCCCGAAGTGCTGACATATACCGACAGCTTTGTCAAAGCGATCGAATCTATCAAGACACGACATGATCCAGTGGTGACGACCGTGGGTAAATTTTGCCAAGTTCTGTTAAACTGTTTTTTTCTGTTATGTTTTTGGATTCTACTGGGAAGATTTAGTTTACTATTATGTGTGGGAGGTCGACTAGAGAGAAAGAAAGAAAAAAAAAGATGAGATTGTGATGCGATGATGTTGACCAGATGGGAGAGGGTAACATAATAATTGTTACTCACGTACAGCATACTACCACATGTGAAATTCTTTTCCTCCCAAAATACATTACTTTTGCTTACTAGCCCAAGGTGTGCTGGAATACAAGGAGCAACGCAAGACGAACAGTATAGATACGGATGTGCAACAGTTTTTGGACCGATTCTACATGTCGCGGATTGGGATCCGGATGCTAATAGGTCAGCACTCGGCTATCTATCGCGGACCACCACGAAACGACTATGTGGGTGTGATTTGCGTTGCAACCAACATCAAGGAAATTGTGCAGGATGCTGTTGCAAATGCACGATATATCTGTGAAGATCATTATGGACTCTTCAAGGCACCTGAAGTTGAAGTGTATTGTCCTGGTGATATCCAGTTTATGTATGTCCCCTCGCATCTAAATCACATGATCTTTGAATTACTCAAGAACTCGCTCCGTGCGGTCGTCGAGAATTTTGGCGTTGATTACGAGGACGAGTATCCACCGGTCAAAGTCTCCATTGCTCATGGCAAAGAGGATATCACTATAAAAATTTCGGATGAAGGTGGCGGTGTGCCTCGATCAGGAATCCCACTCGTGTGGACTTATATGGTATAATTTCTTTACACTCTTTTCTATCGCCTTTCAAGTTTGTGTTGAGACGACATCTCTGTTATTGTTGTTGTTGTTGTTGTTGCTCTGCCGTCGGGTTTGCTTAATGGCAGTAGTAAGCGCTGCTTCTGATGTCATTTTGCATATTATTACATGTAGTATACAACAGCACAAGCTCAAGATCTAGATCCAGAGTACAACAAGTCGGATTTTAAGGCACCGATGGCCGGGTTCGGTTATGGCTTACCTATTTCTCGTTTGGTAAATATATATATGACGGATATTGGTGCACAATATGTAGACATAATGCAAAGAAAAAGTTAGTAGGGAATGTGTGGGAAAAAAGCTAACCTGCTTATGTTTCATCATTACCATTATCGTCATCGTTGTATAATCACAGTATGCGCGGTACTTTGGAGGGGATCTAAAGCTTATTTCTATGGAAGGGTAAGAGAAATTGGTTTCCATGACGACAGTGTGCATCAGCAGCTTAAGAGAACCTAACCATAATCTCGCCCTTGTCACCACTATGTAGTTACGGCATGGATGCCTATATTCACCTAAACCGTCTTTCTAACAGTGACGAGCCACTGCTATAAAAGCTTATTCTATGCATCCTATCTTCCATCTCGCGCACACACATACACACCTCTCTTCTAATAAATATACAAACAGGGCTGCTGATCTTGTATACATTTTTAAAACTCACACAAATATGTATATGTTGCACATTGTCATGCTGTACGAGCATCGAAATTGGGAGCAAGTTCGAGTTGGCCCCGACCGGACCGGAACAGTCCAGTGGCCATTCTCAGCAACTCACGCGTAGCACGCACGCGCATAAATCCACGGCTTTTTTAAACGATCCACCACCACTGCTACTGCGATGGCTGACGATCAAGATCGTGAAACGTTCAAACCGGTTAGTCAAAGTACATCATAGCACATGGACACATGCTGAAGCAAGCTTTCTAACTCTTTAGTCAATCCGTTATTATAGGAAACGATTAACGGTGTTTTCAAGGCGTCATGGAAAGAATCAAATACTCGAGGTTTGTATTTTATAACACGAATCAAAAAGTCTATACTTCTCTTTCAATTAACGCGCGACATATGTATAGCAAACAAGGACGCGTTGCTTCTTTCAACCGAGTTTCTAAGACTATTTACAACTGGTAAGTAGCCTAAAGCGTTCTTCATAAGAAAATATATAGCCGAAACTTTTCTCAATAAACATCAATGTAGAGGCACTTCATCGCTCCGCAGAAAAAGCTTCTGAAGAGGAAGAAGAGATCAAGCCAGAACATTTAGAGCGCTCATTAACACAACTCATGTTGGATTTTTGAGAGAAAAAAAAAACTGACTTTTTTGGAGAGTAAAAAACGCAAAAGAAAACAAGCACACAATACTTTATACAATTTTTTTTGGAGGGGAAGCAAAAGAAAGTGGAATGGTAGAAGAACGCTAAATATTGTTTTTTAATAGATTTGCTGTTGATTGCTACTACTGCTGCTGCTATCATTTGGCTGTGGATAAGGATGGTGTTGTTGTTGTTGTTGAGGCTGACCTCCCTGCGGCTGTTGCTCGATAGTAGTAGTAGTTGTTGTAATGTTAGATTGGGTATAAGGCAGCGTCGTCGTTGCGGATGAAGCTGGCATCGTCACATGAAATTGATTAGATACAAATGTTTGCGCTGGATGATGCGGTGAATTGGGATGCGAAATATGCGGATGAGGAGGAGGAGGAGGATGCTGTTGTTGTTGTTGTTGTGAAGTATTAGGAGTGGTTGTAGTAGTAGTAGTAGTTGTGATTGGAGTGGGCGATTGTTGAAGCGATATCGCAGTGTGCTGTTGTTGCTGGAAATCCAGAGTGGGAGGTGGCATCGAGCCAGCGATGCCATAACCCGGATAAACTGCAGCTGCTGGAGCTATTAATATAGATTGCTGTGGTGGGTCATCTGAGTTTGCTGTTAATGGAGTCGTTGCTGATAATGATGAGGATGAGGATGCTATTTCGTGAGTTTTTTCATGTTTCTTCAATGAACGCGCATGGTAGTATGCTTTGCCGCATCCCTTCGCTTCACAAATGAACGGCCGTACATTGGAATGCGTCTTGATGTGCGTCGTCAACGAGTCTGGTCGTGAGAATCGCTTTTCGCAGCCTGGCTTCGTACATTCAAATGGTCGCTCGCCCGTGTGTGTTCGTAGATGATTGTACATTTTGTGTCGTTTCGTAAACGGTTTTTGGTTTCGAGCACATCCTTGCCATTCGCAGCTATATGTTGGCTATTGTGGTGCATGTACACAATAACAAACATAAACAAACAGATAATTTCGCTATAATTAGTTTCCTCTTCTCTGTCGCCTCACATGATCCATGTAGCAAAAGCGTCTTACCTTGCCACTACCAACATGAGAATCACCAATATGACTGATGAGTTTCTGCATCCCATCAAACTTTTGGCCACAATCCTTCCATAAGCATGAATATACGCGTTTGGTCGATGTCTCGTCGTCACTACCGCTCGCTGCAGTAGAAGTAGTAGCAGCAGAATCAGGAGCAGTTGATGACGACGCTTTTGCCACTGTCTTGGTGTCCCCATCAACGTTCATATCTTCATATTTCTTGCCTGCATATTGACATGCAGGTTTCTCGTCTTCTCCCTTGCCTTCCTTGATATCGCGTTGATCGATTGCTGGTGTAGCAGCAGCAGCAGCTGAAGAAGAAATTATCGATGATGATGATGATGACACTACTGCTCCTGTTGCTGCAGACGATGATGCAGATAAAGATGGTCTTGCAAACATATTAGACTCTTCTTCCTTGATCTGTGGACTATTTTGTAACGATCCTGTGCGTTTTTCCTGCTCGAGTTCCACCAGTCGTGCAATCAGCTCGTCGCGAGACATTGATTCGTACTTTTCCGATGACGATGATTCAGCAGCAGCGGATGTAGATGAACAAGTAGCAGCTGATGAAGCAGGACGACGTCGGCACGGTGCAGACAGGATCTTAAGACCGAGTTCAGCGGGCGTCGGTGGAGGCGGCAATGTGAGCGGACCCAATGCTTGTCGTTGTTGTTCTTTGATAAACCGTTTCATAGCCAACGAAGGCTTGTTGCCATTATTACTGCTGTTGCTACTGCCGCTGCTGCTGCCATTGTTGTTGTTGTTGTTATTCTGATGGTGTGGATCATCGAGTGAAAACACAGACGGTGTCATGGGAGACTCGGTGCCAATGGGCGTTGACGCATTGCTACCAGTATTGAAATGATGATCAAAGCTCATGCGGTGTTCATCTAAGAGTGCAGCAGCAGTATGTGGTATATCGAATGTAATCCCCTTCGATGCTGTTGCAGTTGTTGCCGAGGCAGGGATGTCCAACTGCGTAGGGAATGGGCTGGACATTGTATGTCGTCGTGCCTTTTTCCGCGAGCTGTTGCCTCTCGAGATGACGGTGTCATCGGATAACGAGTGTTTTTGTTTTTGATTTAGCATGAGCACTGCAGTAGTGGTGTCAGCTGTCTGTGTCACCGTTGATGGTTGTACCAGTCCCGCTTGCTGTTGTGATGACATGATAAGCTGCATTTGTTGTGGTTGCTGTTGTTGCTGCTCTTGATCAATAGGTGTTTGCGCGGAATGTTGCTGTTGCTGTGGTTCCTGCTGATTAATATTGTTGCTATTCGAGGTATCCGATACCGATGCTGCGGCTGCATTGAACTGATTGAGTGGGATACCAGAATGAAATGCAGCTATGGCGTTCTGTTGTGCTGCCGCTGCCACTGCAGCAGCAGCAGCTACTGCTGCGTCATGCTGGTGTTGCTGTTGCTGTAATTCCATAGGTGACTGTACAGGATGGAAATGTTGTTGTTGTTGTTGTTGTTGTTGAGACATTGGAGGAGGAGCAGGAGAGTGTTGAAGTTGAAGATGAGCAGTAGCGGGAAGAGCTTGTGCAGCAGATAGCGCTGAAGGCTGTTCAAGATTTGGAGAACTATTTATCATATCTTGAATCAATTGCTGATGATCCACAGGTGTCTGTGGCTGTGATGAAGGCTGTTGTGGATGGAAGTGCTGTTGATAAAGTGGTGAAGGCATTGGCGTGCTATGATTGCTGTTGTTTGCACCATTTTGACCCATCAAAACGCTGTCCATTAATGCAAGTTCCTGATCAATTGTGGTAGAAGGCGACGGTTGCGCTGGAGGTGGCATCGACTACATATCATGATATGTTCCAATATATAGTTAGTTTCGACAAAAATGAACATGCAAGGATTACACACACACAAGCTCTTGCATAACGGGTGTATTTAATATTACCTGGTGTAAATTTATTGGCTCATTAGGTGTATGCAATGGTGCAGGAATCAAGGAAGGTTCAGCACTCGGTTGTGGTTGCTGTGGTGTCTGTTGCGGCATGGCTGTAGGAGCAGCTAGTACTTCTGCAGACAAAATGTCTTGCTGCCCGAGATTAATTTGCGGACTAATTACATTAGCACCAGCAGTAGTACCGTTGTTTTGGTTGTCATTGCCGTGGTGGTGTTGCTGTTGCTGTTGTGTCAAGACCATTCCTGCAGACCCCGCGTTGTCGTTACTGTGGGCAGTAGGAATGGGTTTGCGAATGGGGTCAAACACTTGGTGTTCCGACGCCATGAACTGCTGATTATTGTTCAGCATAATGTTACTTTTCGTATTCTTGTGTCAGGCACGAAAGGAACCAAGAGCTTTTTCGAGAAAAAAAAAGGCTGTGTCAAAAATCGCCACTGTGCAGTGTGGAGAGCCAAAAGCAGCTGAGTGTGGATTTTTTTACAGAATTTTTCAAAGTGCCCACTCCACAGCAGTGGTCTTTTAGGAAAATATCCAAAAACCTTGCTTGTTTCAATTAGAAAGCTGTGGATACAGGTAATTAGTAGTGAATGATCTGGCGCACTTTAAGAAGAGTGGGCAGGGCAGGGAGGTGTAGTGTACAACTGATCAAAGCAACTTTTAGACCCAAAATCTAACTCTTGCTGTGGAGAGCTGAGATGCTGAAATGTGACTTGCTTTTTTTTACTCGGAATAGCAGAGCTCCAATGTGCTGAATGCTCGCTCCCGACTTGTGCTGCCTGTGTAGTACTTCGTCTTTACTGATATAATGTACAGTGATCAACACTCAGATTGCTCTAAAGAGGGGTTTCACTGTAGTGTGTGTCTATACGCGCATATTCACTGTTACTGTGATGGCGCCAAAGCACCGCTCACAAGCATATCCTCAAAGAGTCAGTAGTGCTATCCGACAGGACGTTCCTACTAACTCTGCTGCATACTGTGATACCGCATCGGTACTGGTATCATTTTCCTCTTTTGCGACTTTTAACCTGTGTTGTCAATTAAATGAGCCGATGATATAACACATGTTCTCCGCAAGAACAAGGCTATATGGTGAGAACCACCTGAAGAGATGGATACAGAAAAGACTCATAGTGTCAAGGAGGGAACGATATTAGAATCCTCCTCAATTAATGTAAATGATATGAATCGAAAAAGATAGCACATCACCGTCTAAACGTCTCTTCATAGATTTCTGCCACTCGGCAAGCTACCGGAATTTCAGCCAATCACATAGCGTGGATTCTGATATCTAAATTTTACAACCGACAGCAGCAAAGAGCGAACGCATTGTCATCGGCTTCTTTCGCGTTCCCCAAGACACTTACACACATAGTAATGTCCTCTCCGCCTCCAGCAGTAACACCTGCTGCTGATGAGCCGGAACAACAACAACAACAACAACAGCAGCAGCAGCAGCAGCAGCAAGGTAGGTATTTTTCCACAGCACTCTGTGTCGAAAACAATAACCAAAAAAACACTCAATCTTATAATAAATGCTGTTTTTGTTTAGACATTCCAACGGAAACGCAAACCACCGTACCAGAAGAAGAAAAAAAAGGAGAAGCAGAAGAAACATTAACACCAGCAGAATCTACCATTGACAACGAGGCAGATGCTACTACTGCTACTACAAATGCTACTGCTGTTCCTGATACGGAGCCCAGCGTTCAGCCTTCAGAAGAAAAAGTGACGCCAACAGAGTCAGCTATGGAATCAACTACTGTCATTTCGACTCCTGCTGCCACTTCCCCAGGTGCACCCACAACTACTGAAAGTCAAGAACCTACACAGCAACGTATGTACCTTTGATTTATGATGATCGTACTCCCTTCTACATTCGTGATCCTCAACTTCGAAAATCTATAGACGATGTTATTACTGAAGAGTATGACGCAAGTCAACGGCAAGTCAACGATTTGATCGCTTCATTACGAATGGATCTATTGTCATCGAGGAGTACGTATAATTTATATATAAAACCAGAAGAAGTGACCTTGTCTATGTGTACTTTCCCAATTATTCAATTTTGTTTGGAATTACAGGTGAAGTAGCATCGCTTAAAGGCAAAGTGAATAGCCTTACGGTGCAGAATCTGGATTTGACGATCAAATACCATGCGGATGACAGCAAAGATGCTGCAAACAAGGTAAAGTGCACTATATTTGATCTAGTACACATGACGAATGACATGCTAAATAAGATGTGTTTTTGACAGCTTCAAGTGCAGCTGCTGGAACAAAGATTGGATGAACTCAAGAAAAATGAGTTCGAACATCACCAAAGGATTCTTGACATGGAGCAGACACAAAGTATTTTGAAAGATGAAAAGGTACACATGAAAAAGAGATTTAAAAATGCGTACATAGTCCCCAACAAGCTGTTCTAAAAAATTGTGAACCTTTAGCAAAAACAATACCACGAACACCTTGCTGAAAAAGCAGCATTACAAAAAGAACGCGACAACTTAACGAAAAAATACAACGATCTACAACTTGAATTAACCAACTGCCATGCTGAAGCGAGCTCGACAAAAATCGAAAAGAAGACGCTCCAGCAACGACTCGATGAACTTGAATTAAACCGCATGGGTGATGCCAAAGCCCACGAGGACATGATTGCCATTTTTGAGAAACAACAAAAAGAATCCGAAGCCCAACTTCAAAACGCCATCGCCGCTGAAGCACGCGCACGACAGGATGCAAAGAGTATTCAAGAACGATTTCAAAAAGAAAACGATCAATTGCAGCAGCAGCTTGTCGAGTGCCAAGATCGTTTGAGCATTATCCGGTCGCGCAGTGACGGCTCATCACCTTCTGATACAGCACTTGGCACAACAACGCTTCCTGACGGCAAACACGGTAATCTTATCCAGCTTATGCGACGCTATGAAGAAGGCGGCAAGAGCTGGGAATGTATCTATGAAGACTACTTTGAGTTGAAGGACGCGCATAGCAAGGCTGTTGCACAATGTGAAACCATGCGGGTGGCGAACGAGCAATTGATGCGCGAACAACGTGACAAGGAGCAACGGTATCAGCGTATGGAAGTCGAGTATCGTCGTCTGCATTCAGAAACCGAGGCAGTTCGTGATCGAGCAAGACGATCTGAGACGGCTCAAAATGAAAATGAACAAGTGGTAATTAATGACGAAAGAGGGTTGGATCACGTACATCAGTAAGTCGGTAGATTGATTGTTAACAATATGAAATCTGGCAACATAAATAGGTGAACAGTCTTCATGCCAAAATTGGCGAGCTTCAGCGCAAAAACAACGACTTGCAAACGTCACTTGGTGAGGTTGCATACCAGCTACGTCAAGTCATTTGCGACGTTGAAAGCCGAAACGAAATGCTGCCACCTGGTGTTAAGAGCTCCTCTGATCTTTTACAATATGCCAGCCAGTCACCCGAATTCAGCCATGAAGACCTGACCTTTAACAATGTTGCGCAACTCCAAGAACAAAACCAAAAACTTTTGGAACGAATTCGAAAGCTCGATGAAGATGTCAAGGAAAAGACGCGTGCTGCAGAGCAATTGCGGCAAGAAGGACTTGATGCTGAGGAAAAGTATACCCTGTCCCTTAATCAGGCCCAGGAAACCATCAAAGATCTTAACTACTCGGTCATTTCGCTTGAGCGGAGGTAAACAATATTTCGATGGTAGCAGAAAAGGAAATGTGCCAGTTACTAAGATATCTATGGTAGACTACAAGCTACTATTAAACAGCGAGACATGTACAAGCTGGGCGTATCAGAAGACGACGCTACATCTGAACAGGCACATGGCGACAATATACCCAATAACACCACAACTCAGCCGCAGCAACAAGAAGAAGACGAAGAAGATGAGGCTTACCGATATGCAATGCAACAGAATATGAAACAGCTTCAGACTGAATTACAAGAAGCACAAACCGCTGCATCTGCATCCAACTCACGACTCAAGATCACCGAAGCCGAAATCATCAAACTGCGTAAAGAATGTCAGGATCTGCTTCAGACGCAAGCCTCGCGTTCAGCTGAACTCAAAGATCTTCGCACGCGCAATGCAGAGCTTCAGTGTCGTTTGTCAGAAAACGAAAAACATCTAGCGAACTACCACAATGAACTTTTGTCCTATCGCTCACAGCAAGAAATGCTGCGCGTCCAGAACACGTCGTTACGCAGCGAGCTCGATTTTAGTCACCAGATGCACAAGAAGCTTGCTGAACACCACGCAACATTATCATCTCGTTGCGCTCATTTGACCAGTCTATTGCACAGCGTGACCACAAAGAACAAGGATAGCACCAGTGCACAGACCGAAGGTATCAGTCTCCTCAAGAAGCAGATTGAGGCACAGGACAAGGAGCTCGAGAACCTGCGCGTAAAGCTAGAAAGTGCTCAACAAGGTCTTGCGGATGGTGATCTGCGTGAACAAGACCACTGGAAGAACAAGTATAACGAAGTCCACCGGGAACTCCAGCGACTCAATGTGTCTCAACTCGAGTTACAAAAAGAGCTTGCAGCTGCCAAGGAACAGCGCATCGCACTCGAAACCAAGCTATCTCTCTTGATTAAGCAAGATGGTGGTAGCGCCGAACAGCAAGAAGTTGCAGCCGGCGAACAAGAACATCAACAGCAGCAGGCGGAAGGACAAGAGGATGGTACTTTTGAGGCTCGCTATACCGAGTTGGCCGCAGCCAATATGGAGTTGGACAAGTTGCGCTTGCAAATTGCAGATTATGAAGAGCAGCTCGAAAAGCAACGACAGGAGACTGAAAAGATGGCCAAGGATCACGACGAGTTTACCACGGATATGCAGAGTAAGCTGGTCAAGTTACATCAAGACCTGAGCGACCGTGATGGTATGATCAAGGCAGCACAAACGGCCACAGAAGATATTCAGCGTCTTAAGCTTGAACGAGTTGAAGCTGAGCAGCAATGGTCTGCCGCACGAGAGGCTCTTAATGGTGAAAAGGAGGCGCTGCAACAAAGAGTGCAAGAATACGAAGAGGAAGCAGCCCGCTTACGGCAACAGATCGAGACGCAGACAGAGCTTATCAATGAGGGCAAGGAGAAGTTAGAGCTGGAAGTCAGTACACACGTTGATGACAATGAGACCATCAAGAGCTTACGTGAAGAATCGAGTCGGTTGACAGAAGAGATTTCAACAGCCAAGAACGAGCTCACAACACTTCAGAGCCGACTACAAATAAGTGAAGAGTCATATAGTAAACAGAAAGAACAATGGGAAGTTACTGAGAGCAGACTCAAAACCGAGTAAGTGATCATTCGTTCTTTCTTTTCGTATAAGGTTTAATGAATAGTTGGCGCTTCTTATTGGGAGATGATATAAGAAGAGATAGTATAAGAAACGAACCACTAATGCGACAATGGATAACTATAGACTTGAAAACTCCTCGAAACGATTTGACGAGCTGCTTCAATCGCTTGCAGCCGAACAGCAGGGTGCTACAGCAGCAGAAGACCAATCTGCAGACTCAAACATGCCGATACCGATGGACGTGTCGAACAAGTCGAAGGAGCAACTTGAGCTTCTTGTGGTATCTGTTCGACAAAAGAACGAAATATTGCAACGACAGTACAAGGCTGCCATAAGCAAGACGGACCAACTGCGCTCTGACCTCCAGTTTACACAAAAGCAGGTTGCAGCATTCAAGGCACAGGTAGAAGCCGTGCGTGCGCAAAACGTTGAGATCGAAAGCAAATGTCAAGAAGCAACACGAAAAGCACAGGATGAAGCTGTTGTCTACAAGGAAAACAACACCCAACTTCGCACAACTATTGCCGACTTACGTTCGCAAGTATGCACTCTTGAGAAGCAGGCAACTGAGAGCAAGGCAGCAGTTCAGCCCTTGACAGGTACTTATATAAGAGATAAAACGATGAGTGTTTAAAAGATTATAGATTAACATGTATATTATTATAGACAAAGTGGCGACTTTGGAAGCACAGATCAAGGCTCATACTGAAACTATTGAGACTCTCGAAAAGAGCAAACAGGAATGGGATACTCGAACTGCGCAGATCATGTCCAAGTACAATGTAAGTAATCCTTTTATATCTAGTTTATCCATACAATCGTATCAACTTTGTACTAATATGACTATGCCTGTAATTGGCAATGTAATTTTTAAAGAAACTGGATCCTGCTGAAGTGGAGGCTGCTAAACAAGAACGCGATGCCATGAAAGCCCAAATAGAACCCCTTGAAAAGGCCAAGACTGAGGCCGAGGCGAAATTGAAAACTCTTGAAGAGCAAAAGACAGCACTTGAAAAAGAACTTGAAGAAACCAAAACAAAGGTAATTTTCCACACAATTGGGGGGTCGGGAGAACACGACAAAAGGATGTCTTTTGTTGACTTAACTGGACCGGAATTCAGGTCACAAGATTCCAAAACGCTGCCTTGAATTTCAAGAAGCGTATGGAGCAAGCACAGGAGCAGTTGAAAAATACTGCGGCATCTCCTGCTCCAGCATCTGCGCCTGCTTCCCCAGCTCCTGCTGGAAGTGGTAATGCTGTAAGTGTGCTATATTTCATCACTTTGTGTGTATATCCTCGCCAAGCTACTATGTTATTGATATGTAGCTTGCTATAGGCCGATGATGAAGAGAAGAAGGCACTAGAAGAGAAATTACAAAAGGCCATTAGTGAAAAGGAGCAAGCAGAAACGAATTTGGCGCAACGCGTGAACCTACACACTGAGCTGCAGGTTTGTATCAGTCAATTAGTGAGTTTCTGATCGTATAAATCGACTAATAATACCTTTAATATATTAGGGAAAACACAAGGGTCTCTTGGAAAGAACGCGCGCCATCCTCGCAGAAAAGGTATTTGTTTTATTTACAACCCTTCCTTGCAGCCTATAACATAAAAGTATCCTTTCTCGGTGTTTCCTTAACAAGATTTATTGGCACATAGAATACTCTGGCCCAAGCCCACAAGGACTGTGAAGAAAACATCAGCAAACTTCGGGAAGAACTGAAAAAGTCAACGGAAGATCTCAACAAGTCCACTGAGGAGCTGAACCAACAAAAGGACGAGACCAAGAAAGCCAAGGAAGAAGCGGCGAAGCTGACCTCTGAGCTGGAAGCAGTCAACAAGGCAAAGATGGAAGCGGAGATGGAGGCACAAAGGGGCAAAGTCAAGCAATCATTCGACCAAAGTAAGATCACGCGGCTGACAAAGGAACTGGAAGAGTTCAAGAAACGTGCCAGAGAAGAGGACGACGATAAGCAGGCCGAGGAGGCACCAGCTGCAAAAATGCAAAAGCAAGAAAATAATGCAGCCGAGTGATAAAGAGAAGCAATAACCTGTAATATACGCACAACATCCTTTCCATCATTGCAATCAACAACCTAAACATCCATCTTTACATAACACACACCATCATCCTTACTCTGTCTGCCAACAAAAATATTGATAAAAACTCACATTCTGATAATATGTTGACATAATACTACAAAACTCCATTTATTTCCAGTTTCAAAAGACTAACTGGATGGCCATGATCCAGTAAACGCTGTCAAAGAAGTAGAGTCATTATTCTACTTTGCATCTGGACAATCGCCTTGTTTCTCGGGTGCCGTGGCAATGAATTCTGGTAGGCTCATCAGGTTGCTATGGATCGACGAGATGGTAGGAAAACGCGACATATTCACCGAGAACCGCATGGCATTGTAGACCTGAGGCACCAACACGAAATCCGCCATGGTCACGTTATCACCCACGCAGTATTTGCCTGGAATATCTTCTTGCTTGATGGTGGCGAGCTTGGCCTCCAGCGCCTCGAAACCTCGTACAACATGCACTTGCGACCAGTCGGTACGCTTTTCCATATCGTCTCCGGCAATCTCGGCAACCAAGGCTGGATTCTGAATCGGATGAATGTCGCATGCAATCTCGTTGACGATTTCGCGTATTAAAGCGCGTTGATAGGGATCATTTTTGGGTAAAAGTGGACGTTCTGGATAGGCGTCCTCGATATAGTCTACAATAGCCATGCTCTGAGTCAACACTTTGCCGTCAGGAGTGATCAATGCGGGTATTTTCTTGCTTGGGTTGACTTTGGCAAAGTCTTCACTGCGCTGGATAGATCGTTCACCACCATATTATTATATTGGTGCTGCTATCATGTCACCGATCCCTTTCTCTCTGTGTATGTACAGTACCTGTTCTTGCTTGAGAAGGTTGATGGGTCGGTATTCGTACTCAATGCCCTTCCATGCAAGTGCCAAGCGGACACGCCATGTTGCCGAGGAACGATAATAGCCATAGAGCACGGGGGGTTTCTTTATCATATTGTCAGGAAAGGAGCTCACATTATATTGCTACTTCAGAAAAGAGGATGGAAGAAACTGTGCTTACTTCTGCTGTCATGATTGAGGGAAGAAACAATGGGAGAAAAGATGATCTACTCAGGTTTGGCTCAAAAGTAATATTAGATTTTCCCACGGACCAATAAAACATCGGAGGCCAGGGAACGCCAACCACTTCCGAGGAAGGCATCAGGTGCGTAAATTACCCCAATTCCCGAAGCCTGCCCTGAGAACAACAGACCCTTGGGCCCATCTCAAAGAGCGACAGCTCTTTCTCAATAATAATTTAAGCCAAACGTGACAAGGAGTAGTGAGGACAAATAAATGAATATCAAAAATACATTGTCGCGCCTTAAACTAATTCTGAATACGCATATAGAGCGAAAGCTGTGAACGGAGGCGGCGACCCCTACTAAACCACGAAGTGTGCTCATGTCGATAAGAAAAGTAGCAGAAGTTGGCATATGATACATAAGTGGAGACTGAGTTCTGCAGTCAAGCCTCACGAATCAAAGTGCGTTTTAAGTGTGCACTAGTGAATGTATATATGCGAATTGTCGACAATCTTTATTCGTGACGTTTGTGCGTTACTCACGGTCGTGGAGTCTATTTTCAATTTTCCATTAAGTAACTGAGTAAAAGACGTGTTTGGCGACATAGTGAATGTTTCTTAGTTAGTAAGCACGCTATATTGTCTAGACTTTTACATTACCATGCTGAAGACGCGTATCCTGGTTCAATTTCGCGTAGCTTTTCTAAAAAATGGCTCTTAAATACACGAAAAGGGCGGCTCGATTCAGCTTCTTTGTTGAGCTGTACTCTCGACAAACCGCCATGAAGTGTGATCTTGCTTATTGAACATCAGTGCTAAAATGCAGCTTTAGTCGACATCAATTACCGTGATCATTGTCGCATTATGCTATCTGTTTTGAAAGCGTGTTCTCCGTATATAGTAGTTAGTTAGACTGATTACATTCCGTGATGAGCGGATATGGACGAATTTCCAGTCTACTCTGCTTCTTAGCTACGTTACAAGCGATTAAGATTCGTTTTACGAAATTAGTTCCTTTTAAAATAGATCTTTCTCTGCAAGCGAGTGCATGCATCAACTCGGCTTCTCAAATGATAATGTTGTCATGTTGTAAATTTTCACGTGTAATCGAAGTGTTTATTGATTGGACAAAAATGCTGCACCACAAATATGCAAAGGACTCATAATCATTTACTTGGCGGCCAAACATTTGCTACTACATAAAATCGAGCTTAACGCAAATTTTCTCGATTTATGATTGTTGAAGATTATCAGTTTTACGCCTTGTTGACTGTTTGCATAATCGATTTACCATGCACATCCTTGGCTTCAACATTCTAATTAAATTAGTAGACTGATGCGCGTTGCAAGTTCATTATCATTGGTTTTATGCGATTACAGTATTTCACCGCTTAATTCAACCTCAAGGGGTGTCATTTAAGTTGAACTATATGAGGGTTAACTCCAAGTGAAACTGGTTCAATGTATAGCCAAAACATCTTATATCGTCGCCAAAAACAAATCTCAGATCATGTACACTAATAAGAAACGTTACCTTAGAGATTACAACGCTTTGTCTTCTAGTATGACCTTGAACAAGGGACGACGTTTCCACAAAAGAATATACCATTTACAAACGAGCAACGAATAATTAACGTACAAGCAAAAAAAAAAAAGAGAAATAAAGTGTCGAAGTTTGGGTAGATTCGAAAACTTAGCAGAGGATTTTGTCAGAATGTCCACCCTACCATACACTATAGTAGTATATGACGTTGAATCGGCGATTTCCATATTGGAAAGGTAGTGTGACATTAATGATATGCGCCGGTGCAATGTAAATTATAAGTTATTGTTCAAAACATTCCACACAATGGGGAGACTCAAAAAGCGCCGGAAGCACCTTAAAAGCGTGCAAGAGTCAAAGTACATACTCAAGTAAATTTCTTGTTCATTCAAAAAGAACTGTCAGTTTTGAAGAATCATGTGAGAGTAGTTTGTTTACATTAAGTCATCCTGCCCCTGATTGATAGCGTTAATGAGCAATGAGCTTTTCGATTTTGACGATGAAATGTGGGAGGAAACTGCCGAAAGTACCAATCAAGACGCTGCTGAAGCAGAGGACTGGCAGCTGCTTGGAGTTTCTGCTACAACCTTAGCAGATTCTGCCACCGATCTAAGTCTTGCGTGGAGAGATGGTGCTGATGACTACAATCCAGACTATAGAGGTGTGATTGAGTTATTTCTTTTATTTTGTTTGTTGACTGGTCAACTTCTTACTGCAGTCGTTCACAAATACAGGTCGTAGAAATGCAAGAGAGCTCGCTGCATCGGCTAAAAAGCATGGAAAAATAACAGAGTTCTTTGCTGCGTCATCGACCACCAATCCATCGCCATTGTCAGCTGCAGATGAAGCCTTGATCATTCTCGAAGATCATTCGCTAATGAAGGAGACATGCGACTTTGCAACAACTGATGCAGACCAGCCGAAACCAGCAGTCGCCGTCAGGCCAGATGAAGCCATATGATGTCCTACGGTACAATTGTGTCTTGCAGTTCCTGGGATATCTAATTGAACACCAAGGCCAAAAGAAACAGAAAATCGTCGAGTCTGGTAGTGGTTCCATACAGTATTTGGCTCCGGCAATCAGATCGTGGACCAAATCATATGTTCTCACTAGCAAAGTAACTGCTCATCGCCAAGGCAAGCATTCCAAGCGAATTCCTCTGCTTGCTGATGAGGATATCAAGCTTGCAATTTGCAAGTGGATCAAAGAGCAGCCCCCACAGCAAAGAAAAGTGGAGCTGATCAGAAAAAAATTGCAAGAAGATATTATCGCGAAAGCTCGGTGTGCCGGTGTCGATTGGTGAACGAACAGTTGCGAGAGCTTTGCACTTGTGGGGATACGAATTTCGAAAAAATATGAAGCATGTACGTATGAGCGCCATTTACTGTTTGACTATCTATATGCATTGAGTGAATATGTAGGTTGAATGGAATTATAAGTTGAGTGAATGTACAGATCGAGCAGATATTGTAAGCTGAGCTCAGATTTTTTTATAGGTGTGGTCACGAAAGAGATGATGTGGTGAAATACAGAAAGGAATGGACCAAGAGAATGCTGACATACGCCAAAAATATGGTCACATACACCGGCGAGAGTATGGAAATCGAGTGTGTTCCGGACACTGTACGTAATGGTGATCCCCGTGATCTGTTAGGTACACACGACGAGTGCATTTTCTACTCGAACGACGGTGTCAAATCTGCATGGTTCACTGAAGAAAACCCCGTTTTGACACCTAAAATGGTCAAGGTCAATCCATAATGATTTCTGATTGTATGTGCCCCTGCCATGGATTGTTATGGGTTGATCCAGATGTTGAAAGATTTGGTGATCTCCAATTCAAGGAATCCAGAGTAATCTTCTATCCTGGCTCGAACAGGGACGGCTACTGGACTAGCATGAATATGGTGAAGCAATTACGCGAGCGAGCCATCCCATCTTTAATGCACTACATGGATACGATTGCATTGGTATGTGCACGTGAAGGGAGAATATTATATTGTAGTGCAAATTCATATCCTCCATAAAAAAACCATTACTTCGTACCAACACACCTAATATTTGTCTCTCCAAACTCAATCTCTCTCCCACTCTCATTGGGTTAGTCACCAATGCCTCACGGCAAGTGCTTTCGCCGCCTTAGCAAGTGCTTTTACTGTTAGCAAATGCTTCTGTCGCATTAGCAAGAGCTTTCATCGCACTAGCACTAGCAACCCAATAATCTCTTAGCAAGAGACACAAGAGCACCGATTATGATAGTATAAATAGTCTTTTTCTTTCTTCCAATATCAGTTCAGTTCAGTTCATATCTTATACAATATTTCTTCATAATGAAGAAATCTCTTAAGTGGTTTTTAGGACGTAAACATTCCCGATTCTTGAACTCCCACTTTCCATTTTCCACCAGAATAGCTTCGACAGCATACTTAAGGCCCATAAATTGCCTTTTTCCTTTTATTCACACTTTATTTCCGTCGTATTCAGAGTCTTTGATTTTAGGTTTCTAACGATCGTAAGTAGCTGTTTTCAGCTTCGACCAGGGTAGCAATTAAAACGCGTTTGCACCAGATGCGTTATGCGTCATAAAACTTACAAAAAACATCTTTTATAATCCATTTGTTCACATCGCGATGAATGTATCATGCAATTAATTGCTAAAATTATCCCTGGACCCAACAGTACAGTTCGTTACTTTTGCGCTCATAGTTTTGTAAAGTAAACAATGGCGGCTCTAGTGTCCAAGGATAGCTATACGGGGTGCCGCACCACCGTTTATCTCCTAAATGAGGTCGTCGCTATTCTTTATCACTCCTTCCACTACTTCATATTTGATCATCATCGCTATGTAGTTTAATATGATATATGTAGCTGTCAACAGTGTCATTGTCACATTTATAGTCATCTTAGACAACATGCTCTTCTTCACCGACACGAAAAGGGAGGTGGTCTTTAAAGTCTAGGTCATGAAATGGGACACTCATGTCATCACCGCCATCAATACTACTTCTGTTCAAGCTTTGGTCGTCCAAGGGGAAGTCCAGAGGGTGCTTCGGCAGCTCAGGAGCATGCATACTTAATTCAGGGGTACTTGGTTCCTGCGGTTTTGATTGTTCTCTTGGTACATTGACAGCGAAGTACGGAATGATACCTACTACAAAAGGACGAAATATGGAAAAAAATAGAACAAACGAGGTGAACTTTATAGCAACGTAAGATCTTATTGTAATTTTCCTGGTGCTCAGCAATCGCGACAACACTTGGTCGAAGCCGTAATTTTCACAGCGTATGTGCTTTGGATCGGCCCTATTAAAGAGAGGTGAACAAAAGGAATTGTAATAATCCATAGAGTCTTCTGTCTTAGTTGCACGCTCCACAATTTGCGTGACCATATTTGCTCTTGCTATATTACGTGTGCAGGCAGTTGGTAAGTGCTTAACTATTTGTTTGCTGTTGTTATAGAACCCAGTCAAAACCCAATACCATCCACACCAATCCATTTGACTTTGTTATTGCTGCGTTGCATCATATTGTATCGAACAGCGCCAAATGCAACCTGAAGAAAGCTTTTATGTCCACCTCAATTACCGAGACCAGCTCTTAATATCAGCTCGTAGTGCGCGATCTGTGGCTTCTGATCCTCGAAATCAAACAGAGTACGTATGAATAGCAGCTTATTAGTGGCTTATCTTTTTGTTGATGTGTTGCTCCTCATGAAGCGTATGATTGTGGAAGCTCAATGGAATATGTCAAGTGAAACGTGGAGCGTCTCCTGCACCAACCGAGATGTCTGGTGGATCCCACATGTTAATGGTGCTGCATGTAGCATGTTAAAAGAAACTGTTGTGCATATATTAAATCCAAATTTTTATGGCAATGAATTTGCCGCCACATAGCCTCCCTCCTCCTTAAGCATTACTTCTACTAACGCTTCTGCTTCAGCTCCTGCTAGTGCTCTCGCTTCTTCCGCTCTTTCACCGTTTTTGATTTTCTCATCATCGTCATCAAACCCTCAAGCACCAACGGCATCGCGATTACAACCACTACAGCTTTTGGCTGATAGCCGCCGTCCTTCCTTTCTTACCAAAAGTTTCCCTCGTCGCCCACCTTCACATTCTCCACCTTCCCCTTCTTGATTCTCAACCATCTGTTATTCCTCTACCCAAAAGCGCCAACGAAGTAATATATTTTCGTCAAATAGATAGGCATTTATGAATGTATTTGGATCTAACTTTGCATTTTGTATTAAATTTTTTGACCATTAAATTTCAATTGACGCGAATATAATAATGCACTACGGTTACTGTGGGTGACCCTCGTTGGATTTGACTGAAACACACAAATTACCAAAAAGAGATGGTGCTATGATATGCACTTAGTTGCAATTGCAAGCGACGAAAGTTACGAAAGTTATGGAAAGTCATGAAATTCACCATATGCATAATGCACAAGCAGACTTGCGAGTAGCAAATATCATACCCGCCGTTGCATTGCTATTGTAGTAGCAACTGGCAGCCTCGATCACAGCGCTCTGCAAGTTCCTGCATGCTATCAAAAAGAGCCTTTTTGATCGCCAAAACGCATAGACATTAGTACTCGCCGACAATATGTTGTCTAAAATAACTAAATAATATTTATATATATATACCCCATTGCTCAAGTGTATACGCTACATTCCTGATCTGAATCATATCATTTCTTGTACTAGTACTATACAATTGATCTAGATCAAGATGGCCCCGCCAAACGCTGAACCCGTAATGCCTGTTGTTGAAGCAGAAAGCAAAAAGATCGACTTAAAGCAACTCGCCCGTGAAAAGGGGCGCTACCTCGTTTATCCTGAAACCAAGGTCAGTTTAAGATTTTGAATCGTTTTCAACACTATTCTTCCCACTATAAGCTATGAGCTAACGTGTTACTTCTGTTGTTGCCGTTTTGAATGAAATTAGTATCCAGAAATTGAGGAATTTGAGCATCATGACCCTGGTCATCGGGCGGATCCTAAGAAGGCTTCTTTGTATGATAACGCTGAAAAGATCTTTGATCTGACTCCTGCCATCGGTACAGAAATCCACGGGATACAGCTTTCAAGACTGACTGATCAGCAAAAAGATGACTTGGCTCTTATGGTTGCCGAACGTGGCGTTGTCTTTTTCCGTAAACAAGACATTGATGTTCATCAAGCGGTTGATCTTGGAAAGCATTACGGACCTCTGTGAGTATCAATCTTCTTTTTTAACATGATTATTACTATCAGTTTACTAGCGATCTTTGACTCTAACTACATCGTTTTCATAGACATATGTAAGTACATTTAGTTCAATGAGGTATCTGTAGCACTTTCATTGGATACTAAATAATGATATTGCAGCCACCCAACATTTGGTGTTCCTTCGCCCGATCTTCCTTTTGTTCACGTCCTATACTACGATACCAGTATGAAAAAACGTGATTTCGACTATCGTCGAGGTACGATTTAAAAGTAGTAGTTATTATGTGCTTGTTTCACCTAGATTTATAGTTTGCGCAGCCCGCTGACGTTTTCCTTAAATACATATTATCTATCAGGCTGGCATACTGATGTTTCATATGAGAAACACACCCCGGGATTGACTATGCTCAAACTCGATACCATCCCCTCTTGTGGTGGGGACACTCTATGGTGTAGTGGAACAGCTCTCTATGATCGTCTATCGCCTCAAATGCAAAGGGTTGTTGAAGGCCTGGAGGCTGTACATTCAGGGCAAGATCAGGTCGATGAAGCAATTAGGCTCGGCCGAACTGTTCGTCGGGATAGCTATACTGCAGTTCATCCTCTAGTAAGGACTCACCCAGTTACTGGTCGGAATGCATTGTTTGTACAGCCACGCTACACGCGTAGTATCGTTGGACTCGATCAAGATGAATCAGATTGTATTCTGAACAGTCTTTTCAAGTATTATTCTGCTTTACTTCTATTGATTGATTAATGCTTATCATAAACTGGTTATTACAATTGTCTAAGCTCACTTTATTTTTACTTAAAAAAACATTTAGTCACATCATATCTGGGTACGACATTCAAGTGCGCTTCAAATGGGAAGAAGACAGCGTTGCTGTCTGGGGTAAGCAGTGCCATCCCAATAATGGGACGTATTTTTATATAGACGATTAAGGCTCGTCGTATAATTAGCAATCACGTATTCATTATCATTCTTGCTTATATTAGATAACCGAGTAACAATTCATAATCCCATTTTCGATTACTTTGGCGTTGGCAAGCGCCATGGATTCAGGATTACATCGTTAGCTGAGCGTCCGTTCTTGGGCAAACATACCAAAACTAAATCGAAGGGTAAGCTTAGAGAAAACGAGGATCCCTGTAAGTTTAATTAAGCGTTATAGATGCTCAAAACATTCTCTTCCGTTTGTGTGCATATTAGACTCGCAGGCTAGAGCTTTATAGAACGATAGCAGCTGCGCTATGCGTTGAGGCGATATCTGCATGAAGCAAGAAGTCGGCGGATGTGGATCATCGTGACCACAAACAATGATGCGAGATAGGCATTAGTAGTCTATACTGTACTTCGGTCTCCAAAAGTTTATTTATTCATTTCGTTTAATGATAATAAAGCTTCGAATACTGCATAATGTCGGTATCAAAATCATTGTATAACTATTCGTGTACCATAGTAAGTTGATCACGTGAGGCCTGATTGTCGCGGGTTTTTCAACTTGCGGGTGCGTCAACCTGTCTTTCCGGCACTGTCTCGATGAGCTCTGGAAAATCTGTCATCAAGTGGTGGTGGATAGATCCGATGATTGGATACGGTGACAGGTCCACCATGTATCTGACAGCGTTGTAGAACTGAGGCACCAAAACGAAATCCGCCATGGTGACACAATCACCGATACAGTATTTTCCTGATAAAACATGCTCCTTGTCTTCCCGCAGCTTGGCTTCCAGATGATCAAATCCTTTTGTGATACGGGAACGGGCCCATGCTTCAAATTTTGGCCAATCGCCGCCACAAATGTCGTTCAGTAAGCCAGTGTTTTGGATGGGATGGATATCGCATGCAATTTCGTCACATATTTCGCGTGTCATTGCGCGTTGGAGGGGATCTGCAGGCAAACATGTTTTTTCTGGATACATTTCTTCAATGTATTCCAAAATAGCCATGCTTTGAGTCAGGACAACCCCGTCACTTGTGATGAAAGCAGGGATCCGTTTGCTTGGATTGACCTTGGCGAGATTACCCAACTATTTATGTATCCATGTCGAAGAGACTTATTATGAGCTAATAAACACGAAAATTAATTACTTTTTTGATAAAAATAAAATTATGTACGTCTTCACTGTTTTTAAGATCAATTGGTCGATATTCGTATTCTATATTTTTCCATGCAAGGATCAATCGGACTCGCCACGCTGCCGATGAATTCCAAGAGCCGTAAAGGACAGGTTTTGTCTCCTATTTATCGAAAATATTAGTATCATAGATAGAGAAGGTACAGTCTTCTCTTTTTTCCTTACTACTGTTGCCATGGGAGGATAGAGATTATAAAAGAATAAAGCGATGGTCTAAAGGTAGAATCAGATGGTTTCCTTTAAATATTGAGTGGGGGAAACTGGCATGATGTTTCACATGAGCTAAAGAGGGCGCAGCATCTCATCACATTTGAAGAGAAGAGTTGGGCCACGTCATCATCCTTACAAATACACAATACAGTAGTTTACTAGTTTTTCACCTGTTTAGCTAGTGTTCTATGTTTTTCTATCACTCGATCAATTCATTCATATTGAGCTGGAGTATAACATAGCTAAGGTGCAATAAAAGTCATTTTTGTCATACCAGACACAGCAGAAACTTAACCTACACTTCGCATACAATGTCACAAGTGCTTTAATCGGATGAGGCACACGTAAAGCTAACCTGATGGTTGCCATGGCAACGGAAATCTGTGTTACGTGGTACTGTTTCCCTGCATCGGGAATGCCACGTACACTGGAGTGATCCAACCGAACGAAGTGCAGAAAGCTTGCCAACAACATTGCTAACCTACAACAAAAGCTTGAACGAAACTGCAAGAACAAGAAATGCAATCCAAACTCGCCGTTTATCAGATTTTCTGAACAGTCTAACACTCAAACTTACGCCTGCACAACAACAGATTATCAAGCAACAACTTGCTGTGATTTAAAGCCTTGAAGCGATATCATAACAGCAACTACCGAAATCGGCGCAAGAAACAACCATTCAATATGCAACAAATTGGTAAGCGCTTTCTTCTAAATGGAGAAAAGAAACTTGGTTTATTATTTTACTTTTTTTTAGGGAAAAAAAACAGAAGCGGTTATAGTATTTCATGGTTATTTTGACTTGAAGATACATACGCGTGTGTGTTCGTATTTATATAAATATTAGCAGCACAACACCAAATGATGGCCATCGCGACATTTTCCACCTCGCCTGCGTATATATATCACACCTCTCGCGTCGCTAGCCCCTTCAAAACAAGGCACACCAGTCGCTACATCTACCAAAGATGTGTTACAACGTTCCCTTAAAGCCAGGTCCTCCAGCTTCTGCGAATTCAGCAAAGGCATAGAACGACCGACTTGCACACGGGTGGGCGTATACTCGGCAAACGAAAGATCCAATAATTCGTCCGTCATATTGATCCATCAGAACGGTTGGAGCCCGAGGTGAAGGAAAATAAGTTGTTTTTTTCGACACCCAGTATTACTACTACTACTACTACTATTATTATGTGATTTAAAACAAAGAAAGTGAGAAGAAATAGGGAGAGAGAAGGTTACTCACATCATGTTGATTGAATATCTTTTAGATTCAGTTGGAGATTGCAGATGAGTTTATTGACTCAGTAATAAAGTTTGTTTGTCGTTTGGCCAAGCATCGCAAATCCGATACACTGGAAGTCAAAGACCTTCTAGGTATGACGAAAACTCCATCGCGGGATTGGGGGAGTTATCTGACAATTTGTTTTTCTTGAACGACTCAGGAAAGTTATACACACATACTCATTTACTCGTATGTGTGTGTAGGATGAAACTGGAACGTCCGTATACCCGGGGTTTGCAGCAAAAGCACAAGACACGAGTCATGCTAAAGAGGATGATAACTGAACTGTTATTATATTGTGTGGGTGTGGGGGAGAAATGATCAATAAATGACCTTTACGTTTATCTACATATTATTACTTATAAATTATGAGGGTAAAAGAATACAAGGTGGTAAGGGTGGAAGCTTAGACATTATTTATAATACTACACTACTGCTGCTGCTGCTACGTGGGAAGTTTCTTTAAAGTGTTTAAACTGGACTCTTTTCAGTACTGGCTACTTTTGCGTCGCTCGGATAAGGCTCGTCCGCTTTATGCACAGCAGCATGGTTGACATCTCCGAAAGCTTCATCGATTTCTTCAAGCGATTTCTGGTTTGTTTCGACAAAGAAAAAGTAGACTAAATCCAATTTTGCGGATAAGTAAGAAGCCTATATATATTTTTGCGATTTCTGCTTACCGAGAACAAATGCAAGAACACAGAAAGCCATGTAGAAGATATAAGTGGCCCACTCGATCTTGACCAAAAGCTCAGGTGTCCAGAGACCCACGGCAAAGTTGCAAAGCCAGTTAGAGGAGGCGGCCAGCGACATTCCTTTGGCGCGAGCACGCAGTGGGAAGATTTCGGCCGGATCTATTATGTTTGAAGATGATGGGCAAAGAGTTTAAGTTAGAAAAACCAGAATTCTAGGTTACACTGAAAAAAAAAACTCAATCAGTAAGAAATTATATAGAGATGTACTTACACAACCATCCAACGCAAGCCCATGAGGTACCAAAAGTGAACACGTAAATCATAGTAAATACGATTACGAGAATCGCAGAGGTGAGGCCCAGATCATACTTGTTGAAGACAGCCATGAGAATAAGCCAGATCACCATCAAGCAACTGCCACTCATGAACAATTTACGACGGCCTGCTCGATCCACCAAAAAGATGGCTACTACAGCGCCAGCAAAATACGCCAGGGCAGTGAAGCCTGCCATCAGGATCGGCATGCGGCCCTCGCCGAGTACACGCTCATACATTTTGGGTGCGTAGTACTAAGAAATGAGCCAAATTTCGTTTTAGTAAAAAAAGAAAAAAGAGGACAGAAAATTCAAATCCGGGTTCTTTGTATGACGTAGCGATAGTCTTACCGTGACAATGTTGATACCGGATAACTGGGCAAGCGCTTGTACCATGATCGAAATGATTGAACGACGACGCATGGTGGTGAACATGTCCTTCCAACTAGCTTGGCCAAGGGCAGCTTCGTAGTTGACTGCATTGATAATCTCCTGGCATTCTTGCTGGACGTCCTTGTCATCCTCGGGCTTACCGTGCAATCGAGCTAATATATTGAGTGCTCGTTCATGGTCACCCTTCTTGACAAGGAAGCGCGGGGATTCAGGGAAGATGAAGCAGCCAACCGCAAGGATTACTGCAAAGACACACTGCAAGAGCAAGGGACCACGCCATGACCATTCGTTTGGGACATAGGTGAAGCCGTAGTCGATAAAGCCTATTGTGGTATTGACATACATCAATAGCAACCGATCAACCATTAGACTTCTTGTTCTTCTGCATGAGATATGTCATTGATAATACATGTTTCATCTTCTCCTTACCTGAGCAAGCATAACCAAACATGTTGATACTCATTCCGGCAACGGTGACCTTGCCTCTCTAAAAGAGATTTATTCTGTCAGTACGATATGCGCCATCAGAGGTCACACTGCATGCATGCATGACCGTAATGTACTGCGCAACACCCTTGCATCTGCCTCTCTTTCCTCCCTCTCTCTGCTCCATATCTTGTGTAGCTCCCGCACCGCATCCGCACAGCCTATCATGTTTACAATCAGGAAGGGCCTATTTAAACTTACGTTGTGAGCACGGCTTAACTCGGCCATATAGACCGGGACGACCGTACTTAAAAAGCCGATACCAAAACCTGCGATCAATCTACCAAACAAGATTTGAACCAGCGTGACGGATACCGTTTGCAGGATGCCCCCGACAATGAACACCAGAGCACCAATCTCAATTGTCCATCGACGGCCGAGACGGTCCATCGACCATGGCGCACCGTAGGATGTCAGCCAGGCACCAAGCAAAAAGATAGAAACGACGAAACCTTGCATTGTTTCAGTGGGATAATTGAACGTCTGAAGCCAGTCGTGGTTGACTAGAATGCCTGCCAGCACACCCTGGTCATCTAACATAAGTCAACAAGAGATCAGCTCACCTTTGTCGCAGTTGTCGCCTCCGATCTGACGTTGTCAAAACGAGAAAATAGACTTACAGCCAAAAAGAAACTGTCCAACAGATGCAAAGCACGCTAAGCCGTACAACAGTACAGTCCCCTCAAAGAAAGCCATTCTGTAGTAGAGAAGAGATAGGAAGAGAGTAGAAGAAAAGAACAGAAAAGAGAAGGGATCTCGTATGATCTGTCCTTCTTGTTCAACTTGGCTATTTAAAAGCCTTCTTCGTTTCTCACCGCCCACCATCACCACCACCACCCAGCGGACTTTCCTTCATCCTGGCTTGAACTGATTTGGAATTGCGGGGTAAAACCTGTGTACGCCTTTTTAGGCTCACAGCTTCCCCATTTGGTGCTTAACTTTTTTTTTCTTTTCCTGCGTGTACGCGCTAAGACGTTTGTAGCTTTCACAGGACGAGGACCGAAAAAAAGAGTTGGCAGCTTAGGAGATTCGCATGATCTTTGCCTTCTTCGCCGTGCTCCCTTATAAACCTCCGGCAGCGGCGATATATATGTTACTCACTTTCTTGATCTGCTCTGAACCACTGTGTGTGCGAGTCCTTGTACCACCCTGGAAGAATGCCCGACACTTTTGCGTCATTACAGCGTACAGAAAAGAAAACGAGTAAACCGGCTCCAGCTTTAAAGTTTTCCGTGGACACCATTCACTTCCAAGCGGGACTTCTCCAGCTGAAAAGTGAGGGGACGCTTCACCTCATTACAAGCTGGGAGAGAGAAATTTCCTTGTTCCGTTGTTCGGCATTGACAATAACAACCAAAACAATGACGATTCTACCGTAAGAAAGTTGCAATGGTGCAAATGGTTGTGCATATGCACTCGTACCTATCTTTTGGAACAATTACAAATCAGACATCACCGTAGGAAAAAAGAACCTTGAAAACCCGAATTTACCCGATATGGCAACATCTTTCCTTTTCTTTCTCTATTTTCTGCTTCAAAGGGGGCTCATCGTCACCTTGCGGCGAACCGACAAGGAAGAATAGTTTTGTGCGCCTGAGATTTACCATTAACACCAACAGGCAGCGTAACAATTGTGCTCAGCAGCTCAGGCTTATATATATGGTGAACTTATGGTGGTGTACTTTCAGCATTACGATGGAGACGCTACCAGGTTACTTGGCATTGGTGAAAATATATGAGGCTTAAAAGTCTAATGACAGTGATTGCACAGACGAAATGTGAAGCGTATAAAGAACTTATGTGGAGTGTTAAAAGTACGTCAAAGTGTCATTACTTTTGCTGGCCAGGTCGCAAACGAGACAACGAACTTCTTGGTGAACTGCGGTTTTGATGGCAATTTCCATTTTAGGCAAATATATGCATTTAAATCTTCTCTTTCTGACAAAATGCCTTTGAACAACATTACTAATAACGCCAATGCCTCTCGAGAACGACGTAAAAATTTGCTAGAAAGCGTCATTGGACTCTATAAAAGGGAAAATAACAAAGTCTCTCAGATTAGAAGGATACTGAAGGTGGTCTGACGAGTCACGATTCCGTGTGGAAGGAAACGACAGACGTGCAAGAGTAATACGCCGTGATGGAGAACGCTTCTTTGACAGGCATATCCTTAAAACGCAAAAGTTTGGAAAAGGATCTGCAATGGTCTGGGGCTGCTTTTTGTCAGCAGGTTTGAGACTACTTGTCATGGTGGCAATATAGATCAAAACGCGTATGTCAACTGTCTGTCGCACCATTTCCTTCCATACCTAGGACAAGTCACTAGAGCCACAGGGCGCGAGTACATTTTCCAAGAAGATAGGACTAGTTGCCATACAGGTAGCTATGATAAAGTGTACAATCAATTATTTCGAGCACAGCTTCGCCTTGTTGATGCAGCTAGTAGCTCATCAGCAACAATCAATGTTATAGCGGGTCGCTGTTCATCATTAATTATTAATGATATGTAACCGTATTTTCTCAAAAGGGATTGACCCTCTTGGCTTGTTAACTATCAACAATGAATTCTTTCTATTATAACAAAGGGCTTTCGCTGTCTTTAATAATATAATGCTTGCAATGGAACACATTAGAGTTTCTATCCAAGGAGGCCTATCTTCCCCGAGCCTGCCTCCAACAGCTAATATATCCCAACCCATACAATTTCATTTACGAATCGATAAGTGAACCTATGTGTATCAATCACCTTTACTTGTTTTTATTCAAAACTAGGATATCAGGTATATACATGCATATAACAGCGATTAAAGATATCGAGCTGTATTAGTCATTGGACAACAACATGTAATGAAAAAGCCATAACAGCCTATCAACTTTTACGTCAACTTCTTTTATCAATGACATTATAGCGAGAAGATGTCAATCGTTCATGTTCCTGCGAAAGCCACATCACTGGTTCCTGCCATGAACATCTTTATTCTTTGGGAACCAATATACCGAGAATGCGCTTAATAGTTCAAAGCTGGGTTGTGATGATGATGATGAGGGCATGATAATAACTGATCTGATGGAGAAACTAGTACATGGTACGAAATCAAAATTGCCGCTATTGGACACTTTTATCAAAAAAATTACACAAAGACAGAACTCTGCAGTTTTCAAAAGGAACTTGCGTTGCTATTCAGATGCCCGAAAACACCGTCAGCGGCGATGCCAGCTATTTAGCCATGTTCACATTGATTTTCAAACTTCATAGAGCTCTACTGTATCGGGTCTTTTCACTAAATAATTTACTTTACATAGCCGATCACATATATACTATTCGCAAGGTCTATTGTACGTTTCGAAACCGTTCGGGCGAGTTCTTGATAGTTTTTTGGACAGCCATGAGGATATCATGCATCATTTCCAGATTCGGGACCTTCAAGCCCTTGGCCTTTGCACGACGCAAAGGCGTGCCAAGGATTACACTAACTTCCATCGGTTGGCCCCGTTCCAAATCAAGAAGCCTATCATTTTAATGTGTTAATACTAATATTTATGACTTGTCACCAACAATATCCCTTGTAAAACTTACATAGAAGGCTAATGAAGTTAATTATGATGATGTATATGTTGGTCAGTAACATGGTACTTTATAAAGGCGGCATTTTAACCACAAAAAAACAAAGTTACTGCTCCATACCTTGTAATCCATTGCAGTGGCACGAGTTCGTTCTAGCATGGTCTCCATTTGTTCTTCGGCATCATATTTATATCCCATAGCATTGGATGACTCGATTAGCTCGTTCATTAACTTCTTTACAGTGGTCATTGCCTCTGGGCTTTTCATGATTTCGGTAGTGTTCATACGAGCGACGGTGCAAACAGGTGAGAATGCACCATTCCAGAACAATTTCTGCCAGCGAACTTGTTCAACATCGTCAACTCTGTTTACTGTACAACCACCTTTACGCAAAAGGTCTACAAATGCATCTATTTGGGTGTCGGAATTGACCGGCGACGGCTTGTAGTTGCCAGCGACCAACGTTTCGTCACCGACCATTTTGATATGACCTGGTGAAGTCTGCGATGTACCGATATATCTGCATGGTGATGATCATGTATTAGTAAAAATCTTGTCCAACACGCATATATATTTTCATTAATTCCTTTCTAATCTCTGGTAGAAATTATACTCGAGATAAACACATACGCAACGATAGATACGATGGGATTGTCGGGGTAGCGTTCCACAATTGGCTCTTCGACACCCAAGCCATTCTGGATCAGAACAACAGTCGTCTTGCCCTTGGTCACGGCAGGGGCAATGATATCCGCCACATCATAAACGTCGGGCAAAGCTTTCATGCATACCATTACATAATCAAAATTTTCCTGAGGAACGGACTTGACGACTATGAAACAACATTCCGCATGACATGAATGACTGCATACTAATGTATATGCTTGCAACGGAAAAGAAAAGAATAAGCACCAACCCTCGTTAGGAACGAACACCTCTCCACCAAACTTTTTTGAGTCGATCTTTAAACCGTCACGAAGCACAGCATCGTAGTTGGAACGACAGACCGTGGTAACATGAGCATTCTTGGATAATCGCCAACTGTAAATGGCACCAATGGCGCCAGTGCCGACTTTGTAATTTGATCAATTTAGCGAATGAGCGGATCACATTCTTACACAAGCATTAAGTCCAGCTACCCAACTATACCTGTGAGAACCCGAACAGGTGGTGCCATGGATTCTGTGCTGTAGTAACGGAAACGTGAGAGGAACAGAGGCTCGGTTCGCTTTTTGCCCTGGATACAGGAAGATCGTACTGCCGGTGATAGGCTCCGATGCATCACACCCGTCATCCGAGAGCTCGGATTCATGACAGGAACAACATTTCTGGCATTATTTGCCACGGAATGCAATCTTAGAGTCGACAAGCGCATCATGATCGATTTATCCAAACGATCCAACTTGTTGGTTACTCAAGAGGAACGTCGGATGAAAAGTCCGTTAAAAGGACTTTCTTTACGATTAAGTTCATTTTTCCCAGGGTGTGTTTCTGGCGATTCAGCAAGTGGAACCTAGAACAAACTCAGAAAGAAATTTTCGATATTGACATTGCATTGATGAGTCACCCCCCGCAACAATCCAATGACAACAACTCCACTGTTTGTAATTCAGTATACATATTTCTAGGATGTCAGCATATAGATGCAATCCGAAAATAAAACTAGACTTTAAAATAGTTAGAAAAAGAAACGGATGTGATTCGATATTCTGTGTAGTGAATGGTATATGGGGAAATAGCAGTGCACTGTATCAAACAAATACGATAAGCCATTCGCAAAATCTCCTTCTTGTCTGCTCGCATTGCAAATGCGCAGCTTTTCTAAAGTAGAAGGTTATGACCTAAGAGTATCAACGAGGATAGATACGGCGAATATTGATGTCTCCCGAAGGATTTCCAGCATGATAGATTTATCGTGCACAGCTGACAGGAACAGCAGCTGAACCTCGGGAAACAACCAACCAGAGAAGGACCCGCCAACTTCATTTCTGAGTATTGAAATTCCATACTTCGCCGTTTCATCGGATTAGTGATATCTTCAAACTTGAGCGTAATATCCTCCAACTTCTTCATGCTCTTAATATGTACGTCAAATCGTCTTCACGGCAAGTAATTATTTCCATTACATTACTATACCTTTTGATACCACGGATAGCTATACTCTCTCTAAATGTGAATGTTTATGCAAACCATGTGAGAGACTCCAATATATATGATATATATTAAAATATGTGCAAATCATGGTTGGATTGGTAGAAAAGGAGGGGTATATCATTATGGGGGACTACAACAAACAAACGTATAGAAATTTTACACTTAAAGACATAATACAAATGTTTGCTCATATAGTATCATCGGCTGATTTTGGACGATGTTCTACTATTTCGATGAGGAGTAATTCGATCAAGTCGGAAGATATACTGATAACACTCGTTTGTTGTATCCGTCATCATACCAAAGACCATCGGGATATCCGTTCGATAAACATAATGGTGGCTCAAGCATTTGATATTGTTCCCGCGAATAACTTGCTCGCGCTCACCCTGTATAAATCGACATATAGATTTAGTTACCCATCTTCATTTTTTGTGGAAGAAAAGTTGTGATGTCAGCATACCGTAAAAATATTTCTTATTTCAATAAAGGATGGTTCGAATGCCATTATATAAGGGTAGCTGAACGCGAATCCTTCTGGTGATCCTTCCCATTCGATCAGAAATTCGGGTCGCACGCGATTTCCTTGGCCGTCGATATAGAATGCGAATTCTAAACACGATGCCTCGCATATTAACACACAGTACATCTTCTTGGCATCTATCGTGGTATTAGAAACATTACCGTCATAGCACACAATATGTTGGGCTTCAGGAGTACGAAACATGGAGATTCGCTTCCTTGTAGGAATCAAATGATCTCGCTCGCGAACTGTAATGAACCTAAGCATAGGATCTTCATGATTGAGAAGAGCTATAACAAAACCATGTATACATAACAAGAGTTTAATAATATGCAGACAGGTACACATAAAGCATTTAAAGTACTCACGTCGAAACATTTTGTTTGAATCGCGCATATCCAGGATGATCACACCGCGAGAAGTTGTCACCAGCATCAAAGATTTGGATAGTTCAATCTCCCAGACTTCACTTGGTACACCGTAGACCGAGAACTGCTTTAATGGCACATCGAGTGGCGATGGCATCTTTCCTGGTGCATCTGCCCTTCTGTTAAGATGCTTTTTGTGATATTCCTCGGGTCGTTGTGCTTCAAATACCGTAATGGTGGTCTGAAGTGTCGATACACGCGGAACACATACGAGATGTCGTTTCAAACATAGTCCGACATGGAAAAATGGCACATGTGTTCTGATTTTGTTGGATCGTGGACGGTCTTTTGGACTGCCGTTCACTACAGACAAAGCGTACTCATAAAGCGTTCGATCGGATAAAGCCAAAAGCTTTTGGGCTGACGGCAGCACAGCAACTTGTGTAACTCGTTCGATTGACAATACTTTTCGAGGTATACTGGATCGCTCCGTGTGGCCAACGTATACGCCATCTTCAGCTGCAAGCACATATTGCCTTCCATCATCTGGTGACAACATTTTGTGTTACTAAGTGCTATTTTTGTAGGCCATAGCCACGAAGAAATAGAAAAACTTACTAAAGGTAACCATGTGATTGATTTTTGTCAGAACAAAAAAGTGGTGTTCCTTAACGGCTGGGATTGGAGCAAATAATGCTCGACGCATGCTATTCAGAAGCTGGACATCACGTATTTTGTCGAACCAAGGTTTTCGTGCAGGTACAGAGGATGAGTAGAGCGTCAGGCTACCAGCGCCTTTTCGTCCCAAGTGTGTGAAAGTGATGGGGAACTGCGACCTTGAGCTGATCAATCCGCCGCCGCCGCCACCGCCACCGCCAGCTGTTCCACCACCGTTTATTGCAGCCGCCACACCTCCAGTGCCACTGTCTGTGGATCCGCGCATGGCCAAATGCGGGCCCATAGTTGCTGCGTTTCCGCTTGGTATGTAGTAATGAGGTAAAACAGCATTGGATCGTCGTCCTTTCCCTGGTTCTGAAATGGAAACTGATAACAGCTCGATAGGAATTGGCTACGACACACATGATATTAAAGTTGGAAAAAGAAACATTCTGCTCAGCCCGGGATATTTCACTTGAATAGATCACAAAAACATTAATCACGAGAGTGCAACCACCACTTTGTCTTACAGGTCGTTGAATTGTATAATGTTGTACAGCATTTTCAATCTTGACTCTGGCGATCGCTAAATAGTGATCAAACAAAAGCACTTGGAACTCGGTAGACTCTAAACTATGTGACTTGCGTAACTTGTCTTCCTTGATGATTTGTCGTTCTTCGTCATTCAGTTTCAAGTCCTATATTGGTAAATCGAGCACAGAGAATGAATAGTTTAGCAGTTTCCTTGGTTTATGGAGGTGTGCCAACTTACAATAACATCTGCTGGATTCTTGAAGCGAAGATGCGCATTAATTCGATACAAATCAAAGCAGTTCTTGGCTCTACCAGTTGTAGAATTCATCCGCGTCAATATACTTTTGATCGCTTCTATGACTTTGGGGATCGTTTCATAGTCCGGGTTATCCGAAGGTGTATGCTTCAGAATTCCCTCAAGTAGCAAGTTGTAACGACCCACTCGTGTGGTTGGCTGAGACAAGTAGCCATTTAATGGCAATTTCCGCGATACTGGGTGTTCTTCTGTTTTCTATTCGGTAGTTCATTGTTATTATTTTCAAGGGAAACACAAAAGGTTTAATGTTACTCAAAGGAAATTATATTGCTTACTGTGGCAAATTCAGCGTACGCACGGTTAATCGCTCGTTCTTGTTCTAGGACATATTTGGCATTGTACTGACTGGCACCATACTCAATAAAAGGATCGAACCTATCAACGAAATCGAGCATTACGTCTCCAATGGTCGATACAATAGAGCTTTCATTCTGTCTGCTTTGAAAGGCACTAAGCATCTGGACGTGTACGTCGTATATTTCCATGATATTAGCAAACGCATCTTGAATGAAGTTTTCGCGGTTTTTTGAATCGGGAATGATATCTTCGGAAATTCTGATCGGTTCAATCCACATCTGTTCTAAGTTGATATAGATAATCCCTTCTTCATTTAGAACGCAAAACTACAAGGCGAATAAGCGTGCGAACTCAATAAGAGAAATCAAATAAACATGCCTCGTTCACATATTCAATGGTTTTGATAAAGTTTTCTTCGGTAAATATGAGCTCGAAGATTGCTTCTTGTCGTTTACATTCGGATTTTGAGACAGAATCGCTGACTTCCCTAGAAACGACATTGACCCATAGTTCGCTAGGTCGCTGATACTGCAGTGTGTTGATTGATAGCGATGATCTCTCCAGTGTTGAGTCGACGCTTTGTTGTCGGCGCTAGTACATAAACATGCAGCAGCGTGCAACAACACCAGGTTAGCTCTTGCTTCTTTTCAAATCTATCTTAATAAAAACAGAAGGCAAGAAAAAAGAGACAGCACTTACACGCTCGGCGATCCGTTTGGGGCAATAGTAACTATAACAGGGCCGATCGTCGTATATACAAGTGGGCGAATAGCAAAATGTCACTTCGGTAAACACACCGTTGGGAAAATCATCTGCAGCACCAGATGCAGCTGCAGCAACAGAATCAGATGGATGGGCCAGACGAAAATCGTAGAAGGCTGCTGCTGCTCTTGCTGCTGTCGATGCCACTGCTGCTGTCGATGCCACTGCTGCTGTCGCAGCAGAGTCACCGATAAAACTACTCCGAGTGCTACTACTAGTACTACTGCTACGGTTACTGTGGCTACTGCCGCTACTGCTCATCGTCATGGTTCCTGGTGAGCCTGTGTCCTGGCTCGTTGACACCAACACTCGGTCGTCGAATTGGTATATCTCAAACGACGAATCAACAAGTTGTCGTTCATAGCTGACGTCGTGAAATAATCGCTGAGCCCCCAAGGCTCGCCCAACACGCACTGCCAGGCTACGGTCTTTCGTAGCGATTATGGCTAGCAGTTTATCCTAGTGGATTTAGTGCGATTCATCGTTATTGAAACATAATACACAAATTGGCATGTTCCTGGATATGAGATTTTACCACTGCTTCATGCCCATCGAAAGCATTTTTGTACTCGATGCCATCCTTGAGACGATCGTTGAGCACGATGCGTTGTCGTAACTCATTGGCCACGTGAGACAGTAAAGCAGCGTAGGCTCCAATGGAAAGGTTTTTATTTGACTGTCGAGAAGTATTGATGGTAGGTCGGGTTAAGGCTGTTGTTGTTGTTGTTAAACTCGACGAGCCATAGTCTGTCATTATTCAAAATCATTATTGATGTGGTTCACTCAGTCGTCAAAGGAAGCCTCTCATATTGATATTTATTTATTTACGTGAGCGCCAGGACAGGTGTCGTAACGGCCTATTGGGGTTAATCCATGGTGGCGGGGGCTCAGGCTCGCTTCTACAATCGTCAACTGAAGGGACTACAGAATCAAAGCATGCTGACTGTCCATGAGGTGGAGGGGATGGCGGTGCCGCTAAGTGACGAGGTCGAAAACTCATAGGGAGCCAACGTTGTTTGTGCACAAAGTTTTGAAAGGTAAAAGTGAAGAACGCAAAAGAAGAAGAGAAAAGAGAGGGAAAGGGTGAAAGAGAAGATATCCTGTTTGCATGTATCTGAGCCTCGCGCGAGAACACACGCAGACACCACACATACACAGAGAGTGTATTATGTTGCCACCCCCTTCTACTTTGTCATGTGCCACCTCTATCAGCTTGAACTGGTGGAGGGACAACTAGTAGTCAAATTGGGCGGGAGAGGGGGGGGAGTATAGCAGTATATACATTTTAGGATCCAACCAAGGCGCAGCAGCAAATAGCACGCTTATTACCACCATTATTTGATTGCCAATGAATAGACCGCATAAAGCAGACAAGACAAGAATGACAGACACAGATTGTTAAAGAGGTCAAGGAGCGGCACAGCCCATCATCTTTGTTTAATCGAAACAAAAAAGCAGAAAAACAGCCAAATCCATATGTACTAGTAGTTGCACTTTTCTTATTGCTCAGCGGCAACAGTGGCATTTCTCTTATCCTCGGCGCGCTGCTTGCGGCGCTCACGAAGGGCCTTGTTCTTAGCACGCAAGACTTCGGCCTGTTCGGACAAGGTCTTAGCTCTCAACTTCTCGGCCTTGGCCTTGTGGATGTATTCCATCAAAACACGCTTGTTCTTGAAACCGTTACCCTTGGACTTGAGGTAAAGGTTGTGGTACAAGTGCTTGTCGATCTTGCCGGCTTCTCTGTACTTGCGCAAGAGACGGCGGAGGACACGCATGCGGCGCATCCAGAGGACCTGGCGAGACATACGGGCGTTGGCAGTACCCTTTCTCTTACCATGGCCCATGTGACGACCAAGGCGCTTAGCAGCGTTGCGCTCACGGACACGGAAACGCGACTGGCTGATCTCGGGCTTACGGATGATCAAACCGTCCTTGACGAGCTTACGGATGTTGGCGCCTTTTTGTTTGTGCAGAAAAAAAAGACAATAGAACAATTGAAAAAAAAATTAAATTTTTTTGCTGTTGACTCAAATTCATTTTTTTCGCTCGTAGTAGGAGCTCCTGATGTTGGTGATGCTCCCAATGGCGCAGCAGCAGCAGAAAATGGGGAGATTTGCAATATTGAGAAAAGAAAAGGAGACATGTTATACTTACGGGAGTTGGCGTTGGAGATCTCGTTGACCTCATTGGGGTCGAGCCAGATCTTTCTCTTGCCGCAGTCGAGAACGGAAGCGGCCAAACGTTTCTGGTTGCGCAGGTTAACCCTATAATACCAAAAAACGAACGGTTTTTCACATGAGTCCTGAATTCCTCATTAAAATTCTTCTTGTCGAACACCATTTTGCCCCGTAATCTTGTCAATAAGTCCAAACATTTCGAGCTGTCATGCAATATAACAAGACCCGTGTGTGTTGCTAAGCAAACGGGTGGCGTGATTTCGACATGAGCAAGAGGTGGGAATTTCAACTCACATAGCGTAAGTACAAAGGACCAAAAGAGGGAGAAAAAAACAGCGCACTGAAGCCAATGATATAAAATATTTTCGCCGTCTGATATAAGCCACTTTGCTGCGAAATTTAGTTTGCTACGGCAACCCAGCTGCGGCAGCGCAAATCACCACTAGCTTTGTCGTTGACTGGGTAACCTGCTTGCTGTATATGTTATCTTGTTTTTTCGGTCTCATACGCGTGATTATAATATTTCATCAAAAGAGGTCTTCAGTGACATCTGATGAAAACTATTATTTCGATTGTAACTGATTATCAACACTGGGGGAGTTACTGCGGCATGTGTAACTGACGGATCACGGATTTAATACAAGAAGCAATATCCTGTGTTGAGCACATGTTTCTTTTCTAGCATTGGAACGACAAGAAAAAGAGTGGAATGATAACGTTGAACTTTATTTAAAAACATCGTCAGTTTTCAGTTGACTATTCAGAGGTTCTAATCGTCTGCTGCGCACGGATCATGCCGGCTTTTTGGAGAAACTGCATGCAAAGTAACACATTATCGAGTTAATTGTGTGACAGTAAACTATAATATTATTTGTAAAAATGCCAAAGCTATCCGATACAATATCAACCGGGACATATATGGATACTTGATATGTGATAATATAATGAAGTCAACTTGGTACGCTGTATGCCACTGGCTAACATCCTGCATCATTTGTATGATATGTGTTTCTTCGGCAAATGATTGACAAGGAGAAGTACGCTTTGTCAGTCCATAATGACTGCGTGCATCTTCGTCTAATATGATGCTTTTAATCTTGGATATCTGTAGACACATGACCAACAATGAAAGAACAAGATCAAATGAAAATTGTTTGAGGTATAGGTGTATATTTCTAATATGAAGAAGGAAGATGATTAAAAAAAATTGAGGTGAATTGTGTACAAGCGAAATGATAATACTAATGATACGAAAGAAGGGAGGGAAAGAGTATGATATTATGCATATTTGCCATTCTCCAAGGCATCGTCATGCCGGCTAATCTCCATGATTGTTTGCTCCAGCCCTTCACTACATTCGCCCATAAACTCCACAGAGTTGCTATCCGTTTCATGAATCTTCACCTTGTAGAGTTTTGCGGACGTTGTTTTTCGAGACGGATGGCGTTGGAAGTGATAATCAAAGTTACACCAAATAAACAATGCTAAATTCTCGGTTGTGCTATAATAATGCAAGCGTTAATGTAAAAGTTCTTAAGTAATAACGGCATAAGTCATTCCATCCAATGTATATCAACACTAGATATATATCCTACCTAGCTCGTTTTCGAAAGAATTCAACGTCGCAATCCTATGTTATTTTGACTTGATGTGAGGTTTTCTTGTTCCTTTGTCCCCGCCCCTGGTAAACAGAATTCTTACCAAGTTTTTATGGTCTAAAACGTCCATAACAGCTAAATTAATACAATCTTTAAGATCGACAATGTTCATGACCATGCCAGTCTCTGGGTTGATTTCTCCCTTGAGGGTAATTTCGACTACATATATGCACCAAGAAAACGTCAATCGTTTCGGTCGGGTGTATGTCTCTCTCTCTCTGTGTGTGTGTGTGCTACTTTAAACAATGCATAATGCACAGTGTACCTTTGTAATTGTGCCCATGGTAATTTGGGTGGTTGCATTTTCCATACAGTTGACTATTTTCTTCGTTGGTTAAGTGTGGTGAATGCAGACGATGGGCAGCTGAAAAAGACGCTGTGCGTGTCAAGTATGTAATAGGTGGCATGAAAATTAGTGTGGAGAAAAACAAAAAAAAGAAGGATCGTGGGAAAACAATCTAAGATCCCCGCACTGCTTTAAAAGACTTGATGATGATGAAGAAAAAAAACTTTATGGTTTTTCAAACCTTACAGACTGTTCTTATGAAAAAAAGAAGTTGCTATGTGTGTGATTGGCGAATGTGTGAGTAAGTGGGTTGTGAGAAAATAAGAGACGGTTGTGTGTGTGTGTGTGTGAAAAGAGAAAGGCAGAAGAGAGAGAGAGAGAGAGAGCGCGCGCGCGCAGAAAGGAAAAGTGGGGAATCACCAGAGCTCTACGGTAGACTGACAAGCTTTATACAAATGGGCTAAATGAGAGAAGGAAAAGAAAAAAAAAGAAAACAGAATTTACAGCCTATAACAGCAGAAGTAAACGTTCTTTGTTAGTTAATAAATTTGCAAATGGACTTGCTAGCAATGGATTACTTACTCGCTGAAAGTATTCAAAGAAATCGTTTCCATACACAATTAAAGAACCAAACAGTGAGATAGCATATAATGGACATGGGTAGTAGAGACAAAGGAACTTACGTGAAGATGAAGAGATTGTTGGTTGCGGCAACAGCGATAGAGTTCTCGTGGGGATGCCAAGATGCGTGTAGTATTTTCTTGTTGAAGTCGAAAGCATCCACATCGTCCCGACGGCCCTTGGCACCGCCATTACGGTTACCTCCCATGGCCAATTTGTTTTTAGCTGATCCAAGTCGCTTGGCCTTGAACGCACTTTTGTCTGCTTGGAGGTTGACTTCTGACTCCGTCTCCCGGTTGTAGATATGTAAATTGTTGCTGTAAGAGCCAGTCATCAGGTTGCTATGGTGACAAAATAGGAAGTCCCATGAATTAAAAACTGGGGTCCATAGCAACAGTAACATAGCAATAATCACATAGTAACATCATCTAAATACCTTCCATCACCGCTAAAGGTGCACTCGAATTTATCAAAAATGCAGTCGTTTTCGTACAAGTCGCACAGCTTGCTCCGCAGGTGATCGTGGATGCTGATGGTTTTGACGGGCTTGTTGTCCATGTTGATGTCCCACAGCTTCAGTGTTAGATAGTCGCGTGAAAGGATGTATCGTCCGTCTCGACTAAACTTGACATCAGATATGGATGAAATAATTTCGGAAAAGAACGAGCGGCTGCTGGGATCTTCCGGTGCCTCAAACACTATTTCATTTTTGATCCGTCACGAAGGCCTGTAAGTCTCAAGTACAACGAAAAATATAGAATATATTTTTATAGCAATATATTTTCCTCTCTGTTATGTATATGTTTACCTTTGGCGCGTTGATCACATAGCGCAGATTCACGCATATCGGCAAGTTTGATTGTACCTTTACTGCTGCTGTACATGAACAAGTTGCACTGCAGAGGATGGAACTCAGCTGCAGTAATCACTTCCGTCAACTCTTCCATATTGGCAGGTTTAATGTCGACAATGTCTACATATGCGCAAAAAGAAACGCAGCTTGAGCCGTAAGCACAAAGAACAAACAGATGTTGAACAGTGGCTAGATGTGTCCATCTTTAAACCAACGTACTGAAGCTCTGGTCAGATATGTCCAAATTCCACAGGTTGATTCGCAGGTCATCAGCCGATATGTACGTTTCACCGTCCGAGTTGACTGAAATCGAATTGATGTGGTAGGCATGCGCTATTTACGACAGAAGCAGCAGCAGCAGCAGGAGCAATCAGTATCCCGATAGTTGCCATTTCTACGAATGACTCTCAGTGTTTTAAGTGTCTAATTACCATTGGCATATATTCTTCTCGGAACGGCAGCAACGATGGTATCGTGAAGGGCAAGTTTCGGAAGTGCCAAAGGCTTCGAAGGTTGATATGCCGTCTTGGTTGGCGCAATTCCCATCGCCAACTGTCCGCTGTCACTCAAGTTGTTTTCCTGCACGATCTTAAGGTTCCGTTCAAACACTTTCCATAGTTTGATGGTTTTGTCTGCGAATGACCACGCACACAGAAAAGAAAAAACGGTTCAGTTGTCAACCTTTGCCTCTTTTCCTTGCAACAGATTGCCAATGTTCTTTACCATTTGTCGATAACAAAAAGTGCGCTGCGTTCGTGCGTCGACACCACTTGATCTTGTTGATCTTTTCCTCAATCTCCAAACTCTTTAAATAGTCAAATTCAGGTTCATGCGACTGAAACTCGGTGTGAAACTTGTATTCGCAACCTTTTTTCTAATTTGTTTAATCAAGCGTTATGAACATCATCCTTATACGTCATAGTACCACCTATCCATGATACAAAAAAAAAGGACTCACGCTTTCGTTGCGCTCAAAAAGAACAACACGGCCGCCTTTGTCTCCAGTTGCAAGGTAGTCGCCAGTATGGTCAAACTCTACAGCTGATATAATATCGGCTGTAAACACACATTCATCAGAAAGTCAGTGTATTAGTATTTCTTTCAATTGAATCATTACATAACTGTCGTCCGCGTTTCTTTTGCTTCAAAACACGGCCAGTTCGAAAGCTAGAGCTCACCCTCTGTAATGTCGTCGGATTCACCCTTGTCACCGAAACATTGGGCAAACTTCCACTTGTTGTCGGCTTCAGTGGCTCCTGCTGTCGCTTGCATAATCACAATGTCGTTGTTACTCGCTAATACAGTTCAATCAAGCGTTTTGGGTTATTTTTCTGTCCGAAATTGGGTGGGATGCTTTCTGTAAAAGTCAAAAGAATGAAGTTGGTTGCAGAGTTTATAACAGACGGACTGTGGAAAGAAAAAGAAGAAAATATGCACGCAGAAAGAAAGTCGTGTGTGTAAAAAAAGGCAAGTGTCCTAATACTTCTTCAGCAGATAGCAGAGGAGGCACACAATAGTGACGTGTCCCAGCACGTCTCATGCGGAGCGCGCATCATTGAAGCCGACACGGTTCCACAAAATAACTTTTAAGGCAAATTCATCTGACCTCTTTAAAGAAAATGCTTGCTGCATGGCTCCATGCAATATCAAATAACAAGGCAAAGCTTTATTTCCTATTCATCTTTGCTATGTTGCCATGACTTTATATACAACCTTGCTTCTTTTTAAGCTGTCAATACGTAGCATAGAGAAATATAAATTTGCTTAACGAGGAATAACATAAAAAACAAGATTTTAGTATGGTATGTAGATAGCCTTGCTAACATTCTGCTTTTATCATGTATTCGATGCTGCATTCCCGTCAACCACTGTTATTGGCATGATGTATAGTACCATTATATACAATGATACATCGGTCATCGTTTCGCGACTAGAAAATAAGTACTAAATGTGTGACCCAGTCTTTCGTCATACACTACGCGATGGCTAACATACAAAACAAGTATAGTGTGCGCCGTCGTAGTCTGCATAATCACAGACTTGTGGCTCGCTTTTTGTCTGTTGGAGCTTACTTGAAAAAAGCAACGTTTTACATATTAAATTCCTGTAAACCGACCAAAGATTATATCTTGACACAAAATTTGCTATTGAAACGAAAGGAGCTGAGACTATGTAATATTCACATTACACATGGATATGGACATGGACCATCAGTGAAGTTTAACGCTTTTGTGCTCAACAGTGGATAATGCACTTTCCTCGCTTCTCTGGGATTAGTTCCTTTAATTCACTCCATTCCGATCATTAAACGGCTTGCGGGGTGGAGATTCAAGGCATAGTCAATGGCCTTTATAAAGACAGTCTATAGATAAATACTGTTTTCAATGTAATATCAACACAATGCCTCGTAGCTACAGCAAGTTTGTTAATGTCATGAAGACCTCGTGGATTAGAATACTAACGTAAGTATTAGGCAGTAAATGGATTAGTGTTGAAGATCCATTGTAAAAAAGCGTATATCGAGAGTTTTTGCTCAAGTATTGGTTACTGCTTATAAGCTTGAGCTATTCAACTGGTTTTATCTAATAAAGCAACCTTCAATGCACATCTAACCAAGCTATATCTGGATCTATATCTCATTCTCAACTCTGACAAGCAATTACTCTGTAATTAAAATGAATAGGTAGAGAGGAAATATGTAGCTTTTTTTACCTGTGCACCCTGCGTTTTTTGGAGGTAGCCTTGCCATCAGTACTAAATATACACATTAAGCTTTGATGTATGATATATCTGACAAAGAGACCTTAATCCCGTGACCCGTTCTCGATACAATCCCAAATGCAGTGGTGAGATCTGTATCTTTCATAAACGCAAGAATGTACATGTATAGCGTAAATCGAACAAATTTTACCTGCTCTGGAGTGATTTTCTGATGTATATAGCTGCTGCTATTGTCATCTCCATCACGGGTTACTGCATTGACAATGTGGTCACATTCTTTGTTAATTTGTTAGCTGGCCTATCCGATTCCTGGTAAATACACAGAACGGGAATTTCTACTTCAGCAACGACAGTACATGATACCTTTGTTAATCTGCTGATACTAGCCTCAAGGAATGTCAAAATTGACCCGCACTTCAACCTCGCAACCACTTTCGACCTTTTGTTGACAGGTCGATTGAAGTTTCATGTTGATTTAGGACCGACGGTGCTCGCTTGAAAAGAGAGTTCAAATGGTCCATACAGTAGTACAAAACGCAACCTCAAATTGTTGCTTCCTATCCAGCTAACCTGAACAGAGCTTTTTGGGTCGCTTCAGCGGCTAATACCCTTTCGTAAATAATCACAAGTACTCCAAAGCACCTTGGCCTAACACCTCAAGATAACGCATTTTTCTCGTATAATATAACGCTGTTTTGTATACTCACTTATTATAACCCAAATACAAGTGGGATTTCGCCGTCATCTTATTGAACATTTTCTTAAAAAAGATCTGTAAAGTATTCGCCACAATCATACAATGAGCACTACTGGGTTAGTTTATCAAGTCGGTGTGCAACTTATACCAGAAGAAAACGGTAAATCCATGGGAAAAAGGTCTTAAAAGTTGCGCCTATAGCTCTACAACAACCGCACACCTGCACCGCCAAATCATAGCGTGGATGTACTTGAAATTTTTCACTTACACAAAATAGCAACGACTTTTGCTACCTCATGTGCATCATAGACACAAGATTTCAGCTTTGCGATTGATTGCCTGCACGCATCAGGATCACCGATAAAGCAAGAGGAGCATGACAATCGTTGCTGCGGAGCATTCGCCGCAGCAACCAAAAAGTTACTGCGGCAGGTCCCTCTCATGATCCCCCTCCCGTGGCATTTGTAAGGCACGCGAAAAACTCCGATTTTCGGATTGGATTGCCATATTTAAAACTGCTAAGAAAACAGACTCTCAACACGGCGCGTTCATAATGACAGCTTTATCCAAAACATTCCTGTCCAAACTCCAGCAATTTGACGTTGAACTCGATGAAGATACCTTCGAATACATCGCAGGCATGCTCAATGATCTTGATTTGACCGACGACGATGTCAACACTGCAATACAGGAGTCAACGGAAGACTTTTTAAAAGACGCGAATATTGCAGCCAGTAAACGAAACCAGTTTTACAAAGCCCTATCGGAAGACTTGGCTTTTTCTACAACCACGCCACTAGCCACCGCCACCGCCACCGTCATAAAGCAGACACAAGATGGGCCTGTAGCACTACCTACTACAGCAGCGAAAAATACCGGAACTCTTGCAGCCAAGGATAGCAACAACGGCGACTACGGTGATACCACGAGCAATAGTGTTACACAGGAAGATGTAAAGTCTTCTGGACGAGCAAGACGTACGCGTGGTGGTCGTAGGAAGCAGCAGCAGCAGCAAGAACCAGATCAGCAGGGCGATGTAGAACCCAACATTGTTGCCACGTCTCAACAGTCTCGGTTCCATACGGAGACCTTGGAAACAAGTAGCGCCGAGATTGATTTGCCTGGCGTCAATATCTCGGTCAACATGAATGATTTGTTGGTGGATGCACACCTCAAACTCAAAGAAGGCATTCGCTATGGTCTAGTTGGTCAAAATGGCGTGGGCAAAACAAGTGAGTTTAATCCTATAACTGCTTAATTTACAATATAAACGGTAAAACAAGCATTTACTAAAAAGCAATCGATTTATAGTGCTGATGAGATGTTTAGCGGATAACATTCTGGTCGGTTTACCGCAAAATATTAACATTCTACATGTCGCCCAGCTCCAAGTTCTTGACGAAACCAAAACTGTGCTAGATGAAGTCATGTCAGCTGATCGCAAAACCATAAATACCCTCCGTGAAGCAAAAGGTAAATGAATGGAACATTACCCCAATAGTGGTAGAATACTTACGCGTGTACATTTACTAGCGCTCCAGGAAGTCCTTGGTGCTGGTGGCAAGCAAAAAGAAGCCACAGCACAGCTAAACTGTGTTGTTTACGATTTAATGGTTGCAAGAAGCCTTGAACGGCTTGATATGGCTACCAAGCTAGCAACAAAGCGCTCAGGAGCCAGAGGCCGTGAAGCCCGACGAGAACAGATTCTTCGGGAAAAGGAGCACGAAGAGCTTACCGCCAAAAACCCTCAAACTGCAGTATCCGCTGAAAATGCCAACAGCATGGTTGCCGAAGTTTTTGAAAAGCTAGAACTCATCGATGTGGGCGCTAATGAAGCCAAAGCGAAGAAGATCTTGCTTGGTATCGGCTTTTCCAAGGATCAGCTCGAATCCCCTGTATCTATCTTTTCTGGCGGTTGGAGAATGAAGATTGCTCTTGCCAAGTCGCTCTTCATGGACCCTGACATTCTTCTACTGGACGAACCTAGTAAATACATGTGAAATTAACTCTTGTTCATGTATACGTCTTTTTGCTAAGTGTTTTATTCCTTTTCCACCGCTAGCCAACCATTTGGATCTACCCGCTATCTTGTGGCTACAAGAGTACCTTATTAACGAAACGGATGGCCAAACAATTGTGATTGTATCCCACGACCGTGCATTCTTGGCCAATGTCACTGACGAAACGATCATTATCCGAGATAAGCAGCTCAAATACCATGGAGGCAGTTATGATGACTGGGAGCGGAATACCGAAGAGCAGCGCACCCGTAAACAGACGTTATTAGACGTAAGCAATTGTATAATTCCAACCTGAAATCGTTATGCAACCTTTCTTTACATCTAATGATTATATCTCTTTTATTTCAGAATCAAGAACGCCGTAAGAAACAGATCATGGCGAGTATACAACATAACCGCCAGCAAGCCAAGTCCACTGGTGACGATAAACGGCATGGCATGATCGCTTCCAGACAAAAGGTGAATAGATTTCTGAACACGTTTAGAACATATAAACAATTCTGCTGATATGAATGCTAAAATCAATCATGTGGTACTATAGAAATTGGAAAGATTAGGCATGGAAAAGACTGAAGACGGAAAGCGTTTCAAGCAAAGTTATCGCGCTGGCTTTCATGACGACATGCGTGAAAAAATTGTTGTCGAGAAGGCGGTCAAGACGGCTGCCATCAAGATCCCTGATCCACCTCCTCTGCGCTACAGTGGTTCCGTGTTTTCGATGCGCAGCGTTACCTTCAAATACCCTGGCACCAAAGAAAAGATGATTGACAATTTCTCCATCGACATTGAACTGGGTTCTCGAACGGTCTTACTGGGCTCCAACGGCAGTGGCAAAACGACGTTATTGAACCTTCTTGTCGGACGATTATCGCCTACATCGGGTGAGGTATACCGTCATCCGTTACTGCGTGTCGGCTATTTTTCACAACACGTTGTGGATGAGCTAGACGAGAATGATACGCCGGTTGAAGCATTGATGAAACTGCAAGAAAACAACAAGAGCGAGCAAGAATGTCGCCAGCATCTGGGCTCGATAGGCATGAGCGGACCCGTAGCGCTTCGACAAATCAAGTTTTTGAGCGGTGGACAACGTAACCGAGTTGCACTAGCGTTCATTTTGTTCCAGGCGCCGCATGTCTTGATCCTTGATGAAATCACCAACCATTTGGATATGGGCACGGTCGAGGCGCTTACCGATGCATTGGCGGGTTATTCAGGTGCCATCGTGGCTGTCAGTCACGACGTCTGGTTCTTGAAACAGTTGATGGAGGAGCAAACTGCTGACGAAGCAGAGGGTGATCCAGCAGACGAAGTAGCAGCGGTCAAGTCGGCCTATTACTTGGTTCAACGTGGAAAACCTATCAAGCGCTGGGAGAAAGGCATCGATGACTACGTCGCCAAGGTTCTCAAGACGGTCCGCAAATCATCATAAATGTTTCACCTACTTTTTTTTTTGAGCAATTGAAATATAAAAATTTGCCGAGACTTCCAATGTCTTGGACTCATCTCCCTCTCTCTCTCTCTCTTCCACTTTGTCTTTCTTTTCTTCTTGCTTGACTCTTTATTAACCTTCAAAGACATCTTCTACATTTGCCATGGATCCCGGTCAGTCACATTTCGAGAAACTGAAAACAGTGCCACATTTGATCGACGAAGACCCTTCTATCATCACGCCGTCGTCGCAAAAACGGTATATGGACATGCCATGGAAAGACTTTGCCGCCATGATGCAAAAAAACAAGGAAGCCGCAGAAAAGTACGAAAAGTACCAGAAGCGAAAGGACGATAACACAACAGACAGTGCCACCGACAAGTCAATATCTTCATCACCAGCCGGTACACCAGCAGTAGAAGAAGGCGAGAACGAAGGCGCTTGGGACAGCGAGACGGGATATCAAGATGAAGATCATGCGCCACTGCGCGGGCAACAAAAACAACCATAAACTATAACTTTTTTTCTTGTTGCAAAAGTATGGTACACTGTGTAGTATAGATATTAATATATGATTATTTTTCTACGAATATGTCTCCATAAAGTTCCCTGGAACAAGTCCTCGCGTATGAGTCAAACGCTTGTCGCTATGAACAATCTGAGCATCCCACCATCCGTCTCTCTTCTTTTCAATGACTGCCAATATGTCATTCTTAGTAAATGTAATTTCGGACTCAATCTATGTAGTAGTATATAGTTTAGTCTTTCTCTCCCTCTCATTGGTCACACAAAACATCTGCATTTTATGTGTTCACCTTTGCGTCATAGCTCCATTGTGCTTTCACTAAATAACAAACAACACGCTTGTCAGTCCACGTTACGATAGACAATGCGATAAAATGAATACTATTTTACCATATTCAAGCACCGGTGTCCCGTCCTCCAACACTAGTTTTGACGATATGGTGTTAAAGCGATGGTTGTCTATGGGCCCGGCCGATGAAGCATAAGAATGATCAGGAAAAGATATGCTCTGCGGCGACGTTTGCGCCGAATTCGTAGGCGACCTTTTCTCTTCCTTCTTTTGCCCCAGAATCCCTAATGAAAAGCGTGGTTTTCCACCAGTATCGACATCCGTTTTTTTCTTCAGGAAGGGAAATACAGCATAATGCTTGTTTTTCTTTTTTCCTTTACGAGGAGCCGTCTGTGCTTCGTCTTGCTCTAGAAAGCCCATGTTGCGAGGACTAGTGATAGTACCTGCAGTGGTAGGGGCTGTTGGAGATATCCGACTATCGAGATCGGCTGCAGGAGATGGATATCCTCGCAATTTCGTCGGCGATGTTGTCGTTGGTATTGCAGTAGTAATAGTGGTGTTGTGGTTCTTTGTGGGTAAATGTTGATTAGTTGCATTAAGTGTTGTTGCAGTCGTTGGTCGTTCAATTACAGGTTCGTGCGGATAGGGGATAGTGGCAGGTGATCGTTGGAAGGTTGCTAAATGGTAATCGTCGATATCTAGAGTTTCTTGGTTACTATTGGCAAATTGCTGGCTTGCTTCAGATTACACAAAATGGTATACCTTTATCGAGCGGTGGTTGGATCTGAGGAGCATATACGTTGTTCTATCAAGTTCGATGCACATTTTATACTTCACTCTCACATATACATTAGGCATGTACATTCTTACCTCGTTGTTGGACTTTGTTGTTGCTGTTGTTTCTGGTGGAAGGGAAGGAAGTGCTTTTTCTTGGAGCTTATGATCAGTTGTTGTTCTAGGTGCAAAAATACAAACGTGATTAGTCTAGTTTTAAAACTTGCATGATTTTACTCCCTCTTGTACCGACGTTTCTGCTTCAGTCTTTTCTTCAGTCGGCCGCTTGGGAGAATATGATGGATCATGCTCACGCTGAAAAAAACATTGACGCAGAGATAAGGAGATATATTTGGATCATTAGTACAGCAGTCGATCAAATATGCACTGTGGTAGGATTGAAAAAAGAAAAAAGAGATGATCTCCTTTTTTTACCATGCTTTCCGATGTTTGTGGCCTTGAAGATGGCAGTTTCCGCAGTTGATCATTTACAGATCGAAGCTCTTCATCTTTCACTGGTATATTGATCTCGCGAACCGTGCGAGGGGTTGGTGGAGCCGTTGACTCGGGTACTTCGTCAAAATTGTGGTGACATGTGTATTTTGGTATATCTGGGTGGTACAATTAGGATCGAAATGAAACACTATCCAAGAATAAGAAACACTCTCTTTACCAACCTGGTACTATGGAACCTGTTCCTTTTGCTTGAATAAACGAATAGATGTCCGCGGCGATGTCTAGATTGTCCAGTGCACCTCGTATACGATCACAAGACTACGTCCATTCCATATACATATTGACTTTAATCTCTATTGTCCACTCTCCGTCTCTTACGTCTTGATTGATCGTTCTATCTTCTTTTTTGGTTATTATACCTGGTCATCGATCGTATAAACGTTGGATATCATATTTGCATACCTAAAGGAAAACCAACAACATTCAGCTTGAATAACGTGTTTGTAATACATGTTCGAAGCAGATTACCACTTACGCAAGTAAGGTCCCACTTAAATAATTCAAACGTTTTTCTTCCAGTTCTTGGAATGTGTTACACGACTCTTTCCATTCATCTACCCAGTGCTTTGTGACGGACTCTAGAATTCCCACCGATAACTTGTATTCATGGTCTATAAATGAACAATAGCATAGAGAATTTGGGATGAGTGGCATGTACATCACACAAGGCACATGTTACATTACCTACTGTCGCCGTCTTCTGCTTGATCTAGAACACGAGAGATAGAAAAATAGAGAATGTCGTCAGCATATAGTATGATGTGTTCCCTTAGTACTAGAACCAGAACTACTACTCCTTGGTAGGAGCAAGGGGAGACGCAAAAAGAAAGAAAAAAGAGGGCGGGCTGCTTGCGAGAGAGTGCAGAAATCCCATTACATACCTGCATCAACTCGTCTCCTTGTCGATCTCCTGCGTAATTCTTCAAGTTATTGCACTCATCCAAGTATGCTTGACGCGCCTGTATTTAATTGTTGTTTTAGTTATATGTAGAATATCAAAGATCAATTGTTGAATTACACGTCGTACACATTAAAACCGCAGCTAAATCTTAGCGACTACTAGTACGACCACCACCACCTTATCTCCACTTGAGAACGATCGCTGCCAGCCACCTTGGCATCCCCTAATAGTAATAGACATACTTACCCGCTTAACGTTCTCCATATGCATATATCGCAAGTTTTGTACCTTGTCGATTTCAGCCATTGTCTATCATAAACATTTAGTATCGAGTCAGAAAAGTTTTAGATTAATACGATGCCAAGACCACCAAAAGTGGCCCGCACTCCCTTTACAAATCCTTCATCACCCGTTCTCCCCGTCCAACCCCCTTCCCCCTTTATGCAAGCTGATATGGGTCTAAGATTCTCTTTACCGATTTGCGCACAGCTTTTTGCTCCCTGATAAACGCAGATAATGGAGTTTCCAAGAGATGATGTATTTGTTGTGCAAGATCAATGTGTGCACGAGCAGCTGCTTCGGTTGCTGTCGGTATACTCTGCAGTGTATCTGCAAATGTGCTGGATGCTTCTTCGCTTTCAGATAACCGTATTTGCGATAACTTTAATAACCGTTCGCCATAGTCCTGCTCGATTTGTGCTCTGCAATTATGTATTGAAACAAAGAGAAAAGAAACACATGAGATTCTATACTACTACCCTCTTCTCTTCACAACGGCTAGTTAGGGTTATAAACCTTTTCTCAAACACTTTCAGAATCGTTTCACACGTTCGTTTGGATTTTAGTAGTCGCTCAAGAATGTTGTTAAGGGCGGTATTGTCATTAGCCTAAAATAACGAAAGGAAAGAGGTTGGTGAGCAACTGCATGTCTTGGTTTCTCGGCTTTTTTGCTGGTAGTTGCCAAGGTGGTGAATAGCGTGTGGCGTAAAAAAATAGTTTGAAGATTTTTGTACCCAAAAGTGATCGGCCATGCGAGGCGGCATAAAGTTGGGAGGTGGTGCTAGTGAAATGGTTGCCATGGTTGCGTATTAAAAGCTGAGCGTTGTGTGTGCGGCAAAGCTCTGGTGGTGTTGGTGGTGATTGATAACAGAGGATAGCGACAGTTTGTTTCAACAGTTTGTGGGGGTGGAGAAGCTAAAAAAAGAGTGATAATAATGAAAATACACAAAAATCAGAAAAGAGAAAAGCTTAATGCGAGCGCCCGTTGGTGCGGCAGAATGTGGAGAACGCTATTGCCCTCTCTCTCTTCGCATGTGACGTGTTGTGAGGCAACAAAGAGGAAAAAGGGTAGCACACTGATATACATTATGGGCTTAAATATATGAAAAGGATACCAGACATGATGTATCTTTTCTTCATACAGTACACAGCGCGCGCAACCAACAGTTTATTGATAAGAAAAATTCATTTAACAACATTGTAAGCTAACAACAAATAACTAATGTAGGACCCGGAACGATCTGCAAGCGAGTATACTTTCCACAAGCAGTCTTAAATGAGTCCCTTTAACAATTATTTTTCGAGGTTGAATGGCCTTTGCTGAGCAAAAAACGTGTTTGCATAAGAACTATTGTTTTTTTCAAAAATGAAAAAGAAACGCTAGTCCCCCAAATCATGATTGCTCACTGAATGACAATGGCTAACCTCGTTAAGATGTAAAAGAAAAGCTTTTTTTTTCTTCCCGCTTTGCTTGGTTATCATAGGCAAAACGCGTGTTCGAGTCTCCGACGCACAAACACTAAACGACTTCTTGTGTAACCCACTTATGCTGTCATGACAACCACCTTTTCCTTGGCAAACCGAGACTTTTGCAGATCCTCTTATGAATGTGTAAGGAAGGCTTCTATTAATTTTGGGTCTCATATATGACGTCGTATGGCTTTATGCACAGCACGAGCCCCAGATGGAGCCGTCGTCGCGAACTACATATATACAGATTAGACTCGAGTACTACTGCTACACCCTAACAAAACTAAGCTACCATTTAACTTATATGACCTAATTGAGCATACAATAAGAATTGTTCATTTTAAAGATCCAAGCCCAAGACCTCCATGAACGTTTGTTCCAGATTTGATAGTCTTACGGGAAATACACTCTTCTGTTGCTCTTTTAGAAAAGCGATTGCCTAAGTTGATAGCATCACGTAATTTAACTTGGTTTTCATCAGCACAAACAGCTTCAATATGCAGCTTTATCGTTGTGTTGGAATCAATAACAGATGTTTGAGCAGCGCTAGACAATCCTCCATCACTGGTCAGGCTCGATTTCCCCTTTCATTTGTACATGTTATGCGTTTAGTAAAAAGTAAAGAAGGCAAAACAGAGATTTTGGACAGTAAGGATCAATTCTTCAATTCTTGCTAGTGGAAATTTGTCTTTTTCCGTTTTCGAATTTAATTTTTTATGAGACACAAAAACGTAGCGAATTATCAGCTTTGGGAACCAGAACGGGTGTTGAACACCATGGACTTGAACATTCGACGATAACTCCTTTTTCTTTCATTTTTTTGACTTCTGCAGCAATAGCAGCTTTTTCAGCTAGTGATCGTCGTGGAGCAGGCGTAAAAACAGGTGCGGCATTGCCTGTGTTGATATAATGCATGATTGGTACACTTGTTTGTTTTGGTGATTGGTTGTACAAATCGGGATGTTGTAGTATAATTGTTGAATTGGTACCGGTATTGTTATTAATAAATCCGTCGTCGTCATTTCTGTTGTTGCCGTTGCACGGTTGCTGTTCGCCACTCTGATATCTTTTTTCTGGATCAAGGTTCTGGTGTCAGGATCCAAGAAAGTACCTAATCCTACAAGCCAATCCATACCAAGGATTAATTTGATGTTTTGTTGTGGGACTACGCGCAATTTGGTTGGATATTGTTGATCATTCATTTCAAAGGTGTGTGGTATTCCACATTTCATAAAATCAATTCCCATACATCGCTCTCATAATAATATCATCATATCTCATAGCAAACAATAATAAATAAATAAATAATAATCGGTTGCTATGTTCCTGGATCTACTACAAACAATAATCATCCATAAAGAAATAACAAATACAGTTCAAATAATATCTTTATTCTTGAATCAATAATAATAATAATAATAATAAAGGGTACTCTCCCCAAAAGTCCCGTACAAACAAACACATATACAATCCAATAATAATACCAATATCAATTTTGAGAACAATCCACGATTGTATCTATAATAACAAACAACTACCATTTCATTCGGAATATTGTGATAAAAAAACATATATAAACAACTACTTTAGAAATCATTATAAAGAACAGATTATATTTTTCTTTCATCAAATAAAACACCTAAATCGATTCTCACAAGACTTATACTTGTTCTCTTTTTATCGTTCTTTTCAATACTTATTCTTTTACTGCTTTCTCTATTTAAATCCTACCTATTCCACAAGGTGACAAAAAGTTGTTTGGTTGACAAGGCTTTAGATTTATTGCCGTACTGAATAAACATATTTGATGCAGGTGCAGCTGATAGTTGCGATTGTTGAACTGTTGCCTCGTCGGTTGTCGATACTTCTGAACCTGTGTCAATTAATTCTGATACAATCACATCATCAAGTTTGGCATTTACTGTAAAACGCAAAGAATTTTGATTTTTATCGTCAATTTGTAAAGATTGTTTAGTTGGAATTGCTTCAGGTTGTTGACTGTTTTGAGATAAATATTGGAATATTCGTGATTCGAATGTATCGTGATCATCTGTTGTGTCTATGCTGTTACCTGTGCTGTTGTTGTCGATGCCTTCTTTACTAGATCCTCTCACTACTGATACTGATGCTTGGTGAGTTACTTGTTGTTCATTGTTGTTTCTTTTATTTTTGTTGTCTTTAATCTGTTTGCTTGTGGCCAAATTTACCACAGCCATGACAGTTCCCATTGAACTTTTCCTGCTGCCATTATTATTATTGTTTTTGTTACTGCCGTTGTCATAGTTGCCTCCTCGTCTAAATTTCTTCCCATTTTGTTGTTCACGCTGAAAATTACTATCGAAGTCCATAGGGGTTGCTGTATCTGTTGTTGTTGGTGCTGTTGTTGATGGTGGATGCATGGCTGGTGGAGTTGAAAAAGGAAGTTTTGGGATACCGTGATGAAACAGGATTAATATGTGCTGTGGCGTTGTCGATCTTGTTCGATGAAAGTTTCAATCTTGCGCTAAAAGTAACCATACTTCCGTTTTGTTGTTTCATTTCTGGTAATTCGAGAGTGCCACGACAGATGCATGTTGAGCGCCCCCAAAATGAACGATAAAATAAATTTTGAGTTGATCAATATCCTTTGTTACTGCTTCGTCCAACGAATCATACCAAACGACTGCATCGTGTTCTATTGGCATTATGAATTCAAGACAGCTTTCTTATTTATCGTAACCATAGTAACTAATGGCTTTGTCGAAAATTGATAACCATATATATGGATTTTCGTCAGCTTTACCTGCATAAGGTCGCAAAGTCAAACGTCTGTACTTTTTGGTATTTACTGTTGTGGCGTCATTTTGTTGGGCTTGTCGTATGCGATTATTATTATTGTTGTTCTGACTGTCTGAATCGGAATGTTCGCTTCCGGTCGCCCAATCAGACATGCTTGATCCCTCCGAAATAATCGATACTAGTACTCTCGGCTGTTGTTGTGGTGTTGAGCTTGGAGCTGGTTGTTGTTGTTGTAACATGGCTTGGGTTACACTTTGTAACGCCGAAACAAGGGGCGGTTGATTCGCTCTTGGTGTAATTGATGCGCCTACTTTAGTTGTTACGCCATAATCGCGATTTTGCCCCTGAATGTGGTTTGATTGTTGTACTAATTCCTCATGATGACGATGTTGATGTTCTTGAGGTTCACCACTTCTATGTGACGAAGACAAGTCATAAAATTCTAGGGATTGTCATTCCACAACTGGGTTCATTTCATCATACAGCTGATCCATATTACGACTTAACTGATCGACTTCTGCTTGATGTTGACGACTGGGTTCTTCAAGGTTTTGTTGCATTTCTCTTTCGGGTTGCTGTTGCCATGCTATCATTTCTTACTGTTGTCGATGCAGAGCTTCTTGTCGTTCTGCACGCATTTGCGCGAGTTGTTGATAAAAGGTTTGTTGTATGGTCAGTTGTTGTTGTAGTAGTGGGAGTTGCTCATTGCCGACTATTTGTTGTTGTGGCATCTGATGGATGCTGTCACCTAATCCACTTAATGGCGACTGCTGTTGTTGTTGAGGACCAGCAGGTACATGATGCTCTAAGGCCCACGGATTGTTTTGTTCTGGATTATGAGGTGGCTGTGATGAATTATCGTAATAAGACATTTTTTTTTGAAAAACTTCTCTACCAACTGTAATAGTACGAAAGAACAACTGGTGTTTATTATGATATAGACATTTGAGATATATATATTGGGATAAGGGGTTGTGGCTACTTCTATATGTTACAGTATGTCACATTCAGTGTTGTAAAATCGTACTAAATGCATTAATAAATTGCATGGCTTTTTATCTTTTATGTTTGTTCGCATTGGAATATACAGTATTGTATTTCCTATAAAATTATATTATATAAAAGCGATGGCGATTATATCGATCGATATAAAGGAGAGGGAAATTATCGGTGAAGATAACCAACCATTAATAGAAATAAAAATACAAGTAGAAAAAAACAAATATGATGAAAAGAAATAATAGAGGGAGTTTACCTGTATCTAATACGCATATATTTATATCTACAAAGCCCTTATCCAAATCCACGGTCGAGAACAAATAGTCCAATAGACTCCATTCACAAGTCAAACCATATATACACGTTTTGGAATAGGGAAGGGAAGGAGGAATCTCTATACCTAATCAATATGCCATCCATAAAACCATTCCAGAATACCGTTATTCACCCACCTCTGCCGAATTATCGAATCGTTCAAATCAAGTGATTGTTCAAAACAGAACACCAATAGCTTTTTTCACCCTAAACAACAAATACTTCGTTGCTCTGGCTTTTTTATTTATAGTGATATATAAATTAGATATTTTTCAAAGTAGCAAAGAAAGAAAGAAAGATGAACATTTTCATCAAGCATATGAAGATGTGCAGTGGGTAAAGAAATTGATCGAAAGAGCATGTTACTTTTTAAATGACAGTGATGGTGATAAACTCTTTGGCCGTTTCAAATTAATAATTCTGTCAAGCTCGACCTTGTCTAACCTGTTATCCCTCCTTCTCGATCCAACCTGTCCTTCCTTGGCACGATTTTTTTTACTGCACAACATCACCTGCTTTAGTTTATCGAAGGTACCGAGGAGATGGCTCAACTGACCAAGATACTTGGCGGTCTCGAATGAATAGAGCTCGACCATGAAGTAGATATCATCAACCAAAACAAAATGATAGAATGATATATACGTGCCTACATTATGAAAAAAGACCAATTTAGCGAGCGATGAAGACGAGCATCAAGCGAAAAGATTCAAATAATAACGAGCTACTTACCAACCACTTGAACCAATGTCATTGCATTCAAATTCTTTTCATCGAGTGTATCCTTACAGAAAGCCACCAATCTGATCATGTCTTCGTGTCGTTTACTTGAATCGCTTCTTTCAGGTTTTACTTCGACAAAGCCTACTGAACAATCAATTTCACGTTGTTTCATGAGATACATGTTTCTGTCAGGTTGTCTAATATTCGTTCCTGGAATTTGTTTATTCAACCTAGCATAGAATAAAAAAACTCAATCAATACCAAAATTTCATAAACTAGACATAATCAAAACAATATGTATAGGGATTAAACTTAAACTATTAATTATAACACATTTAATTGTTTAATATTTATCAATGACTTAATAATAATTTTTTATAAATATATATAATTCTCAGATTTTGAAATTTTTTTAAGATGAATATCAATTTAATATGTAAAACCTATTTACATTTGTTACTATGGAGGAACAATTCTATTTATTTATTGTGAATATAAATCAAAGCAGTTGATAGTTTATAGGGTGTAAGTTGTAAAAAAACTTGCACCGTGACTCTTTGTGGTTCTTTCTCTTAGAGAAAGGTTCTTGAATTTCAATAAAAAAATAACATTTTTGTCTTTAAAAAATTCAAAATAACTTTATACTTATTTTAATTATATATAATTATCAGTACTACAATGACCTAATTTTTATCTTATAAAATAAATTTACATACTTTTTTCTATAAAATTGAATTTTATTATATTATATGAATTAGATATCAAAATATAAGATAAATAATAATTATATAGATATTTAATTTTGGTTTTTGTCTAAGGTTATAAGTTTTTCCTGATTGCTTTGTAAATAAGTTAAAAGAACGGTTTCTATTATGAATTTTCAAAATGGTATTTGATGAATATAATAGCTCAATAAATAAAGAAAAAGTTTTAAAATATAAAACATTATTACAGGAAGAGATAGATAAATTAATTATAAATGAATGGGGATTTATAAATGAAAATTGGAAGAAAAAACAAAATAATTATAAGCATCGAACAGAATTGAAATATATTAAAGAAATAGATGAAATTAAAAAAGAATTATTACAAAAGTTAGGATATACTTCTGTATTTTACTTTTTAACTAAATTATATACATATAAGGATTATCCTTCACCATATTTTGAAATTGAAAAAGGGTTATATTTAATATATCATCTTGTATCAGGTATTACATCTAAAGATATGAAAAGAAATATACCATATACATCATTCTATAAATTTTATAAAGAATTTTGGATAACAAATTATGATAGTTTGAATAAATATGTAGATATATGTCTAAAAAATATGTTTTCTAATATTAAAATAAGAATTTATTCTGCATTAATAAGAAACCCTAAAAACTTTAAAAATATAACATTACTATTAGATGGTTATGATAGTACTATTGAATATGATAAGCCTGACATTTCTGCACAAAAACGATGGTCATATAAATTAAAAACATCAGGTTTAAGAACATAAGTATTAATAGATATTAATAATTTTATAATTGCAGTTTCTGATAGTCAACTATGTGGAGTTAGTAGTGATGGTGGTATGTTTTTAAACATGAAATTATATACGAAAATGGATAAAAGAGATGTTTTAGCTATTGATGGTAGTTACACATTATTTATTAAACAGTTTGAAGACTTATGTAAAAAGAAACATATTTCATTAAGTGATAATAATTTCTTTTGTCCTATTAGAAAAGATCCTAATGAAGAATTGAATATACAAGAAAAACATTTTAATGATGTATTTGGAAGTTTTCGGTCAGCTATAGAAAACCAATTTTGTGAATTAGGAAATAAACTTAAACGATTTTCTAATAATAACTCTACATTAAAAACAGATGATTATAAATATATTAACTTACAAATAAAAGTAGCATTTTTACTTAAAAATATACAATTATTTACAGATACATTCAATATGTTTACACAAGAACACCATAAACTATGGGCTGAAAAAAACTTTGAATTTCCTACTGATGAAAAACTAATAGATATAGTTTTAAATAATGAGATAAAGCAAATGGAAAAAATTAAAATAATGAGTGAATTACAAAAAGATTTATCAGATTTATCATTAGAAAGTAATAATATGATTATTGATGATAATAATAATAATGAAGAATCTAATAATCATATAATTGATAATAATGAAGATATAGATTTCCCTGAATATAAAAATATTAATAGAAAAAAAAGAAAGAAAAATAAAAGTGAAAGAAAAATTAATTTAAATTTAATTAGAGAAATTAACAAAAATAATAATTTTTATGAAATTAAAACAGTTATAGAACATAAATTAAGTAAAAATAATGAATATGAATTTCTTGTTAAGTGGAAAGATTATGATAAAACAGATTATTCCTGGGTAAATGAGAAAGATTTCAATGAAAAACAAATATTAAAAGATTATTTTAAAACCAAAAACATTAAGTATTAAATTAATTATTTTTGTATATGTAGATTATTATTATAATGTTTCTAATAATTATATTTAAACTATTAAATGTAGTAGGTTTCATAATTTTGTTATTAAACATAAGGATAAGGATTAATTCTCTATACATACTACTGGAAGTATCGATCATTGGGGGGATCATGGAACAATGGGTACAGTACGGGGTCAATATATGCACCTTGCAATTCTGATTCTCCAATTTCTTCATCAGTGTGAGTAATCGTTGGGAGCTTGTTGATACTATATAAAAATTCAATGTGTTTAACGATAAATATGTGTCATCTATGATCCATTGAGCTCCTTACCAATTGATCAAGATGTCAATGAGTCTGTAGCAGGCTGTTCAATACTTTATTAATTTTTTTATTTTTAATTTGTTTTATATATTTATATATTAAGTTTTATTTTTAAATAATAGATAATGATCAATATAATTAGGGGTGGTCAGAGAAAATCTTTGATTTTTGATGACGTAGGTAGCTGGTCATTATGACGGTAGTCATAACCCTAGAATGATGGTAGTCATTCTAAATACTTGCCTACAAGTGTCTCATAAACAGTGTTCTCTGTAGTCGTCAACATTCGCGTCTCTAGCCAAGTCATTTATCTTTTGTTCATTGATCGATTGCTTTCAGCACCCAATTGGAAATCCTACAACGATTAAAAAACTGTTAATAATATGGTAATCGATAATACTAAGGAGGTATTTCACCAAGACTTACCCTAAAGATTGCTGAGATATCATTGTATAGCTTTGTATCAAACTTTACTTTCGGATCAATGATTTCTCTCACTAAGGCAGCGTGCATCTGTTTTAAGTATTCCAATCCAAAGTGCTTGACTTGTTGATCACTATATTCGCTCTCTTTCAGAAATAAAACATTTAATAAACATCTATATATAAACAACGTTAGCAGCGAGATTACGCAACAAATATATACAACTTACAAGATCTCTTGCAAATAGCCATCAATGTAAAAGCCTTTTTGCTTTGACGTGATCTCAGCTGCTTTCTTGTACGCCTCGAAGCATTCATCTAAACTGGTGTCACCTCCATCTGAAGTAGCCTATTAACCCTCATAAGTAAACCAATCCATTTGGTCCTACAGCCAATTAGATCCCCACCGCCTTCAAACAAACCTGTTGTCCAGCAGTACTGCTATGGGTAAACGATCGTTCCGCATTTTGTACAAAAGTGGCAAGAGTGTTCCATCCTGCTTCGTTAATGATAACATCGGCTTTTGCTTCAGCGAACAAAAGTTTCAAATCTATTTGTATTCCTGGCCCGCGTTTATGACTTTTTTTCACCGATCTAAAAGCAGCCTTCAATTTTAACTGCAAGTTCATTTTGGCATCTTCCACGCTGTCAAAGTTCGAAATATACTGTTTCACAGTGGTTTTTTGAGCGGTACAGAATTTTATTAAGCTTAGATACCTTTCGGTTCGCACATGCTCTTTCATTACTATTATTAGGAAGAGTTTTAGGTTAAAGATCATCGTGACAAGGAATCACACACACAAAAAGAATTTACTCACAATCTATAACGTCTGACATCTTTTCTTGTGGTACTTGTTTGGTTGTATGAAATAATAAGTTTTCTTTTTCACTTTTTATTGATATAAAAAAAAAGTGCTTCATAATTGAAATAAAAGAAGGGTTCTGGCAATGAAATAAAAAGAAGAGTTGGCAATAAAAGTAATACAAAAGAAATAAAACACCTTTCAACCAAAGACACTTTTGGGCAAACGAGGACGAAGGCCAATTTCTGGCCTCATTAATGATGTAAGCAAAAAAAAACAGAGCTGCTCGAGCGACCATTTTCCCTTGCGTAGACCAAATTCTTACATATAGGAGTTTAAACATCCGTTACACATGTCCCCACTACTATCTTCACTCCTTCGGTAGACCAAACTTCTCCCCACACCGATTTCCAGATTTTTCCTTACAATCTGTAATTCCTTGTTGCGTAGACCAAAAAAAAGTGGAAGTGTAGTTCTTTGTGTAGACCAACTTTTATTATGTTGCCTTATAGTGACGTTCAGTAAGTGAGGTATAATATCCAGTGGTAGCCATTTACCACTCAGGGTTGACAACTTTTTCTAGACATTATCCTTTTTCTTTTTTTATTAGAAGAGTATAGAGAAAGAGAAAAAAAGAGAAGATTAAATGAAAGTGTATAGGGATAGATTGGAGAAGATAAAGTATGGTCCTGCTTTTTATTTATCAGGGTATATGATGCTCTTGGTCGCCCTAATCTTCACTCTCTGAGTCATCGTCATCTGGATATTTAAAACAACCGTAGTCAACGCTACGCTCTATGTAGAGAAGCGCCATATTGCTAAGGGGACTGTGTTCTTATGCTAGGCTAATGGTGCAATCACAATCTTCTTCTGTCTCAACGGGCGACTCAAGATCTTCCCTAACTAGGCGCATACTGACCTCTGGAACAAGAACGGGAGGCTATATATTCCAGAGTATCCATTGGTTTGATGTGCTCATTCGCAGCATCGATCTCGTGTACCAGCAGTATGTCTTGAAGTGTTTTTGCGATTATTTTCTTGCCTCCAGACCCATAGTATCTAGGTTATAAAATATAAAGATAATTGTTACTATATCATAGGAGCTACTAGTATATATACATTTCAATGTTGCTGTAAAATACAGCTCTTGTAAAGAAGTAGCTGGCGCAGCAATGTTTCAAGTAATTCTTGAGTGCTTGTGCTTGCAGCTGATGACAAATCGCAATGGAGTATTTGCTATCACTGATAGTAGAGTTTTATTATATTTTTTTTGGTCTACATAAAGAACTACACTTCCACTTTTTTTTTGGTCTACGCAACAAGGAATTACAAATTGTAAAATCGGTGTGGGGAGAAGTTTGGTCTACCGAAGGAGTGAAGATAGTAGTGGGGACATGTAACGGATGTTTAAACTCCTATATGTAAGAATTTGGTCTACGCAAGGGAAAATTTGGTTGCTCGAGCAGCTCTGTTTTTTTTTGCTTACATCATTAATGAGGCCAGAAATTGGCCTTCGTCCTCGTTTGCCCAAAAGTGTCTTTGGTTGAAAGGTGTTTTATTTCTTTTGTATTACTTTTATTGCCAACTCTTCTTTTTATTTCATTGCCAGAACCCTTCTTTTATTTCAATTATGAAGCACTTTTTTTTTATATCAATAAAAAGTGAAAAAGAAAACTTATTATTTCATACAACCAAACAAGTACCACAAGAAAAGATGTCAGACGTTATAGATTGTGAGTAAATTCTTTTTGTGTGTGTGATTCCTTGTCACGATGATCTTTAACCTAAAACTCTTCCTAATAATAGTAATGAAAGAGCATGTGCGAACCGAAAGGTATCTAAGCTTAATAAAATTCTGTACCGCTCAAAAAACCACTGTGAAACAGTATATTTCGAACTTTGACAGCGTGGAAGATGCCAAAATGAACTTGCAGTTAAAATTGAAGGCTGCTTTTAGATCGGTGAAAAAAAGTCATAAACGCGGGCCAGGAATACAAATAGATTTGAAACTTTTGTTCGCTGAAGCAAAAGCCGATGTTATCATTAACGAAGCAGGATGGAACACTCTTGCCACTTTTGTACAAAATGCGGAACGATCGTTTACCCATAGCAGTACTGCTGGACAACAGGTTTGTTTGAAGGCGGTGGGGATCTAATTGGCTGTAGGACCAAATGGATTGGTTTACTTATGAGGGTTAATAGGCTACTTCAGATGGAGGTGACACCAGTTTAGATGAATGCTTCGAGGCGTACAAGAAAGCAGCTGAGATCACGTCAAAGCAAAAAGGCTTTTACATTGATGGCTATTTGCAAGAGATCTTGTAAGTTGTATATATTTGTTGCGTAATCTCGCTGCTAACGTTGTTTATATATAGATGTTTATTAAATGTTTTATTTCTGAAAGAGAGCGAATATAGTGATCAACAAGTCAAGCACTTTGGATTGGAATACTTAAAACAGATGCACGCTGCCTTAGTGAGAGAAATCATTGATCCGAAAGTAAAGTTTGATACAAAGCTATACAATGATATCTCAGCAATCTTTAGGGTAAGTCTTGGTGAAATACCTCCTTAGTATTATCGATTACCATATTATTAACAGTTTTTTAATCGTTGTAGGATTTCCAATTGGGTGCTGAAAGCAATCGATCAATGAACAAAAGATAAATGACTTGGCTAGAGACGCGAATGTTGACGACTACAGAGAACACTGTTTATGAGACACTTGTAGGCAAGTATTTAGAATGACTACCATCATTCTAGGGTTATGACTACCGTCATAATGACCAGCTACCTACGTCATCAAAAATCAAAGATTTTCTCTGACCACCCCTAATTATATTGATCATTATCTATTATTTAAAAATAAAACTTAATATATAAATATATAAAACAAATTAAAAATAAAAAAATTAATAAAGTATTGAACAGCCTGCTACAGACTCATTGACATCTTGATCAATTGGTAAGGAGCTCAATGGATCATAGATGACACATATTTATCGTTAAACACATTGAATTTTTATATAGTATCAACAAGCTCCCAACGATTACTCACACTGATGAAGAAATTGGAGAATCAGAATTGCAAGGTGCATATATTGACCCCGTACTGTACCCATTGTTCCATGATCCCCCCAATGATCGATACTTCCAGTAGTACGTATAGAGAATTAATCCTTATCCTTATGTTTAATAACAAAATTATGAAACCTACTACATTTAATAGTTTAAATATAATTATTAGAAACATTATAATAATAATCTACATATACAAAAATAATTAATTTAATACTTAATGTTTTTGGTTTTAAAATAATCTTTTAATATTTGTTTTTCATTGAAATCTTTCTCATTTACCCAGGAATAATCTGTTTTATCATAATCTTTCCACTTAACAAGAAATTCATATTCATTATTTTTACTTAATTTATGTTCTATAACTGTTTCAATTTCATAAAAATTATTATTTTTGTTAATTTCTCTAATTAAATTTAAATTAATTTTTCTTTCACTTTTATTTTTCTTTCTTTTTTTTCTATTAATATTTTTATATTCAGGGAAATCTATATCTTCATTATTATCAATTATATGATTATTAGATTCTTCAGTATTATTATTATCATCAATAATCATATTATCACTTTCTAATGATAAATCTGATAAATCTTTTTGTAATTCACTCATTATTTTAATTTTTTCCATTTGCTTTATCTCATTATTTAAAACTATATCTATTAGTTTTTCATCAGTAGGAAATTCAAAGTTTTTTTCAGCCCATAGTTTATGGTGTTCTTGTGTAAACATATTGAATGTATCTGTAAATAATTGTATATTTTTAAGTAAAAATGCTACTTTTATTTGTAAGTTAATATATTTATAATCATCTGTTTTTAATGTAGAGTTATTATTAGAAAATCGTTTAAGTTTATTTCCTAATTCACAAAATTGGTTTTCTATAGCTGACCGAAAACTTCCAAATACATCATTAAAATGTTTTTCTTGTATATTCAATTCTTCATTAGGATCTTTTCTAATAGGACAAAAGAAATTATTATCACTTAATGAAATATGTTTCTTTTTACATAAGTCTTCAAACTGTTTAATAAATAATGTGTAACTACCATCAATAGCTAAAACATCTCTTTTATCCATTTTCGTATATAATTTCATGTTTAAAAACATACCACCATCACTACTAACTCCACATAGTTGACTATCAGAAACTGCAATTATAAAATTATTAATATCTATTAATACTTATGTTCTTAAACCTGATGTTTTTAATTTATATGACCATCGTTTTTGTGCAGAAATGTCAGGCTTATCATATTCAATAGTACTATCATAACCATCTAATAGTAATGTTATATTTTTAAAGTTTTTAGGGTTTCTTATTAATGCAGAATAAATTCTTATTTTAATATTAGAAAACATATTTTTTAGACATATATCTACATATTTATTCAAACTATCATAATTTGTTATCCAAAATTCTTTATAAAATTTATAGAATGATGTATATGGTATATTTCTTTTCATATCTTTAGATGTAATACCTGATACAAGATGATATATTAAATATAACCCTTTTTCAATTTCAAAATATGGTGAAGGATAATCCTTATATGTATATAATTTAGTTAAAAAGTAAAATACAGAAGTATATCCTAACTTTTGTAATAATTCTTTTTTAATTTCATCTATTTCTTTAATATATTTCAATTCTGTTCGATGCTTATAATTATTTTGTTTTTTCTTCCAATTTTCATTTATAAATCCCTATTCATTTATAATTAATTTATCTATCTCTTCCTGTAATAATGTTTTATATTTTAAAACTTTTTCTTTATTTATTGAGCTATTATATTCATCAAATACCATTTTGAAAATTCATAATAGAAACCGTTCTTTTAACTTATTTACAAAGCAATCAGGAAAAACTTATAACCTTAGGCAAAAACCAAAATTAAATATCTATATAATTATTATTTATCTTATATTTTGATATCTAATTCATATAATATAATAAAATTCAATTTTATAGAAAAAAGTATGTAAATTTATTTTATAAGATAAAAATTAGGTCATTGTAGTACTGATAATTATATATAATTAAAATAAGTATAAAGTTATTTTGAATTTTTTAAAGACAAAAATGTTATTTTTTTATTGAAATTCAAGAACCTTTCTCTAAGAGAAAGAACCACAAAGAGTCACGGTGCAAGTTTTTTTACAACTTACACCCTATAAACTATCAACTGCTTTGATTTATATTCACAATAAATAAATAGAATTGTTCCTCCATAGTAACAAATGTAAATAGGTTTTACATACTAAATTGATATTCATCTTAAAAAAATTTCAAAATCTGAGAATTATATATATTTATAAAAAATTATTATTAAGTCATTGATAAATATTAAACAATTAAATGTGTTATAATTAATAGTTTAAGTTTAATCCCTATACATATTGTTTTGATTATGTCTAGTTTATGAAATTTTGGTATTGATTGAGTTTTTTTATTCTATGCTAGGTTGAATAAACAAATTCCAGGAACGAATATTAGACAACCTGACAGAAACATGTATCTCATGAAACAACGTGAAATTGATTGTTCAGTAGGCTTTGTCGAAGTAAAACCTGAAAGAAGCGATTCAAGTAAACGACACGAAGACATGATCAGATTGGTGGCTTTCTGTAAGGATACACTCGATGAAAAGAATTTGAATGCAATGACATTGGTTCAAGTGGTTGGTAAGTAGCTCGTTATTATTTGAATCTTTTCGCTTGATGCTCGTCTTCATCGCTCGCTAAATTGGTCTTTTTTCATAATGTAGGCACGTATATATCATTCTATCATTTTGTTTTGGTTGATGATATCTACTTCATGGTCGAGCTCTATTCATTCGAGACCGCCAAGTATCTTGGTCAGTTGAGCCATCTCCTCGGTACCTTCGATAAACTAAAGCAGGTGATGTTGTGCAGTAAAAAAAATCGTGCCAAGGAAGGACAGGTTGGATCGAGAAGGAGGGATAACAGGTTAGACAAGGTCG